AGATAATATCTTAGTATTATTATTCCTTAATATATTATATATATCTAGACGTATTCTTTTATATTATCCTAAAGTCTAATCTAGTAGAATTTCCTTTTTAGTAGCGTTTTAGTCCTATTTCGCCCGAAATAGCCTACTAAAGGATTATTATAATAAATATTTAGTAATTTCTTTCTAAGATTCTCCTTTATTAGGATAAAAAGATAATTCTTAAATTAAAGAAGGCCTTTTAGGTTAATACCCTAATTCTTAAAGTTTTTAGATATCTAATTTAACGTGGCTTTTAGCCTTTACGTCTCTAGGTCCTCGTCTTAGATCTATTTAATTATTATCTATAATTTAGTGCTAATTTCTATTAAATAGATATACTTCTTTTTATAAGTACCCTATATTTTATATTAGGGTATTCTTTTATCCTTTATAAGTTTTTTTAGATAGTCTAGTTAGCTATTTCTATATTAGTAGACTCTCTTCTATTCTTTATTATATAAATACTAAACTAAGGATCGCTTTCTTTTAAAGGTATCTCGCTAGGTTTAAACTAGGACTTCTTAATAATAAAGTTTATAACTATAATTATTTAAATATTAGCTTTCTATAGACTAGATAATAGCTCTTTAGTTATAATCTATTTTTATAATAATATAAATAATTCTTTTCCTAGAGCGTCCCCCTAAATAGAATTAGGTTTTCTTGAAAGTCTATCTATAGGATTACTTTTTCTTAATTAGTGCTTAACTATAAAATTAAATAGTATAAGATATATATACTAATATATCTATCTTTTATTTAGCTTAGTTTATTTTATAAAAGATTAAAGATTTAAGTAATCCGATAATACTTTAATAGTAAATCTACTATCTTCTAAGTACTATCTTTAATATTTAAAAGAGTATATAATTATAAAAAGTTCTTAGTCTAATATATTATAATTTAACTCTACTCTAAAGAATAATTTTAACTAAAAGATAACTAGATAATACCGATCTTAGTTATCTAGTTAAGAGAGAATACTAACTATTCCTTAATTTAATATATCCGTTTCGATATATATTAGGTATTAAAGATTAAAATATTATAATAAAGGTATATTACGAAAGGCTGCGATTAGGCGTTAAAACGCTATTTTTTTATAAATTATAAATTAGCAATTTCTAGATTTTTTACTATTTTTACTTTTTTTAAATAATATAGTTAAAGATATTATAATATAAGAGAAGTTATAGATAAATTATCGATAGAAGTTATAGAATCTAATAAAGATTTAGATATTATAGTAACTTTTAGGTTTTAGCTATAAAATAATAGCGTTAATCTATTATTAGTCTATCGATATACTATCTTAGTTTATAATAAATCTAAGGAATTCTACTCTTTCTTAGTAAAATATATATTTCGAAGGTTTTACGTAAAGTCTTATTTCCTTTATTTTTTTAAGGATTTACTAGATATAGCGAGTATATAACTCGCGGTCCAATAAGAATATTAGAATATTATCTAAATACGCGATATAAGAGATATTAAATAATCCCTATAAGGCGGTATAGATATAATTCTAAAAAGTAATAGAAGTATTAGTTAAGCTAAATAGTATAATTATATACTTAAAATAACTATAACACGTATAAAATATAGTCTTCTATTCTTCGTTTTCTTAAATATAAATATAGTAGTAGATATCTTAGATATTAATCTTACTAAAGTATTTTACTCTTAAAAATCGATCTAAAATCTCTAAAATAAAAAATAAAAAGTATCGATTCTTTACTATAATCTTATTAAGTCCCTAATAGTCTATATATAGATATAATCCTCTATCTTTCTTTAGAATAAAAAGGATTAGTACTTTAGTAGGATTTTTTAAGGGTCTAATCTTTCTATTTATAAGATTTTTATTAATATAGATTCGTAATATTTATAATTCGTTTTATAATAAAAGATATATTAATCCGTAAGGTAAAGAATAGTTATTTTTTAGTTTAATAGTATAATTTTATAAGTTATTAGATAGAAAGATTTATAATCGCTCTATTAAGAAGATATCGATAAATTAACGTAGTTCTAGGGGTATTTCCGAAAAATAAATAGTTAATTCTTCGCCTTTTTTATAGGATAACTAGATTTCCTCTAGGAGTTTTATAATAATATAGATAATAACGCGTTTTCGATATTCTTTCGCGAGTTCCTAAACTAGTATTAACTTAATTCTAGTAGCTTCGAATTACTAATTTTAGTTCTATAATAAAATATAGATATAATACTTAATAAATATTATTATTAAGAGTAAGATTAGATTTCTTTATTTATAAAGGTCCCTATTAATCGTGAGATAAAGGCGAACTATTAATTTAGTAGTCTCTCAAGAGTTAGTAAATATAATAGATACCTTCTATATACTATATAAAAAGGTTTCTCGATTATCCGTTATTCTAAATAGTATTAATAATAGTTTTACTCTCTATAATTTATGCTTTTCCGCGAATTCGATACTAATAATATTAACCTTAACGTAGATATTTATATCCGCGTATATTTCGACTTTATTCCGTAATAATATTAGAATATAAAAACGAGTCGTAGTTCTTATTTAGGGTAATAGAGTTAGCCGCGTAAGAATTAGACTAACTTATTATCGTTTTCCGACTTAATCTAAGTTATTATTTATATACTAGCTTTTTTATTTAATTTATTAGAGTAATAATTAGTAAGATAGGTTTTACTTTAATAAATATAATATTAAAGGGTTTTTTTATCTCTTCTAGTTAGGTTCCTTTCCTTTTCCTAGGTCCTTTTTTTAGGTCCCTAAGTTTTGCGGTTTAATTAATATTAATTAGTCTAAAATTACTTTTAAGGGTTTTAGGGCCTTTTCGTTTTCGTGTTAATTATAGTAATCCTTAGTAATATATAACTAGGGATATTATCCTATCTCGGTTTTTAGGTAGCTTATATATATATTCCTATATATATTATCTAAGGTTATAGGTAAATTTTAAGAATATTATAAATATCCTCTTTTTCTTATTTTAGCGAGGGAAGTATCGCTCTAATAAATCTAAAAATATATAAAACTCTCGCGGATCTTACTCTAGACGTTAATAAGCTCTTTATAATTATCCTATAATATCGATTTTAAGAGTTATAGTATCTTTAATAAGAGAAAGAGTCTAATTCTTAAAATAAGTCTACGAAGTATTAACGTTTTATTATTCTTCTTTAGGTTTCTTAATAATATATCGGTATTATCTTTATTAGTAGATAGATTCTATATATAATAGGGCTGCGATAATTTACTATTTTTTATAATAATACTTCTATAGCGTTCTCTTAAAGATAAAAGAGAGGTTTAAGAGCTATTTTTCTCTCTACTAAAAAAAGAAGTAGATTAAGAGTATTAGGATATTTCTAATCCGGATCTTATTTTTATCTTCTATAAGGGATAAACCCTAATTTCGTTATTAATTCGCTAAAGGTTCGGTAGTATTCTTTTATTTAAGCTAATTTCTTATTTATTAGGCTATTTATTATAGTTTTTATAGATATTAAAGTTTTTCGATCGTTTCTTAGGTAGTCTATAGATCTTTATCTAATTAAGTCTAATTAGTTTTAGATAAAGGGGTTTACAATATCTCTTCGGGAGTATTACTCTAGCGTATTATAATAGATTAGGTCCGTAGGGTTATCCTATTTCTTTAGGTAATCGAAAAGGAAGATTTAGAATTATAAAGAATATACTTATTAGGGTATAAGGCCTATCGATTAGGTAAAGAAATAAAGGGAAAGAGTAAGGGAAAATAGTATATCCTTATTACTATTAAGACTAAATCTTATCTTACTAGCTAGATATAGGAGTATTAATTTATTATATAGTATCTTCGTAACTCCACGTATCATCGATAATATAAACGACTAGGTCTCTGTTATATATCGTGATTATTCTACTATAGGGTAGATTAAGTAATAAGTTCTGACTTCCTTCAGGATCATATAATATCACCTGATTCACCCCTTCCGTTAGTTGGGAATAACTTCATGCCTTACCATCTTGGTAGACCCTTTACAAAAAGATATCGCGCTAACGCGTCTATATTATAATAATAAGATAAATATGTTAGTTAAGGCTATCTAACCTTAAGAGGGGGATAATTATAAAGGGTCTATCAAGATAGTAAGATATAAGGTTATTCCTAACTAACGGAAAGAGTAAATTAGGTGATATTGTATGATCCTAAAGAAAGTCGGAACTTATTACTTGATCTACTCTATAGTAGAATAATCACGATATATATATAATAGAGACCTAGTCGTTTATATTATCGATAATACATAGAGTTATAAAGATATTATATAATAAATTAATACTCTCGTATCCAGCTAGCAAGACAAGATTTAGTCTTAATAGTAATAAAGATATACTATTTCTTTTACTCCTTCCCCTTATTTCTTTACCCAATCGATAGGTCTTATACCCTGCCAAATATATTCTTTACACTGAATTATAGAGTATACCAGACTTTTGACCGCGTAGTGTATTACCTTTTTATCTTCTTTTACCCAATTAATAAGTTTTATACCCTACTAAGTATATTCTTTGTAGAGAGATATCTATATATATCTATATATATAATATTAGTATCCTTATTCAATTATAATATATAGAGATAGATAGATATAAAAGAAGGAATGATTATAAAATATTTATTTAAATCATAAACAAAAGGCTTTTATTGACTAAATTAAATAACAATTAATACCAGGAAAAGAAAAATCTTTAATATTATCTTTTAAATCTTATTAAAGTTATTGAATCTCTATCTTAATCAGGGTTAGCTTTATCCTTACTATATTTATAGATTCTATATTATCATATCACTAATTTTATTACTATACTAGTAGTAGGTATACAATAGCATGTATATAGAGCTAGCTAGGTTAGATATAAGTCCTACTAAGGTAAGGTACTACTACCCATATCTCCTAGGTAGCACTTGCTCAAAATACAGTTAGAACCCATAGTCAAGGTCCATTGGATCCTCGCTGCCAGACTCAGTTGTCTCAGAGGTATCCTTGCCTGGAGCTGGGTTGCTACCGGTTGGATTGGAGGTCCTCATCCTCTCGGCCCTAGCTCGTGCCTTTGTGTCGATGATCGCTTTCCGCACACTGTCTTGCTCCACAGGCACCGTCAGAGAAGAAGGCTCCGTGCACAGCACCAATTCTTTCCCCGGGGACGTTGAATTTGACAGGACCGATTTTGGAACCGAGATAATTCTCTCTGCGAGGGGCAGGAGAATAAGATTATCCTCGGGAGTATCAGTGTTGGCTAGCTCTTGGTCCAAATTGTGAATATACGTAGTATGCTTTGTATCGTCCAGCAGCATCGCATCTCCCTGTTCGAGGAGTTGGCGATTGTCGTGCGTGGCCCGAGCGAGGATTGGGCCATGATTATCTATTCGAGAATGTGTTAACGCGATTTTTTCAACCAAGCAGGAGAACATACCTATTTGAAGACATCCGAATCGTTTTGCGAGTGGTTGCGTGCCATCGGGGTCCCCTTCGGCAGGGCGCTTTTTCCCGTGAATTTGGATTTCTTCACCTCCTCGCGCCATCCACAACCCCTGACAAATCCACGAGCAAAGGGGGTGATTTTTTGGAATTTCGGATCTCTCTCCCAAGCCAAGTATTCCAAGAACGAGAACGAGTCGGGAGGTTTGAGTCGTAAGAAGTGAACTAAGACCGAGGTCATTCTCAGCGGGGTCGATGCGGGTTCTTGGGCTTCTGAGGGATGGGGAACTGGCTTTGACTCACGCGCGAATTCTCAGACCCTTCCACCATCGCCTCATCCACACGCTTTCTCCTCCCACATCGCTCAGAATGGCTTCCGATCGCGAGTGGACGGCTCTCCGAGTCCGAGATACTTTCCTGGACTTTTTCAAGCAAAATGGTCATACCTTTGGTAAGTTGAACGCCACCCTCCCCCGCGATGCTTTTTTTTTGGCCGTTGCCCCTCGATTGTCCACGGCCTAGCTGACCAGGTACAATTCCCTATCTCAATAGTCTCATCCTCCCCCGTTGTCCCTCTATCCGATCCTACTCTGCTTTTCACCAATGCAGGGATGAACCAGTTTAAGTCAATTTTCCTGGGCACTGTAGACCCGCAGTCAGACTTTGCAAAGCTGAAGCGCGCCACGAATTCGCAAAAGGTATTGCACCTGGGGTCGGTCAACTCCTCAAATTCTGGACCCAAAAGCTGACCTTCATCTTCTAGTGTCTACGCGCCGGAGGAAAGCACAATGTGGGCGCACCATGATGCCCTCCACCGAGAGTCAAAGCATACTAATTAGTTTCACCCAGGATTTGGATGATGTGGGCAAGGACAGTTATCATCATGTGAGCTTTGCTGGAGTACCCTTAACCTTGCTATTGAAGACGACTCTGACTAAAATCCAATAGACCTTTTTCGAAATGCTTGGTAACTGGAGCTTTGGTGACTACTTCAAGAAAGAGGCGATTTCGTATTCCTGGACACTCCTGACTAAAGTTTACGGATTGGAGCCCCAGCGTCTCTACGTCACTTATTTTGAGGGCAGTGAGGCAGGTGGCTTGGAGCCCGACTTGGAGGCGAAGGAGCTATGGAAATCGGTGGGAGTTCCTGAATCCCACATTCTTCCCGGCAACATGAAAGACAACTTCTGGGAATGGGCGACCAAGGTCCTTGTGGACCTTGCAGCGAAGTGCATTATGACCGGATTGGAGGGCGTAATGCTGCCCACCTAGTCAACCAGGACGACCCTGACGTTCTGGAAATCTGGAACAACGTTTTCATCCAGTACAACCGCGAGCCCGACCTCTCCCTCAGGCCGCTGCCGAACAAACATGTCGATACCGGAATGGGGTTTGAAAGGCTGGTGTCGATACTGCAAGACAAATCCTCGAACTACGACACGGACGTCTTTACTCCAATTTTTCAGGCCATCCAGCAGGCTACCGGTGCTCGAGAGTATCGAGGCCAGTTTGGTGCGGAGGACCCCGACGGAATTGATACCGCATACCGTGTAGTTGCGGACCATGTGCGAACTCTCATGTTTGCAATTTCCGACGGCGTCATTCCCAACAATGAAGGTCGTGGCTATGTGATCCGCCGCGTGCTTCGCAGAGGAGCCCGGTTTGCTCGCAAATATTTCCAGGTCGATATTGGAAGCTTTTTCTCCAAGCTCGTGCCAACTGTCGTGGATCAGCTGGGCGGAATGTTTCCGGAGCTGAAAAGAAAACAGCAAGATGTCATGGAGATATTGGATGAGGAGGAGCTGTCGTTCGCCAAAACCCTGGACCGGGGTGAGCGTCAATTTGAGCAATACGCCCAACAAGCAAAGCTCAAGGGCTCTGACAGACTCCATGGTGCTGATGTCTGGAGGTTGTATGATACCTTCGGGTTCCCAGTCGATCTGACCCGGCTGATGGCCGAAGAACGCGGCCTTCGCATCAATGATGCTGAATTTGAGGAAGCCCGCCTGAAAGCCAAGGAGGCTAGCAAGGGCCAAAAAAAGTCCGCGGCGAACGCCGTTAAATTGGATGTTCATGATCTTGGAAAGCTGGAGAAAATGAATGACGTCCAGAAGACGGATGATTCCGCCAAGTTTGCCAGAGGAAATATCACAGCTTACGTCAAGGCAATTTACCACGGAAAGGCATTTTACACCAGCACCGACAATGTCCCTGACGGAGAACAGCTTGGTGTCATCCTCGATCGTACAAACTTTTACGCCGAACAGGGCGGACAGGAAAACGACACTGGCAGAATTGTTATTGATGGGCAGGCTGAACTCGAGGTTGGTGATGTCCAGGCGTATGCCGGATACGTTCTTCATACCGGATTCATGAAATATGGGTCATTCTCAGTGGGAGATGCCGTGATCAGTGAATACGATGAGCTTCGGCGCTGGCCCATTAGGAACAACCATACTGGAACCCATATTTTGAACTTCGCCTTGCGAGAAGTTCTCGGGAATGGAGTGGAGCAAAAAGGTTCTCTTGTGGCGGCCGAGAAGCTCCGATTCGATTTCTCTCACAAAACGGCAGTGTCAGATGCCGAGCTGGAGAAAATTGAGGCCAAGTCAACCGGATATATTCGACAGAACTGTGGTGTGTATTCCAAGGAACTCCCTCTGGCAACTGCTCAGCAAATCTCCGGGGTCAGGGCTGTTTTTGGTGAAACCTATCCAGACCCTGTTCGCGTCGTGTCTGTCGGAGTGGAATTGGATGAAATTCTACAGAATGTTAAGGATCCACGTTGGACGGAGGTCAGTATTGAGTTCTGTGGTGGAACTCACGTCCAGAAGACAGGGGACATCAAGGATTTAATCATTCTGGAGGAAAGCGGCATCGCCAAGGGAATTCGCAGGATTATCGCTGTTACTGGGGAGGACGCTCATGCCGTGCAGATGGTTGCGAAGGAGTTTGGAGAGCGCCTCGATCGGCTTGATGCAATGCCCCTAGGCCCTGAGAAGGAGCGAGAAGTTAAGCAGGTCCAGGTGGATCTCAACCAACTTGCCATCTCTGCCGTTCAAAAGGCCAAGTTCCGGGACCGCTTTACCAAGATCAACAAACAAGTCGTTGATGGACAGAAAGCCCAGCAAAAGTTGGAATCCAAGAAAGCCGTGGACGCCATCACCTCCTATTTCCAGTCTCCGGAGAACCAGGACAAGCCATGGCTTGTTACTCGGCTTCCCATCACCGCAAACGCCAAGGCTGTTAGTGAATCCCTCAACCATGTCAAGTCTAAGCTACAGAACAAAGCTGTTTATCTCTTGGCGGCGGACTCTGAACAAGGTCGAGTTGCGCACGGTTGCTATGTTTCCAAGGTCAGTCACAGGACTTCCCGAATTCCTGTCCCCTAGCCGTCAAAGAAATTCCATGTGCTAACATCCGGATACAGGAGCTGGGGGACCAAGGCGCTTCTGCGAATGACTGGGCAGCGGTTGTCTCCGGTGCTGTTGGGGGCAAAGCCGGGGGAAAGGGAGCCACAGCCCTTGGAAACGGTGTCAATGCTGACAAGGTCGACGAAGCGATTTCGCTGGCCTCGGACTATCTGAGCAAGTTCAAATTCTAGATGTCCCCGTAAGGGTGGGTTTTACATGACTTGAAAATGGCTTTTCATTCTTCTCATTGCGCCACCGATCCACGTTGATTGTTGACATGCCGATACCAAAACAAAACTCGGGGATATTAGGGCATGAAATTGAACTTCCCCAATGATTATTCTGTTGTTCACACGCACCCGATGTCTGATCATCTCGTAACCCTATTTATTCTTCATTGTATCTCCATAGACCGAATCCAGTTACATTTCTCCACATTGCACAATTGTGACATCTTGGTTCGGCTTGTCCCTGGTAGTACGAGTGTGCTCAATCATTTGCACAATCTCCATGCCATCTACCACCTGGCCAAAGACCACATGCTTGTTGTTGAGGAAGAGCGTAGCTGTGGTGGTGATGAAGAATTGGCAACCATTGGTGTTTGGGCCCGAGTTCTGTAATCACCTCAGTCAAAGGGAGCGCCTGTAGTTCCAAGCGCGGTTGACTTACTGCCATACTCAGGAGACCTGCGCGATCGTGTCTCAAAGTGAAGTTCTCATCTGGAAACTTGGGGGTGCCGTAGATGGTACAGGTCCCGGTGCCATCGCCGTTCACAAAATCTCCTCCCTGGACCATGAAATCTTTGATCTTAGTGGATATTAGCCTATGGTCTACAGTAATGACAGATTTCCACACATACTACTCTATGAAACCTGCTTCCCTTGTACCCTTGGGGTTGCCCCTTGGAGTTTTTGCTCTCTCCGGTGCAAAATTGCCGGAAGTTCTCTGCGGTCCGAGGGGTGACATTTGCAAACAACTCCATTTTCACTCGGCCCAGAGACTCGCCTATGATCAAAGATTAGTGATGCACTCCGGCCGGAGAGAGATGTTGGCTACGGCCCTTGTCCAGTATTGTGCCAACTTACCTCCAAGGGCGATATCGAAGAAAACCACGGGGTTTGAAGATGCATGAAACTGGTGAATTGGTTCAGCCATGACTGCGTTCCTGATCTGAGACGGTAAAGAAGAGAACAAGACGATTCGATAAGGGTAGTCGGATAAAAAAAAAAGAGGATGATCTGTGGAGATGTCTATCTATTTAGGTCGATAGCCCCTTCGATCGGTGGAGTCAACAACACAAGTTGGCCCCGTTGTTTGCTTTTTCTTCTTTGCTGCGCTGCTTCTCGCTTTTGCTTCTTTTGCTTCCAGAATACGGTTTGTCGATTGTGGCCGTAAATCTGATTTTTAGTTTCTTGGGGTTGTTACAAGCAGAAGAAAAAGGAATCGTCAGCTATTTTGTGTTCCCGTGATCGGCAGCCTCAGGTGTCTGATTTCCCCAGGATCCGCATGCAGTGTGCCATCTCAATTCATCTTCCTTTGACCCTCGGGTCTTGTTATCATTCCCATCGCCTCGAACTTACTTTCCAATCTTGTTGTCGATGGAATGAGACTGATGCTAAGCGCCCTCCCATTGAGAGAGCGATAGTACTCCACTTCCTCCTAATCGCTTTGTCGGTCTTGCACGTGGACGACCTTCGATCGATGACGCCCAATACAACGCCGCTACATGTATTTGCCCCCTGAAGGGTGAACTGGAACTGTTCTGCCACTCCATTACTTGAATCACAACCGTGACCTACAGGACGACCCTATATACTTTCCTCAAGGACATCAATGATCGACCCAGTGGAAAATACAAGTCAACGACCTGGGGCAAAATCGCGACTCACATCACTTGCATACGTATCACACTCCTGTCTTCAATATGTCTTCAACTACAACTTCGGCTTCGAGCAGTACTGCTACCTCCGGCGGTGGCAGTGGTGATAGCTCCGGTTCGAACAACGCGACAAGCTCGCCCCTGCTGTTCTTTGTCGCTCTCGGATTTGGTGTTGTCTTCACCAATCTATGGTATGTCTCATGATTTGCTTCATCTATTGAAACCCGGCCCAGAGCCAGTATTCTTCTTTGGAAGACCTCTAGCATCTATAGGGTTGAGTCTCTGACAATCATTTAGGATCATCGTGGGTGTCAAATACTGCTTCCGGTATAACCAACGGAACCGCCAGTTGCGTAATGAGGAGGCGGTCGATTTGATGCCCATGCCTCGAACACATCGGAGACGGAAAGAAAAGAAGCTGATGACGATGGACGAGGTCAACGAACGATTTCCCCTTGTCAAATATAAGGCGTGGAGGTCATCTCGTGCCAACCAGGGTCTTCCAACGGAGGGAGGCATTACCGCCCCAAACAGCAGGCCTCAGAGTTTGAAAAATGATGGGGAAGTTGCCTCTGCGACGGTTGACGTGTCTCCGGCGAGAGGCAATGAGCGGCGCAATTCCGATATTTCCCACGCCTCTGCGCAAGATTTGCCTCCTGATTCGCCGGCGCAGCCGGCAGCTGAAACTACAACCTCTGCCCCGGGAATCTCTTCAACTCCCAAAGGTACCGGCCCCAGCATTTCCGATGAAAAATGGCAGCATTCTCCAACAAACGAAAACGTGGACCTTGAAGAAGATGACGACGATGGTGACCAAATCCGCAAAGCAGTCCCTGCAGAGCTGCTACCGAATCCTGGTGATTCTTGTGCGATTTGTCTGGATACAATCGAAGACGATGATGATATTCGCGGGCTGACATGTGGACATGCCTTTCATGCGTCATGTGTCGACCCGTGGTTGACTAGTCGGAGAGCCTGCTGCCCTCTATGCAAGGCCGATTACTATGTTCCCAAGCCCCGTGCAACGACTGCCGAAACGCCCTCCGCAGACCGACAAGGACGTGATGCTTCCCGTTCCGAAGCACTTACTCGGCCTCCTCGGGTGGCCCAGGCCGGGCTCCGAGCGAGTTCCTTTCGAGTACAAATGGTCTTACCTGGCCGAATATTTCAATCAACTGCTCCAGAGCGAGACAATGAGCCTTCACAATCTGGGGCACGTCCGCGACCCACGCGCAACGAACCCCGGAGTTTGGATGGATCACCGGAGAACCCGGACCAGTCTATCTGGTCACGATTTCTTCCCGCACGTCTTCGTAGACAGTCTTTCCCTCGAGGACATCGGGCGCCGTCTGAAGTGGGGGCAGCATCTGATGAACACACACCACCGGAGCGCAGGACGCCTGGTCAACTGGAAGCTGGTACTACTTAATGTCTAGCTGCCATATCCTCCGCACTATTTTACGATCATCTGACCCTGAGAATTACTTACTTGCTGAATCAACATCTGGTATGTTGATTGGACCAGCTGTTGCTTTGTCGATGAGTTGATATGTAATTTATTGGCCTCTCTCTCTCTCTCTCTACCGTCCCTGTCTTCTGTTCTTCCTCTTTCTTATTCTTATTGGCAAAAACCAAGGCGTCTGCAGGCCATGAATTTTTTTTTCGGCTGAATTTTTTGTCACTAGTCCCAGGATAAGTTCCAGGAGGGATTTGCGTGTGTTCCCACTATCTTTTCACCTTTTCACCATAGTATCTTGCCTCGAACATGCCTTGAGTGCCCTTTTGAAGTATCTAGTGAGAACAAAAATCAAGTTCCAATTGATTTCTAGTTTAAACTATGGAACAATCCCAAAAGAAACCAGGAATGAAAAAGAGAAAAGGAAAAGAGTCCGAAACAAGTGGAAATCCGGCTCACATCGGTGCTTTGGAGCCCCCGACACCAGCCCCGATTACACTGGGCAGCTCCTCTTGGCCCATGTTGAAGAGCATCCCAACCGCACTGCCCGCCATTGCAACGGCCAGCACACTGACGCCCGCAATAAGGAAGAAGGGCGAGCTGATATCCCTCTTCTGACAAGCTGATCCACCCCACTGGACTTTTTGGGTGGTGCCATCGCTTTTCTTTACGACGGTTTGCTGACACTGGCATGCGTAACAGTTGCCAGCAGCCTTTTCATCATCCGAAGCATATTTAAGATAACAGTACCCGTGTCCGGAACAGTTATCGGTTGCTTCAACACAGGAGGAGTTTGTTGCGTGGCAGACAGGCGCCAAGGTCGATGGGATTGACTGGCCTTGGATGGCTCTTTTGACCGCATTGGTTTGACTTGCCGCTAAGATGGACGGTTGAGAAACCGTTCCTTGACTATCTCGGTGTCCGAATCTTGGCTTCGAGCCTCGAGACTCGTTGGTCGCTGGCAAAACCAAGACAGTGATCTCTCGGTTACTTGCAGCGGACAGATCCGCAACACCATGGAGAAATAAATCCAAAGATTTGGTGACGAGAGCAGCCTGGCTCGATTGACGTTGTGGCTGATGATCGTTGATTAGACCTTGCGCTATCGGGTCAAGAGAGAGGATTCCAGTACCTTCAATGTCAATCTCGAGGCCGTCAACCTTTGATCCTTGTTTGCCCAAGTTTCCACCAAATTGACAAGGTCCAGGAAGTCGCGGTCGAGCAAATGACGTGAACGGGCGAGAACAGGGTCGGCGGATATACAGGTTTTAGCCGTCTAAAAACCGAATCCAACTTAGTAAAGATACTCTGAAAATCGCCCATCGGGGACTAAATTACCTGAGACGTTATAGATTCTGCGTTGCTATCACTGGTGTGGTATGTGCAACGTCTCTCGCTGATTCCTGCCCCAGCGGGGACGTCGCCTCCAAGGAAGAGGCTCAGGGTATCATCGCCGGCGAAATTCGAAGAGACACGGGGCACTAGAAGGTGGTTTGGCTGAATCTTTTGAATGGATGAGACTTCGAGAGCGAAGGAACAAAGGAAAGAGATCATTAGCTAGACGTGTCCTGATTGCTACCTAGGTAGACAACGTTCACGTACCAACTTGGCTTTCCACGCCTTCAAGGATAATCATGTTTCTCTCAATGGTCTCATGATCACTGAGGCCACCGAATAGATCGAAGTTGGGCTTAGCAAACTGGTTCAAGTGTTCCACGGTGCCTGTCTCCGTCCTCCCGAGAACGGATGCCACAGATGACTTCACGCGCAGCTCCAAAATAAGTCGTGCCACATCTTCCGAAGTTGTCTGTGGCTCGGAGACAGTTCCAGGAGCTTCCTTCTGGGTGGGAGGAAACGTGAATATCGAGGCATCCAAAGCGCTTGTCCCCAATGCACCCACGAGGGCGAGGGCAAAGAGCTGAGAAACCCAACGCATAATGTAAAGTGTGGATAGAGGGAGCGAGAACAAAAATCTCCGGCCCCTCAAGTAATGGCGGAATTTGCCTTATGGACGGGAAGCGTGTCTTGCAACCGATGAGAGAGGAAGTCCGGCCTCGATAAGATATATCACGTGCCCCGTCATTTTGAGAGGGTCAGTCGCAGGTGATCAGAGGCATAGACCGACTAGCCAGCCAACTCTCCCGGTTATTCCTCTTCTTCTCTTCTTCTTACTTTCCTTCAAAACTCCATTCTGCTCCAGATCCTACCCGGTTGCCCAGCTATTAACACACCCACATAGGCCAATACACCCTAGTCCGTGGAACCCAGTCCAAGTTTCCTGTTGCTTTTCAAACGTGAGATGATTCTTGAATGACAATCTCCTACAAAACTGGACTTTCCCCATGCTCCGGCTCAGGCATCTACTCCGGAATCCCCCAGCACGCGCCTCTCTCCTCCGTGTCGCCCCTCCCCCGCCGTGCAATTTCAGAATACTCGAATGTTCGACATGTAAGATTTCAACGGCCTTGGCTTCGGTGAGTCTCGTGGTCCCTGGACCTGTTCCAAGCTTGGCTTGTCATGCTCATGCAGACACTGCTAGGTCATTTTTCTCCAAGCTCCTGCTTTACGGCACTGCATTGTACCTATGGCATTCATTCGTCCTGGCACGGTTCGATGACGATTCCCTTGACACGGATTCAAATACACCCAGAGGCGATGACTCGGCAGATGAAGAAGCGGAAGATGAGGGCCCTTTGTTTATTCCACTGTCCTGGGCCCGATTGCAACAAGGCGACCTGTACACAGTAAAGGATCCGGAATGGCAAGAGTTTGTCAAGATATCCAAAGATCGAAAGCAGCTCCAGAACTTACGAGGTGAGACTATATAGCCCTAGGATGTGGAAGCAATTAGAATTGTGTGAACTGACCTGGTTAGACGAACTTGCCTCAATTGTCCTGGATACTGCCTCAGATGGGATCGCTCCTATACTCGGAAGTCCTCTTTCTATCACAGGGTTTTGGCTTGTTCATCAGTTTCCATCTCGTGCTCCTCCTACATACACTCAGTCAGGGTACGTGTTCGTGGCCGTCCTTGATCTGTTATGATTGCTGATTGCATGTAGTCTAGAGATCACGGATGACGGAATATCCTGGATCTCGAATAAACCCATGGAGCCCGATGTCGGCGACCGGCTACAGAAGTTTATGAATCCATTCCATGTGGCACTTGCCATCAAAGATACCTATATGGTACTAGCGAAAAGGCAACTGAACCGCTTTAGGAATCCTGAAGGGCAGCCGGTTGATGCCCTGGAATTTATGAATCAAAAACCCCTGCCGCCCGGAAGAGAAAGGCTGGATGAGGTCAGCCAACTTGAACAACCCAAACTGCGGCCCCCAACCCCCGAAGGGCTTGGGGGAAACGCGGCATCTAACAGTGAAAGCACAGAGTACCATTCGTCCTCAATCATATCTTCACTGCAGCGGCTACCGTTACCCGACCTGGGCCCTGGGTCGGATCTACACTTGGCATCAATGGCGTTCAGGCTGCGGTTGAAGGAGTATCAAGCCCGTGCACCCCGCACGCCTCGCCGAGGCACTTTCTTCATCTCTGGCCCTGTGGGGTTGAAGGGCCCGCATGGCTTTTGTCGATTTGAAGTGCGCGGCGAATATGACCCCGTCAAGTCTGGGTGGAGAACAGTGGAAATGAAGTTGAAGGACGTCAACCTTAGGAGACAAAGAGCCCTGGGAGGTCGGTGACACCGCGTCAATTCCATGAGATATGCCATTCTGAAGCCGTTCCGTCGTGGGGGAAGAGAGCGTCTCCCTTTGACCCAGTTGATACCCGAAGCCCTCATCTATGTAAAATACTGAATAGGCCATAGTATATAGAAAAGCATTGAGCCGATGGGACGAGCTAGCCATACCAGTAGGAATCACTACGTGTTGGACAGCCATGCGGAGTGTAGAGCGAATTGAAGTGGACTTTGCGGGGCCGATGACGATGACGCAGAGCTGAGGGGACTGATAACTCCCCTCCCAGATCGAATCGTCTGTTCTTCCAATCCACATCACCAAAGATCCTCTCACAAACTACTTATCGTCATGTCTGTTCCACCCAAATTTGCAGGGCTGAAGCTGTCCGGCGGTACTTTCCAGGAGACCCCGCACACGTTAGAACTGTGTACGTTGGCCTGTAGCTGAACGACATGGAAGCTGACCGTCCAAATTCAGATCTTGATTATGTCTGCCCTGTCAGTATCCCAGCGCGCTCGGCACTTTATTGGGTCTCAACTAAGATACCTTTCACCTCGATAGTTCTCTGCCAAGATGTTCATCACCCTTGATACTCTTCGACCCATGATCGCCCAGCGGTATAACCCCAGGCTCCAGGTGATCTTCCGACAGCATATTCAACCCTGGCATCCCTCGTCTACTCTCACACACGAAGCTGGAGCGGCTGTCCTTCGGGTAACCCCCGAGAAATTCTGGGACTTCAGCGCCGCTCTATTCAAGCGCCAGACCGAGTTCTTCGATGTGAGCGTTGTAAATGAAACGCGCAACAAGACATACGAACGGCTGGCCAAGATTGCAGGGGAGGTTGGCGTGGATCAAAAGAAGGTGCTTGATTTGCTGATTATTAGTGAGACGCCCAGGGACGATGGGCAGTTGAACTCGGGCAACCAAGTGACAAACGACATCAAGTGGATGGTCAAGGTAAGTGTTTGTCCCAACTGCTCTCTCAATCATTTCTTGGCTAACCGCATCTAGGCAGACCGAGTGGTTGGGGTTCATGTGTCGCCCACGGTGTATTTCAATGTAAGAGGGTCCAATTGAGATCAGTTCCATATGATGCTAACCCCGAGATTAGGGGGTGGAAGAACGGGGGATTAGCAGCAGTTTCACTGCCGCCCAGTGGGAAGAATGGTTGGCCAAAAACGTGGTTTGAAAGACCAGGAACCACCGCCCGCGTCTGGGACCGACTTCGAGCGTTTTGCATGTGGATCCTGAACCTAGCAGGTCAATCGAAAGGCGGGAAAAAAAAAGAAAAAAAAAAAGAAAAAAAAATTGAACCGTGTCTTCATTCCAGAACTTCCATTACGGAGCTTTTGTGGGCCCTAGCGAATATCTCGAATGGCGCATGTCCATGTGATAAAGTTGACCACAGTGGTTTTTTCAAGGGGAGAGGGTAGATTTCCAACGCCATCCATGAGTAACAGGCTTATGGTGCCAGCGGAGGCTGGTAATTCAGAGGTCGTCTGTCCACAGGTCAGCAGAGTCGACCCAGTATGTTAGGGATACGAACTTGAACAGTAAAATATGAGGCTCCGGCTCATGCACCTCGTAATGCTCCCACCCCAAGCTCTGCCCACGAGTATTAGCTTTTTGGTGCCGCTCATTGGTATAACCTCAACAGACCTGTGTGATGCCCAATGCGCGCCATTCCTCCTCCCAGAGCAGTTTCAATGTCCCCTTCGCGCTGTCAAAATAATCCGCAGGAATTTTCTTGAGCATGTTCTTCGGAAGTTGTACATGGCGATATTCGAATTTGTCGTCAGAGTACCTGCGTCGAGTCAGCATTGATCTGGTGACAAGGGATACCATCCTCTACCGTGCTGAATAATGAATCGAGTCGATAAATTCGTCAAGTCGCTCACGCTCCGACTCCAACAGGAGACGTGGTTTCTTATTCCTTCGGCTGGGATCGATATCCATTGGAAGGAAGTTGGAAGAACGCTGGGATCTAGAAGGTACCTTTCCCCGGTAGCTAGTCAACAATGGCCCACTTGATAGATCTCGAGACCATCTCGGACACAGAATGGGGTAACATAAAGTCATAACTCACCGTGTGGGAGGGGCCTTCGCAGGAAGCAATAGTTTGGAGTCCGCTCACTCGGCTTTTCAAACCTCGGGGTTGGGTCAAAGAGACAAAGATATGCAAGGTAGTGGAGGTTGAGATTTGTGTTTAAGCCAGACTTGTTAAAGCAAGTGCCTCAACAAGGTGGAGTGCAGAAAGTGACAGTGTGTTTTGGAGAGTTGTTTGGCGCGACGAAAATAGTGGAGGGGAACTGGTGCCTGGATGCCTTGTGGACATGGCTTTAACAATACAGTATTGTAGTTTACCGCTAGTACCTGGTAACTTTGGCCAAAGGCTGAGGAAGCAAAAAGATTACCAACCAAATACCACTTACCTAAGGCGGTGGTCTGCCCGGCTCCACTCTGACCGCATGAGGCGCGTCTCTGAACTCGGCCAGCAGTTAAGCTCTCCCTTCTCTGCCTCGTGTCCTGCGCCCTGGTTCCTTTCATCCCTGTTTTTACCTGCGCTATCTACTGTGACCTGATTCTACAGGACCTGTGGCTTTGCTTGTTTTTAGATCTTCAACGCAACTCGACTCGCGACAACCCAACACCTCGACACTCGTACGAAGTAATCCGTGATGAGCTCCAAACGGCGGGTGGCTGCTGCGGCGTCACCAGAGACGAGACTCCGAGGCCAGAAACGTCGCAAAGTCTCCGTAAGCCTCTGTCTTCTTTTTGTCTTAATCCACTTTGCGCCCTTATAATGGATCAACCCATGCGACGCGACCAAAGGCACATTGGCTGAACCAAGCGCCATCCAGTCGTTCGAGATCTCTCCCCCCTATTTCTTTGCTCTAGACCCAATTACTATCCTCTGAATTTAGAATGGACCGCTGACACCCCCTTGCGAACGGACAGGACGATGACCTCGTGGAACCGGAAGAGCCCAATCACGCGTCGTCAAACCCGCGCTCAGAGTCAGCGGAGCAAGCCGAAGCAGATGGAACCCCAGACTCTGAGGGTGAATTGAAAGCAGACTTTGAAGGGGACAGTCTCCAAACGGCACAGGACAAAATCATGTCGGAGTTGACCCGATTGAGAGATTCCGAGTGCGTGCTGGGACCCTGCTGTACCTGTGCTGATACTGACGCGCAACAGTGACCAGGAAGTCTCCTTTCCATTCATCGGCAAGCCAGACCGTAACCTCTACCGAGACTATTATGAAATCATCCAACATCCGGTGTCGCTTAGGAGCATCCAAAAGAAGGTTCGCGGTACAGATAGTCGCAAGAACTCCTCAAAAACAACCGCCTATCCCACATGGCAGTCCTTCGAAGAAGAAGTCAGTTACATATGGCGGAATGCTAGGGAGTACAATGAGGACGGCAGTGAGATTTCGAATCTTGCCGGTATTCTGGAGGTAGGTTTTAGCTTGATCATTTGTTTTCTCGGCTCTGCTGACAGAAAACCAGGATTATTTCAAAAGACGAGTTGCGGAAGCCAAGAAACTCGTTCCAGATCCCATCCAGGTAGATAAAGACCCCGAAATGCCTCGTATCAAATTGAAGATGGGCCCGAGGATGTCCGATACTCCTTCGAAGAACGGGCAGCAGTCCGGCGTGACAGTCGACAACGAATCTCTCGAACGACAGCAGGAACTGGTCAAGACCGGATCGACGAGTCAAGATGTCGAGGCACACCGAATGTCCCCTCGGACAAGGTCCCTTCGAAAGCCTCTTGCCAGTCCCAGGTCCAGCGCCGCTACTACCCCATCTGCCCCGGAACATTCACAGACTGTTCCCACCAGAGGTCGAGATTTGCTCGCCTCAAAGGGTGATACGTCCATGGCATCTTCTCAGTTTGCCGAGATTGGTCACTTGTACAATGCCCCCGGAATCTCCGGGGAGCCACCGGCAGATATCGCCGGACATTCGCTTTCGAGCGCCGGTGGACTAATTTCTCATGATGGTGAGAAGGCGCATATTCCACACCTAGTGAAGAGCCTTTGGCCGCTGCTGACCATTTATCCAGTTCCAGCTTCCTTGCATCCGCCTCCAAGTGTATCACCCATGGACTCGATTTTAAGGCGCCCGGGCCAAGGTGCGATTATCATCCACCACTCCTTTGCATGAGCGAATTCAGCTAATGGTATTTCAGATGCAAGTTCTGCCTTAATCCGCAATGTTCAAATTCTCAGCCATTCATCGTTGTCTTTGCACCATGACTTTTGTTTAGATATACCCCCATCCTCGACGGTTTCCCAGCAAACGATCACGGTTAGCCTTCCGGCATCACATCACCTGCTCACGATTAGGCCTCATTTGGCGGCCGGTACTGCCCAGCAGCAGGTGAAGCTGGTCGCTTTTCTGGGCATGCAACGGCTCCATCCGTCTGGTGATACCACGACGCTCTCATATGATATTCAACTGCATCCTGGCACGATCAAGGTTGACCTGGAAGCTATTGTTGGGCCGGCCAGGGGAGTCCCAAAATCCGGGCCACCTGGTTCGGATGTCGACTATGAGCGTGTCAGCATCTTTTTCAACCTGCTGCGGTGACAAGACTAGAAGGCAACCCATTCCATTTCAATGAAATAGGTTCTGGAGAATGAAAGGCTATATTCTGGATGTAATGGTATCTGTCAAAACAGTCTTGCAATCTTTTTGCCCAGCGATCATGATAAGATGTTTCAAATGTTTACATGGAGGTGTGGAGCGGTGGAGAAGAAAACTCTCGGAGCTAGTCCTGATCGGGTCCTCCACGTGATTGACCGCTTCCGAAAAATTTTCTGCCTATCACAGTGTGGCATCGCCATTTATAAAAAAAAACTCGATTCCTCTTTACCCCCCTCATCTTCCCTCTTTTACCCCCTCCATCTTTCCCTCCCCCCTATCCCACCACTCAATTTCACAATGGCGGATCTTCCGGTCTTCGACGGGGCCATTGGCATTGACCTTGGTTAGATTGCCTCGCAAAAGAAAAAGAATCGTTCCATTGTGTGCCACCGCTGACTCGCTTCTCTCAGGCACCACCTACTCCTGCGTTGCCAACTACGAAGGCACCAATGTTGAGATCAGTATGCTCGTCCTTGAATCTCGTTTTGTCGTCTCAAACTGACCGCTCGATCAGTTGCCAATGACCAGGGTAGCTACACCACCCCCTCCTTCGTCTCCTTCACCGACAAGGAGCGCTTGATTGGTGAGGCCGCAAAGAACCAGGCCGCCATGAACCCGAAGAACACCGTCTTCGACATCAAGTGAGTCTCATACCTCGAAGCAATTTGGAAATTGATCTCCCCCTCTTTATCTCTCGGGGAGGGGGTTGTCTGTGCTTTTCCAACTAGCATGGTTCTGACGTGAGAAAAGGCGCCTGATCGGTCGCCGATTCGATGACCCCATTGTCAAGAAGGATGTTGAATCTTGGCCTTTCAAGGTCGTTGACCAGGGTGGAAGCCCCGCTGTGGAGGTCGAATATCTCGGAGAGAACAAGACTTTTACCCCCCAGGAAATCTCCTCCATGGTCCTCATGAAGGTAAACCCCCCACCATTTTTGCCCAACGGCATGCGCATTTTAAGATCGATATGCTAACTGCAATGACAGATGAAAGAAGTTGCCGAGACCAAGCTCGGCAAGAAGGTCGAGAAGGCTGTGATCACTGTCCCGGCTTACTTCAACGACAACCAGCGCCAGGCCACCAAGGATGCTGGTGCTATTTCCGGCCTGAACGTTCTCCGGATCATCAACGAGCCTACTGCGGCCGCTATTGCTTACGGCCTGGGCTCCGGAAAGTCCGACAAGGAGCGTAACGTGCTGATCTATGACTTGGGTGGTGGTACTTTCGATGTCTCCCTGCTGAACATTCAGGGTGGTGTCTTCACTGTCAAGGCTACTGCTGGTGACACCCACCTTGGTGGTCAGGACTTTGACACCAACCTGCTCGACTTCTTCAAGAAGGAGTTCCAGCGCAAGACTGGCAAGGATCTCTCAGGCGACTCGCGCGCCCTTCGTCGTCTCAGAACCGCTTGCGAGCGTGCTAAGCGTACTCTGTCCAACGCCACCCAGACTACCGTTGAGATTGATTCGCTCTTCGATGGCGAGGACTTCAACTCTTCGATCACCCGGGCTCGTTTCGAGGACCTCAACGCCAAGTCCTTCTCCGGCACCCTTGATCCCGTGCAGCAGGTCCTCAAGGACTCTGGCATCGAGAAGAGCAAGGTTGACGAGATCGTCCTTGTTGGTGGCTCGACCCGTATTCCTCGCATCCAGAAGCTCCTGAGTGACTTCTTCGATGGCAAGAAGCTGGAGAAGGTAAGACTCCCAATTCCCCCTTGCCCTACTCCAGTTGCTGATCCAATTTCCTATTTATAGAGCATCAACCCAGATGAAGCCGTTGCCTACGGTGCCGCCGTTCAGGCCGGTATTCTCTCGGGTAAGGCTACCTCGGCCGAGACCCAGGATCTGCTGCTGCTTGACGTTGTTCCCCTCTCTCTCGGTGTTGCCATGGAGGGTAACATCTTTGCCCCTGTTGTGGCCCGTGGCCAGACTGTTCCCACCATCAAGAAGCGCACCTTCACCACCGTGGTGGACAACCAGACTACCGTCCAGTTCCCCGTTTTCCAGGGTGAGCGTACCAACTGTGCTGACAACACTTCCCTTGGCGAGTTCACTCTGGCTCCCATTCCTCCTATGCGGGCTGGTGAGGCTGCCCTCGAGTGTGTTTTCGAGGTCGACGTCAACGGTATCCTGAAGGTCACCGCCACCGAGAAGTCCTCCGGCCGCACTGCCAACATCACTATCTCGAACGCGGTTGGCAAGCTGTCAAGCACTGAGATCGACCAGATGATCGATGGTAGGTTTTCTTTTCTTTTCTTTTTCTTTCCCTTGCTCCTCAACTATAGCGTGTTGTACCTTGAGATCATCTGCTGACTGGTTTTCTAGACGCCGCCAAGTTCAAGTCCAGCGACGAGGCTTTCACCAAGCGCTTCGAGTCTCGCCAGCAGCTTGAGTCCTACATCTCCCGTGTTGAAGAGATTGTCTCTGACCCGGGCATGTCCATGAAGCTGAAGCGCGGCAACAAGGAGAAGATCGAATCAGCCCTCAGCGATGCCATGGCCCAACTGGAGGTCGAGGACTCCACCCCGGATGACCTCAAGAAGAAGGAGCTGGCTCTGAAGCGCCTGATAACCAAGGCCATGGCTACGCGGTAAATGCAGACCTGAGAAAAGCTGCACATAGATTCACGGCCAGCGATGTTCTTATTTCCGGAATTCTGCGCCATCTCAAACTTTTGGGCAGGGTTGGTCTCATGCTATTGTTTTCGAGGAAGCCAGGCAACTAGGGCGCAGTTCTTGTTTTTTTCTTTCCTTTTGTTTGAAAAAAAAGTATGAATCCTGTAGACGAAGATTGCCATTTGCAATTAATGACTTTGTGACGACTCTTTTCTTGTTCTTTTGGGGGGGGGAGGAGATGAGAATAGAATTGCTAGGCGGAGATGGACCTGGGCAGAGAAGGTAGATAGATCTCTCCCGACGCAACCCAACCAAACACAACCCACCAACCCACCCACGCCCTGCCCACCATGCAACGCCTCGCAGTTCGTCCACTTCTTGCCGTCACCCATCGCCTTACACGCCCACCTCTCTTCAATCCCCAGCCGACCTCCCTCCGCTTTCCAGAACCATTCACTTTTTCTCCTGCCGTTGGGCGTAGCTTCGCCAATTCTCCGACCCTGTACAAGAAGAAGGACAAAGCAAAGAAAAACAATGTCCCCGAGGCGGACTCTAGCGCCGGTGCGGCTTCTGAGGATCCTTTCGATCTCTCCCAACTGCAAAATGGCATTTCCACAGCCGTTGCTAGGTTGAAGGATGATCTTTCCAAGCTTCGCGCCGGAGGGCGGTTCAATACCGCGACCCTTGAAACCCTGAAGGTTCAGTTGAGCAAGGATGGCAAGGATACTGCGAGGCTAGGGGATTTGGCTCAGGTGGTGCCCAAGGGAGGACGGATGGTTTCCATCCTGGTGGCCGAAGAGGTGAGTGCGTGCTTGAAGTCTTGCATCTCGCTGGCCATATTATTTTCCTCTCTTTTCCTCTCTTTTCCTCTCTTTTCCTCTCTTTTCCTCTCTTTTCCTCTCTTTTCCTCTCTTTTCCTCTCTTTTCCTCTCTTTTCCTCTCTTTTCCTCTCTTTTCCTCTCTTTCTCTCTCTTTTTTTTTTCTTCCATTTCCCTTCTCTTGACCATAGCACGATCATGCCTACCTCTACCTCCCCTCGAGTTCTGACCAATCGCTTTCCAGCACATCAAACCAGTCACCTCGGCCATCGTTTCATCCAATCTGTCCCTGACTCCGCAGACTGACTCCCACAACGCTCTCCAACTCAACATCCCCATTCCTCCGCCCACCAAAGAATCTCGAGATCAAAATGTCAATGTGGCCAGACAGGCCTTGGACAGAGCCACTAGCACTCTTCGCGACACTCGAGGTGCTATGCATAAACGGCTCCAAGACATGCAGAAGAAGAAACTGGCCCGGCCGGACGACGTGCGCAAGGCCCATGACCAAATGGAAAAAGTCACTGACAAGGGCCAGAAAGAGCTGAAAGACCTGTTTGAGGCGGCAAAACGCACCTTGGAACAGGCATGAGAAGAAAGGGAAACAGGGGTCCATGTAATATAATCACATTGTAAATCTTAGGTACAGCAGAATCGGGAACATTCCGGGTAGGTGAAAGAATCCCACAGTTAACAAAACATATAGTACAGGCTTTTTCATTCAACACCGCGCACTTCGCTAGGAGCGCTTGGTGCTGGCAGCGACGAGAGACTCGACCTTGGCCATAAATTGGTGCGTCTTTCCAGCCATCTGGTAAGTCTGATTGTGCCCGAGGTTTCTCGTCACGTCACCCAAAACACCGGGCTGGTTCTTTTCAACCTTCGTGTGGTATTTTCCTTGAGCAAATGTATTCACCAAGGCCTTCGTGTCCTCTGCATTAATGGGATTGAATTTGACCTCGTGAGGCTCCACGAGGTCCCCCTTTCGTTGGGACACCCGGTCCGCGCGTGCCTGAGCCAACCGCTTGACCTCCTCCAAAGCCTCTGATTTTTCTTTCTCGTCGAAGAAGAGCACCCTTTGGCCTTTCCAAACCCGTCTTCCGAATTCCTGGGGAGGAACATATCCATTGGGAAACCGACCACTCATACTTAGAAGCTTTTCGAAGACAGTCACCGACCGCGCGTTTGCGTCAGTCGGGAGTGAGGGCCAGGTTTCTTTCAGTGTGGAAAAGTCAATTTCCTGAGGGTCATAGCGGACAGGGTTCGGGCGGGCTTTCATGGCTTGCTCTCGTTTGAACTCGTCTATTGCCTCGTCTGACAATTCTTCACCGTGGGCTTCATCCTGCTTCTCATCACGCTTGGACTGAAATGGTTTCTTCTTTCGGCCTGCTTTTGAGGCTGCAGACTTGGAGTTGCGGCCCGGACCCTGGTTACCACTTCGAATGTTGCGCAGTCTTGGGCTTCGTATGATCTTGGCGGGCTCGCCGCCAGCTCGTGGGGCGGCAAATGATCTCGCGTCAATCATTCGAATAGGGGGCTGATTTGATCCATTTTGGCCTGTCCAACATGCAGGGTCAGCAGACAGTAACATCAATGACTGGTGACTTTCTCTTATTTCCTTCTTTCACCGTGCACAAACCACTTTATCCTTTCCATTTTTATTCATGGACCAAGCTTCTGTTTGTTGGGAGGGGAGGAGGGTTTGACGTACCAGAGGGTTGGTTTTGACCATCTGCAGCGGCTGCTCGGGTATTAGAGAATTGGCAAACTGGAACAGAGAATCCAAGTCTAGCACGGTCACAGTGCAGAGAGATCTGCCTGAGCTGCGCGCGAATCATCGTTCAGGACTGGTGTGGGAGGATGAGAAAACTTGGGTTGGCGCAGGACGACAGGGAAGACGATACTGGTGGTCACGTGACTAACAAGGCCCTTGTCCCATCCCTACCAGCTCTTCCACTCTCCCTCCCCCCGTTTCCTCCATCCTCCGATCCGTCTGTCCGTCATGCTGCGCAGGAAACCCACAGCTATTGCAATCACCTCAGAAGATATTGCCGCTTTTGAAGAAGCCAGGCTTCGCAAGCTAGCCGAGGAGAACAAGCACCCAGAACATACCAAAGGAAGCTCCACTGTCAATCTCGACCCGAGTGATGAGCTGAAGCCGCTCCCTGGGGACAAGGCGAGGATTGTTCGGTCGCGTGAGGAGCGCATTGGCATTGCTCGGCGTGGGTGAAGTACTACTGGGCCATTTATTCTACGGGTGCGGAATTGGGTGCACCCACCATCCATGATCTATGATGCTTCATACAAACTCCATGCGCTCCGAATCCGGTCTTACTTTTTCACCGAGTCTGTGTCGCCCTACTCCAAAGAAAAAAAAATCGTGCTTGACTCATACTTCCAACCTTTTTTTTTTTACCAATCTCTTTCTGGAGCTCGAGTGTGTCTATGACGCTGGTGTTTAGCCTAAGTCGTCCAAGATCTTTCAGAGCTGGCCTATCCATTGCCACGATCTATTCATCATGTTCAGAAATCTATTGATACATACCCATTGGGGCAATTGGACAAGTGTTTGATAAACAGCAGCCAGATTCCGTCTCCTCCAATACGCCATTGGGAATGGGAGATAGTGCACAGGATTCATGAATGTGATCGTCATATCAGCCGCTGTCCTCATGACTTTGGACTTGAGTAGCTTCTGACCATATCCTGGGGGACAGTGGCCTCCGACTTCAGAAATCAAATAAAATGAAGTTGATTGCACCGGAAAGAGGGTATCAAGAGCGTAAATCCAGAGTGTCTCTCCTTTCTAGGAGAAAGACCCCTCATCCACGTTGTCGTTTGGCCATGTTGTCGGAGCCCAAATCAACCGAGTAATTCCATCGCCGCTTCAAGCCCTGTGGATCATACACGCTAGCAACGCTTTGTTGCCAGTCCCGTGCCGTAATGACCACTGGAGGCGTGTGAAATTGCGGCGGAGAGAGGGATTGGGCCGGAACCGATGTCACCTTCGCGGGGGACTCATATTGGATAGGGTATTGGTGATTCACCAGGTTCGGCATGCCTGGTGTGGAATTGCTGATAGGCATCGGTGGAGAGTTAGTGCTGACGGTAGAGGGATTAACGGAGAAAGCCATGTCCCATTGACTAGAAAAAGACACGATCAGCAAAATATCACGCAGCCAGGGCGATCATCTTCGACATACTTGATGATGCGAGTCGGATCCCAACTGCTCTCATCAACCAACGGGGCGTCCAGGGGGTGGGTGGTAGGAGGCTGATGGGGTACCATTCCTAGGGGTTGGAACTGAGAGGATGTATCCGACTTAGAGTCTTCAGCACCTGCGGAAATCGGAGGGGTGATTGGATGCGTGTTGAAACCCACTCTGGATTGGACATTGCTCGACATTTGATTCAGGTGTGGATGATAATGCGAGTCCATCGGAGGACTGGGCTGATAGGGTTCCGAGGGGCTTCCGTATGGGAAACTTGGCCTCAACTCGAACGGGTGGCTCGTGTCTGCCGAGAAGGCCAGCCGTAAGGAATCAATCTGTGCCTGAATCTCCGGCATGGGCCACGCAGACGAGCATCGCTCCAGGATCCGCATGTGGCGGGTGAAGTATTCACGGGCGTCAGAATTGAATTCTGGGTCGGGGGAGGTGATAGCCACCTGCAATGGTCAGCGTGTGTTGTAGGAGACAGGGATCGTGACCCGTTTGTGGCTTACCAGATGCAACATGGTGCAGGTGAGGATGCAGTAGATGGCGAAGTTGATCCCTCGTTGCATATACAGGAGACCGGAAAGCCCAAATCTATGCAAGATAGCCTCCTGCAACCGGCAAAGGTTTTTCGCGGAGGCGTAACTGAGCGACATATGAACTTTCCACTCCCCTCCGGCCGCAAAGGACCGAGAAGCCAGAAGCTGTGGGCGATGCAGTAGGATAATGGCGAGGTGGCAATGAGAATGCATGTTGCCCACAAAATGAGACGGAAGCCACGGGGGTGAGCCATCAGCCGGGTAAACGACTTGTAAATCCGGCGGAAGACTACGGAGCCATTCTGCGAAGAGTGGGTTGGTCTGCACGAAGCGGGCATCTGCTCCCCAGTCTTTTTGCTTCTTGACTTTGTGATAGATATCCGTGATGATGCGGATATGACGAGCGTTGCGAACAAAGTAGGCATATTGTCTTGAGCGATCGGCCTCATAATGGTCAAGACCCTGAACATCAAGTGTCGGACGCATGTCCACGGTGTCGAGATCAACCCCATAATCGGAGCGGCCTGGCTTGCATCAGTTCCTAATCTCAAGCGGTTATAAGATGCGTATAGCAGACAAAAACTCACCCTGGGGTGCTCCGATCATTACTTCAATGACCAAGAGAGCCTGCCACACTCGGGTGTGCACCAAGCATTCAACGGGATTCAAATCACAGCTTCTCTGCTCGGCATGGATACTGTAATGTTCATGAATGTCCAAGTCCTTGGCCATGGATACAATGGTCTTGACCGTCTGCCAGGACCGATAATAGTATCCTTTCTTGGGTAAGGACTCTCTGGCCTTCAGTAAAAGAAGTAGCGCTTGAATGGTGCTCAGGCGCGGTACATCCATGAAGCTAGTTTCGTGTCCTACAAAGAGGTCAATATAGATGAGGAGACCTCGACCATGATGTGGGTTGACTCACTGTTCGCCAGAGCAAGCCACTGGGCTCCCTCGGAAGGTTCATCAGATAATCGTCCCGCGCACGCAAAGAGAGCTTCAAGAAGAAGAGGGGAGATGGAACGGCGATCATGGTGCCATTGGTAATACAGATGGGCTCGGGGTATGACAGGTAGATAGGGGTGTATCTCATCAAAGTAAATCTTGAAATAAGTCATCACATCGTCGTCTTCGGGCATGAGTTCGGGAGGGATTCGGATCAGCGCGCCCGCCCCGGTACTCAGGGGCGGAAGCTTTTCCTCGATATCTTCTTGAACGGGAGCGTCGGCCTCAATACGATCTTTTCTTTGTCTCCTAATGTATGGAGCTTTGAGGAAATATTAGTTTAGGCCCTGTGTTGTTTGCAATTGGATTGGGTCGGTGTGCAGGTTCATACCAATGCCGGTCTCGTCAATTTTTAGCTCCCCAAGAACATCACTGAGGTCTTCGGCAGTAGACGGTTCACTGTCCACAAACGTGGCTCGTTCGGTTGTCTCAAGCGGCGGCGCTTGTGTTCCCGAAAAAATCGGTTGTTGAAAGGTTGGGTGGGACAGGTTCATTGGAGGCGGTCGCATATCAGGGTATATCCCCGGTTGACTTTGGGGCGCAGAGGCAAGTTGGGAGTACATTCCCATCCCATCATATGAGGGCATGGTTCCCAGTGTTGTCTGGGGGTTTTCATTGTAGGCCGGGGGTACTGGAAACGCATGAGAGCTCTCGGGGGCACTGGAGGGACCACCAGGATCTGGAGAGGGCTCAATGCCTTGACCCTCAGGGATCAAGTCCCCATCTTGCCCTATCGTTGGAGGAACACAGACCAACTTGAGACGAGTGCATGCAGAACAAGGCCATGTATTTGTCGTGGCAGCATCGCATTTGATCTTTCTTTTTCGACAACCATTGCAGGCTCTCATTACTATATACAACACTCAGCATTTGACGGATGAACACTGGGGCATGTATAGAGGGGGAGAGAGAAAATAAATAAAACTCCACTTACCTTTCAGTCTTTTATGCCGATTATGTTCATCCACAAATACATAGTCTATGTCAGCCGTGTATTAGTAGACATTCCCCAAAAGTCCAAAGTTCAGGCCCGGATGAGTAACTCAGAGGGAACACTATTGGCCCAAGAGACATACTTTTCTGGCCTTCTCGCGGAGGCCCTGATGGGGGCGCAAATGAGTAGCCCTGCATGTCTCACGGCAATGACAAGTGCGCCAATCCAAATAGGCAGAAACCGGAAGTGAGGTTTGATCCACAAGGGCCAGCCTTGGGACAGAGTCGAGGAGATGGTTGAAGTCAAAAAAGGAGTAAATGAGAAAGAGGTCGCAAAAGAGGGGGGGGAAGTAGTGGCGGCTATATGCGCAGGTCGCTGTTGTGATTAAATCCTCGGGGATTAGACGTCTAGAGTCGGTAAAAGGTGCGGGAGGTCGAAGAAAGGCGATTAGAAACGGCCGGTCGAACCAGGCTTAAATTGCGACCGTATGCCGTTCAACGGCAACGTTCAATTATAAGACACCGATAGAATTTGCCTGGAGAAATTATCGATCCGTGTCGCAAACAGAACGGGACAACCAGTTGTTCCGTGCGGTCAAGATGCAGGGACCCTTAAAAGAACATAGATGCCAAGAATTCAAGGCGCACGAATTCGACTTCTGCGACTTGGGTATGCCGAGGCAGGAATCAATGGATCGAGCGCGCAATGTTGGGCAGCCACACGAGAAGCGACAAAGTGTTTTTGTTTTTTTGCCGTTCAGAACAGATGGTTCAGCACAGGTCGGGTACTAGATGGCGCCCCGATTAGTACAGCTCCGAATGCAGATGGAAGAGAGATGACAGCGCGCGGCATTACTGGCCGCCCATTGGGACATTGAATGCAATGTAGATGCAAGAGGCAAATGGGGAGTACTGGAGTGAAGTTACCGCAAGGCCAGGAAACTGGCATGCATTGCCAAAGACACCAAGGTTCCCAGGAGAATTGCGGATCTCGGCGGAGTCAATGGGGTTGGCATGCCAATTAAGAACAAGGCGGGAGAGGGTCAAGGATGTGGAGACGAGACCATGGAACACGTCAGGAGAATGGGTGTCGGAGAGACATAGAGAATGGCAAGTTGAAAAGAGCCAATTTCCGAGAGCAGGTTGGGGGAAGATTTATCAGAGAGAGAGAGGGGATCGGAAGCTGAAGAGGGGGTGGATTCCGGGCGATCTTTCGTACGTACCGTAAGTAGACTCGGAAAGTATGAGTTGTGGTGGGGATTGAGAGATATGATTATGTATTGAAATGTATTCTATATGTATATCCTGAGAATAATTATATGGGTAGATTACTCAGGATCTTGATTTCCCAATTATCCGGGCAGAAGCAAATATTACATGAAGAGAGAGGTTCATATCTCTAGATGCTTCCTACCAGGTGTATATAGTTATGTATATCCACGGAGGTATGTAGGCATCCTGTCGCAGTCGTGGGCTAAACGGGATCATCCTTTTTCTTTTCTTTTGTTTGTGCCCAACAAATAATTCAACTCTGCATGTTACCCCCTTTTTTTCTTTTCTTTTCTTCTTTTCTTCTCCACCTTCATCTCGCAAATGTTCTGCGTATTTACAAATATATCTACAAATCTATAATGAGAGAAAGTCGAGGGTGAAGACGGTCCTACAACATCTGTATTCCCTGGCCTCGATGGGCCCTGGTTTGAACTTAACAATTTCCCGGTAAAATGCACCGAGGCCAACGAGATATCCTGGGAGATGAGGGATCTAGGAGGACCAGGAGATTTTGGCTAAAAAGAAGAAGAAAAAAAAGAAGAAAAGAAACAGCAGTCGATCATCCCCAGATCTTCAGACATGATTGGCCATGGGAATTATGATCGACAACACAACTGGGCTGAAAGTAAAGCTGAGAAAGGGAGAGAGGGAGAAGGAGAGAGAGAAAGACAGGGCTTTTTTTTTTTTTTGGTTCTGCCGAGGACCCACGTGAACTTCGATAAGCTCCCCCCCCCATCGTCTATCTATCAGATTCCTTTCTCCCCAACCCCCCTGCCCACATCATGGAGATGCAGAATTCCAACCCCACGATCCTGAATGCTGCTGACCTCCCCACGAGATTGCGTCCCACGGCTCGCAAGCCGGACCATGTTGGGATCTTCGCCCTTCCCTCGCTCAGCCCCGATTTCCTGCCTGAAGCCTCTTCAGACTCGGAAGATGAGAACCTGCTCGAGGAACCGATTGATGAACAAGAGATTTATGGTATGTTGCGATCTATCATATCGCAGTTACATTCATAGATATCCGTGTCGTTCTTATCCTTGATCTCATCTCTGACCATGCAGATCTGATTGCCACCATCTCCGACCCCGAACACCCGATCTCGCTGGGCGAGTTGGCCGTGGTATCACTTCCGGACATCTCAATTAAGCCAACTCTACCCAATGTCCCTGATTCTCCTCTCAAAACTGTCACAGTTCTCATCACCCCGACCATCACCCACTGCAGTCTGGCTACTGTTATCGGCCTGGGCGTGCGAGTGCGGCTCGAGCAGTCCCTTCCCCCGCGATTCCGAGTGGACGTACGCATCAAGGAGGGAACACACAGCACGGGTGACGAAGTAAATAAGCAGCTTGCGGATAAAGAGAGGGTGGCAGCCGCCTTGGAGAATGGGGCGCTGATGGGGGTTGTTGCCAAGATGATAGAAACCTGCCGATGATTTGAGGTGGATATCTTCTGGTCTATATACAGATGAGCCTTGGGTTGTGTGTGCATTGGCAGCGACACAATTCTGAATTATGAACAGCCTACGACCTTGAATGTCAAATCATACATGACCCGTATGACTTGTAAGGAATGAGAACCTTGAAAATATTGCAACGGAGTTACTTTTTCTTCTTCAATTAAGAACTCCCTGATTTTGAACAAGTCCAGCCCAACCTTGTTTTACCGTCATTATGAATCCAAAACGCCGCTCTCCTTGAGACCCTTCCACAGCTCCGGCTCCAGGAACTTGCTCACCGTAACGTCTTCCGCGAGACCCTTCCGTCGCCTCGTTTTCAAGACAAAGTCTCGCGCGGTAGCCATGGCGGGCGCCATTTCCAGGGGTTTCAGTTTAACATCTCGGTCGAGAGGGTCGCCAGGGACCACGCTCCACTTGTCAAAAGCAAGATTGACCATGGCTTGACCTTGGGTGTGGATCCGAAGATCAGTCTCAAAGCCGAAGGAGTCGATCACGGGAATTAAACCACGGACGGAATAGAGGGGTGTCCCTGCGATGGGCCCGTCGGACAGGACATGGCCCCGTCGGCGGGAGAGAACAGTGTAGACTGACGCAACCGCGTCTGCGGGGCCCGTCATCGTACAGGAATAGATCGGTTCCATGAGCCGGGGAGATGCCATGAGGAACGATGAGTACACAGCCCGGCGAGCGGTTGGGATGATTTGACCCCCGCCCCGGTAGATCGCTTGGTCGGCCAGAGACACGTCGGTGAGCCGGAACTTGGTGTTTCGAATTGCTTTAAAAAAAGGTAGTCAGTATCAATTCACGGTTAAGGCCTGGGTGGGCGTGTGCACCGGTCGGCCAAGGGGGCCATTCACTTACGTTCTTCACAAAGAGGACCTTCCCTCGTGCCCCAACTGAACCCCTGGGTGATCGAGTCCCTTGCGGTACTGAGAAGCTTCTTGTCTACCTGTGATGGCAAAGTGTCATCCTGAAGGATATTCGGGCCCATCTCATCGGGTCCAAATGCCCAGATGCTTCGGGCCGCCAGCTTGTCCCAGTCATAATAATCTTCAAAGTACCGGGCCACTTTCCGGATGGGATCCTTGATGCTGACTTTGCCGCCCTCGATGTCCTCTGCAATTCCGTCATCCAGCGGCTCGGCAATCATGGTGACCTTGTTCTTTTTGTTGGGCGTGATGGAGTAGCACATGATAGCCGAGGTTTCGACCACGGTCTCGCAAAAACGCGTGACGGGGTCCGAGACCTTGATTTCCATTTCAGAGTAGAGCTTGCGAAGATCATGGAGCACGCAGTCCATGTAGAGCTCTCCGGTCCCCAAAACCACATGCTCCCCCGACTCCTCGACCTTGGTGGAAATGAGAGGATAGCTCTTGTTGATCTTGCGGAGCCCGTCTAGCATTTTGGGCAATTCCGATGGATTGACCGGCTCAACTGCAACCTTGAACACGGATTCGGTCATATGTCGAATGGGTCGGAAGATATGCGCCTCCTCGTCATCTTCCAGCCTGAGAGGCATGAGAGTAGCTGTTTTGACGATGGAATTGTCCACGCCACCCAAGAGAACCCAGTTTCCAGCGGGAATGCCGCTGGTAGAGATATTATAACCTGTCTCCGCAATCCACGTGTCTGAAATAGTGGCGACAACCATGTCCTCTTCGTCCTCTGGGGTATATCCCTCCCCTAGCACACGGACTTGCTGACCAGGCCGAGCCGTCCCGCTCATGATCCGACCAAAAGAGTAGAAGCTCGCCGCGTCGGTGCTGCTGTAGAGTTTGGTGACATGGACAACAAGGGGGCCATCCTGATCGCAGGTTGTCATGGATGCCGCGACCTTGGTATCCAATGGACCGGTGTAATACCGCTCTAACGCTCTTTGAGAACCCTCCACCGGCGAAGGGACGTGCTGCACAACCATATCCACGAACCCAGTGGCAGGACCAAAGAATTGTTCACAAACCAGGTTCAGCAATTCCTTTGCATCCGACTTCAGCTGAGACGGCTTGAGCGTGACGCCCACGCTTGCTAGGGTCTCCTTGAGATCTTCGGGGCTTTCGCTGATGGTGTGGGAGTAAAGCTTGTAGATCGGCTCTAGGACAAACTTCACGAATGCCCGTTTAGAACTCTCCTCCACTCCCTTGCGAGTGAATTTTCGGCTCCTCGGGTTGTAGAAGATATCTCCCCATAAGCGCGCGGCAAACTCAGTCGAGTCCAATCGCGGGTAGGTGTCCGCATACATCCGGGCGAAGGACTGCAAAGTAAAGCACCAGTTCATCGAGCTGGAAGCAAAGGCGATATTGCCCTTTTCGGGACTCAGGCGCCGTCGCTCCCCTTGCCCCGGAACAACATTCTCAATCACAGTGTTGATTTCTTCAATCACATGCTTCAGCTTGAAGTAGGCATCGTTTGGTGGCAGCTTCAGCTCGAGAATGAGGCGATCCATCTTGTTAACGACCAATGTCAAGGGAATGTCCTCCAAGACAGCGTGCTTGATGATCTGTTCAGTATTGGCCTGGACTCCCTCCACGACGTCTACAACGAGCACGACGCCATCAGCTAGGCGGATGGACGTGGCCACTTCATCGACAAAGTTCACATGCCCGGGGGTGTCAAGGATGTTCAGAAGATGAGATTTTCCCTTGGTCCCTTGTAGAACCAGACTCATCGGCGCCGACTTGATCGAGAGGCCTCGTTCTCTCTCCAGGAAATGGACGTCGGTGTACCGAAGCTGCTCTTCGCGTCGCCGGCCGGTGCGTCTCTCTAGTCGTTCAGTAAGGTCATGTGTCTCTTTCACCAACATATCCATCAAGGCTGTCTTCCCATGGTGCAAATGGCCCACGACCGCGATATTTCTAATTTGCTCGGGAAAGTTGAGGAGATCGGTCATGAATTCCCGCGAGAAATGAACGGGTGGAAGCTCTGTCTCTGCGATCGCGAATTTTTTTTGCTGGACGGGGGCAATGATCGGTTCTGACAGAGGCTGCGCATCCTCCTCTTGGACCAGGGTCTCGACGTCGGCACCGTATACTTGTTGCGCGCTGGGATAATACTGCTTGTCTTCATGCAGGACGACAGCATTCGAAGGGCCCTCTGCAAGAGACGCGGATGAGAACGAGATCGAGGATGTGGAAAGCGCGCAAAAGACCTACCATCGACCTCCATTAACTGGTCATTGGCCTCATCGTCCTCATCGTCAAAGGCCTCGTCGAATTTGAAGGCCTGCGGTTGGACGTCTTCATGTTGCTCCTCGTCCGATTCGGCTTCGCCGATGTAATTACCAAACCTAGCTCGAGTTAGTCAAGGATCGCGTCAAAAACCAAAGGCCTGCGTACTCGTCATAAAGATCGTCCATGATGAGGGGGGAGGATTGTGGACGGGTGAATGTCGGTGATCCCGGACGTTTGGAGGGTCGCAGCTTTTCGTGGTCCGAGCTTTTTTTTGGAGTACTCGCGCCTACACCGTACAGCTCCTCACTACCGCATGGTTATTTAGCCCCTCACGGGCTCTCGCTTTTTCTTCTTCTTCTTCTCTACATACTTGTACATCGGACCTCAATCTTCCACCATGTCTTCTCTTCCTCCTGTTTACATTGTTTCGACTGCCCGTACGCCCGTGGGCTCTTTTCTGGGGTGAGCCCCTCCTCCCTCACACTTCTCCCTGAATCCCTCGAATTGACACATTGGCTTGTAGCTCCCTCTCCAGCCTGAGTGCCCCGCAACTCGGATCCCACGCAATTAAAGGTATGCGAATTTCCTCCATGGGGCATTGACCGCCAATGCTAATATCGCCGGGTAGCGGCTGTGGAGCGTGCCGACGGAGTCAATGCCTCCGATGTCGAGGAGGTCTTTTTTGGCAATGTCCTGTCTGCTGGGTAAGTTTTGGTCTTCTAATGATACTAATCAACTCATCTCTACCCCCCCCCTCTATGCAATAGATGCTGACGATGATCCCCTCCCTCCAGTGTTGGACAGAACCCTGCTAGACAATGCGCCATTGGCGCTGGCCTCCAAGACTCCACGGTCTGCACAACAGTCAACAAGGTTTGCGCCTCCGGCCTGAAGGCGGTCATTCTTGGTGCTCAGACCATCATGACCGGAAACGCCGACGTCGTGGTGGCCGGTGGCACCGAATCCATGTCCAACACCCCTCACTACCTGCCCAACCTCCGCACGGGGGCCAAGTATGGTAACCAGAGCCTGGTCGATGGTATCATGAAGGACGGCTTGCAGGATGCCTACGGCAAGCAGGAGCTCATGGGTCTGCAGGCGGAGGAGTGTGCGCAGGACCATGGTTTCAACCGGGAGCAGCAGGATGACTACGCTATCCGCACCTACGAGAAGGCCCAGGCTGCCCAAAAGGCGGGTTTGTTTGACTATGAAATTGCGCCTATTGAAATTCCTGGCTTCCGGGGCAAGCCTGGAGTGACTGTTTCTCAGGATGATGAGCCGAAGAATGTGAGCATGGGCCTTTTTTTTTTCTTGATCATACTGGATTAGCCGAAAGATTTGGCTGACCGTTGCATCTTTGTTCTAGCTTAACCCCGACAAGCTGCGTGGCATGAAACCGGCGTTCATCCCCGGATCTGGCACTGTCACGGCCCCTAACTCGTCGCCGCTGAACGATGGCGCCTCAGCGGTGGTCTTGGTCTCGGAGGCCAAGGTGAAGGAGCTGGGCCTCAAGCCTATCGCCAAGATCCGTGGCTGGGGTGACGCTGAGCAGAAGCCCAGCAAGTTTACCACCGCACCCTCGCTGGCAATTCCCAAGGCTCTCAAGCACGCCGGCGTGACCCAGGACTCCATCGATGCCTTTGAGATTAACGAGGCCTTCAGTGTGGTAGCGCTTGCTAACCTGAAGCTGCTTGGCCTCTCCGAGGACAAGGTCAACATCCACGGCGGCGCCGTTGCCATTGGCCACCCGCTTGGCGCGAGTGGTGCCCGCATCCTGGCCACCCTGATTGGCGTGCTAAAAGCAAAGCAGGGCAAGCTGGGATGCATTGGCATTTGCAACGGCGGTGGTGGCGCGAGTGCTCTGGTGATTGAGTCTCTCCTGTAAAGAATTACTAACGATATCCGGATGTGACATGACCCTCGATCCTTGCATGTGAAAACCAGTTGGAAATATTGAATTGAGGTCTTGAGACTTCGGAGATTACCTGAGCAGTTGAAACACTGTTCTGCGATATCTTGCGTATCGATACATCCCAGCAGCCTCAGCCAGGTTCCCTGTAAGATGATTCTGGGCTATTTCCCACGAGAATCAACTTTGATCGCCGCGTAGAGAGCCCTGTGACAAGACAAGACCTAGTTAGGCCCAGATGCAAAGAACTCAAAACATAGACTCGTTCACTAAAAAGAGTCCCAAGGTAATGAGACCGAAAGAATATTATACAAGAATGCACAATCGCTTTCATTAAGTTATGAAGGTTGCATCGAACCCCAAAAGAACCACGCACAGCCCTTGCCTTCTTCGTTAAGCAAAAGCACCGACGAGTGCCATGAGGAATGCTCCACAGGCAACGGACACACAGGCTTCGACACGTCGTCTGCCCTTCAGGGTCTCATAGCTCGACTCGGTTAAGAAGTCTTCCGCAAGAAGTTCCACTAGGCCGGCAAAGAGAAGAAGGCCGCTGCTGATGGCATTGGTAATACCGACCATAAGCAGGCCCGCCGTGCTGGCAGGGTCGTAGAGATTGTGCAAGATCAACCCGAGAGCCTGGCCAAGAGGCGTTGTCGTCCCGTAGGCTAAGGACATCAACCAAGGTTTCATCGAGGATGGTGAAAACAGATCCGGGATGAGCGAGGCAATCCGAGACCCTAGAGCAAAGCCTTCAAAGGTCTGGTGAAAACTGATTGCGATCAAAAGAACAACAAATGATGTTCCAGTGGCAACGCTGAGTGCCATGCCAATGAAAATGCTGTGAAATAGGATTCCGGCCTCGAGAAGTAGACACTGCAGAAGCTGGCGTTGTGGATTCTGCATCGGTAACTCCGAGATTGTCTGATGCCGAGTGCTTTCGTCAAGACGTGGCCGAAGTGGGCGCGCATCGTGTGGGGAGGAATGAGCTGCACGCCTGTTGATAGGCGTCTCGTCGGTATACGCATCCAACCCATCCAGGTCGGTAACACCATCATCTTTGTCCACGTGAGAATCGTTCGAATGAAGCTGAGCGGATTCATGGGACGAGCGAGAAGAATGATCCGTTGCCTTTGAGGGGTCATGTGGTGACAGGCTCTCCAGGGGTAGACGGTCTGATGCAATCTGACCTTCCAACCTAGCGTAATCAGTGTCTTCCACAAGCCCAACCTCACTCATAGAATCACGGGAAATCTCGCCAATGAGATTATCGTAATCAGTCCCATGCACATGCCCCGCGCCCTTCATGGCAAAAAACATTTCGACTATCACGACAGCAAAGACCGAGACCATTGCCACAAACCCGGCCATGGCCCGATACGAATGGCTCCAGAACCGAGGAAGACAAGGATCAGTCAAAGACATGAATGCCGTGGGAAGAAGGTGCACAAATGCCGTTGCAATCAGGACTCCCGTCCCGAAATGCCTCGATATGAAAAGGAATCGGCGGGGGATTGGAAGACGGGGAAATCGGCGAGCGAGGATTGGGAATGAGCATGCTACAAATGCACATAAACGATTAACCACCTATATATGACAGAGCTTGGGGGACGGGCAAGAACAAGTAATACATACCGAATGTACTGAGCCCAAGAATAAGGAATACCGCCCCGACATGGATCGAGGTGTTGTAGGCACCTCGATGATGAGAGCCGCATGCTGTTTCATCTGAATTAGAGGCTCGTGTTGCATCTCGCCGGAGGAGCTCTGCCCTCAGGAGGGAGTCGGGTATTCCTGAAATTGTGGTAAGGGTGCGCTTGAGGTCTACCCTGATGCTTCAGCAAAACTGGCCGGGACTTCTTGATGAGACTGCTAACCCGAAGAGATCTCGCCTGCATTCTGCCAGGACGGAGTCTTGTTCATTTTCCTTTGATCAATATCCAATGCGTCTCGGTGCTGGACACCTGTCCAGCCCTCTAAACCCGAGGTTTTGCTTCGACGCGAAAGGAGTGGGCCAAGTCAGGAGGGCCAACAAGTGCTGCAAATGTGGAACCATGCAATGAGGGCTTGGCTCAAGGTCAAGAGATATGCTAGACCAGAAACCGAGACCCCGATACCGTAAGCATGAGCATGTTGGCTCAAAATAAAGGACAAGGGTGGCGGAGACTGGCAATACGCGTTGGCCGGTCTTTCGAGGCATCCATCCGATCGCCGTTGCTTAGTAACGGTCGCCAACTGGACATGATGGGAATCTTCTAATCTACCCCGTGGATCTAGTATAGCATAGAACGCCCACATCCTTCAAGGTATTTATTATATATTGTATGTTGTATATATCATGCTTCATTAGCACTTATGTTCCCTTGACCACCTAGCATCAAGGTAGACGATTGTCGAGATACTATGCCCAACCTATACACTGACGATAAATAGCACCTAAATAGCAGCGAAAACAAACATGATTTGAAGAGCTGTTACAATAGTATCAAAGCTTGCTAGCTAAACGCATCAAGCCAAGTCTACTTTTCTTTATCCTGTTATTCCACCCGGTCCATTCCGTCATCCCACTCCTTTTCCTCTAGCAGCTCCCATTCGGCGCTGGCCATCTCCCCAAGTAGATTGGACTTCAAATTATCCACGATCTTGATTGGAGTCGGCAGCTTCCAGGTTCGCATAAACTCCGATCCTTCGGATGCCCCCAAGAAAGAATGCGCAGTCCCGTGGGAATAGTGCCCCAGCATGGGGAAAGATTTCGTTCGCTGAATCGTAGTCTTGGGGGAATCTCTGGCGGTTTTCATTTTGGTCTGTGTATCCCGACCGGCAAAGGCTCGCATCAGAGTTGAAGTTTGAGCTGGCGGGGCGACTAGCAGCTGCCACATGTTCTTTCCAAGATTGCATACATCCTCCCACGAGTCTGAGGATAGGTTGATCCCTTGTGTGCGACAAAGCCATGCGACGTCCCAGGCCAACAGGGTGGCTCCCTCTAGAAAGAGAGCATATGTTGCAGGCTCCTCTTTGGCCAATCGGGGCAGAGGCCTGTCGATAAACAACGGTCTCGGGCGCGGTAAGTGGATGCGCGCATCGAGGGTTCTCGATGCCGTTAGACTGGGTGTCGATGTCTGGGAGGAAGTGCCACTGCTTTCGGGAGTTTCCCGTGATTGGTAAGAGGCTGCGGGGGTGAGGATTGTTGAGGTCGGGTAGTTTCGGTGAGGTAGGGTGACTTCGGCAGGGAGTCGAAGAGTGAGATAATGTGATATAAGGACCAAGAGGTGGGCGACATTAGACAATGAGGTTGAGATCTGAGCTGGCGTGGCACCTGTATCCACGGGTTAGCACATGAAAATGTTATAGGATAGGGCTTCTACTTGCCATTCATATCTCGCAAGTCTATGATCGACCCCCTCCGAGGACATAACTCTCCCGAGCTTCACCCCTCTTGGAGACCTTTTGCCGCAGACCATATAAATGGGCCGCTTCCCGACACAAGAAAATCCGAGCCTCCGCTGTCTTGCTGTGCAAAGAGTGCCATAGATGTTCCGTTCTTTTGGTGGTGTTTTGGATAGCGGTTAGGGTGGCGATTTCTCGTTCCCCGAGTTGATACTTTGCAGATTCAGCATCAGACCGCCTGCGCGACAGGGATTGTCGGCGCTCAGAAGCCTCCACCCTTTTGGCGTTAATCTCTAATCTCAAGATTTCAATGTGATGGGCTAGAGCCTCCTGCCTTGACAATGATCCAGTTTGTTGGCTGCTGATTCCCTGTATGGCCCAGCGCCGTGATCTCTCATCGTTGGTGTCTTGGGAAGTATCATAAGTAGCAGTAGCTGCAATCTGTTGCCCAAGCGCCTCCTTCTCCAATAGCAGCTGGGTGCTCTCGATACGCAGCTGATAAAGCTGATTGCGGGCACATGTTGGACAGTGGAATGGTAGGCGGGTGTGGGGGGCGCGCGAGCATATATGACAGCTCATCGCAGAAAATGTTGGTCAAATCTCAGCTGTCTGTGAAGGGAGCAGGTCGCGATTCCATGTTGCGGTGCCGGATAGTGTATTGGAGGAGCCTGAGCCGCCGAGAACGATTCAGGTGAAGGATGGTCATCAGAAAGATACAAATCCCACATGACTCCAGAAAAAGTTTCGGAACGGGTTGATAGGCCTCAAACTCGGATGATCCGAGCCGGCAATGTTGTTTGGGTCATTTCAGAGCAAAGAGAGAGAGAAGACGAAGTGATCGGATGATGTTCCCAGCTGGGGCAATGTCACCTGACCGTGTTGCTTCTATTCATTGATCAACCCCATCACAAAAAAAAAAGATAGACCTTAAGAGAATTGTTTGACTTCTAACCCCCCGCTGGATAGCACTGATTGCATTTCGTGCTTCATACGAGAACTCGCTCTCTATTTTCTCCCCTTCGCGTGGCCTCAATATCAGCGAGTCCAACCGTTGACATGGAGTTAACCGATAGTCCCGATAACATAGCTCTCCGATCTGGGGGATCATCGGCAAGCATGGACCAGCAAGGCCAGGAAACCAATAGCCCTGAACCCATCGAGTGTTCTCCCGCCCAAGGCGATTTCCACCTTGTCTGTCAGTTGACGCGGGGACTCGAGGACTGCGATTGGGAACAGCTTCAAGAAAAATATGCGGATGCCATGGAGGAACATGGTCGAGTAGAGGAAACTGTTCGCGCTGAGACAGCCAAGCTTCTCGAGGTAATGAAAGAGCTCCTCTTGTGCAGAGCTGGATCCTGATCCTGACACTTGAGTAGGTTTTCATGGCTTGGTCACAAACCACCGTCCTGCAGGATGAGAACCGAGCTTTCAAAAGGTTGGGCGGCCTCACATATAATGCCTTTCGGAGGGAAGTTGAAACCTTTGGGGGCTAAAGTTTCGCAGATTCAAGACGCAGATGTCACACGTGCAAAACTCGGAAGCCAGCGTGGAAAACAAAAAGAAGCATTGTAAGGCCCTCGTCCGTTTCCAATGAGACTGAGAACTGACTAGTCGAAAAAGACATGGAGGTTGTCAAGGCCTTTCAAAGTGCGCTCGCATTACTGAATGAACAACTCAAGTCTTGAGTCTGTCTATGGTGGCCCTAATATCTTCAGCCAGTCCAGCAGTGGGACTTGGGATGTTTATTGTTAGGAACTAAGTTACCAGCAAGGAACCGGACTGTCCTTATACACGCGATCAGTTGATTTTCTCTTATTGACAGAGACTTAATTTGAATGCTTAATGGTCAGCACGCCCATTCCGGCCTGCTCTACCAGTGATATCTTGCCAGGTAGCATTGAACCGTCTGCCAGTGTTAGCAAGTAAGCCTTCTTCTTCGGCCTCCTCGGCATCCTCGTCAATCTGCCTTTCGTCCAATGCTGGCGAACGAAACAGTGAAGTAACAAAGACGACCAGATAGAGTCCTATCGTAGGGGAATGAGGTCAGCTAACCATGGCCTTCTCGGGAAAGCTGGAGAACGTCCGAAAGGGACACTCTTACCAAGAAAGAAGAACTGAGCCCAGAAGAAAACAACGCCGAAAAAAGGGTAATTCAGTGTGACGCGGTTCAGGAAAGTACTGACGACGCTGGGCGTACACACCCGCTGTGCCGAGGAGTTGTCTGTTGCTTCGGAACATGGCTTGATGAGTTCTTTGCTGTGTAAACAGTCCGGTTGCTCGAGAGGAGACACAGAGGCGCGATCACAAAACGTCTGAGGACCGAAAGTCGCATATTGCGGAGCGATTACCATCGAGATGGAGTAATTCAACGCCAATATGATCAGCATCAGCATCGCGGTTGCCAAGAGCAGCGCTTGAGGAGACGTGTGGCCCTTGCGGATGCGGAAGATTTGAATCCATAGGAAGCGGACTCCGACCACAGAAATCCCCACAACCGAGCTGCAAAACAGCAATAGGACAAGGACGGTGAAAATCACATAGTCAACGGGGAAGACCTTGGCGGACTGAACTAGGGCCCAGTTGACGGGATTGAAGATGCTGACATGGCCGAGGATATAACCACAATGGTGCTTGCAAACTGAGTTTTTGGCCTTGTCGATGGCCGTCAACAGCATTGACACCCACGTGAGAAAGGCAACCAGCAGCAGGAAGATGCCGCTGAGAAGCTTGAAGGGACGGAGTAACGCTTCAATCCTGTACCATACCCTAATCAGCCAGCTTCGACCTTCGCCCTGAGCTTCCTCCACTAGGCGTTGTCGCCGAATGAGCGTCCTCTCCTCTCGCGTCAGAGTGTCGAGTTCCCTGCGGTCTTTGGAGGATAGAAGTTCCGGGTTTCCCCCACAGCGACCTTCGAGCTGTCGTTGCCGTTCACGGTTGGCCTCCAGCTGCTGTGCGGTAGTGGCTCGTAGAGCAGGACTCGAAACTGATGGGGCAGTTTTGATCAAGCCGATTGGGAATAGAGCGAGACCAGATGCAGTGTAGAGAATGTAGAGACCAAGTCCAATGGTCATCAGTAGCCCCAAAGCAAAAGTGAGTGCCCGTTCGCCGTCTATATCGATTTTTATCAGCATCAGGAAAGAATGACCAAAGACAGTTGCAGCCAGGACTCACGATTCTCCATCAGTAATCGCCTGAAGTAATCCAAGTCCATGCTACTTTTGTTCTCTGACACAGGGACAAAGAAGCCAACCAGGAATAGAATCACCACGATAGCCATAAAGGATATGGAATACTTCAGGGCGCCCCAAAGCCGCTGTCCCACTGTTTGTTCCCCAGTCTCTGTTGCAACCTCGTCATATTCCTCATACCAGAAATAAGTGAAGGGGATGACCAGGAGACAGAGAAGGGCATCCAATGAATATAGAAGATAGTAGACCACTGTCAAAGAGTAGGTGATTTTATCGACTGCATCCTGGGTGGCCCAGTCCTTGCGTCGACCCAACTGGGAGGACGTTGTCGAAGACACCAGGGAAACGTCAACCGGGAGTAAAAGCACTGTAGCCAGGAGACTGGTAATTGCAATAATGCATGTTAGAGTTACAGACGGAGAACGATCCCTCGGAGTCTGATAAACGTAGATAAACACCGATGCCACTGCCAGCAGGATGGTCACCACCGCTGCATACACCACCCAGATCAGAGATGTCTGCAGCAGTGCCATCTTTTGAAACAGAGAGGTTTCTGTTTTTGTGTTCAATGATATCGCATCGAGCTGCAGTTGAGAGAAAATCGAAGCCTCGGAGGTTTTTCTCGTTCGGCAGCACAAGGGGAGCCTGAGGCTACACGCGTCTGTCGTCATCACCCCCGTGACTAGACTAACCGTATTGAGACTAGTGTAACACGGCCAGACACAAACATCAGAGAGATACACGTGACTGACCGCTTTCCCCAGCTAGCCAGCATCGGCTCGAAGGGTCGGAGACCCACGAGCGAGATTGCTCTTACTTTTCTGGCTTGCTCTCTCCCTTTCTCTTTTCTTTTATTTCTCCCCTCAGCCTGGCTGGTTTGGACTAAGGCAATGTGTACTCAAACTCACCCCAAGCCCCAAAACTAGGTCATTGGAGAGATCCAAGCTACAAACTGTGAGAGGCTCGAGGCAAGTGTGATCAAATGCAGTGCTATACAGAACTGCTCCCCCCTACTGGGGTGACCCATGCCTTGGCGGTTGCTTTTCTCTCTGCAACAGCCAACAATTTAGTGGTGGTTCGAACATCACTGCTGCAGATCTTCTCTCTGATCAAGGTTTCTCCTCAGTTACAAGGAGGAAGCACAGAGAACCAATCTTTATCACATCACCCATCAGAAACGAAACTGGTCTTGGAAAAAGAATACTCGCTCCCAGGAACTGTCACTGACCTGAGCCGGGTTAAAATCTTGAACCCCAAGAGTGGTGGGGAAGCAATTCTACTCTCAATTCGAAATGCCAAGCTTAGCTTGATCGAGTGGGATCCGGAGCGATATGGGATTTCGACCATTTCCATCCACTACTATGAACGGGATGACCTGACCAGTAGCCCCTGGGTGCCTGATTTGAGCCGCTGTGGCAGCATACTCAGTGTGGATCCGAGCAGTAGATGCGCGGTATACAATTTCGGTGTCCGCAATCTTGCCATTCTGCCCTTCCATCAGGCAGGGGATGATTTGGTGATGGATGACTATGACTCAGAGCTCGATGGAGACCGTCCAGATCAGGGCATGGATGTCGAAAAGAGCAAAGATGGACCAACCTATCAGACTCCTTATGCGGCGTCCTTCGTTCTGCCTTTGACGGCCCTGGACCCTTCTTTACTGCACCCCATAAGTCTTGCATTTCTATACGAATATAGGGAGCCGACTTTCGGCATTTTGTATTCACAAATTGCAACGTCCAATGCCCTTCTTCATGAGCGCAAGGACGCTGTGTTCTACACCGTCTTCACCCTAGACTTGGAACAGCGGGCTTCCACCACCCTCCTCTCGGTGTCTCGGCTGCCCAGCGATCTCTTCAAGGTGGTGGCACTTCCCCCTCCTGTGGGGGGTGCTCTTCTCGTTGGTTCAAACGAGATTGTGCATGTGGATCAAGCTGGGAAGACAAACGCGGTCGGGGTCAACGAGTTCTCCAGGCAATTTTCCGCATTTTCGATGGCCGATCAATCCGACCTGGCTTTCCGCTTGGAAGGTTGCGTGGTGGAGCGACTGGGCGGTGATAGCGGCGACCTTCTTCTTGCACTTGCGTCGGGGGAAATGGCGCTGATCAAGTTTAAGCTGGATGGACGGTCCGTTTCAGGCATTGCAGTTCATTCGATACCTGCACATGCGGGAGGAGACATCATGAAGGCGGCTGCATCATGTTCTACTTGTCTCGATGATGGCAACCTGTTTCTCGGGAGCGAAGACGCGGACTCGGTGCTTTTGAGCTGGTCTCATTCTGCTGCCACAAAGAAATCTCGGCTTGAGTCAAAGCAAGCTGCACATGGCCTGGAAGACACTTTGGATGCCGATCAGATGGAAGATGATGTCTATGAAGATGACCTCTATTCCTCGGCACCGGAACCGACCCAGGTCGGTCCACCCACGAACCCGGAGAACCTGACCTCAGAATACTACCATTTCCGACTAAATGATCAACTTTTGAATATTGGTCCCTTGAGAGACATCACACTGGGCAACGCCTTTCCAGCTCTCGGGAACCAAAGTCCGTCTGGCAGCGAAGGCGTCTCTGCCGAGTTAGATTTGGTGGCATCCCAAGGCTCGGATAAAGGTGGTGGTCTCGTGGTCATCAAGCGAGAAATTGACCCTCTCACTTCGCTCTCCATGAACGTTGATCGTGCTGATGGGGTTTGGTCGGCCACCGTGAGGCACGGGGCAAGCGGTCCATCCAACGCCGATCAGACTGATAGTGATATATCTCGCCAGTATGTGATTGTCTCACGATCTACGGACGGTGACAGGGAGGCGTCCGATGTCTATGTGGTGGATGGTCAGGACTTGGACCCCTTTAAAGCCCCCGAGTTTAATCCAAATAAAGATTGCACAGTCGACATTGGGCCATTGGCAAGTGGTACCCGCCTGGTACAGATCCTGCGAAATGAAGTCAGAAGCTACGATATGGGTAAGTTTTTTTTCTTTCTTTCTTGGCTTGTTGGTCGCGAAGTGCTAACACTGAAGCTCCATAGAATTGGGTTTAACCCAGATTTATCCGGTCTGGGATGAAGACACGAGTGACGAGCGAGCCGCAGTGAGCGTGAGCTTTGCTGATCCTTATCTTGTGATCCTTCGAGATGATTCGTCTCTACTGCTTCTCCAGGCGGATGCGAGTGGCGATCTTGATGAAGTTTCACTCCCAGAAGAGATCAGCACATCGAAGTGGCACTCAGCCTGTCTATACCACGACACAATGCAAGCATTCACGTCAAGTACCACCACCGGGGGCGAAGTACTTGTGTTTCTTTTGAGCCTGGAGTATAGACTATCGGTCGGCCACCCCAATATCTTTGTTTGATTCCTTTTTCTGATTTATATTTGCAGATATTTCGCCTCTCGGACCTGAAACTTGTGACGGTCATAGAGGGTATCGACTGCTTACAGCCTGTGTTATCCTCAGAACCGCCCAGGCGAGCTAGTACACGAGAAACATTGACAGAGGTTGTCGTTGCCAACCTTGGTGAACGGTTCAGCACTTGGCCATATCTGATTGTATGAATCCACTCCCAAATTTACCATAGATCGAGCCAGGGACCAGACTCTCATACACAGAATATAGATTCGGACGGACAACGATAATCTCATTGTTTACAAGCCTGTCGCGGGATTGTCAGATGTCGAGAATGCACCGGCTTCCCCTGTACGGTTCTTTCGGGAGGCCAACCATTTCCTGCAAAAAACCCCTTCACAGGCGAATTATGCGCAGTTCGAGAAGCAGCAGCGATTGAGACGCCTGAGAATCTTGTCGGAAGTTTCAGGATTCAGCACCGTCTTTATACCTGGGAGTTCGGCAGGGTTCATTTTGAAGACGGCGGCGAGCTCACCACACATTGTTCGCCTCCGAGGAGAGTTTATACGATGGCTGAGTGCTTTTGATTCTGCGGCTATTGGTTGTGAGAAGGGCTTTATTTATGTGGATTCCCAGGTAAGACAGGTTGCTCATCGGGTAAAACCGTGCGCGCTAAACCGCCATTGCAGGATTGTGTTCGGGTATGTCAACTGCCCTTGCAAACTCGATTCGACTATCCTTGGACACTGCGCAAGGTCCCATTGGAAGAGCAAGTTGATTTCTTGACGTACTCATCGTCATCCAAAACATACGTGCTCGGCACCAGTCACCACGTTGGCTTCAAGTTGCCCGAGAATGATGAGCTGCATTCTGAGTGGCGCAGCGAATGTTCGTTCCTGTTATTGGCTCCAAATAGTTTGGCAAGGTTACTGATCCAAGCTGCAGCGATCTCGTTTTTACCAGAAATTCCTCAAAGCGCCATCAAGGTCTTGAGCCCCAAGACATGGTCGGTGATCGATAGGTAAAGCGTTTCCAATGAAACTCTGACCCCGAGGGTTCTTCGTACTAATGTGTCTAGCTACCCCCTGGATCCTGCTGAGCATGTGACAGCTGTCAAAAATGTGAACATGGAGGTCTCTGAGAATACTCAGGAGCGCCGGGATCTCATCGTCGTAGGGACGGCTATTGCCAAGGGGGAAGACATCCCAGCTCGCGGCTGTATTTATGTGTTCGATGTGATCCAGGTGGTTCCGGACCCGGAGAAAGCAGAAACAGGTCGGAAATTGAAGTTAATCGGCAAGGAAATAGTCAAGGGTGCCGTGACCGCGCTGTCAGGGATCGGTGGTCAAGGGTTCGTGGTCGTTGCGCAGGGACAGAAGTGCATGGTCCGAGGTCTTAAAGAGGACGGCAGCCTTCTGCCTGTGGCGTTTATGGACATGCAATGCTATGTCAACGTTGCGAAGGAACTCAAGGGCACGGGGATGTGTATTTTGGGAGATGCCGTCAAGGGCCTCTGGTTTGCAGGGTACTCGGTATGTGGCTACGCATGGTTCCCAAACCCGTACATCCCCATGCTAACACTCTGTTTAGGAGGAACCATACAAGATGACGCTCTTCGGGAAAGATCCCGATTATTTGGAAGTGGTGGCTGCTGATTTCCTGCCCGATGAAAGCAAGCTCTACGTTTTGGTGGCCGATAGTGACTGTACCCTTCATGTGTTGCAGTATGATCCGGAAGGTTTGTGACTAGCCAGAGAGCATGATGGAACCAGGACTTGGCTGACCCACGGACTCTACCCAGATCCTAAATCGTCCAACGGCGATCGTTTACTCAACCGAAGCAAGTTCTATACGGGCAATTTCGCATCCACCGTGACCCTGCTGCCACGCACAGCCGTTTCGTCGGAACTCATTGAGTCTCCCGCAGATGACATGGAGCTTGATGAGACTATCAGCACCCACCAAGTCCTCATCACAGCGCAGAATGGGTCCCTGGCGCTGGTTACGACCATCCCGGAAGAGCCCTACCGCCGGCTGTCGGCCTTGCAGTCCCAGCTGACCAACACCATCGAGCATCCTGGGGGGTTGAATCCACGTGCGTTCCGAGCTGTGGAGAGCGATGGCACCGCGGGCCGGGGCATGGTTGATGGTAATCTGTTGCGGTTGTGGCTGGATCTAGGGAAGCAACGCCAAGCGGAGATCGCGGGCCGAGTGGGCGCCACCGAGTGGGAGATTCGGGCCGATCTGGAGACGATCGGCGGAGGCGGACTTGGATACCTGTGACGAAAAAAAGAGAGACAGCATGAGCAGAGAAAAGAACTAGCCATAGGAAGGTTCCAACAGAGATCTTGTTTGATAGTTCGATAGATCCAGATCGACTATAGCATGACATCATAACACAAGGGGATATCAACCAGATCCAACCCAGCAGTCCACAAGCAGAACTCCTCCACACGCGCCGTTTTGCACCAGTAGACCCTGCACCATCCAAATCGACATCACACCGAATTTAATATGCCACCCATCCGGCATGGCATGGAATCAACCAAGGATATCACAAATCTAACGGTAAATAAAAACTGACCAAGACTTCCATCCCAATGTGCAAATGCAGATGCGAGCAGGAAAAACAAAAGGGGGGGGGGGGGGGGGGGGGGGGGGAGAACAAAATACGGTTAAAAAAGTGAAAAGAAAACAACCAAACGCCAGTCCTTTGCTCCAGTAATCAGATCGAATCTAGAAGACATCCTCAGCGGCAAAGTATCGTTTGCTGCGACCGCGGGAAGCCACGAACTTCATCTCAGGCATGTTGGTATGATGGACGACGTGGGGTCGGTAGACAGCATCGACAGGAGCCTGCCAATCGTCCAGCCCGAGAGGAAAATACTCGTAGAGAAGGTCGGCACTTTCATTCGGAAAGGGAAGAGAGGACGCAAATTGCTGGGGCAGGTTGGCAGTCTCCAGCAGCGGAAGAGATGTGGCGCTCCGGGACGGGGTTTGTCCGATGCCATGAGACACTTTGCGCATCTTCGCGGGCGGAGCGGAATGATCGATGCTTGCCGACCGCGGCTGCGGCATTTCGTTGGCCGGGTAGAGCGGTCCCATGGTGTGGTCCAGGTGGAGATTGGATTCGCCGCCATCCTCCTCATCCAACAGTGACAAATTAATCGGAGCGGCGGCTGCGGCAGTTGCGGTGCTCACACGGCGCTGCACATCGGGGGCCTGGGAGAGATGTTCCGGACTGGATTGAGAGAAAAGAGACTGCTGTGCGTGGGGCAAGACGGTATTTGAGGCTGACTGCGGGATGGGCGTCCAATCCGGCGTTGCTTGGGGCTGTTGAATCATGCTCGGGGGTGGCACCGAGGTTGTCTCAGGGGAGCTGCTTTGGACGGCGGATGGCTTCGTTTTGGCTGGGGTCACACTTGCACGGCGAGGAACGGACTCATTTGTCGGGGTTCGGTGGAGGGCAGCACCCGACGCGTTCGCCTGGGTATTCTTTCGCGACGCAGCGGCACTGCCACTGAGCGGGAGATCCTTTCGGGATTGAAAGTTGCGCGGGCTGCGGCCACGGACGATGACAGGACCCGACTGCACCTCCGAGATGGGGATCTTGGCGCCGGTGGACAAGGTCGCGACCACCTTCAACCGGACTACGAAATGTTGCTGCAACTCCTTCCGGCGCCCATTATTTGCGGTCGCAACGCGGAACTGCAAGCGTTTCCAAGCAATGGGAAAAGTGGCATAGTCGGTGTCCAGATCCTGACCCGCCATGATGTCCAGTGGGATGGGAGGGGGCTCCTTCTCGACCTTGGCACCACTCGCCTGGTTATCCTCGAGCGCCGCGCCGGAATTAGCAGCCGCTGCAGAAGGGGTTTTCCATGGCACGGAGATGATCTTGACAGGGTTTCCTTCGACTGACTCGGTGGCCGACACGATGAGCTCTTGCGCCAGAATCGGAATTCGGTCACCTTGATCGGTCATGATGTAGCGCATCCCTCGAGGGAGAGTAACCGAGCCAGTGATCTGGAATAAATTACGGCGGTAGCAGGTCAACTCGGCACCCTGTTGGGGCGGGGCGGTCTCGGACGGAGAGGTCGTGTAGGGGGATTCGGCCAGGAAGAACATTCCGTGCAATTGCGCCGACACCGATAATGAGGTTCGCCGCATCGAATATTCCAGCAGGGTAAAATTATATATCGGTAGCGAGAATCCCAGGAGCTTATTGTTGTGATCGATGGACGAATCCTGGGGTTGTTCCGGCGGCGCAGGGTCAAACGGAGCGACCATTTCGTTGAACGGGTCTTCGTATCCCGAGGGGAAGCGTTTCAGTGAGTGTGGGAGATTAGCCGGGGCAAAAGTGAGATCATCGCTGTTCCATGCGATCGACCGATTAGCAAGGCTTTCGATCTATATTCCCCGTTCGACTGAAGAACAAAACACACCTGACGAACGTCTCGGAATCAAAGTTGGAGCGATGATCAGGTAAGTCCAATCCGGGCATGGCATTCAGGTAGTCGGTGCCCTGGAGATTTCCGAGCGACAAAGGACTTGCCAGGTACGGCGGCATGGCCATGGTATCGAAACCCTCCATGGCGAGGGTTGATGCGATCCACGCACGATGCGGGGTGAGAGGAGGCGCGACGCTATATATGATAACCCAGGGGAGGTAAGGGGGCGAAGGAAAAAGAGAGGGGAAGGAGAGAAAGAGAAAGAAGGAAGAGAGGGGGGGAGAGGGAGAAAAAGCCAAGGATTCGAACGAACAGGGGAATGCTGCAAGCAACGAGTGGAGAGAAAGAGGCTAAGGCGGAAGGAAAGGCGGAAGAGAAAGAGGGGACATTGGCGAAAAGAATGCGAGTCAGACGGAGGCGTATGAAAGAAAGAGAGAGAGTGAGAGAGGCGAGAACGAGCGTCGAGGCAAGAAAACGGATTCGGGGAAAAGTGGAGCCGCTGTTTTTGCGGAGAACGAACGCAGCGCGCTGAGTCAGCGGTATCGCTGTATTCGGTAGGTGTATAGATATAGTAGATATATAGATTGTATGCTAATTGTATGGAATCTTCCAAGACTCGACTTTATGTGAGTAGTTCACGGGTATAAGTTTAAGATTTATTCATGTGTTTCTACAGTACATGGATGTATTGTAAGAAGGGGGCGATCCCCGGCTCTCGGCAGTGTGTTTGGGGCCCTGAAGATCGGAAATGATCGACTTAGAATCTCTCTCTCTCTCTCTATGGCCCCGGTCAGCACCTACTCGGTATTTTTCTTTTTTGTTTTATTGTTCAGAATCCCCACCTATCAAGACACCGCTTTAGGCCAACTGAAAACGCCACCGTTTCTGTACGATCGACCATTCAGGCGTCTTTCCCAAGTGGCCCCCAGGCGATCAGCATGGTCTGTCTGACATGCATATACACCTGGTAGGAATGGATTTGGAAAGAAATCCATGATATGATCACTTGGATAGAAATAAGAGTCAACCATAAAATAGCAGAAATGATAGTATAAAATATAATAATAATATAAAATAATATAATGGCAATATGAATACAATATCATATACTATAATATAAATAGTAATATAAAAAGAAAAGAAACGTGGGGGCGAATAGCCTTTACATGTGAATATCTCTCTGCATGTCCCTTGTGTCTCTATTGTTAATTAATTCACTAAGATTACAACCAAACAAAACATCCACGATCTCGTACGACTGAGGCATTTATGTCCGCAAACAACCGGATCTGAGTTTGGCCCCGGTGCCCCGACTTCAAGTCCGGGATTCCCTGATTCAACCCTTCGAGAAACAGCCCACTTTTTCTCTCTGTTCTTTTTCTCGCCCCCAGTGTCCCAGTCCAAGCCCCCCCCCTCTTATAGCCCTGTGAGCTTCTATCCTGAAAACAGTTAGTTCACCTGGACCGAGGATAGCTGAAGCCCTACGGACGTCCGGGCCAGTCAGAAACCCGCGTAAAAAAAAAGACAACAAAACATGGATGCCTTCGGTCATTTCCACCCGACTCCACAATCATCCGGGCTTTGGACCCTCGATGATTTCATATATGAAATCCAACTGGTCCATCGAATCCCGATTCCTGTGGCCCCGAAGGAAACACTATTGGCAATGAAATTCTAACGGGCGCAGGATGCGGATCTCCCGTGATCGACAACTACAGGTGTAATTCATGTCTATATCCCCCATGGCGAAATGCCGTGGGCGACCCTTCGGTTGCCCCGAATCGCCCCCATCAGTCACTATGCACATCAATAATAACAATAATAATAAAACAAGATGCCCCCCCAGAAAATAGTAGTAATAATAATAATGAATATGAATAAATAATAAAGCGCGGCCCAAAGCTATAGACCCCGTAAAATGCCGAAACCAGCGCAGGATGGATATCATAGAAAAAAAAAAATAAAATAAAATAAAATCTCACGACGAATGCATCATCGTCCAGGTGGCTGCGTCGCAGTTGACTTCCTCGAAGCTGTGTAGCATGCTAAAGCCCATGGTGGACAAGCAATCAAAGTTGCCGTCTCCGTCCACCTGTGTCGCGTTAGTCGGGGGGAATAAGCAGAGATAGAAACATAATAACAATGGAAATAAATAGGAGAAAAAAGAAAGAAAAAAGGCCACATACACAGTCCATGACCACAGCATTAGCATTCAACTTCCGGATCTGTCTGATCGCCAATAGAATCAACCCCTGCATGACGGTAGAATAATCATCGGCGCAGGGGGAGATCACGGGCGACGAGATCCCTCCCACAGAGGTCTGGGTGCCACGCAGGACCGGCATGTGCTCGGCTAGCGCGGACCGTTCATTGTATATCACAATACTCCCCAGGATGACGCCGTCGAAGGGTCGCTTGGCCCGAATAATGCCGCAATTGGGGGCGCTGCCCAGCGCCATGCGGTAAATGTCCGCGACGCCTTGCCGGGCGTTCGTTTTGATGTGGTCAAGAATCGCCCGCGCAAAATCCCAGCCGTACACGAGGTCGTACGTGACCTCGACATTCTGCAGTGTTGCCGCAAGCCCTTCAGGAGGCACCCACGTCGTCAAGTTGCGCAGAATCACGCTGCACACTGAGCGCGAAAGCGCAGTGTTCCACCCCAAGTTCGCAAACCATTGCCGCAGCCGCTTGCGTTCGACGGGGTTGACGGTCGGGATCCCCAAGTAGATCCCGGGAAGCCGAGATCCAAGCTGGAATCGCTTCAGCCCTCTTCGTTGGAGAAGGGTTCGGATTGCGCGGCTGTGAAGGGAGTGTCCGATGGAGAGTTTCCGCCGGGAAGGGTCGACAATCAAACACCCAATTACTCCGGTGCCGGTTGATCGGAAGAAGTAGGTTGCACAAAATCCATACAACGCCTGCGTGCTGCTGTTACGGACGACAAAGTGAGCCTCGTCGATGTCCTCCCGCCGCAGCAGAAAACTATGGGAAGCCACACCAAGCAGTTCTGAACGCTGCCCGTGCGGACTGTCCCCCCGAACCGCATTCAACAGGGCATCCAGACCGACGGAGTCGCGCTCCTCATTCCAGTTTTCCACAAGCCAGTGTTGACGGGACTGATAGAGTTTCTGACTGCGGTTGATAGAGCCCGGCAACAACCCCATAGGGGTCAGTTCGCCATACAAGACCTTGACCAGGGCTTGAAGGGCAGTCTCTGTGAAGTCATACGTGCAAACATAAGTTCCGATGGAGGAATCCATGGCAAAATCATACGGCGAACTGACAGCCACCACAATCACAGGCTTTTCACGGCGGTCGCCAGATGGGGAGTACTGTGATTGGCAACTTAAGGAGACATGCTTCGAAAATCCTTGCTGGTATAAGTTTCGATTGGCATCGGCGGTAACCACGATAACGGCGCTTGCCCGTCTGATGAGATCTTCATGGATTGGTCGCATGCCATTGGCGGTATACGAGGTATGCAGCACGCGTCCGTTTCTTTGTCGCGACAGCGATCGCCCGAGTTCTTTGAAGACACTCTCTCCGCTTACCACAGAGGCAGTTCGATCTCGCTCGAGGGGCCCATGCATAGATTCTGCCACGGAGAGAGAAACCGCGGACGCCGGAAGTGGCTTCACCAACGGAGTCAGGAGCAGAAGCTCCTCGCCTGGTTCAATAACATTGGAAAGAGGAAGCAAATTTTGCCTATCCCGTACCACCGAGATGGAGTTGTTGTATGCGTGCGTGGATAGGTTGGTGTGAGATGGCTGCATCTGTGTGAGCGAGGGTAACCCGGGCGGATTCAGCGCCTGCTCCCACGAGGTGCACCGGGATTTCAAAGCCAAAACTCGATGCAGCGACTGTTCAATTCGTGCGCGACCAATGATCCCGTTCTCCACGCCTAATTTGAGTCCGTTGATGGCTTCCTGTTGTACCGGAAATGACCGACAGAGGAGAATGATATCGCAGCCCGCGTTCTTCGCCATCACCGTTCCACCCCCGACTCCGATATTGTGGGTGAGAGCCTCCATTTCCAGGCACTCAGACACAACCACCCCTTGGAATCTGAGGTCCTTCCGGAGAAGCTCGTCCACGACTTGATCACTCAAACAGGCGTGCATGACGTTCATTCCGGCTGATGACATGGAAACACCGCCCACCATCATGGCATCCAAACCTTGTATGATGGCATTGCGAAAGGGAACTAAGGCACTCAGGCTGAGTTGCTCTAGTGATTCCGTAATGATGGGCACATCCGTGTGAGAGCCCAGAAACTCCAGGTTCCCGTACGAGGGAAAGTGTTTGCCGCAGGTTACCAGACCGGCTTCCCGGTAGCCCTTCATGAACTGGACTCCATATTGGGATGCCTCCTGAGGATCATCGCCGGTGGTGCGGACGCCCAGCGGTTGGTTGCGCACGTTGGTTAAGACATCCAAAACGGGCCCCAGGATCCAATTGACCCCGACCGCCTTGAGTTCCTGTGCCGTGGCGATTGCCACTTCATGTGCTAGTGACTTTGATCCTGTAGCCGCCATGCCCATGGCGCTAGGGAACTGGCGTATATATATTTCGTCGTATAGGCTATTGACACCGCCATTCTCCTGATCTAGAGCAATAAGAAGAGGAACGGGATGGCCCGCATTACGGGCGATGGTCTGCAGTTCCAGGACCAGCTGGGTTGTCTCTTCGGCCGCTGCAGTCGAAAATCAGCCACTGACGTTTAAGCGAGGTTCACCATCGCCCAAGAGGCGGGGACGTAGATACATGTAAGATTTTTGGCCGTCAGAAGAACGGAGCCCAGATGGTAGTCCTCAATGAGTGAGCGAATCTGAGGGTTGACTGATGTGCCATCGAAACCCATCATAAACAGCTGACCCATTTGTCTGCGACATGTCAGCCCACGAGGTGGTCAATTTTTCCCAAAGGGGTAATAGTTTAAATCGCCCGGTAGGCATGCTTGGGTTGGGGTTCCACAGCAACACAGCCATAACCTCCCTTCATGAAGGGAGGGGAACAGAAGCCAAGATCTGGATGTTGTTTCGCCGTAACAAGAGATCGACATACCTGTCTAGATCCTCCCAACCCGGAGGCAGCATGTCCTCTTTCGGGGCCATGGCCCTGGAGGAATGCCAGCAGGGCACCTCCGTCACGTCCAAGAAGTATCAAGGAGGTGGGGGGTGGTGGTGGGGAGAGGTTGCAAACGTCCTTACCGGTCGAAGGCACATCAAGTGAAGCTTGGGGGGGGGGGGGGGGGGAGTTGACGGTCGCACGGGGTCAGGTGACCAAGGACTAGACAACGTTGGGAAAAGATAGGAGACCAGAACGTGTGAACAGGGGACAGGGGGGATGAACGATAAGATAGACGATCCTGCTGTCATTCTCCGACATCATACATACAGTACGCATGTTGTATGTATAGTAAATTTAGTAAATAATATACTAGAACAAAAAGTGTATACATAGCAGGTACAAGTACAGATGTCCTCTAATTATACTAGTGATCACCCAGCAGGAACCGAGTCTATTAGGCATCCCTATACATAGTATATTCGGTACTTATATGTACTACTATGTCCACGGGTATCCCCAAAGCGGGAGGCATGATCTGGGGAAATTTACCAGTACAATACCAATACCAGACCCACTGCGACTCTGCGAGGTTGCAACCTTCTTTTTTCGAATGCAACTTGAACCTGATTCGGCAAAAAGGGTACCTGCTTTTGGCCTCGTGGTTCTCTTCTGGGCGAAGCTATCTGTCGACTCCCCAAGTAGGAAGGGTGATTCCTCAGGTAGTGTAGTAGCCGCGCGCAGAGATACCACCCGGTTGATCTTGTCACTGTCGTACACTTCCCCCTCCCTCGACGTAACCGATCCATGGGATGAGCGTCTACTTTTTATCCCAGACTCAGGTCGAATTTCTCTCCCTCTCTCTCCACCTCCATCTTCATCTCTGACATTTCCTGCCGTCATTTCAATTGCCACTCTTATCCATCTTGAATCTTGACCTGGAAGCTCCTCAGCCCTACTGACCTCATTGCATCAGTGACGTAACCATGTATGCATCTTCCCCATGTCTCAGCCGCTTGAATTGAGCTAACCGTAAATAGGCGTGTCATTATCAGAGAAGATCCCGACGCTGCGTCGGTGTACATCGCAGACTACATCATCAGTAAGTCCCAAGTCTGTCTATGCCCAACGGCGAAAAAGATTAACCTTTCGACTTTATAGGTCGCATCAAAGCATTCAATCCGACTGAGAACCAGCCGTTCGTGCTGGGCCTACCTACTGGCAGCAGCCCGGAAATCATCTACAAGATCCTTGTGCAGCGCCATCGTGCCGGGGAGATTTCGTTCAAGGATGTCGTGACCTTCAACATGGTAATGTTCTTCAATCCCACATCAAAGCCCACCGCTGACTGGAGTTCCTAGGATGAATATGTCGGCTTGCCTCGTGACCACCCCGAGTCCTACCATAGCTTCATGTACAAGCACTTCTTCTCACATGTCGACATTCCACCCCAGAACATCAACATTCTCGATGGCAACGCACCGGATATGGCCACCGAGTGCACCTCTTTCGAAGCGCGCATCGCTCACTATGGCGGAATCGAGTTGTTCCTGGGTGGTGTCGGGCCAGATGGTCACATTGCCTTCAACGAGCCCGGGTCGTCACTGAACAGCCGCACTCGTGTCAAGACCCTCGCGTACGACACCATTCTGGCCAACTCGCGCTTCTTCGAAAATGACGTCAACAAGGTGCCCCGGATGGCGATGACCGTGGGAATCCAGACCATCATGGATGCGCGCGAGGTGGTGATTGTGGCCACTGGTGCTCACAAGGCCTTTGCGGTGCAGAAGGGACTCGAGGATGGTGTAAACCACATGTGGACTCTCTCAGCCCTCCAATTGCACCCGCATCCTCTGATTGTCTGCGATCGCGATGCCACCCTGGAGCTCAAGGTCAAGACTGTGCGGTACTTCGAATCCATCGAACAGGCTGGTACCGATGCCCGCACTCAGGGCCCTGCCCTCGTTTACCGTCCACGAGCCTACCCTACCCCTATGCCAGCCAAGAGATCATCGCCACGGCAGCAGCAGACCCCCGTTGGAACCCCGAAGAAAGTACCCAAGGACCTGCGCATCAACACCGAACTTCACCGGTTAATGGAGGAGGACGAGCTTACACCGGACAGCATGTCCTCGCGCATGGTCGATTCGGCCATTGGGGGCCTTGACGGCACCCTGAATAATGATCTGGTCTTCGATCGTATGGGCGCGAGAATGACTGCACACTAAAGAAGTAGCCGCAGGTGATCTATCTCATAGCATCTTTTCTTGTTGTTTCGGTCTCATTTCCTGTGTGAGAGAATGGAGATTTGCGGATTCATGCTTGTTTCTAATGTCATAGTGACATGGTCCCCTGTTTGGGGGGTTCCACGGACGGTTGAGGCGTCAGGTTTGGGTTTATCTTTTATGGGCTCTTTATCTCAATAGAGGCGTTCTAGTGGCTATTCATCGGAACTGTATTCGATAATTTAAGACGTTGATGACATGATCCAGGCAAGGGTTTAAGGCAGTAGTAGTGTATATACAAAATCTGATATCTTTCCATCAGTAGTCTTTTGTCAATTAGTTCGTGTCCCGTCCGAGGCCACTTTAAAGCTTGGCAAACACCGTAGCCACAGCGCCACTCATGTCGACTAGGGTGCTCTTGTTCTGCAGCCAGGCTTCGATTCCGCGACGACCATTTTCCACTCCCAGACCACTCTTCTTCCAACCACCAACGGCCATTTCGGCAGGACTCTCACCCCAGGTGTTCACCCAGGTGATACCAGCCTGGAGCTGGTCGATGACGCGGTGGGCCTGATTGAGGTCCTTGGTGAAAACACCGGCGGCTAGACCCAGCTCGGTGGTGTTGGCACGCTGGACGGCCTCGTCGACGGAGTCGTAGTAGAGAATCGACATGACGGGCCCAAAGATCTCCTCCTTGACAATCCGCATAGAGTCGGTGCAGTCGGTGAAAACGGTTGGCTGGACCCAGAAGCCGGCCTGCAGGTCCTTCGGTATCGAGGGCTTCTCGAGACCGCCGCAGAGGAGAGTGGCATGGTCGGTCTCAATGCCGTGGCGAATATACGAGACAACCTTCTCGTAGTGAACGGCAGAGCTCAGGGGACCAAAGTTGGTTTGCTTGTCAAAGAGCGGGCCTGCTCGCACATATTGGATTTTCTCGAGCAGGCACTTCTCGAACGCTGCCTTCATGGACCTGGGGACAAACACCCGAGTACCATTGGTACAGACCTGACCGGTGCTGTAGAAGTTGGCCATCATGGCACCGTCGACTGCGTTCTCCAGCTCTGCATCCGGACAAATAATTAACGGGCTCTTGCCGCCTAATTCCATCGTCACGTACTTCATATTGCCGGCGGCCGAGCCTGCCACCTTCATTCCTGTCGACACTTGGCCGGTGAAGGAAACCTTGGCGATGGTCGGGTGGCTGGTCAAGTACGCACCGACGTCCCCAGCACCGTTAATTACGTTGAAGACACCCGCGGGCAGACCAGCTGCGGTATAAATCTCCGCAAGGGTCTGACCATGAAGCGGGGTGAATTCACTCGGCTTGTAGATCATTGTGTTTCCGGCCGCAAGACACGCAGCAGATTTCCAGAGAGCACTAAATGGGTCCCACGATGAGCATCTTTGACCGTAAGATAAGATTTGGGAGAAGAGAAGCGCCACCTACATTTGAACAGGATAGTTCCAAGCTCCAATACCCACACATACTCCCAACGGCGCCTTCTTGGAATACACCCACGCATCTTCACGAAGCTGCGTGGTCTCGCCATTGAGACCTCCACCGCCAATGAAATTAGCATAGTATTCCAGAACATCGGCGCCAGTTACGACATCGACAGTGCTGGTCTCAGTGAAGGCCTTGCCAGAGTCCAAGGTTTCGACGCGAGCAATCTCATCATTACGTTCACGCAAAAGAGCAGCAGCTTTGTGAAGGATACGGGCCCGGGTAATGAGTGGGGTCTGGGACCACGAGGGGAATGCACGGTCGGCAGCCCCAATAGCCTTATCGATGTCGGCACGCGAAGCAATTTGGATGTCGGCTAGAGGAGTTGCGGTGGCGGGATTAATAGTCTGAAAAGATTGGCCGGAGGAAGCGGCATGGACTTGACCGTCATAGTAGAGTTGACGAGGAGGGAAGGGGAGGGACATGGTGGAATGTTAAGAAGGAGAGGAAACCTGAAGATGGTCAAGGAGAAAGTGAAGGGAAAGATTGTATGGGCATTGGACCTGAAGAGATCGGAGGGAATCCGAAAGGCGGCGTGACGTATTTCCAAGGTTGCTCTCCCGAGGCCTTACTTTCTCTCTCTCTTTTCTTTCATACCTTCCCCTTTCTTCTTTTTATTTATCCTATTCCCAATTCTTGTTTATGGATCCCCGTACCTTCTCTGAGTAGGCTCTTCCAAAGCATTTCCTCTTGTCAACCATCAACCGTTCATTGCCTCGACTGAAACGGTGCATGTGCCCTTGTTACCTACGAGTGGGCCCATTATCCAAAGAAGACTCCACCCGGTGTGATCGCCGCCAGTCACACACGACGATTCGGCTGGACCCACTGAAAAAGAGCAGAGATAAACCCACGCGACTGTTCCGAATCCGGTTAACAGATAGAGATTCTTAGAGCCTCGGGGAAATTCTGCCGCTGAGCCCGCCCGACCTCAAAATTGAGAGTATCTCTCATTTCTCTTCTCCTCACCGTCTTAGCTCTAAATTCCTTCTTTCCCCTCTATCCAAGTGCTGCTCTTCAATATGCTCACCACCAACGATCTCCCGGCCCTCGATGTCAACAGCTACGACTATATCATCGTCGGCGGAGGCACCGCCGGCTGCGTCATTGCCGCTCGCCTGGCTCAGTACTTGCCCAACAAGCGTGTTCTTGTCATCGAGGGTGGTCCCAGCGACTTCATGGATGACCGCGTCCTGAACCTGAAAGAATGGCTCAACTTGCTCGGCGGCGAGCTGGACTATGACTACCCCACCACTGAACAGCCCATGGGTAAGCAATAAGCAATTCATCGAGGAATTCGAGAAGCTGGGGTTCTGACCTCCTAAAGGTAACAGCCATATCCGCCACTCCCGCGCAAAGGTGCTAGGCGGATGCTCCAGCCACAACACTCTCATTTCGTTCCGGCCATTTGAGTATGACTGCCGCAACTGGGTGGCCAAGGGTTGTAAGGGCTGGGACTTTGAGACCTTCACCCGCATCATCGACAACCTGCGCAACACCATTCAGCCAGTGCATGCTCGCCACCGCAACCAACTGTGCAAGGACTGGATTCAGGCTTGCTCCACCACTATGAACATCCCCATCATTGAGAACTTCAACGACGATATCCGCAACAAGGGTGAACTGACCGAGGGTGTGGGCTTCTTTAATGTCTCCTACAACCCGGATGACGGCCGTCGCAGCAGCGCTAGTGTCGCTTACATCCACCCCATCCTCCGAGGCGAGGAGAAGCGACCCAACCTGACCATCCTCACCAACGCCTGGGTCTCCAAGATTAACATCGAAGGGGACGCCGTCACTGGTGTCAATGTGACCCTCCAGTCTGGTGTGAAGCACACCCTACGTGCGAAGCGGGAGACTATCCTGTGCGCCGGGGCGGTGGACACTCCGCGCTTGATGATGTTGTCCGGTCTGGGCCCGCGCGAGCAACTGTCTTCCCTGGGTATTCCCGTGGTCAAGGACATTCCCGGTGTTGGTGAGAATCTGCTGGATCACCCGGAGAGTATCATTCTCTGGGAACTTAACCGGCCTGTGCCCGCAAACCAGACCACCATGGACTCGGATGCGGGAATTTTCCTGCGCCGTGAACTGCCCAACGCCGCCGGCTTTGACGGCCGTGCCGCCGATATGATGATGCACTGCTACCAGATCCCCTTCACTCTCAACACCACTCGCCTGGGATACGACGAGCCCGTGAATGCCTTCTGCATGACACCTAACATCCCGCGTCCGCGCTCTCGTGGTCGCCTCTATCTGACCTCGGCTGATCCAACCGTAAAGCCCGCACTAGACTTCCGCTACTTTACCGACCCGGAGGGTTACGACGCCGCGACTATTGTGGCTGGCCTCAAGGCAGCCCGTGAGATTGCCCAGCAGTCACCATTTAAGGACTGGATCAAGCGCGAAGTGGCCCCTGGACCCAAGGTTCAGACTGATGAAGAGCTGTCTGAGTACGGCCGTCGCGTGGCCCATACTGTGTACCACCCGGCAGGTACCACCAAGATGGGTGACGTGGTTCGCGACCCTCTGGCGGTCGTGGACCCCCAACTGAAGATTCGGGGCGTGAAGAACGTCCGCATCGCCGATGCCGGTGTCTTCCCGGACATGCCCAGCATTAACCCCATGGTCACCGTGCTGTCGATTGGCGAGCGAGCGGCCGAGCTCATTGCCGAGGACGCTGGCTGGACTCGCTCGCAGCCCCGTCTGTAGACCCTTTTCTGTTTCTTTCTTTTGTTTCATGAGATGACGGGACATGTTTGTAAGAAAATTTTTGGTTTCTGTTGTCTATTCTAGCATGTGAGCGAGCAGCGCAAAGCCCCGTCGGATCTTCTGCAGACTTGGTTTGCCTCTCGGAATCCGCCAGGCGTTGGGATTTATGAAAAGGAGAGAGGTATATATATATTTATATTTATCAACGACACATTTTTCAACAAACCATTTCATTCGAAAAATCGAAAAATGTTTCCATCACTGAGGTCTATCGAACTGATCATGCACTGCTAGTTTACACCGAAGAGATCATGCCACAATTAACGCCCGCAAGTTCCGACTAAGCCCCCCGAAATTGCAATGCGCCTACAGTCGGTTAAATGACAAAGAAAAAAGAGGAAAAGGAAAAGGAAAATGCCCATCCACTTCGAATCCGATCAAATCGCCTTGTCTGTGTCGTGGATCTTCACCCCCAACTTCCATACCTGATCAACTGTCAAGGTGCGGCCCGAGAAAGGATCGTCGTTTTCACCCAGCACCACCAGATCGGCATCCGCGCCGCTTTCCAGAGAGCCCTTCACACCCTCCAAACCCAGCAGGCGTGCCGGGGTGGCGGTGACGGCATTGATCGCCGCCGCCGTGGAGGAGCCAGACCAGCGCCGGAAATTATTGACACACTCGATGAGAGTGGCCGAACTCCCGGCGATCTTGTCGGAACCCTCCAACGTCAACCGGGCCCCGGTCTTGACAATGCGCTCACCATTGGTCCACTCGTATACTCCGTCCGGAAGGCCGCACAACTTCATAGCATCCGTTACTAGGACCAGGCCGTCTGGGTGGGCATTGTACGCGATCTTGATGGAGGTCGGGTGCAAATGAATCCCATCGGCGATCACCCCGTAGTAGGGGCGACGGCGCTCACTCTGGCCCAGCAGACCAAAGATGCCCGGATTGCGGTGGTAAAAGGGTCGCATGGCGTTGAACATGTGAGTGATCATGCGAGCACCCTGGTGTGTCGCGGACACAGCCTGCTCATAGGTTGCGTCAGAGTGGCCGATGGAGTAGATGATGTTGCGCTTGGCAATCTCAGGAATCTGTGCCATCATGTTGCCGACTTCGGGAGCAGCGGTGACCATTTTGATCGGGCTGGCGGTGGTCAGGTTGTCTGCGCCGTAGCAGTGAAGCAAATCCTCAAAGGTCTGCGCCGCACGAAGTACCTCGGGCTTGTGGACGCCGTTGCGGCCAGGGCTGATAAACGGTCCCTCCACATGAGCGCCCAATGACTCGGCGCCATCTTGCGCCGGGTGGCTAGTACCGGAGGGACCGAGAGATGGCAGGACCTGATAAGGAGGCATAGTTAGTCTCAAGGGAAAGGTTTCTTTATTTCCTGTCTGGTCCAGAGCTATCTACCTTCCAATACACATCTGGCGTCGAGCTCACTACTGTCGGCAGGTAGGAGGTGACACCGGTCCGGGCCAGGCCGCGGTTCACCATGCGCAGGCCCTCATCATACTCCTCCTTGGTATCGCAGGGCACAGAGAAATCAAAGCCCTGAGCACCGTTCAGCTGGACGTCAATCAGACCCGGGGCCAAAATGCGGCCACCGAGGTCGATGACCTCATCGGGAGAGAGATGCAGCTCATAGAAGGCCTCTTGGTCCTTGAGGATCTTGCCAGTCAAAGAGTCAATCCAGAGATCTTGCTCCACCAAACTCGACCCACGCACGAGGCGGCAGTTGGTGAACTTGGTGATGCGTGGGGTAGTAGTTTTGCCGGGCATGGTGACTTGACAGGGAAAGGGAGATAAGAGAGGGAGAGAGAGGGAGAAATGGAGGGGGGCAAAGAGCGGGTATAAAGAGAGAGGGAGATGATGTAACTCTATCCTCGGCTCAGGCAGAATTCAGCAACAATTGCTTTTGTGACATTCGGCATGCCGACGTGGTACCTTGGCCCTATAGAGGTCCCCATAGATCCACAGTACTGTAATCTATGTGTCTGTGTATGTAACCCGCAGTACCAACGCCCCGTACGGTATGGTAACCCCCGCATGCGGAGAGTCGTATCCGATCCGCATGCGACACTGTCGCATCTGCCCTTTTTCTAAGGTTCGATGGAAGCGCTTAAAGCGGGGGAGATTATGAACTCCCATACAATTCCATCTCGTAGTGCTTTCCCACCGGTTTTCTCCATCTTTTAAACTCCCTCCCGTTTTAATGTCGCATTATGCCGTCGGTTATCGGTGAGACATCGATAAGCTAAAGTAGTGTGATTCGGCTAAACCCCCTCCAGGATTAATTATAATTAGTATGGGGGATTTCATCGAATAGTTGAAATCCTTCGCTCCATTTTTACGCTTGTCTTATTGCGGCCATTCCTTAGGCCCCCCGATCTTCGATTTCTGTTCTCTCATCTTACTGTGATTTAATCATTCGACTTTCCTCTCCCCTCCCCCCCCCTTTTTTTTGGCCATATTCTCTTATCGACAGATCTGCTCTACATCTCGAATTGAATTACTCTCATCATGGCAACTCCTGTGCCTGAACACGCCCCGGCCCAGGAGATGCCTGCGGAGAAGTACATTCCATCGACGAGTCAGGATCCGGAGCCTGCTATGGATCATGCGGTGGTGGGGAGGCCATGGATGTACAAGCCGATGTTGAAAATTGGCACGTGGAAACTTCCTTGGTTTGCTTCACCTGAAACGCAGCTGGTTCTCGTTTCATTCGTCTGTTTCCTCTGTCCGGGAATGTACAATGCTGTCAATGGTCTCGGTGGTGGTGGCCAGGTCGATGCGACCGATGTGAATAACTCCAACACCGCTCTATACAGCACTTTTGCCGTGGTGGGATTCTTTGCCGGCTCGATCGCCAATCGCATCGGCCTCCGGCTCACTCTTTCCCTCGGCGGTTTTGGATACTTCCTCTACGTTGCGGCTCTTCTTTCCTACAACATCAACCGAAATGCGGGATTTCTCATCTTTTCGGGAGCCTTGCTCGGAGTCTGTGCTGGCCTGCTGTGGTGTGCTCAGGGCGCTGTTATGATGAGTTATCCGCATGAGCATGAGAAGGGCAAGTACATTGCCATCTTCTGGGTCATCTTCAACCTGGGCGGTGTCATTGGTAGTTTGGTAAGTCTCGCACCGTGATATCTCGTGGGAACTATCATCCTCATTGCTGCAATAGGTCCCACTCGGTCAGAACATGCATAGCACAGCCGGCAATGTCAACAACGGCACCTACATTGCCTTCCTGGTGTTGATGGCGGTGGGCTTCGTTCTCTGCTGGGGTCTCTCCGATTCCAAGTATATCATGCGCAAGGATGGCTCGCGGGTCATTGTGATCAAGAACCCCACCTGGAAATCGGAGTTTCTTGGTCTATGGGAGACCCTACGCGACGACTCATACATTATTCTCATGTTCCCCATGTTCCTGGCTAGCAACTGGTTTTATGGGTACCACTTCAACGCTGTCAACCTCGCCTACTTCACCGTTCGCACCCGCGCCTTGAATAGTCTCCTGTATTGGCTCATGCAAATGGTCGGTGCCTTCATCTTTGGCCAGCTCCTGGATATGAAATGGTTCTCACGTCCGACCCGCGCCAAGATCAACTTTGGACTGCTGTTCCTCATCACCATGGGAATCTGGGGTGGTGGATTTGCCTTTCAGAGACAGTACACCCGCGGCTCAGTCAAGCCGGATACTGATTTTAAAGATGGGAACTATATCGGCCCCATGTTTCTGTATATGTTCTATGGCTTTTACGACGCCGCCTTCCAGACCTGCACCTACTGGTAAGTTATTGGCTCTGAACTTGCATTTATATGACTCGTTGGGGTTGCTAACGAGCGAGACAGGTACATGGGCTCCCTCTCCAACAACAGTCGCAAACTTGCCAACTTTGCCGGCTTCTACAAAGGAATCCAATCGGCTGGCGCTGCCGGAATGTGGCGGTATGTGATTTTCCTTGTCTGTGTTGCACTCTCTCGACATGACTGACAGAAATCTTTTAGCCTGGATGCGATAAAAACAGCATACATGACCGAGTTCGCTTCCTGTTGGGGTCTGCTTCTCGGCAGCATGCTCATTGCTTCGCCCGTGATCTTCTTCAAGGTCAAGAACAGTACCGATGTCGAAGAAGACCTTCGCTTCTCCGACGAAACTACCGCAGACGTACTAGGCGACTGCCCTGACAATGTGTCTTCTTCCGAGAAGCCTCAGTCGCAGGAGAAGAACGAGGCCACCAAGGCCTGAATGACTGGCGAGAATATACCATCTACCAGTTTTCTGTATTTCTACCATGATACTGCTCTTTCTTGTTACCCTCATTAATGTATTCCCAACCCTTCACGATTCGCCACGACCACATCTGCATTTACGAGGCATGATTTCTTTGTCCCTGTGGAATTGAAACTCCTAAAGTCCATTTTTCTCTCGCCACGGTGGCATTTTCTGTGTTTTCGCAGTCGCGAGCGGCGATGCTTGAGTGGCGGTATTTTTGTTTCTTGGAGGGGTTATTATCAGAGTAAAGTCGCAGTATATAGCTTAGAAATGCGAGAAGGCGGTGTTCGATTGACCTAGGGAAGTTTCGAGTGTTCGAGTTGTATACAATTGTGTTTGTTTATGGCCAAAGCCATTAATGCGCGGGAGTCCAGCGCGTCCCCCAGCCGGCTTAGCGTTTGTTTACCCGGCAACCCCAACAACAATCGACCTTCCGTACACAAACAACTTCAATTCTTCACAAAATCCCATCATGTCGAATCCCCTCTCCCCTCTTTCGCCCTCTTTCCAAAATGCGCGAGGGCTCTCTCCAAAGCCTACTTCCTCGCCGTTTCTCCACAAAACCATTGACGAGCCCTCTTCAACTGCCATCCCATCGAGTCCGCTGAAAAAGCCATGGACGCATCACGACGAAATGCCGAACTCTTACGATAACGAGAACTTCAAACTCAATGACCAGAACGAGAATGACGAGATCAACGACGGCGACTCCTTCCAAGAGGGCGCGAGTTCGCCGTTCCGTCCTGATGGGCGCGAAGATACGGTGGACTTCCAAAAATTGCGCGAATTGCAACAAGCCTCGCCAGAGCCAGTTCGGCCCTCGGAGCCCCTAAACTTCGAAGAGCCGGCTAGCTCCCCATTCTGTCCCGACGGTAGAGAAGATACTGTGGATTTCCAGAAACTACAAGAAGTGCAGCGGATGTCGCCTGACCTGGGAAAACGGCTCGCTGTCGAAGAGCCAGCCAGCTCCCCGTTCCGCCCCAATGGGCGAGATGACACCGTGAGTTTTCAACAACTTCACAATCTACAGCCGGGGTCACCGGGTCTGGATAAGCAGCCTTTGGGGGAGCCAGAGAGCTCACCTTTCCAGGCCGATGCCAAGGACGAGACAGTTGATTTTCAAGCACTGCGCGACATCCAGCGAGAGTCTCTCGGTTTTACCAAGCCACCTTCTCCTGTAGCTTTCGGCCCGCCTTTCCAAAGAGATGACAAGGAGGATACCCTTGATCTCCACAAGGTGCGCCAGGCTCCTCGCGCATCTCTTGAGGTGGATGGGCGACTCTCAGTGGCGGCCACCCCCCGGAAAAGGTCGTATGATCAGACGCCACAGGACCAGGGTGAAAGTGAGCAGATGAATGAGCGATGCAAGAAGGGTATGGTGAGTCGGACGGAGGGGCCCGAGATCCACGTCGATCTCGAGGAGTCCAGTATCATTCATAATCAAAGCATGGCCTCGACCACCAGTGCCACTCAAGATCGCTCTACAATCGCCAATAGCGTGATGGAAGACAAGCGCAACGAAGGAATGAGCACAGTGCTCCATGAAGATGGGGATAGCGGGTTGGCCGATAAAGAAAACCTCTGCCACCCTGGCGCAGATGAGAATTCGATGCTTGACGACGACATGCACGACTCGAAGGATGATACTTGCCTAAGCACCTTTTCTGCGCTGCCTGACATGACTTCATTTGCCAAGTTGCGCGCTGAATCGCCGCTCAAGGCGATGCGTAGCAGTGTCGCTCCCAGTCCCACCCTTGGGACAGACATGCGACAGCGCAGTATCGACCCGGCCACTCCAAGCACAGCGCGGCGGCTATATCGGGCCAGTGCACTTCTTGACTACAATTCACAAGCGGGGTCGCCCACCCCGAGGCGCAGAGGCTCCCGAGATGCTGGACACCCAAGCGAGACCCCTAATCTGCTTGATTTCACTGATCAAGTGAACTTCTTCCCTCGTGCATCCATGCAACAGAGCGCCCGCTATTCCCCTTCCCGGCGGTCACCTTTACGAGCTGTCCGGCAGTCCCTTCGGTCTCCGTCCAAGCTGTCTCTCTTAGATTTTGACATCCCACCCGCGCCGACGCCTCGGTCCATTCCCACCATTACACCACGGGAATTGGAGTCGCTCAAGTCGGGCTTCTCGTCTGAGATCTCATCACTGAAGGCTGCTCTGAGCGGAAAGGAGGCTGAGGTCGGCAGTCTCAAGAAGGCGGTTGCAGATGCAGAGAGACGGGTGGGTGAAGCCCTGGAAGAAGTCCGCAATGAAGCTGCTCGGAAGGAAACGCTGGAGATTGAGCAGGCTGAATGGGAGCGCCGAGGCAAGGACATGGAAAGTGTTCTGCGATCTGTCCGGGCTGAGTTGGTGGAGGGAGAGCAGGAGCGAGACCGCCTGGCCAAGAAAGCCGAGGAGGCCGAGAAGAGCAAAGAGCAATTGGAAGGCAAAATTGTCGAGCTCGAAATCCAATTGACCGCAGCGCGTACCTCGGGATCAGCCCCCGTCGACGAGTCGCACCCGGTCTCTAAACCCGCCGAGGAGACTGCACGAGAAGTCCAGGATGCTGTTGAGAAGGTCGCACGCGAGCTGCACACCCTCTACAAGGGCAAGCATGAGACCAAGGTTGCTGCGCTGAAGAAGAGCTACGAGGCTCGTTGGGGGAAGCGCCTGCGCGAAGCAGAGAACAAGGTCACTGCCGCACACGAGGAGAACGAACGCCTCAAGGCTGAACGCGACACCGCCCATTCCGAGTCCATGGCCGCGGCCAACACCAGTCTGATTGCTCGCGAGCATGACGAGCACGAAACCCAGAAGCGTGTCCTGGAAGCCCAGATCAAGGGTCTGCAACAGGAGATGGCGGCCATCAAGGAAGACAGTGAGCGACTCCGTGGGGAACTCAAGTCTGAACGGACCGAAAAGGGCGAGCTTGTCGCTGCCGTTGACGAGTGGCTAGCCATTCAGCAGAGCCAGCCTGCCCCGGCCCAGCACGACCGCGAGCCCTCGGTCTCTTCTTCTGCGCAGCTTGACGAAAATGACCGTCCACTCTCGATCGAGCCCATCTCCGAGGATCTTCATCGGAATATCGCTCACTCTGGATCTGGGGCCCCTCGGGCGCCCGCCACCGCTGAAAAGAGAATCCCACGATACGGTGTTCCCGGGGGACACCCGCGTGGTAATAGCGGCGGCAAATCTGGAATTGCGGTTTTCACACCCGGTCGCGGGGGAATCATGAGCTCGATTGAGCGAATGGGTCGCGGTGGTGCATAAGCACCCCTTGAGAGAGTGAACAGCTGTTGGATGGTTCTTTCTAGTTATTTTTTTTTTGGTTCTGTTGACTCCTGGCCTGTTGGATTTACGTTTTTAATGTTTATGAGTGTCATTCTTGATTCCCCTGTCAGCCGATGTGATTCGACTGTGTTCATGAGAAAGTCTTTATTGGAATGAATTAATCGACTTGATCCAGTGTGGAATTTCTCGTAGATGCCAAATGCTTTCCAAGGTTGTATACAACCAAGTCAGCTGACCGGCAATTTCGGGCAAACACGAAACCGCCACTGTCGCCCCCCCGGATTCCCTCGATTGCCACACTTTCGCGGGGTGCCGAGTTTGCCTTCCGAGGGGGCCAAGATTGCCAATTCAGGACCGATGCCCCTTTCGTCCGGGCCGTTCGAGGGTTGACCCACGAGCCTCTTTCTTCATTTCCCAGTCATGCGGTTGGTTGATGTCACGGATGCGATCGTCACCGACCTGTGATACAACCGGTCTTGTGCTCGTGGAGGGCGATGCGCCATGACGATGTGGGGGGGGGGACACTAACACTTTCCTTTTGCAAGGTGCCACCAGTGGAATTTGCTATAAGCTGACAGGATGAAGTAGCAAGAAGCATGGCCATCCTGTTTTCGGCTGTCTAACGTGGGGCCCCGTGCAAGGATTATCAAGATGCCCTTCATTCAACCAACATCTTACGGCCAGAAGTCCGAGAGAGTGCGGGGGGCACTCCGCAATCCTGCAGCCCTGCACCCTGACATACTTTCGAGGGTGCAATTCGCATGTCCACGAGTAGTCACACTATCCTTGACCAGGGTTCTATGGCAAAAATCTTCTCCCCTGGAGAGAGACTGGAAGCAGAACTTTAATGGACAAGTTCAATGGACATTCGGAAGGCATCCTCGGTACCCGCAGAGAATTATTGAAGCCAAGCATGAACCCCAGGATATTATATTATTCTTTTTTTTTACTCGTCAGACGGGCAATGCCGGGGGAAGCAGCCTCCACTGCGGGAATAAACCAAGTGGGCTTTGGTGCACACTTCATGAATCGCCCCGCAAATGACCGTGGCCCTGATGTTCTCCACTGAAAGAAGACCAAACAACAAAAAAAAAAAACCTGTCAAGATTTTTTTTTCCTGTTGGGGATATATCTCCATAGATGGCATGGGTGGTATTTCGATGTTATTTGAACCTCGATTGGAGGATTTGGGCTGGAGAGAAGAGACGCATAGATCTAGGAAGAGTGTGCATTCCTCCGATCATCGGCATTTTCCCAGACGCTAGTAATGAAACGTTGAAAACATGCGGGATATTCGAGAGATATAAACGATATGCTCACAAGAGGTCCAGACTCTGGAACTCCCTAAAAAACAGCTCCGCTTTTTCTCCAGTTCTCCTTTTCTTACGTACTCGAAGGGGTTCCGTCGGATTTCGGGGTTTTCTTTGATTAATGTTGATGACTATAGAAAAATATAGCAGTGTTGAATGAAATCAATACCAGAAACTTATCCATGATTCCAATGCATACCTAGTACTATTAAATATTAAAATATTCACACATTAAGATATTCATATTATGAGTGAACACGGAACCGGCCCCGAGTAACGTGACCGGGCCGAGGATGACGCACGAAAAGGCGTCCGGGGGATCGTTGCCTTTTTCAGTCATCATGGCCGGTCCCATTGGGCAGCGCAGTGAGTGAGTGGATCTCCCCCGTTCATGACTCTGGGACTTGCGGAGGCACAGTCCATCATCTACTTAAACACTGCCTGTCCCCGTGCGCCGATTTTGCTTCGGGGGGACGACATTATATATTTAAAAAAAAACCACCCAAAAAAAGGATCCATCTCCACTCTCATCTCAACCTGGGGTATTTCTTTTTGTTGCGTTCTCAACACCCCACGCGACAGTAGCATCTATATCGCCCTCGTTCAATTCGAATGTCCTCCCGGTCACATGCACAATGAGTAATGCCACCGCAACCATGTCCGAAATTGATTCAGGAAAACGCAAAGCGTCGGCCGCTGGACTGGGTCATAACCGCCCCGTGAAGAGACGAGCCTCCAAAGCATGTTGTTGCTGTCGGGCCCGCAAGGTCCGTTGCGACGTCGTGGAAAATGGCTCCCCGTGCACGAATTGCCGACTCGACCAGGTCGAGTGCGTTGTCACGGAGAGCAAGCGAAGAAAGTCAGCTTTCCAGTTTTTCCCTTTCTTCTTAATCCAAACTAGCTAACACGCATGTTGCTCGCCCAGGAAGTCTCGTGTGGACATGGAGAACAATCATGCCGAGTCGGCCGGCGAAGCATCCGAGGAAAATCCTCTGCAGAGTTCGAGCCATGGGCTGCCGGACATGGCGCCCACGTCTCCCTCGCAGGCCTCTGTTGACGTGGACCATGGACAGCACATGCCGCACCTGTTGTGTTCGTGCCCATCTTAACCCGTGGAATCAATGGAATCCTCACTAACTCATTCCCAGACCAAACCCAGGCGCATTGCATCGGCTCGGACGACCGCTATCGTCGCCGCATGGCTCCTAACACCGCCGTTCCTGCGACACTTCCTCTCGCCAACGTCACTTCGCAGATCCAGCAATTATTAGACCCGTCTTTTGGCAATGTTCGAGCGGCCAATAGCTTCCTTCCGGACTACATTCGCGGTTTGCCCACCCGTCTGCAAAAGGAAGACATTGACTATCTGGCCACCAAGGGCGCCTTGACCATCCCTGATGTGGGTCTGCGGAACGAGCTGTTGAAGAGTTACGTCCACTACGTGCACACGTATATGCCCTTGCTGGACCTGGAGGAATTCCTACAAACCGTTGTCTCGAATGATGGGATCCATCGCATTAGTCTTCTGCTGTTCCAGGCGGTCATGTTCGCTGGAATGGCTTTTATTGACATGAAACACTTACATGCCGCTGGCTATCAGACTCGCAAGGCGGCCCGCAAGATCTTCTTCCAGCGAGCTCGACTGCTGTACGATTTCGACTATGAGGTGGACCGCATCTCCTTGGTGCAGTCCCTCCTGCTCATGACTTACTGGTACGAGACACCGGATGACCAAAAGGATACCTGGCACTGGATGGGAGTCAGTTTGTCCCTAGCCCACACCATCGGCCTTCACCGCGATCCCGGGAACTCGCGAATGGATCTGCGCCGCCAGCGGATGTGGAAGCGTATCTGGTGGAGCACATACACCCGGGATCGACTCATTGCGCTGGGTATGCGCCGGCCCATGCGGGTCAAGGACGATGACTGCGACGTGCCGATGCTGACACTGGACGATTTCGAGTTCCACTCTTTCTCGCCAGAAATTGTGAGCATGGTCGGAAACTCGGAAATCCTGCAGAACGTGAGCCACCAGCGGGAGCTGGCCCTCATGTTCATCGAAAAGGCCAAGCTTTGTCTCGGGGTCAGTCATGTGTTGTCGGCCCAGTACTCGGTGCTGAGCCACAAGTTCGGTGGTACCATGGAAACGACCATGATGCTGGTTCCCAAGAAATCCACCGCCGAGACTTTTGAAGTGCGACGCTGTGATCAGGAACTGGAGGACTGGCTGGCCAACCTGCCCGTGGAAACTCAGTACACACCGTCCGGCTCGTCGAAACTATCCGAGGCAGACGAAGTGCTGCATTCACATCGCGCGCTTTTGAAAATGGTCTACCTGACCACTTCCAGTGCCCTGCATCGTCCGCAGGTTCTCCCCGCCATCCCGTTCCCGTCCATGGACGCTGAGCTGCAGGATATGTCCCGGAATAAGGTGCGACATGCCGCAGTGGAAATCACCAACATTGCCCAGGATCTGCACACTCTGGACCTGACGCGATACTATCCGACCACTGGCGTGACGGTGCTCCTGCCCGCCGTCATCATTCATCTACTGGATATCAAGTCCAGCGATCCGAGTGTGCGCATGACCAGCCTCCAGCGCTTCTACCAGTGCATGCGCATCCTGCAGCGCCTACGTGAGATCTACGCCTCTGCCGACTTTGCCACCTCGTTCCTAGAGGCCGCCATCCGCAAGGCCGGCATCCAGCTCACCGTTGCCCCCCAGGACGTGCAGTCCTCCCGGCCCCGACCCCAAGCCCCCAACACTGACCTCTTCGATGCGACCTCACGACCCAACACTCTGACTCCTCCACCCGATTCTCTGGCCCAAAAGATTCCTGACCTGACCTACCCCAAGTCGACGATCACGGGCTCTACCGGGGACCTACTGGCCTCGACGCCGCCTCAGTCAGATGGCAGCGAAAACGGCAGCACCAACAACCTCAACCCCAATTTCCTCAACGCAGATGGTTTGACTATGCCAAACCTGGACTCGTCAGAGATGAGTTTGACAGAACTGATGGACTTGGCCAACGATGCCGAGGTGACCCAGAACGACTTTGACGCGCTGATCAACTTTGATGACGTCGGCAATGATTTCTTCGCCGCCGAAGATTCCACCAATGCATCAGGAACCGCGGCCCCAGAGAAGAGCTATGGGATGGATGACATGAACGTGATGGGCTTTGATCCCGATCCTAAAGCGATCGACTTTGCCGATCACGCTGTCAATCCCGAGGCAGCTTCAGCCGAGGCTCAGACACGGGCCGGGATCACGACCGATTTGGACACGGAACTCGGCCTCGGTCTGGATGAATAATTTCGGGGGTTTATTTTGTCCTTTTTTTTTCATTTCTGACAGCGGGACCTTTTTGACCATTACTGTTTTATTACGACGGATTTCTTTTTCTTTTTTTCTTATTTCGAGATGGGCGTTTTGGGGTTAAAAAGAACCTCCGGGATCGGGCGTGACGATGGCGGCCTTTGTACTTGGTGATAGAGAAGAACTATCAATCATGAAGCAACATTCCACTGTAGGATCATACATACAAGAGCTACGGCCACACATCGTGTGGGTTTTGTCTTGGCCCCCAGGGTTAGAAGCAGAAATTCATTAAAAAATATAGAGAATACACATAAAATAAGTATGATAGTTAGATAGAGAGCTATGAAAGTATGCTTGAATCACCACAATGACCACTTTGGCATATGTAAAGGGTCCAGGTAAGCAATAATTAAGCAATAATATAGCTGGGGTCCACCAGATCGGCATCACATGCATTCCTTTGCTGCGACGGGAGTTTTATGATTTTTATGAAAGCGACCAACTTTCCAGTCCGACCCTGCTGTGTCCTTTCTTGGGTCTCCAGGGCTCTTTCATTTCACAGAAGCCCCCTCTTCCACTCCCCCAGTGGACCTTGCTTCGTCGATTGGAGCAGACATGCACCTGCGTCGGCTCTCTCCTCTTTGACCCACTCTGCCAATGGTCCCAGCCCAAATGTCGATCTTTACCCCCTCTTGAGGGTTTATCGCTTCAATCGCCTGTCTTGGTTACTCTGCCAGACCCCAGTGGAGACTCCTGCGGAACCCCGATAGTCTCTTTGTCAAGAGCTTCCCTCGTATTGGGGATGCACGCAACCCCCTTCCCCTTTCCCCCGGAGCTCCAACGGACATGACTGAAAGAGGGTCCCCCAGCAATCACTGTCGTTGGTTACTCGAGATGTACCTCCCCCCGTTGAGGCAATTTCGAATGTCGATTGCGCGAAGATGGGTCTTTTGGGTCTCTCATACGACCCCCCCTTATCATGCTGTGACTGGTCTATGCTTGCCATTGAACCCAACTCTTGGACCCTTCCCCTCACTGGGGGTTCACTCGCCTATTGCTATAATAATCAAGAGCCCCGATCGACGGTTCTCCAACACCCCCCTCATAGTGACACTACACGCACCATCGAGACACCATGCGCATCATTAGCTGGATCCCATTGCTGCTGCCTCTGGCAGCAGCTCGCACTGTGCCCTTCGAGGCTGAGATTGCGGGATTCCATCGCCGCCAGCTGCCCAAGGAGCCGACGGGCGTCAAGACCCTGAAGACTGCGAATAATGTCACCATTCGTTACAAGGAGCCTGGCAAAGAAGGTGTCTGTGAGACCACCCCCGGGGTCAAGTCTTATGCAGGCTACGTCGATCTCTCGCCCACAGCACATACTTTCTTCTGGTTCTTCGAGGCACGCCATGACCCTGAAAATGCGCCCATCACGCTGTGGTTGAATGGAGGGCCGGGAAGTGACTCACTGATTGGCTTATTTGAAGGTAAAAATAAATAAAGAAACTCCATTTGAATAAATTAGCTCTACCGATTCAATTGCTAACGCAGCTGGGATATATAGAATTGGGCCCATGCCATGTCAACAAGAAAAATGAAACCTACCTCAACCCTCACTCGTGGAATGAGGTTTCCAACATGCTATTTTTGTCTCAGCCCCTCGGCGTTGGTATGGCGGTGCCTCCTTATCTTATGACATCTGTAGTTGAGCACTTGCTCATTTTCTCCAGGTTTCTCCTACGCCGACAAGGCACCCGGCTCGCTGAATCCCCTCACAGGGGCCTTTGAGGATGCATCCTTCGCCGGAGTCCAGGGTCGCTATCCCGTCATCAATGCTACGTTAACTGGTAAGAGGTAGATGGCTATGGTGGATAGACACCCGAGCTAACAGGTCTCGAGATACCACTAATCTCGCTGCCAAAGCTACCTGGGAAGTGCTGCAGGGCTTCCTTGGTGGTCTGCCCAAGTTGGACTCGAAGATCAAGTCCAAGAGCTTCAATTTGTGGACAGAGAGCTATGGAGGGTGAGCGATGCACCCCTATTGCAATTGATCACGCCCTTACTAACTGTTTTTGCAGTCACTATGGTCCAGCTGTAAGCATTCTTACCCCTGTTATCTTTCTCTTCCTAGTTAACAAGGCTAGTTCTTCGACCACTTCTACGAGCAAAACGAAAGGATTGCCAATGGCACCGTGCACGGTGTTAAGCTCGACTTCAACACCCTCGGAATCATAAACGGGATCATCGATGAGGCCATCCAAAGCAGTCACTATCCCGAGTTTGCCGTCCACAATACCTATGGCATCAAAACTGTGAGTATGGCATTGGTGCCGCAATAGAGGATCATACTGAGAGAAAATTTACAGGTCAACGAAACGGTCTACAACTACATGAAATTCGCCAACGAGATGCCCAATGGATGCCAGGACCTGGTAGCAAGCTGCAAAAAGACCAACCGCACCTCGCTTTCGGACTATGCACTCTGCACTGAGGCGACCAATATGTGCCGGGATAATGTCGGTATGTGATCCTTCTTTGAATGCTTCGTCATTCGCCATGTTCTAACTACGATTGGTTCCTGTATAGAGGGTCCATACTACGTCTTCAGTGGCCGCGGCACCTACGACATCCGCCATCCATCGCAAGACCCAACCCCACCAGGCTACTACACAAATTACCTCGCCAAGGACTCAGTTATGAACGCGCTGGGCGTCGACGTCAACTACACACAATCCAACAACGAGGTATACTTCGCCTTCCAGCAAACAGGCGACTTCGTGTGGCCGAATTTCCTCGAAGACCTCGAAGACATCCTCGCTCGCCCGGTGCGCGTAGCCCTGATCTACGGCGACGCAGACTACATCTGCAACTGGTTCGGCGGCCAGGCCATCTCGCTGGCCGCCAACTACACGCACAGCAAACAGTTCCGGGCCGCCGGGTACGCGCCGTTCGAGGTCGACGGAGTCGAGTTCGGCGAGACGCGCGAGTACGGTAACTTCTCGTTCACGCGCGTGTACGAGGCCGGCCACGAGGTCCCGTACTATCAGCCCGTTGCGGCCCTGCAGCTCTTCAACCGCACCCTGAATGGCTGGGAGCTGCCCAAGGGCCAGAAGAAGCTGACTGCGCGCTTTGGGTCCAAGGGCCCGGCTCGTGCGACTCATACTCAGTCCTCGGTGCCGTTGCCTAGCTCGACTGTGTTGAAATCTGCTGCTGCGGGGCAGCGGTGATTGTTGTTTCTTCTGTTTCATGGTTTTTGGTGCCTCAGACCATCAGCACAGTTCGCTTGTTGCGAGATATATATAATTCATTCCAATTGGAGTTAATGCCCAAGTCATAGTTTGGCATAATTGACATTTAGTCCATATTTTATCCATCTGCCAGCTACCTAGTTATTGACAAAGTATATTTAGAGAGCAAGAGCTAGTTCGATGTAAACGGAGGAACGAATCTTTCATTATGATATCTAATCGCCAAACGCCATGCAGTATAGTCGCCAGAAAAACACCCAATGCTGTACGAAACCAAGGCAAAGCAAAGAAAAATACGAAAGTCTTCCAAGTGCCGAGAAGCTCTTTTAGAAAACCATGTCCCAAATAAATGTGACCCTATCGAGGTCAATGTAGAACAGCATCTGTAGTTTAAGCCGACGGCGATGCTGCCTCTGCACAGCTTCCCTCCGAGGCAGGATCAGCCACGACGATGTGAACTGTCTCCTTGCGCGGTTGCTCGGGAATGGGAACGTAGTGGCAGGGCGCGACAGGGCGGACGGTAGCAGACGAGTATCTCTTGCGCTGAATGAACCAGAGCTGCAATGCGCCAATCAAGGCCACAAAGCTGCTCCCCCACCACGCAATAGCTGTGCAGCCAACCTCCGCTCCGGTGCTGTACAGGAAACCGGCTACGGGAGGAGAGACGGTGCGGGCTGCGGCTCCGGCAGAGGCTGCGAGGCCGTTGATCTTGCCCATCACGGAGTCTGCAGGGCTGGCCTGTTTGATCAGGATCAGGAGAACGGGGTAGTCGATGATTGAAAGGATGTTTCGAACAATGAGACAGGCATAGATACCGACAAAAACGAGGTGACGCGGCAGGAAGACCAGGAATGGGACCATGAAGTAGGCAATTGGGTGGAGCACTGTCACCAGGACGAACAGGCGCCATACTCCGAGGTAATGAGCTAGAGCCGGGAAGATAACGCTTTGAATCACGAGCGCGATGATGCCGTCAGTCGACATAATCATGCCCACCGTCCGAGTTGAGAGACCGACACCCCCGGGGACATCAAAGAACGAGTGGCGGAAGGCAGAGAGGCCCTTGGTGTTCTTATCCTGAAGAAAGATAGGCAAGAGGTGGTCGTAGGTCATCGAGTGGTAGGTGAAGATAGCAAGCGCTATCACGAGCATGGTGACCTGCCAGGTGAAAGCTTTGGGTTTCTGCGGCTGTTTGCCAGCGAGCAACGAACCATCGGTCTGCACATTCCAATTCTCATCCTCCTGCAGACGGACCTGATTGAAGGTGCCGTAAGACTCCGCTCGAAGGTCTACCCCTGCATTGGCGGTTGCCCCTGAGGTAGCTAGGAGGGGTTGCTCTGCTGACGAATGCTCGAAAAACTCGTGGGAACTGCCGGGCTGCATGTCCGGATGGGTCTCCTGCAGGAACAGCCAGCTGCCGACGATGCTAAAGAGAAGTAAGACAGAACAGACGAGGTTCGGCAGAAGGTAAGGGAATTTTCCAAAAAGACCATCAGGAGGAAAGACGGAGGGAAAACCTTCTGAGGGCTTTGCAAGCAGACCCCCAATGGCTGAGATGATTTAGCACCTTCCGATTTGATTCCTAGAAAGAAAATTGTCTCCTTACCTGGTCCAATGATGGTTCCAATTGACCAGACGAAGGGCATGACAGCATATGCCCGAGCTGCATTTATTGCGACGTTAGTCGGTGATGCGTCGTCCATCAGAACTGAAGGGGACTTACGCTCATGCTCCGGTCTGTTCACAAGCTCGCCGACCATGGTTTGAATCACACCGATGTTTCCATTCAGTGCGCCCCCAAGAGCTCGGCTAGCAAGAGCAACCCAGAAGTTTGGAGCCAGGCCCACCAGTAGAAGAGAGACCATGGTGCCGAAGCAGCCGGACAGGAGGATGGGTTTCCGGCCCAGCCGGTCTGAGAGACCACCCCAGAACATACCGGTCAAGGCTTCAGCGAGAGAAAAGGCCGAGATCAAAATGCCAGCGTAGAGGGAGGCATCATTGCCGTTCGCCATCTGGAAATCCTTGACCATCACCCAGGAGTAGGGGAAGATGGAGGTCAAGGCGATGGGTTCCGCCACACGACATATTGCTGACACCAGGTTAGTGATCGAACCATGACTATCAGAGGCAGAGACATACCCAAGAGGAAGAGCTGAGCGGTTGGGAAGCTGTCGTCGGAAGAGATGGGAGATCTTGCCTGCGGTGTTAATACCATCGTCCTTCAGAAGCGTCCAAGATCTTACGGCAATCCGGCCCCGCAGTGTCGAATCCTGGTGCTTCTTTTCTTTTCTTCTTTTGATGTCTTTCTTCTCTCTCTGTGGGTGTGCACGTGAGACTTGGTCTTGATGAAAATTTATCTTTTAGATGTTCGGGTAGTGTTGGACCCTGGCAGTGGAGCCGGGTGGGGATAGAATTTTTTGACTGGGGAAATCCTCGACAGGATTGTAATCGGATAGATAGAATGGCCGATAGCAGACAAGGAAATAGCACGAGATGAGAGGGGAAGATGAAGGGGAAGAGGGAAAAGAAGAATAAGAAGGATGAGAAGGAAAAGAAGGAAGAATGTCTGGGGGAGAGAGAGGGGAGATAAGGGCGAGAGGGGCGTATTTCTATTATGTACAAACTCCGCTCGGGACTTTTCTACTACATCGCGATGCGACATACACAGTGATTTATTGAATCTTCTACATTACCTGGGGATATATTATATACTCCATTATTCTTAGAACATCGAGATGATTATTCGACATCGCCAGCATCTATTCAATCGAACAACAGTCCTGCAAAGTTTGCGGGTGGCAAAGGTACCTTTGTACCTGAATGCTTGCCTTGGTACACTGTGGTATATGCACCTCGTTATTTCTCTACACCCAGGAAGCCCTATGTACATTGTTATATATATATCTCTCTCTGTCTCTTTTTTTCTTTCTTTCTTTCTTTTTTTTTTTTTTTAAAAAAAAAGGTATCCAGTCGTCCCCACTTAGACTGCCTTTAATACCCTCTCGCCCAATCACCATCAACCCTCGCCAACCGTTTGATCTTAGTCCCTCGTAGTACATCTGTAGATCTCCTGGGTCCCTGCGGAGCCACAAGCTTAAGAATCCCGAGGTTAATCCAAATTGAACACACGAGGCACTTGATCAAATTCGCTAGAGGGGTGAAATGTAGAAAACTAAAGGTCTATCATTGTAGCGTGGAGGATAAGAAATGATACGGAGATAACCCGCCATGGAAGTATGGGGGGAAAAAAAAGAAAAGAACCAAGAAAGTGCACGAAAATGCCATCGCCACTTGTGTCAAATCCACCCGCTGCGCCGGCTAATCCATACGTATCATGCGGTCCGGATGAGAACCAAACACCCAACAAAAGAGAAAGACAATACAAAACACACAAAATTCATCACGAGGGAGCCTCGGGGTGTGGCGTAGGATCTATGATCTCGACAGAGCGGGTCTCAAGCTCCTTGGGCGAAGTGCTGTGGTCACCCTGCAGGGCCACGGAAGGTTCCAAACCGGGCGCCGCTTCGGATTTGATGGCGTCGACCGGCGGTTGGTGGACCGACGGGGCTGCGTTCGACGATGAGCCCTCCGCACGAGGCTGGCCAGAGGTGTCCTCGACATGCTCGGCTGATTCGTCACCCTTGTCTTCGTCACCGATGATGGCGGCCAGACTGCGGAAGTTGAACATCGGTTCGACAGTACCTCCCTCACCACTGACGTGCTCCCCGGAACGGTCATCCGCATTGGTTTCCGGGACCGACGAGAAAGAGGATGCACTCGACACATGTCGCAGATGAGATGGTCGCGACGGTTCGGCAGCGCTGGACGGGTCGGCGGATGGGACGGCAAGGGTTGCATCCACTGGATTCGCACTCCCCGAAGAGGCGGGCAGTGTCGGATCGGCAGCAGGAGATGTGGATGCACGAACAACTTCCTTGCCTTTGCTTGCCAGAGACGGTTCCTCCCCGATCACGGAGGATGAGCTGCTGGTAACCTTGCCCGGCACGGGCTCACTGGAGGCGTCCAGAGCGGAGGTGCTGGCATTACCGCTATACAAGCCCGTCTTGCGCGCCACCTTGTCTGCCCTTTTGGTCTCTTTCTCTCTCTCTTTCTCCCTTTTTCTGGCTTCCTTCTTAACCTCTTTCTCCTCCCGTTTTCGACGCTCTTCTTCACTGGCTAAACTCAAACGGATAGCCTCCATCATCATCATTTCCTCCAAGTCCTCGATTCGGGTGCGCCGGGAACTAGCCCGTGGCGGCGCTAAATTGCCCGTCCCTTCTTCAGCCGAGTCGGTATCAGGTCCCGGCGCACGTGGAGGTGTTCGGTCTGCCCGCTCCGTCAAAAAAGCCAATGCATTGAGGGCTGGAGAGCCGGTCCGGCCGGCCTGGCCGGCCTGGCCCGCTGAGTCTCCCGTAGCTCTCCGCATGCCTCTCCGTCCCAAGCCAAACCCACGCGAGTCACTACCAGAGGCGCCAGAGTTCATGAGATACGCTGCTGTGTGAAGAGCAGTCGCGGCTGCAGACCGACGCGCCGCATGAGCTCGGGCGTTGGCCAATTTCTGGGCCCAATCCGGTCGAACCTTGTCCGTCGTGACCACGGCAGGGTCGTTGGCGGACAGCGATGTCGCCCGGCGGCGGCCCAGAGCGGTAGGAAGATTTCCCGATGACAACGAGGACGTGGACGACACAGGAGACGTGATGTTGGGGGACGGACGGGTGTTGGGGTCAGCCACGTAAGTCAGGCCACGGCGGAACGGCGGCGGGGCATATATCACTCCAAACTCCGGCTGAACGCAGAAGGGACAAGCAGAAGGCTCAGAGGTAAGCTGTGTTTCGGCAGACTCGGCATTCTCCCCCTCGGATGGAGGCGGAGCATTGGGATCAGGCTCCCCGTGCTCCGCAGGGTGGGGATCCGGGCGCTTGATTTGAACAAAGCATTCAGAACAGATGGGCTGGTCGCAGCATCGGGTACGGTTCAAGTATGGCGGGTAGTAAAGGAAGCAGATGGGACATTCGCTGGAGTCTTTGTATAGGTAAACCTCAATCGGTTGCCCATTGACAAAGGGATCCTTGGGAAGGTGCAACTCCCGCGGAGTTAAATCGGTCTGCGAACCCTGTTTGGACGTTGTTAAAGCAGCCAAGGTCTTCGCCCTTGTCCGAAAGAGTGCCGAGGTTGATGTGCCGGATGCGACCGGGGAGGTTGCGCTGGGTAATGACTGGGCAGGATTGGAGGACTGTGATACATCAGAGTTGTAGGAGTGCGACCTCGACGTGATCGGAACCGTGAGATGCTGGATGTTGGTCACGTCCGATGGCTCGTTGGGCTCGCTGGTTTTGGGGAGCTTGTACTCTAATTCGGGCGGGATGTCATCCGGTGGAGGGATGGTCATGCCTCGGGCGGCTGCCATAAGTTGATGCTCAGCCCATGATTCGGAGAAGTCGTTCAAACCTCGCCAGAATGGGGCCAGTCGACGTTCAATCTACTCCCCCTCGTGGGTTAGTATCCGGGAGGTGCGTGCTTAACCAAGGGATGATCGCCACAGGCCTACCATCAACTGCCGGACCACTGCTTTGTTGAAGTCCTCCGTCCCCACATACACTCCTTGTGTTACCAGGTAGCCTCCATCCACGTGCTCTTCTTTCATACTGCGCTCTCGCTCCTTGAGCCGGGCGGCCCGTTCCTTTTCTAGGCGGCGCGCCTCTCGCTCCTGCTTCGTTTCCCGCCGCTGCTCGAGCGTTGCCACATCTCGTTCGTGACTACTCCCGATGCCCAGTAGAGAGAGGTCGGGTCTACTGCCCCGTGTCGACCGCGAACCAGTCTGATAGGGCACCCGCCCGGGAGTATCGGAAGCGCCTGGAGACCATTGATGACTTCGGCGACGCAGCGGAGCTGTTGATCGCGATTCCTTGGTCTGCGAGTTGCCCATGTCAGATGGCGGGGGCGGGGGGTGTCACAGACAGGATGGGAGAAAGAGCAGTGGAGCGTGGGGTCGGGCGAGCGTCAAGGTCAAATCGGTCAGTGTCCGACGTGGCCTCGGGCTAAGCGGAAGGGAAAGGGCCCCCAAGGGGGTGGATAGATGAGGGAGAGGAGACAATCGGGGCAAGATAGGAAAAAGGAAAACACCTGATCTAAAAGAACGAAAGAGAGAGGAAGAGGAAGAGAGGAAGATGAAAGATGGAGCTTGAAGTGTGGAGGAAAGAGGAGAAGCTTTTGAGGAGAGAGAGAGAGCGGGGGTTGTGATCGGGCTGAGGAATGGAAAAAAGGGCCCAAGTATGACCCGGACATTCATAATCTGCCGTGAAGATCGGATGTGGCGGATGTCTCTACTTTTGGGTTATTTTGATTTTGCTACCAACTCATTTAAGGTACAAAGCCCTCTAGGAAATGCCAATATGGATTGTTGGTGTCATCATCAAGTCATCCCGATTACATCAGCGGTTTAATGTGCAGTTGTCGATCCCAAAGTCAAGTTACGTACCCAAGGACACTCCACTGGGCAGTCTAAGGATGGGCTGATAGCGCCGGTGGTCAGAGAGGCAGAGACGCAGAGCAGAGTAAGTGCACGATGTGTCTGTTGTGTAGGTCCTGCCCAAGACCTCAAGCCAAGGCGGTGGCAGAAAGTCATCTAGATATTTTTTTTTTCTGCGGAGAAACCCAGACAGCTCGTCTCTCCCAAGTGAAACCATGTGCTCGAAATTGAATTGATATTTGGTGCTTGGCAGCCATGACGGACACGAACGCATCTACTAGACTTCACATCTCTCCATTCACACCGGATATTCTCCCGTCGGTGCTGCCACCATCACTGCGAAGCTCGGCCTCCGATATTTCATTCCACACCATTCCCACCTTCCCCGAGAACAACTACGGATACGTCACATTGCCTGCCATGGAAGCAGAGAAAATAAAGAAGAAGTTGAATGGCTCGATCCTCAAAGGCAAGAAGTTCAAAGTCGAAACAGCCCGCCCGCAAAAACGACAGCCAAAGGAAGAAGATGTGCCTGAGACTACCCGCGATACACACAAACCGTCCAAGAAGCGCAAGGCCCAAGATGAGGTATTGGATGGCTATGAGATGCCGTCGGACCGGAAAGTGAAGAGAGGCTGGACCGAGTCGACCACTGCCAAGAAAGACAGACGGAAATCTGAAAAGAAGACGGAGCAGGACAAGAAGGCAAAGGCTCCACCCAAATCCAAGTACACCGAGAAGGCCGAGTGTCTGTTCCGCACGACCGTTCCACCCAACCGCTCCTCAGAAGGAGTAGCCGACGAGAAGAAAGCCAAAAAAAAGAAGTCCGCGCAGGAATCAGTCGTCCATGAGTTTTCAAAGACTGTGACTCACCCAAGCTTTCTTCGCTCTGCGGAGGAGAGTGCACCACCAACGGCAACGTTTGAGGATGGAAAAGGCTGGGTGGACGTTGAGGGCCAGATGAAAGAGGCTAGCAGCGAGAAAGCCCGAAAGGATGATTTCCGACCCGGCAAAGTCGCAGGGGCTAAAGAGAAGCGACAAGTCCGCAAGGAATCGGCACTCAAAGAGTCGAGCGGCGCAAAAGGCACCAAAAAATCCTCATCAAAAAGAGAAACCCCAGAAGAGTCATCCGCCGAGTCAGAAGACTGGACCTCGTCCAGTGGCTCATCGTCTGAAAGCTCTGACTCGGACTCTGACTCTGGGGGTGAGAGTGAAGGTATTTCCAGTTCATCGGATGACTCGTCTGCATCTTCCGCCAAGGAGTTGAACCCTCAGGCACCTTTTAAAGAAACGAAGCCGGAAGACGCAGTCCCAGAGAGTGCGAGCCGACAAGCACAAGTTATAGACAGTGAGCCCGTTCAGGATGCGAAGGATTCTTCTGCCCAAGAAGTTCATCCGTTAGAGGCGCTCTTCAAGCGATCTGCCCCGGCGGAGTCAAAAAGCCATTCTGCATCAGAAAATGCTGGATTTAGCTTTTTTGGCAACGAAGACCTTGAGTCAGAGGACGAGCCCCAGACGCCATTCACTACGAAGGATTTGCAGAACCGGGGCTTGCGGAGCGCGGCACCCACGCCGGACACGGCAATGGTGAATCGACGCATGAAATGGACAGAGGAAGAAGAAGAATACGACGATGATGAAGAATCATCCATTGATACCCCGGTTTCCAAGCGTCGAGAGCCCGACAATGCCCCGGAGGAAACCGAATTTGCCAAATGGTTCTGGGAACACCGGGGCGAGAATAATCGGGCGTGGAAGAAGCGGCGGCGCGATGCAGCCAAGGAGCAGAGACAGCGTGAGAACCGAAAGAAGGGATTGAAGGGCAAGTCATGATCCAGGCAACTTTACCTGCTGGGGTTTTAGCGGATTCAACCTTAGAGAGAGGGTCTATATCTTGTACCTTTGATATACATAATAGCTTGGGACATACCAGCAATAGTCTCATGTGTGACGAGGAAATATTTTTGAATTTTGTCAGAAATTATAATACCCAATCATTATATTCTTCAGTCGATCCCTGAGTAGTAGATTGTTGGTCGATGCATTAATTATTGATCTGGTAGTCTGGGGTGTGTCACGTGACCTTTACCAACTCGACGGCGTCATCGACAAGACCCAAGTTACGACAGTCAACTGCGTCTCCAGGATGGTATCTGGCCGGTCTTCATCCAGCAGCAGCAAGCTTGTGCTGCTGCTTGCCCTTTTATTTTTCACATCCCTAACCCTGGCATCCAGTAAGTACCGACTACCTCCAAGCCACAGAATGGAATGTTCCGAGAACCTACGCCATGATGCCTGAGATACATCGCTAATGCGCTTTGATTCATCCCTTCTAGAGCCAGCTTCCTTTTGCAAATGTACCTGTTTCTCCAACAGTACTATCATTCCCCTTGAACCCGCCGACCCCGAAGCCTCCTCTCCGCCGTTTGATGATGTCCTGCAGCGCGCCGAGCGTGGTTTCGGTAGTTCTGAGGGGGAAGAGACATACAACCTGCACCGACGAGGATCACAGTATCAAGCTCGGAGCTGCAATGACTGCACCCGCAAGTTTTGCCTAAACTATGATCTACCCATGTGCAAACGCGCCAAGGAGGATGATGTGTTCACGTCTTGTTTTCGTAAGTGCTGGATTGGATTAGGATCAGGAAGTTACAGGGGAATAAAGAGAGCATACGTGGCTAACCAGGGAATTGGGTATATCTAGAGCGAGATTCTCGAAAAGATGAGGTGGTAGTGTTTCTCTTTATCTTTGCTACGGGTGGGCTTCTTGGCTGGGCTGTTTTCAAGCCCTGGGTGGAGAGGTATATGGAGGTTTGTGCAAGACCCCTGTGGGGTATGACTTGTCAATGATCACGGGCTAATGGAGTTCCTTGCAGGCTGCACGAGAGCGGAGGTCCTACATGCCTGTTGCAGAGACAGGCTAAGATTGTGAAACCAGCTAGGCAATCTCTTCTGACGCTCTCCCTAAATCCATGGATATATACCCAATATGAAGCCTCAGTTGATCTACATCGACCCAAATATATACGTAGCTGCCGTCTGTACCTTGCTGACATACCTGTCATACCAGACGATGATGACATTGGCACTCGATTCGAGGGATCGGAGAAGTCCGTGAGCAAAGATGAGATCACCGGTAATTCCGTGGAATGTCAATCTCGATGAGGTATTTGATGAGATAAATCCAGATATTACCGATAGAGTGTACCACATCCTGGAACCTGGGATATATCGATATATCAACATAACCATGGGTCGGGGGGGTCCAATGGACTATAGCGCATGGCGTATAGCGCGTAGTATAGCGCAGAGATAAATTGAGATTCATGCGCCCCACAGATGAAACGAAGGAGAACCCCACAAATCGCAAGAATGGGCGTATCGGCCAATATGGCTCCTGCAAAATACCGAGCATCGACCGATGATTCAATCGAGCATTTGGGGAGGAATTGGATCTCTCATCTGGTGGAGGTAAACGGTCAGGCCGTGTGGCTCTTCACTTTTTTTTTTCATTTTTTTTTTGCCTTCCCCATTTTCCTTCTCTGGTTTCCCTAGCTTCCTCTTCCTTTTTTTTTAGCCTTGACCATCATCTCTCTCTTCTCCCCCCTATTGCAAAACCCCAAAACTGCGTCGATCCAGACCCTAAATCCTCTCAGCTCGGCATCGCGCGGATCCATCGAGATCGGCTACCCCGACTAAACCGAGTGGCGCCTGATAGTCACTGCCTTAACCCACCCAGGAGATCGTGCCGAGAAAACCAAATTCAACTTCTTCCGGTGGACGCCCTTGCCATTGGGCTCATATATCATGGCGATCTTCGACTCCGAGAAACGCCCCAAAGGCTTCCGCGTCCCCTCGTTCGGGAAGAAGTCTGGCGCCTCGAAATCCCAAACTTCCTTCCACAGTAAAAAGTCCACCGGCTCTGTGCCTCCCGACGACGATCCAATGCCAATTCCAGGCCCGGCCGCCTATCCTGCCCCGCCTCGACCGCGCCCTCTCCCGAACAAAGAATTGCCGCCAACTCCTAACGAGGCACGGGGGCAACCACCGCCACGAACCACTTCCATTCCCCGGCGCGGCCCGCCGTGAAGAGCAGTTCGTGTCCGACGGAGCTGGCCCCGGTGGCACCGCAACCCATACGACCAACGGTCCCGTCGGCGCTGGAGTCGTCGACGCGTCCGGATATGAGAACCAGCCCGCGATCAAATGAGAACATCTCAGCATCTTCACAGCCCATACGACCGACGGTTTCGTCTACATTGGAGTCGTCGGCGCGTCCGGATATGAGAACCAGCCCGCGGTCAAATGAGAACATCTCGCTGTCATCACAATCCATACGACCGACGGTTTCGTCTACACTGGAGTCTTCGCCTCGGCCGGATATGAGGAGCAGTCCGCGCTCCAACGAGAATCTGTCAGCAACATCAAAGTCCATGACCCCGGCGGGACAGGACGTTTCGCCCCGACTAGGGGCGAAGAGCAGTGCGCGCTCGTTCAACCTGCCTGTGGCACCGCAACCCATACAGACAATGCCGCAGTCCTCTTGGGAGCAGCCGCCGCCAGCAGAGACCTTCTCCTCTGTAACGGCACCCAACCACGAGCCCGCGGCGCCGATGGATGACTACGACGCAATCATAGAGGACCCCCAAGGCCCGCTCGAGATCATGCCGGATGATGGACCGACTCCGCGGCCCTTGACACCGCCGGAGGTTGAGCCCGTGGCCGCACCTCTGAACAAGGTCCATTTCATGTGTTTCCAAGAGCATCGCGCAATGCCCGCTGCCCCGAACGTGTGGTGTCCCGTGCCGTGCATGACATGCCACAAGTTCGATAGCAATGTTCGGTATCGCTGTGTCTTCTGCTGTCTTCGGATCTGCCAGGACTGCTATCAGACGTTGGAGAAATGTCGCCACCGGTCGTTGAAAGAGCTGATGTACAACATTGGGTGAAATCGGGGTTCGTTTCTTCTTTTGGCGTAGAAACGGCGCAGTGCTTCTAAGTCGAGGCCACCGGGGAGAGGCACCAGTGTTTTCTTCGCGCGGCTTGGTCATTCTTGTTATTTGCCCCCCTGCTTTCTGCGTGTGTTTTTATGATACCAAGGACTTCGTGTATATTATAATTACCCCCGGGGGAACCGAATTTGCATGTTTATAATGCCGTTGTGCGACGGTGCTGCAAAGGATCCATGCATGAAGCATTTGAGTCAATGGGCTGAAGAGAGAGTCATCTGTCGTGGAACATATTATACAAACGGGATGGGGGGGGGGGCAAGTCCCAGAACCCAAGGAAATCAATCATGATCCTCCTCCGTGAGCCCCGGACAGCCCTCCAAATCTTCTTCGGTTTCGTAGCGATACTTGCACCAGAAGCAATACAAATGCGCCTGGCGCAGGTAAAGAAGCAGTTTGTGGAACCGTTCTGCAGGCTCGAGCGCATTGAAGGCATCCAGCTCCGGATCTTCTTCCTCAAGTTCTTGCTCCACGGCGGCGGTATATGGATCCTGTCGGCTGCCAAGAGCCTGCTGGTCGTCTCGCTCCAGGACAGAGTCATTGTAGCTCGGTAGACGGGGGTTCGGGAAAAAAGATGACGGGAGGGAGCTTTGGAGAGCATGGCGGGCCTGGATGGAGCGCTCTCGTTCCTCGCGTTCGCGAACGAGGCCCCGGTAGAGGACATTGATGATGGGTGTGGGCTTGATATGTTTCGGCTGGCGGGCTGTCGGTTCTTCGTCACTGGCCGCGCCATCTTCCTTTTCCTCTGCGTCTTCCTTGGCATCCTGTGTGCGCCCAGTGTCTTCTTCCTCGGTATCCGTCTTTTTCATCTTCCCCTTCTCCTCCTCCACATCATCTTCAGCCTCAGTATCCAAGCGCTCGGCGACCTTCTGCGCCGCTCGAATCAGCGCCTCGGTGCGCCTCAATTCGCGTTCCTCCCGGACCCGATCCCGGTAGTCACCTTCCTCGTGCTTGATCTTCTTAACGGCTTCCTCCGCCTCCTCGCGGATCTTGCGCTTCTTCTCGCTGTCTAACCCGATGCCACCGCGATTCTCCTTGAACACCAGGTTCAGAGGCTCAGAACGGGCTGGAGGCGCGTTACAGTCTGTGGCGGTGGGATCGCGTTTCCCTAGTGCCTCGCCAGGTTTGAATCCCAGCTTCGCCATCATTTGAAAACCCTTGTTGGAGGGGTTGAGCGTGCTGGTTGCCAGGGCTTCATCGCGGCGGACGGCCTCTTGGGCGGCGCGTTCGGCTTTCGATGGGACTCTGCCACGGGCTTCGGACTGGGGAGAGAGCGAGAGGTAATGAGTTAGCGACGGAGCGAAGGAAGGAAAGCATTGGAGGGCAGGAATGTGTAAAGGGGGGGGGATCTAATTAAAACAAAGAAAGCCAATTGCGTACCTCGCGTTGTTGTCGGAGCTTGCGTTGCGCAAAGGTTTCTTTCTGCTTGGGCTCCTCGATGACCATCGACATGTAGTCGTCTTCTTCGTCACTGGCCGACATTATCTATTCCGAGTGTGCGCGCAAAAGACGATGGGTTTGCGCAGGGAAATTGAGTGAAGGGGAAAAAATCCGTGCGGGGAATAAAGCGGAGCGCAACATCTCCCCGCTCTATGAATATTTCATTGACACTGGGATATCTTAGCTCTGAAGAGATCTTGGGCGCCGTTGTGATCTATCCATGTACATGATTTCTTTTTTGACCAATCCTACAACCTTGCTGGATCAACTTCGTGACTTGGGCTTGACTCGGACCTACTGAAACCATACATACACCTAGACAAAAATGAACAAAACCAGTGTGGTATCTTTCTCGATGGATTCGACTTTTATTCCCCTGGTAATGCACCGAACAAACAATGATAAGAAGTATACACCAACCGAACAGAATAGATGCAAGGTGCAAATATGTAGTTTGAAGAATGAGAAAGCAAATAGCACAAAATGCATGGATATTACCGCTTCCCTTGGCGCAGCCTCTTCTCCCTTTCGTAATCGTTCGCAGCGCGACCCTCCTCGTTCTGTATCTCCGCCACAAGCCGCTTGTACTTCTTCTCGTACTCTGCATCGCGCTCCTTCTTCTCGCGGAGCTTCTCGCGCGCAACAAAACTGGCATCCTTGCGAAGCTCGCGCATGGCACCTTTGCGCTCGCGCTTGTACTCGGCCTTGAGACGGTTGGATTCGGCACGCTCGCGGTCCGGGTCGTAGTGCTTGTCCGGGTTGAAGTTCTCCTCGAACTTGGGAATGGCGGACTTGATGGCCAGAGGGCGGTGGTCATGGAGAAAAAGCGGGCGGCGGGTGAGACGTGCACGGGCAAGGTGGGCGTCGAGCTTGTCAAGAGTAGATTGAGTGCGATCTCGGGCCTCTGCGAAGGTTTTGCTTTTGAAGCATTGGCGGAGGTGGCGGAGAACCGCGCGAGCAGGACTGAAAATCTCAGTGAAAGCAGATTTCTCTGCCCAGACGTCAGAGGCGGAGTCAAGAAGAGACACGAAAGTGGTGACCAGGGAGACCTTTAGGTCCTCCTCGGCTTGGGGGTCCAAGGTGGAAGCAACCACGTCGCGGAAGTGCAACTTGCGCGGGCTGGCCTTCTTGGATGACGAAAGACGAATGGAATCCTGCGAAGTTCGGGATGGAAAGAAGCCAAGCTCGCTGGCCGGCTCTGTAGGCGCGAGATTGCAGAGAGCATTTAGAGTGTAGTTGATAAATTCAGGCATGTATCTCTTCGAGGCGGTTTGGTATTGGAGACAGAGGCTTGTGGCGAAGGCACCTATTGTAAAGTCTGCAAGAGTATTCGCAGAGCATTGACCCAGGTACCGGGCGAGGCACAGATGAGCCGGCGTCACCACCGCATGGAAATGGTCTGATGTGGGAAAGACAGTCGAAATTCCGGTCAGAATGACGAGGTCACCGGGAAGAAGACTGAGTGGACGATCTTGAGACATTTTGCGAAGGTGTGCTCGAAATGCGGCGGCAACGTTTACCGGGTGCATCTTGGCCAACGAGTGGACGTGCCGCAGTATGCTCTCCACGATGGAAAACGGAGGTTGCTCGGACTCATTTGCCATGTACGACACGTGCTCAACGAGGATTTCGGCAAAACGTCCGAGTTTCGCCTTGTTATCACTGTGGAGGCGAGGGTGATGCAAAGCTCGAATGCGCTGGATGACTGTCGGGGTATCTTGGATGGGCACATTTTTGAGGGTCTCCAGGAAGCTCTCATGGTTGTTGGGGCAAGGGTATGTGAATGCCAACTTTCCGTTGGCTGCCTGATCCACTTCGACGGCTGTTGATGCGGCGCCAGCAGTAGCGTGTGTTGGCAGCGTCAATCCGTTGATGAGTTCGTCTTCTTCGTCCGGTTCCTCTCGTTCTTCCTCCTCCGAGAGCTCTTCTTCTTCCATGTCGCTTTCATCAAGAGAGAGGCTGACGTTTGACCTAGTCTCAACGAGGTCATCATCAATGATGAAATCATCCTCGTCCTCCACACCAAGTTCAAGGCGCGATTGTCCAGAATTTGTTGGAAGCCCGAAAGCCATGGCATCGTCAATATCCTCATCCTCATCTTCAGAACCTTTATCTTGGCCTTGGTCTTCCTCCTCCTCGTCGCTCAACTGTTCACCGCGCATTCTCCGAATCCTGTCTTCTTCGAGTTGTTTCAGCCGTTCAGCTTCTTCCTCTGCCTTTTCTTCCTCAGTCTTTGTGCGATCTGTCGGCTTAGATCGCTTGTCAAATGTCAACTGTTTGAGTCGTTGGTCGTATTCCTTTTCGGTATCCTTCTTCTCCGGCTCTTGCAGCAAGGCTGCACGATCCGGGTTCATAGTTTCCAGATCCTGTTTAGCGGGTTCCGGCTTCGGAGGTTGCTTAATTCCCCGCAAAGCCTCGAAAAGATCAGGGAGCTCCTTGTCGAGCTCATCTCGCAGGTCATCATCGTCCTCCTTCGCTTGTTGCCGTTCGTGCTTGTGGAATTTTGATTTGGCAATGACTTCCTTCATGACCTCCGCCTTGGACTTTTTCCGGTCTGGCTTCGCTTCGCCCTCGTCATCAACCAAGTCCTCCATATCTCCGTCATCCTCGATAAAGCGCTTGCGTTTTCGTGACATATCGTCATCTGATTCCTGATCCTCCAAGTCGCCCGCCTCGAAATCATCTCGATTTGTCTGATCAAGATCTAGCGACTGCCCCATGTGTGTAAGCTGGAACTCGTCCTCTTCATCCTCGAGATTGAACATCGACTCTTTGCGCATCTTTCTCTGGCTTTCTCTCGCAAACCGCTCGGCCGCCCGCTCCTCGGGTGTCATGGTCGGGTCATTTTCACCGAACCGGCGATCAACAAGTCCACCGACTTTGTTTCGGCTGTTGATCTCTTTTAAGAGCGTCGCACGTCGCTGGGAGGCAAAGTAAGTCGTGTATCCATCGCAATGTATCTGCGAAGAAGCGTAAACCTACCTTTTCTTCACCCAGTGACTTGGTGACTCCCGGGCGAACACGCCCAGCGGTCGTCGAGCCACCATCGCGGGTGGTCGCATCAAATTTGCTTTGCTTGGTCGGTGCCTTGATCTCAAACGGGTTGAATCGGTCACGAATGGCTTGTAAGGCGGCGTTGCGCTGGTTTCGATTCTGCGCCCCAACTCCGGACTTTGCATTCTGGCGCTTTTGCTTCTTGGATTGCTGGGGACCAGTAACCCCACTCTCCCGAAGCGAGGCCTTCAGCTGCTTCAATTGAGAAGGCGGCATGGCGTCTGAGTTGAAGGTGGATTTTTGCTCGCGTGAAATCAAAGAAAAAAAATCAATCTCACCGCCCGCCGATCCCGATTCTGCCAACCGCCTTTTCTCCGCATCGCATCAACATCCACTTGGTCGTCATCATGGCTCTGTTCTCAGGTGATGGGGTGCTTTGGCTCTGTCTAGGTATGAAAAGCCAATGTTATTGCGGGCAAATTAATTCTAATGTATCCTGATTTAGGCGTATCACTATTCTTCGCCGTCCGAGGCATCGCCACAGACCTACGCCAAGTTGTCGACCTGACCGAGATCAAGCATGTTGAGAAAGAAGACAAGATCATCAGCGAGGGCACTGAAGAAGGTATTTTAAGATACATTATTCTATGTTTCATTGGCTACACTGACAGCTTTCTAGCCCTCAAGCTTGATACTCTTTTGAAGCTCTCTGAGAGCACCAGCCACGACCTCCGAGCTGCGTATGGCAAACCCGCTCCCTAGGGGGTTATGCGACTACAGCTAATACTGAATAAGTGCCTTGCGGATTATTTCCGAACGATCGACCAAGGGCGAAACACGCGATCTGCTATTGGAAGACTTAGCATGCAAGGACAAAGCACGGCAAGGCCGCGCTCTGAATGCATTGCATTTTCTGGTTTCTAACCGGGCGTGTATGAACACCACTCAACTTCGTCTCGGGAAAAGCCCAGCTCTGATTAATCGCAGTATCTCGAACCTCCGTATGCAACCGACTTCGAGACCTCTACACCTACACAGCTCTTATCAACTGTCTCTGCAACTTTCTAGAGGAGCATGTTGACCAAACAACTGCAACAAATTCGCCTATTCTGCCCAAGACAAGACCGCTCGGAGAAAGAAAAGCGCTCAGCATTATGAATATATTGCTTCCGGAGAACGTACCTGGGGCGCTGGAAGCAGGGATCATTAGCCGGTGGCTCTGCAAGTATCCGTTTCCATGTGCCTTGGCTCAACCATCTCGGCGACAGGACGTGGTGATTCTTATGAAAACATGGTGGTCTGATGATGCGGTCATGAGTTCGATCTTCACCACGCTATCCTCACACCCGGACGGGATTAAACAGCTGCGGAAGCATGGCCTGATGGGCAGCATGATTGAAGAAAATGACCACGACAATGATGACGCCGATAGTGATGTGTGGATGGTAGATGGAGATGATACAGCTGGCTCGTTCCGAAGGGTTTCCTCGCGAAGGCTTCAGGAGGGCAGCTTGGAAGAACAAGCACTTCGGCGCCGGCGAAGGGAAGCCATGGTTTTGAGTGACGGTGGGCGGCCTCTCGGGAGTGACGATATCATCCAGCGACCTATTCAGGATGATTGAGATTTTATACATTGCTTTTGGTTTACACAGTGCTTGATATCTGACTTTCATGCATGTTTTATGATACCCCAATGTCAGAAAGATGAATGATTGAATGCAATTAAATGCCCTAAAAATAATCCCAGAAAAAATTTAGAGACCCATCCATGCTGACTTGGCCAGGTGGTCAGTCTTCTTTCGGCTGTTCTTGACCACACCAAATGCCTTTAATTCCGACAAGGCTCCATAGAACAGGGTCATAACGACGCGCTCATCGCAACTGTCACCCTGATCACTCTCAAAGACTGCGTAGAAAGCCTGCCAGAGATCGTGGACATTCACCAGGGCACCCGATTCAAGATACAGCTGATATAATATCGCGGTGGCAGGTTGTTTCGCCGAAATCTTGCCCTCGGTGACATCGAACGAGGAAAACAGGTAGTCAAATGGACTGGCCAAAGCGCGCTCGATGGCAAAGCGCGGCCGAGGCGCGAACGTTTCTTTCAGTGGATTGCGCAAATCAAATAAGAAGAGCTCGTGCAGGAATAGATCTTGTGGGTTCACCAAGATCTCCGCGAAATATTCCTGCAGTATTGCCACTAGCCGGTCGATGATCTTGGTGTACTCGAGGTCTTGCTCAGGCAGTTTTGCCTTGCCTTTACTGAGTCGGACGCGCTGTTGGACGACAGTCGTTTTCACCACGGAACTGTTGGTGTTGTATTCGCTGCGCAGCGGCCCAGAGTCTGGGTATGTCTGCAGCAATGTCTGGATATCGTGTTGTATTGCACTAAAATGTGCGTCATTGAAAAGAGCTCGCGGAAGGCTGTTTAGCAAGCACATCAGCTTTTCGGAATCCAATGTTTTCATTGTGGCCAACATTTCTTCCACGATTGGTGATTCGCCCAGCTCCCCTGAGAGGGCACGAATCGAGAGGTCAGAAACACTGGTCTTCTTGGAGCTTTGCGTATGCTGGAGACAAGCATGAATCACCAGAACCACCTGAAAAAGGCGTCGCATTTTCTGCTGATTTGTGTCGAGGTGCTTGGAAGTTTGCTGGAGAAGATATTGGTCATCCTCCAACAGACCTCGGACTTCTTTCGAAAAACCCGCTTGTACTAAATCCTCACAAAACCTGGCAGGTTATTAGCCCAGAAAGTCCATTTTAAAACAGGCCACACAAGCTCACATTCGGAAGGACGGCAGATTCCTGATTGCCTCGCAGATTCGGAGCTGGGGCAACATGGTGGATGCTGGATTCGCCAATAACACTGCCAGAGGGTTGGCAAAGAAATGTGACATGTACGCATACTGAGGAAAAGTTAATCAAAAATAATAACCACAATGATAATCGGTGAGGGAAAGGTTGAAGTTAACACTTACCTTGACCATGCGGCTGAACGCCTCTGGGCTCTGAAAGAAGTCGCTAGATCTTTCAAATAGGGTGCTAGTGATATTACGACCCAGCCAGAGCCTCCCAGTCAGGTCTGCTTGGAGAGCCTCATAGATGCGGTCGACGCAGTTGCCGGCTTCTTGGACCTCAAAATGTCTCCCCTGGAGCAGAGATGCACACGAACGAGGGAGCCGCCCTTCGAAGAGCTCGACCGATGTGGAAATTCCCAGAAGCACCGTGAAGGGTATGCGATCAAGCCAGGACCTAGTAGAAGATGAGTGGGTAGGTCCATGCTCGTTTAGCTGGTTGGTCGTACCTGAGTAGCGACAGAAGATCGGTCAATAGTCCTGGGTCAAAGGCTTCGCTATCCCGAAGCGCGAGAACCAACTTCTTGGTCCCCTTCCTTTGAACGTAGTCATGAAGCAGGTCCAAGTCGTAGCCGAGAAGTCGAGGTCCCTATTGAATAGTTAGTACAATCGAGTTGGTTTTCCAATCGCAAGCACGTACAGCTCGATCGGTGAGGAATTTCTGGTACCCATCGTTGCCCTCGGTATTTGTGACTGCAGCTCGAATGATGTTTTTCAGTGTTGTCTTGAGATTGGGTGCATCGCCAGATTCCAGCACCACTACACCGCCATCTCCAGTGGCGGCCAGTTGGTCGTTGAGTCGCGATAGCAATCGACTGAGCGAAGAAACATTAGATCCGACGGTGACCAATGCTGTTGGAATACAGCCATGACACCTAGGATATTATATCAGACCGCTGGTTTCTGGTTCTTTTGCTAGGATCGGGTCATACGTTTGGGGTGATGTGTTTCGGACAAATGACAGCACGTCCATCAGAACTCCCGCGTCGACATCTTCAAGGATTCCCTTGGACTCACATCAGCGACAAACAGTCTTTGGGGCGATGTCAGTAATCGCCCACTCACCTTGATCTTCTGCTTCTGCACCGACCAAAGTTGTTTATAGATATCGTATCGCAGCTGCACGCACTCGGCGTTCTCGTCTCCGTTTAGAAGGGGAGCAAAGGACTGGTGGTTTTTTGGCTCTTCGGATGCATCGGTTGAGGCGACCTTGCGGCGTTTAGAGGGCCGCTCTCCGGCACCTTTCCCTTGTTGAGTGGGCTGGTAGATGTACACGCCCTGTACGCGGTTAATTAGCGTTTCGGGGGGGGGGCGCTGTGGGTGGGGAGAACTCACCTGGGACTGGGACTTGTCTCTGGATGACTCCAGCACTTCGGCATCGAAGCCATCGATCTCCATGCTGGACGGTTGATCGATTTCACAGCAAAACAACCGACGGGCGTCGGACCTTCAGGCGGAGGCGCTAAGCCCAATCAGGCGAGACCGGGGTGTTTTGCCGTCCGCCGCTTTTCAATTCTTCAACTTTCTCATTCGTCTCCATCCGATGAACTCCAGCCTTCATGCTCCGCCAGGCTGTTCGAGGAGCTCGATGGTTTCAGCATGTACGTCCATCGATTGCGCCCCGGCGCGCCTTCGCCGCCATAGCTCCGCGCTATCTCGACTTCGGCGGACCAAATGACAAGGTCACTTTCTACGATCAGGATGCTCCCGGAGGCAAAAAGAAACTGATCGACCCTGAAGCCGAAGATAAAGAGGAGCGCGAGGAAATTGAGAATGAGCTTACGAAGCTCCGAAGAGAGCTAAAGGAACTGGAGGAGGGGCCGTTTAGTCCCAACGGTGCGTTTATCCAGAGCATGCCGGAGGAGGATAGGAAGATTGCACTCGAAGCCTTACGACAATACGATGAGGAGAACCCGTCGGAACTGCATCTTACGCTGGACGATGTTTTCGACCAGGAGTTTGACGACATGTTGAGAGAAGAGTTCGAGGATCTTGCGATGGAACAAGAAAACTGGCAGGACGAAGCCAGAAAACAACACAAATTGGACGCAATTCGGTCTGCTCAGGCGCTCAGAAGGGCCAAGACTCACCCTTATGCCATCAAATTCGGAGATTCGTTGAGACGGCTTCAGCAAAATCTGTCGGACGAAAAAGGGAACCAGGAGCTGTGGAAATGGTATCGGCGGTGCAAAGAAGCGGTTCCCGGTTTTCTCACAACAGTTTCCAAAGAAGCGATTGATCTTGTGTGGAAATCACAGACTACCGGAGACTCTGGAAAGATTACACGATCAACGCATTTACAGACCCTTGTGAAGGATTCAACCTCGGTCGGCCGATCCCTCACCACCCCTCAAATCCTTTCCTATATAACCGCTCTTCACGATGGAGGTGCGACAAATCAGGCATTGGAGCAGTGGGAGGCATACCAAGCGGAGTTGTCCGAGAAAAAGGAGGACCTCGAGGAATACTGGAAGCTCGGCGTGCGGCTTTTTGCGGCGGAAGACAATCCTCAAAGAGCCCAGGATATCGCCTTGGCTTTTCTCGCGAATGACCCATCCCGCCAGCCACGGGTTCTTATTCCCGTCATCACGGCGTGGGGCAGACTGCCCGGCAAGGAAGCAGAGGTGAAAGCGTGGACCCTCTATCTGCAGCTAAAAACCTTTTTGGGCACGGAAATGACCATGCAAGACTACGATCAGGTGAGCATCGGCCTGCTTACAGCTGGTCGGTTGGACACTGCAGTCGCTATCTTCAAGGACATGATGGTGACGGGGCAAGACACGGCGAATGACTCGACGGCGCTATACAAGGCCGCTCTTGGTGTCGCTGGCAATCTTCATGCTTCAAGTATTGATGAACATGCTGTGAACAAAGTCTCTTTGTCTGCACTCACGGTACTGCCGCGTCAATTCCAGAATCGATTCTTCTATGCCAGTTGGATGAAAAAGCTCATTGGAATGGGCGAGGTCGACTCTGCTGCACTTGTTATCGAGCTGATGTATGAGCGAGGCGTGAAGCCAGACATCAAGCACTTGAATGGCATCATTGGGGGCTGGCTCCGAGAGGGCAATGCAGGCGCAAGGGACAAAGCAGAACGACTTGGGTGGGCCATGATCCAGCGCCGGATTGATGCTGCATGGAAGCGGTTTCAAATCACTGCCAAGGCTCCCCAGGTTCAGGTCACTCACCAAGAGAACAACAGCCGCATTCCCAAGTTCTTGCAACGAGAAGTTCCTTCCGCCAGCATAGAGACATTCTCCATCCTGCTTCTGCACTACACTCGCCGGGGTGATGACGACATGGTCAAGTATTTGATCAAATGCCTAAGCGATGCGCAGATCCAGCCGAACTCCTATTTCATAAACCACTTACTCTACGCCGAACTGCGAAAGCAAGACATTCGGTCCCTCTGGTCCAAGTTCCAGGCGATGTCATCGACCATCCGCCCCGACCTAGAAACCTATGCCTGCCTATGGGACTGCGCCAAGCTCCAATACGACCGTGGGCGGACAGCTTTCGACTCCGGGTTTCCCACGGCACGCCAGCTGTATGCTTATATGATACGCTGGCATTCGCAGCTCTCCCCGCGCGGTCAAAAAACCGCCAAGGCCCAGTTCTCCAAGGACCTATACGACCAGATTGTGCGTTGCTTCTGTCTCTCCAAAGATATTCCTGGTACTTTAGTGGCACTCCATTCTCTGTGGGCAGTATTTGGGTATGCACCCGACGACATCACTGCCCGCCTGATTGTCCTCCAAATCGCGCGGCTGGCCGGCGTACCCACAAACACCCCGAAACGCCGCCTCCGACGCCTGTCCTCCACCCCACGAAGCAAAGAGAACATCGGGCAGGTCAGCCGGTTACTGGACATGCTGGGTGAACGCAAAGCCGCAGCTTTGCAGGTCCACGGATTGAAGCTGGACCAGCTCGACCCGCACGAAAAGCGGCAGCACCAAGTTGAGATCATGGCGAGTCTTCTACGCATTGTGCTGAGCCGAACCGATGAACTAGATCCTATCAGAGTCGAAGAAAAGCTCGCCCAAGCGGCGACGGATATGCAAGTGGAGGGACTGGATCTGGGATCGCCTTTGGGGGTCGATGATAGCCAGCTGCTGTAGAGTGGCTTTTTTGTATAATCTGCATGGATATCCTGGTGGATCAAGGCATGCATGCGGTGGCGTTGGAAGTGGTTCTTTTGGGCCCACGGCAAATGGGCTCTATGTATTCGTGTATATTATTGGGCGTCTGGTCAAATGTACAGTGGTCTCCTCTTTCATTTCGATATACCTTCTACATCGCGTACCTACAGGCAGGCCTATAATCTACAATACCATGGTGTGGATGGCAGGGCCCAACAGAAGCCCAGAATCGGCAATGACCGAACTCCATTGACCAAGAAAAAAAAAATCTAACAAATACACATCAGAAGCAAGGCCAAGCTTCTTATTTCTTCCCCTTGCCCTTCTTCTTCTTCCCACCTCCACCGCCACTAGGAGTAGCTGGCGTGGGTGCGGGTTGACTGGCCGACGGGTCGGCCTCAACCAGCACCGCGTCGTCATCACTCCCCTGAACCGAGGATGCCGGGAGCGAGGTCGCCGTCTCGAAAGTCTTGGTGGTGGTCGCAGTCTGCGCAGCACCATTACCGGTGGTCCCAGACGAGCCCTCATCCAACTCCTTCATAAACCCCTCCTGGATGCTTGCCTTCTTCTTGTCCCACCACTGGCGCTCCTCGGCCAGCTTGGACTGGTGCTCTTCGATACGCTTACGGTAGATGTCATTGTTCAGCATTTCGTTGGCGGATTGAAAGATGGTTTGGCCCCAGTTAGGGGTGTAGGCGTTTGCCTGGTGATTCGAAGAAATAGGGTTAGCCATGAATCACACAAAATTAAATAACAATTCAAAACAAGAAGATATGAGTAATAAGCAACCTACCTCCGACACCACATCGCGCACTTCATCCTCCATCTCCTTCTCGGCGCGCTGGAATCGCTGCCAGAGATCATCGCCTACACTCCCACGCTGGAGGAGCATAGCCAGAGCCTGCTTCTGGCTCCGGAGCGCCAGAACGCGACGGATGTCTTCCGTGGCGCGACGGAGAAGAGCAGCTTTCAGGACAGAGTCCGGAACAGCGGGGGCCTTCTTCTCCTTTGAGGTAGACGAGGGTTCCAGATGGAGCAGAGAGAAGTAGATATCGCGTTGCAGGTGGGCGGGGAACCATGGCTCCAGGGAGGCTGCTTTTCCTGTTATACGGGGAATGAAATGTCAGTCCCATCTATGGTCATATCGGTGGGTTGTGTGCCACATACTAGCCTTGCGCTTGCGGTAAAGCGAAGAGAAGGTTGCCAGGGAGCCTAGCAGGACGCCAAGATAGGCCAGAGGCACAGCGAGACTGAGCCAGTCGACCATTGTGGGTTGTGATCGGAGGGAATACAGGGAGTCGGAGTCGAAGAAGCAGAGGTTCACGCGGTCATGGTTTGGGGAATTGGCTGAGTCGCAGCAAAGGGACACACTCAAAGGCCAGGTGTTGAGTGGGTCACGTCACATGGTCTGCTACCACAATCCATCAACTATACAATCCCCAAACACCAGCAGCCTTGCTTTTATCGTTTATTTTCAGGTTCTTCTGATTGAGAAGTAAAATTGAAAAGCATAACCCTATCCACAATCTCTCGGGAGTACCGACCTCCCTTCACTTGGATCTCAGAGGACCCGAGGATTCCAAGCAAAATAGTGAACAAAGCCTCGACTTCTACGCACTTGGATTAGACAACAGTATAAAACAGGTAAATTGGGAGGTATCCATCTTGTTTTTCTACCGTAGATACATCTATGGACCCTCCAACACAACCTCGGAAAATACAAAAGGCTCGTAAGCACAAATACATGTATCCGGTCCATCTCGCCAGCAAAGAAAACAAAAGATCTCGTCAAATCCAGGGGGAATATGGTTTTCGGGAAAAGAGGGTAAGGAAAAGCCTATGAACACAAGGGAGAAAAAGGAAAAGGAAAAGGATCATGTCGCAAAGCTCGGGTGGCCCAGCTGCTCCTTGGCGTGTTGGCTGATCGGACCGATCTCCTGCATGGCCTGCATATCCTCCAAGACGGCGTTGAAGGTCTCGGTTACACCCTGGGCCACATTGGTACGGTTCCATTCGCTGCGCATGCGCCACACGTAGTCCATCAAGCTGGTGTTGATTTGCTCCAGTTGCTCAACGGAGCAGCCGCTGGTCAGGTGCGTCAGCTGCGCATGCAGGTGTTCAACGTAGGAAGAGTCCAGGACTAGCTGGGTGGGCGGCTCCTCATTGAGCAGCGATTGCAGGTTGGCCGAGGCATTGGTCCCATGCGTGGATGCATCGAAGAGTGGTGGTTGCGGTTTCGGCTGGGACTGGCTCCCATTCAATCCACTGTTCTCTGAGTGACTGGCATCTACAGGGCCAGACAATGAGTCCCGGGGACGGGGAGAGGGCTGACTGCCACCCGGCTGGGTGTCGGGCAAATGCTCGTCCTGTGATACGCGATCAGGATACTGCATGAGGTCGGGGTACTCGTGCCGCGAGACAGGAGGACTCTGGGTGTAGTATTGCTGGTTCGAATGCTCGGAGGACTTCTTGTCGGACGTCGTCTGCGTGGTGGATGCTTCGTTGGTGTAGTCGGCGGGCTGCGATCCAGGTGCCATGGGCGTCATGGGCCCCTGCTGTGAGAAGCTGGAGAGACCGGACTCACGGCGGACCTGTTGAGATGGCGCAGTGTGCGAATACGGCGGCTTCGGCTGCGCAGAAGGCCCAAACGAGCTGGTCTGCGTCTCCTTGCTGCCGGTGTGATCCTCGGAATTGGCCATAGTAACATCCCCGTCTCCATCCCCGTGAGAGCCATTGCTCAGTCCACCATTGGGGTTAAGCTCATTAAGATCCGAACCACCACCGTGGTGGTATCCGTTGGCGAAACTCACAGTCGACCGATGTGTTGGCGTCACCGGGCGTGCCGCAGCTTTCTCGTCTTTATCGGGGAACAACTCGCCCAGGCGGATCGGTCCAGAGGATGGCCCAGACTCCGTGTTCCCATGTGGCACATTTGCTGACCCAGGCCGAGAACCAGCTTGCTCTTCTGCCGCTCGTTGCGCACGCTCAGCAGCTTCCTTCTCCCGAGCCAGCTCCCGCTGGTAAACACCTTCGCACTCAACGACAAGTGCCGGTTCACTTTGTTCGATAGTAGAAACATCGACCTCGACATTGGACAGAAGTTCATTCGCTCGCAACAGCCGTTCCTGGTCCTCCAGCTGACGAGCATCCTTCGCAATCCGTTTGATGTCCGCCAGGAAATCGCTTGAGCGCTTGTAATAGCCATTTGACAGGCGCTTTTCGATGGTCACAATCTCCATGTTGTAGAAAAATTTCCCAGAGGCAACCTCGCGGAGGCCCGGCGCACCATACTTGTCATAGGCCTTCTCAAACGGTCGTAAAGTTTGGTCCTCCACAGGGAGATCACTCGTCACAATGTTCGGATCCTCTTCTTCCCACAGGTATCGAATTTGTGATTCATCGATCACACCAGTCCTGAACCGCTTGTACTTCTTGATTTGGTCCATGATGGGCTGGATTCGGATCTTTAGAAGATTGAGGGTCTGGCGATCTTTCTTCTTCTGGGCCTTGAGCTGCTCTTTTGTGAGCGTCATTGCGGGATTCGGAGGCGGCGGTGGCGCGAGTTCCAGCTCTTCCAGTTGTCGCTTCTTGCGATTCTCCGGGTCGGGAAAGTCGTTGGGGGGAGTTTTCACGTATTCGATGAGTTTCCCAAAGAATTCGCGGCGTGCATCATGATTGGGACCGCGTAGATCGTACAGGTTCTTCTTGGAGAATCCGAAGAGGTTCCTGAGCAGCCCAGCATCCACTTCCTCACCTGTGGACTCGAGGACACCAAGCAACAGGACTGGATCAGAGGGAGGTATTGACCGCAGCAAACCCATAAATGTGGAAATCACCGCGGGTCCAACTGTGTCGTACCATGACTGCAGATTGGGGATGTAGATCACACTGGGCTTGTGTCGCTTCACCTCCGAAAAGAGTTGGATGACAGTTGCCTCAGGCGAACGGGTCGAGTCACTCAACAATATGGGAAGGTCGAATGCCTGTACATGCAGGCCCTCAAAGCTATGCAGAAGAGCCCCTGCCAGATAATGCTGGCCCATGCCCTGGGGTCCCCGAAGAAGCATCCGCGGGCGGAAAACACGAGACTGATCGAATTCCTGCACGATTTTTTCGCGTCGGAACCCTCCGGCGTCCTCGGGTTCTTCGAATTGGGCTTCCTCAAGAGCAGTGAGCTTCTTACGCTGGGGTAGAATCTCCGCCAGCAAAACTTGAATTTCGGTCAATGGCTGACGAAGGAGAGGCTCAACGATCTTGGGTAGCACAGACGCTCCTGATGAGGTAGACCGCTCGGAGGAAGGCACCATCTTCTTTATTGCCAGCATAAAATCCTTAGGCGTCACATTGATCTTCTTGGGATCAATCAGGAGCTTCTTATTAGATTGGTAGATCTGGGGATACTTTCTCTGCACGGCATTAAGGGCAGCCTCGGTGCAAAGAGCCCGCAGATCGGCACCGCCATATCCCTTGGTAATCTCCGCGAGTTCGTCTTTGATGTCGCCGGGAAGTGGTGGGTCCCAGCCTTTGGTGTGGATGTCTAGGATGGAACGACGGCCCTCGACGTTGGGCAACGAGAAGTAGAATTCGCGGTCGAAACGACCCGGGCGACGAAGGGCCGGGTCGACAGAGTCCGGTCGGTTAGTGGCGCCAATGACAATAACTTGACCACGGCCATCCATGCCATCCATCAACGCCAACAGCGTTGAAACAATGGACGAATGGATCTGCTCCTGCTTGCTGGATCTCACCGGGGCCAGACCTGGACGAGACGGTTAGCCATCAAGATTCAAGTAATGATATGGTAGATGTCTCCTTACCATCAATCTCATCGAAAAAGATGATGCTGGGCTGCGTCTTGCGGGCTTCCTCGAAAAGAAGTCGAAGCTGTCGCTCGGCTTCACCGACCCATTTGCTCAATGCATCTGCTCCCTTCCTCATGTAGAATGTAACTTTGCGGCCTTCTGAGCTGACGCTGTTTGCCAGAGCCCGAGCTAAGAGCGTCTTTCCTGTTCCTGGGGGTCCATGGAACAGGACACCCCGAGGAGGAACAATGTGGAACCGCTGGAAGATCTCCGGGTAGAGGAGCGGAAGCGAGACCATCTCCTTCAATTGGTCGATGTGCCCCTGCAAGCCTCCGACACTGTCAAAATTGACATTGACGTCCACGCCCAGCGGGTCTGCATCTGCCAACGCCTGCTTGTCCTTGAGCTTGCCCAAGTTGGCGGGAGTACCAGAGAGATTCTGGGCGGGATCGGCTGAGTGAGTTTGAGCGGACGGCACGAGTCCACCACTGGGAGCAAGTCCAGGACCCTTAGATGGCTGAGGTACCTCGTCATCGCTACTGTCGCTATCCACACCCCCAGTTGCGGCAGGAGCACCAGGAGGGCCAAGGATTGCCGACGGGCCACCGCCGCCAAATGGGCCATATGTTGGAAACAGTGTGCGCTGCCAGCCTGCGCCAGCTCCACCGCGACCACGACGAGACGGAGATTCATTGACCATTTCATTTTCCGCATCCTCCATGGGCAGTAGCAGGTCAGGTCGAATGATGCGATAATCGACATCCTTGCGGTTGCGCCGCGGCTTCTCGTAAATGATTTCTGGTTGTAGCCGGCGACGAGGACGGCCACCGCGCAAATCTTGCAGCTCTTCGGCGAGTTCATCTGCAACCTCCGACTGTCCACGAGATCGATCGGGCCGTTTACGCAAACCAGGACGGCGGCTGGTGCTGCTGTCCTCCTCATCTTCACGAGCTCGAGTTGCCTTGCGAGGTGAGCCCTGGGACTTACCTGAATCCGAGGCCTCGTCTTCTTCATTTGACTCTTCTTCTTCCGGCTTAAAGTCGCTTTCCTCGTCCTGGTCTTTGCGCTGCGAGCTCTGGGGCTTCTTGCGACTTGACCGGCGTAGCTGCGCATCTTCATCCGGTTCCGCTTCTTCCTCGGCAGCGTCATTGCGAGTCGGTCTGCTTCGCCGCCCGGTTGTGGGGCCTTCATCGTCATCGTCATCGTCATCGTCCTCGTCTTCGGCGTCGTGTTTTGCGTCACCGTTCTCTGATTCAGGAACGATGCCCTCGTCCGCCATTTCGGTGTCAGCTTGGTTTGGCTCGCCTTGGTTCACAGCCGTTGGTTCAGCTTCGGTGCCACTTTGGTGTGCATCGCTTTCCAGGATCTCCAGCTGGGAGCCTCGGACTTCGGTCGTGGTCTCCATGACTTCGGCATCGTCATCTTCTTCATCGATAACTTGTTGCTTGATCCCTCGACGCGCTCGAGAACCGCGATTGTGACTTTCCGCTTCTGGACTGAGCGTGGCCCGTTCGACAGTCTCCATGTGCCGCCCAGAATTGGTCAAGGCAAAGATGTCTTCCGAGTTGCCACGAGTGTGGCGGGTCATTCGTCGCGTCGGTTGTTGTCGAAGAGCCTCGGGTCGAACCTTCAAAGTAACCATCACGCTCTTCTTGGGTGAAGCTGGCCGAGTTTCTTCGTCCCCGTCGTCCTCAAACATCTCCTCTTCCGACCCGGGTTCCTCGTACATGGGGCGACTCGCTTGAGTGGTTCGTCGGCGCGCCGTTCCTCTGGCATTGCGCTCGACGTTCGGATCATCTGAATCTTCTTCGGGTTCGTCAAAGGAAAGGTCTTCACTGAGGTCTTCGTCATCCGAAACGATATCGTCATCTGAGTCGCGACGAGGCTTCTTCTTCACGGGTCTCGACTTCTTCGGGATCGACTTGGACCTTCTAGCCGGTCGTGAGGAACGGTAGGGGTGATCGCTGTAGTCCTCGTCCTCTGAATCGGACTTATTGGCGAGCTCCTCGAGGGGACGTTTCGAACCACGGCGCGCCATGGCGGGAGAGTGGTCGGGAGAAGGGGGGGGTTACTGAAGAAAGGGGGAAGTCAGCGCAACTAGGACTGGGAGAAACGTGGAAATTAACGTGAAAGTGACGTGAAAGTCGCATTGGATTCGAACGCCAACGTAACTATTCGAAGGTCGCGATGACGGGATAAAGAAAGCCACGGAACTTGCCGTGAATCAGATCTCGACCAGCGAAGATCAGACCACTTGGATCGAGGGAAAAGACGTGAATGACAAACCCTGGTCACCATCAGCACCGATCAGCATAACAATTGCTAATCCACCGGTTGACTGTCGCAGACGGGATAATGGTGGAGCGCAATCGGGGCCAGTGGGCAGAGGGGACTCACGGACTCGGGACGCGTGAGAAAAAAAACGTAGAGTGGGGAAATTCAACCACCAAGAAAGATGCGAAACGCTAGAAAGTGAGGATGGCAACGGCCCCGGTAGCCTCAAGCATCCAGTAATTTAAATAACCGAAGCGAATGAATGACCAAGGGCGGAAGGGACTCGCGCTCGCGGGCTGAGCAATTCACCAGCCACCTGTGGCGCAGATTATTGTGTCGGTATCACGTGACCCTGGTTTTTGAAGTGAATGCGGATGCCCCATTGTCCACCCTCAATAGCCCCGATTCAACCCCCATGAATCGGACGTATTGTAGCCCATTGTCAGATTGCAGAGTCTGAAATAGCCATTGTTCCCTATTCAGAGACTCTATAGAAGCGGATCCGGCATGGGTGGGGGAGGGGGGCATAGCGACAGACATCGATGGCAGGAGGTGTCAGAGAACAGTCGGAGAATCCGAGCAACACAGACACCGTTGGTTTGGGCTCAGCTTCCCGTCGTTTTCTGCCCGCCGACGGGAATTGCCTGGACCTGATATCATGTGACGCTGACTCATCCTCTCCATATTGGCGATCACGGGGAGAGCTATCTACACTGTGTGACCTACGAGAACTATATGATTTCTTCTGCACGGGTAATATATAGAGAGGGCTCTGGGTCATATAGTTTTTCCCATGAATTATTCTATACTTCCTGGCAATCCATGGTCCGAGCTTTAATTGCTTTAATCTCCCCCCCTTAACCGTTACTCTACTCCACCCGCTTATATGTATTTCGCAATATTTTCGATGATTCTCCCAATAATAACAGCCAATGGTCTTCTGTCATAAGAACCAAACATGAAACATGCCACTATATCAATAACACTAGTTATATCCTCGAGATATCCCCTCTCTACGTCACCAAATCCCCCAAGTATAAATGCCAAGCCATCGCCTTTCGCACTACACCGCTTCCAGTAACCTCACCTCAGGCCCTGGGAGAAGCCCGAAACGCCAGAACGACTCGGGAGAAATCCCAGCCCTTACGAATTTACACAAAACTCTTCAGGGTCATTATGTTTCCCCGACAATCCGCGCGCTGGGCACCTGCCTCTGTATCGCGGTTCTTCCAACCGGCTCTCCCTATCAGACGATCCTTCACCTCCACACGGACGGCGCTCAACTCGTCGCAAAGCAGCGCCTACAAGGACGGGGTGAGTTATTTTTGTAGCAGATATATATACAGTGCTGTCTTTTTTTTTTTCTGACTCACCTCTTCTCCATGGTAGCTCTCTGCCTATCGCACCTTTCTCGGCCCCTTTGCCAAGGTTTTCCTGGGCGCCGTGTTTACGTACCAAGTCATCTACTGGACATGGCTGAAGTTGGAGATGGATGAGTCCAAGTTGGAGAAAAATGGTATATGTTTATGACTCTACTTGATGCCTTTTCTTGTGCCTGTTGCTGATGTTTTATAGAAGAAGTGGCCGTGTTGGAGAAACAGGCCCGGGAGATCACCCCCAAGAAATGATCGTGATTTCTCTTTTATGTTGTTCCTGAGGGTTTATCCCTCGGTAATTGTATAGTATTTCCTTCATGCCCAATAATCATGATGTGCTTTTTTTTGGGTCTCTTCTACGGCAGGGCCACTGAGCTTGAATTGCTTCACATCACACATTGCGGCGATCTTACACATCACATAAAACTAAGATACAACATCCTCTATTAAATAACAAGTACTTGATCGGATCATCTCATCCAAGCTCTTCACACATCCGCCAACTTGCGTTTCCGCCGACTTCCCTGCGGCGGCTGGAGACGCGGCTTCTTCCAGGCGGAGCCCTCGACCCCTCGACTCTCAATCAAGTCCATAGAATCAGGCGCCGCATTCAACCCAAAGCCTAACTCTCCCTCGAGCATCGTGACAGACGGAAAGGACCAGTCCCGTCTCCGCTCGCCCTTCTTGAAGTGTTCGATATCAATATGATTAAACCGTTCATCCAAGGCAGCAGGACCAAGGGTGCGCAATGCGACAGTCTGGCGACAAAATCCGCACCAGAAATGTGACTGCTCACCCACATCAAGACGACTCGTGCAGACCGCAACCCCGACCTGGGGTTCAGGGACTTGATGTTGCTGGTTCAAGTGCTGAGTAAAAGTTTGCTGGCAATGGAACAGACGTTCGCAGGACGTGTCGGTTCGGACATCATGGAAAGTGCAGAACCAGCTCGGGATGTGGAGGTGCTGGGAGCTCTCGTGGCGTTTCCAGTCGGCCTTGCTCCCGAAGGACTTGGAGCAGTGCGGGAATGTGCAGCCGTAGGGCCGCTCATGGCGTTTCTGGTGCTTTCTAAATACCGCATGAATGGTTAGTCTTTGGCAACAAGATAAAATGGTTTATGGGGTGCGAAAAAAAAAAAAAAAAACACTTACTTCATCTCGCAGCGAAGCCGGGTAAGTTTCGGACACGACTCGCATTGGAACCAGCCCTGTTTTTCACTGCCCGCATCCTCGTCTGCGGGAGCTCCCTCCGAAAGTCGGTCCAGGGCCACTGAGAAGACCCTTTGAAGCATCTGGCGCTGGAGCTGAGATAGTTGGACGTTCTCAGGTTCGACGTCAATCCCTTCATCTATGTACTGGCTGCCGCGCCGCCCGCGGCTGTTCATCATTTTGGTCATGGCATTGATCAAATTGTCGGCTGCATCCGTGACGGATGAGGGCGATTTCTTGGCTCCTTGCTCTGGGACAGGGTTCCGGCTCTCACTATGAAAGGATGGGGTCAGGCCCAAAGTTCCCAGAGCTTGTAATTGAGATGTTTCGGAGTGTGTGAGTGGAATTTGGGGTTGGGTGTTATTATCGGCCGGTTTGGGTGTCGCAGCCCTAGACGAGAGGAAGTCCATGCCGTCGTGGTGCATAGAATCGCTAGTGATGTGTTCGGCGTCGGTATTACCGTGCATAGACATCAGATCCGGTTGCATGTCGAACATCGGCTCATCTTGTGGATCGCTCTTATCAAACTTGTAGGAGCGCGTGAATTGCGCATGCCAGTCCATAGATCTACTCCTGAATCAGCATCAAATCGGCTTCTTCTTGTTCTTCTTTCACGTCAATCTGTCTAAGGGCTTTCTCTGGCTTACCTTTTTAGTAGCATATCCGCGTCTTCTTCACCGTGCATCCGGCCGAGGTGTTGCTTAAAGTTATCAAGCCGCGGCCATTTCTTGTTGGGTCGGGGACAGTTTTTCCCATAGCACATATACATCATCTTGGGCCCGCGCTCGGGCTCCTGATTATGAACACATTTCTTATGACGGGCCAGGTCATTGATGGTCCCAAAGCCTTCTTTGCGGGGACAGCCGGGCTCGTCGCATTTGAAAAGCTTCCTGTGACGGGCCTCGTGTTTTCTAAAATAGTCAGACCTCTACCCAAACATGTTGAACATTAAAACATAAAAAAGGGAATGACACACCTTTTGTCCGAGGGGCATTTCCCAACCCACGAGCAGGAGGGATGTTCGCATCGAACCGAACCATCGAATAGCTGCGAAGGCGACTCGACGAGCTCCGAAGCAAATGTCGGCCCATATGATGTCTGTTCAAAACAGGTTGATAGTTCCCCAGACGAGTGATCTTTTGCAGCGATCAACGGACTCGACGTCGAGTCCAGACCCTGCGACGAGGTGACCACAGACTGGGTGGCACAGCTGGCGGTGCCGTACCCGGAGTCGGTGGAATGAAGGCTGCCCATATACTGGCTTCCATTCTCAGACGGATCACTGCAGTAGTATTTGGAGAAGTGGAAATCCGAGTCTCCGGTCGCGGCGGGCACTTGCATATGCGACAGCGACGACTGATCAGGGACACCGGTCACCTGCAGCGGATTCCAGGCGTCTTGGTTGCCCGCCAGTCGGGTGGAGTGGCAAGGCAAATAGTAGAGAGGGTGCGGGTCTGTGGAAGAAGACCACGAGTTCAGGAAGGGAGGTTGGTTGGGGGTATCAAAAGATGAGAGGTCGGCGCCCAGCTGGAGATCTAATAGAGGGTTCGCAGGGTCTGTAAAGGGCATCGAGGGCTTCAAGTCACACAGATCGTGTGTTCCATCATGGCCGACCATAATACCCTGTAGGACATCGCCAGAATCATGCCAGCTCAACTGAGGATCCTGGGGGTTGGGGAAGTCAGTTAGTTTATACTGTGTGGTTGGTGGAGGAGTGAGGAGTTATTGGGGCATGATATACCTCCATACTTGCGAGGATGTCGGATGTATACAACCAGCAAACAAAAATAAGATATCAGATCAAAGCAGATTCTCCAGGGAAGCAGGTGGGAACCATTGCATTAAATGGACCACCCCCCTCCATGCACAACTCAACTCCTATGCACCTAACGCACGCGAGAGACACGCATCCCCACTCGCCCCGAGCCGGCTTGACTTGACCACGCGGTCAAGGGAGACAGGGAATGAGCCAACAAAGACCTGAAACATGCGAGAGTTCACCCTCGCTTGTGGAATGCACCATCCCTTGATTTGCACAGCCCCTCGGTTGTGCCACGGGCGTTCACCCGGGTGTGAACGGATGAAGTCATCCCCATCCCCCCGAGGTATATCCCAATATCATCTCGAAGTAAACACTCAACTTGGAAACTAGGGGTGGAAAAGAACCATGGTCTTCGGATTCTGATACTTCTGATCCTGCCTCTCTCTCTCTCTCTCTCTCCTAGTCTGCTGAGAAGAACCACCTACCCACGGAGCATGGGTTCACGATCAGCCCTGCACGAGGCAAGGAGTAAAGATAAACGCCCAGCCCCTCAGGAAGATCCCCAGGTTCGTTTCCAAAGGGCGGTGGCAGCAGAGTCAGGCAAGGACCACCACCCAGCCGTGACAGGTGGGATCGACATGACCCGATCGGCAGCTGTCGTCTTGCTTGGCTTCGTGGACAAGGGAGAGAGAGACTTGAATACGAAATACGACGCGTGGGTGTCTCTGAAACCATGACATTCACAAGCATATATAAACTTTGGACTAAAACCCTGGGGATGACTTCGAGTTCATCTGGTTGCCGTGGTCGATCATGAAACAAGCAAAACAGGGTTTTTCTTCGATGTCTCTCTGTTTAACCAGACGGAGAGATTCCGACAAGTAGCCCAGTAAGAAAAATAAATAAAGAAATGAAAATGTTATAAATCATCAGGAAATGCATAAAAATAGGTCAAATATGATCCCTCATATGCCATGCCCCTTTTAGTACAATGCGCCATCCGTCTGAGACCAAATTCCCGCAATGCGCCCTAAATTAAGCGCAACATGGGGTTATGTTCAGCGTCATTCCAGTCCGTGCAATTTCCACTTTGAAAGAAACAAAAGCAAAATAAATACTCGGCCCTTTTGATACACCAGAAATAATAATATACATGAAGAGGGTATATGCACTCAATGAACAGGGGAAAATCGTTGCCGTTTGTCCACTTTGACAACCATATCCAGGGGTATAGGATGTCCAGGTGTAGGGAACCTCCGGCACCGCAGAGGGATTAGGGACATAACCATTCTCTGTGGGATATAAAGCCTCCTGAGGTGGGAACTGGGCTTCCACCACGTACGATTGCTGCAGCATGGCCACGTCCGTTTCAGGGATTTGAAGCCACGGCATCGCGTTGAACAGTGGGTACGTCACCGAGTTCTGATGCAGGGGGTGGATCTGGACTTGGTCCAGGTCGAGCGATTGGCCGAACTGGTTCACGCCATAGGCAAATGGATCGTCGGAAGTGAAGGAGCCGGTGATAGACTCCAGCTCCATCGAGAACTCGGCGCTGGAGATCGATGGGTCGCTGATCAGCGCCATATCGAAAGCAAAGGGGTGGGCAACGGGAGTGTCGGAGTTCGGGTACGGCGGCTGCGCGAGCTGCGGAGACACCTCGGGGGCATCTTGTTGATATGGCGTGGCGAGCGAGGGATGCGACTCGGCGGATGATCCGCTGGCAGGATCCACAGGGTTGACGTGCATACCAGACGAGGCAACGCTCTGTTTCGCCAGCTCCAGGACCGGCAGGGCCAGTTGCTCCATATTTTTCCCAAAGTGGACCGTCAACTTCTTCCAGCTGCCACAGACCTGGCCATAGAACCGACATGGCTCCCGCCGGGGCGTTTGCTCGGTCTCAAGCCGGCAAGTGTCGATCATTCGCCAAAGCTGGAGGTAATCCTGCTCGTCCTGGCTCCCGGATGGTCCCTCAGAAGTGGCCGAGGGCTTGGTCTTCTTGACCTTGACTTTCGGCTCCGATAGCTTGTGTTCTCGAACCAGGTTTGCACAAAGTTGTCTTTGCGGAAGCAAGTGTGGTCATGCCCAGGATATGAGAACGTCCACCATTCCAATTGTCGATGTCATTCACTCTCATACCGCACCCAATCCGCTTTATGCTTGGATTATTTGGGTTCGTTGCAGTCGTGAAATGTGCAAGTAAATGGCTGCAAATCCTCATGGAGATACTTAGTCCAATCGGATGGTTTATGGAGCTTCTTCACCTCGAAGCGGATGGGACACTCGAGCTCCGCAGGGAGGTGCTGGACGGGTGGGAGTGGGACTCCAGGAGGTAACTGGGTGGTGACAACAGCGCCTTCGACTGACCCATACGGCTGGTCACGGCTTTGATGAAAATCTGCCACACGGAACTGGGTCTGACCGGCCTCAGGAGCCTTGGGATGCAAATAAACCGGCATGGAGGGGTCAACTCCCTGGCAATCACTGATAATGTGTAGCGATAAGCCATGGATTTGGACTGCCAGCAGGACTGCCACCGACAGGCGTCAAGTGGATGGCATCCGCCTGGAAGGAGATTTCCTCGGGACCCCAAGGTGCTGAGCGACATGGATCCTGTGGGCGTATTTCTTGAAGAGCCTCAACTGGCAACTGTGGGGAGTTAGACATATTCGGTAGATATATATATATAGCCCAGATGAAAATAATCAGAAGCAATGCCATCTGGAGAATTAGCAGGGAGCCTCGGTTGGGGGATAAGAGGTTGAAAGAAAGCAAAGCAGAGCTTGCCAGAGCCTCATCGCCCCCATGCGGCTAATCCCCAAACGAGCAAGATTGTCTACATCTTGACTGTAGGAGAAAAGAGGAGTAAAAAGCAAAGATGTATGTAGATCTACATTTCCGTGGTACCTTGGTGGCCGAGGTCTAGGGTTGAGCCATGTGTTCGGATGCGACGTCATGTTCTGATATCTCTAAATAAACAAATGATGCAACGATAAGAAGGAATAACCACGCGTAGGAAAAAAAGAACTTAAAAAGGAAATGGAAAGAGAGACATCCGCGGAGATATCCAGGGATATAGTTACACGCCCCTGAAGAACCTTACATATAACCTCGCTGAACGCAACGAAAACGGAAACGGAAACAGAGCCTCAAGAACAATAGATCATCCAAATTACATGAGAAAATAAGAGAAAAAGAAAAAGAAAAAGAAAGAAAAAAAGTGCACAGTATGGGCTTGCGAAGTCTTTGTGGCATCATCATCACGTCCGCAGCAATGGGCCCTTGGCACTCGGACTCGTGGGTGCCGACTGAACCACCAGCTTGGTCGGTGCAGCAAGTTTCTCAATCCCCTTGAGAGCCAGACTTTCCCGAGAATTCTTCAATGGCTTAGCCGGGCTATCCTCAGCAACGAGCGTGTCCGTAGACGTCTTAGCCAGTTCCTGGAGTCGCGCCAAGACTACCGCAGAATCCGAGTAGAGGACAATACCAGGCGAATAGATGCATTGGCTAGCTCGCTCCTTACCACTGGCAAAGTCCTCATGGGCGGCCTCTCGCAAAACGCGCGGGAAGGTGCGGAGCACGACGTGACGACTGGGATCGGCCGTGGGGGCCGAGGGAGCCTCTTTCATCACTCCATACTCGAGCCATCCCTCGTTGGACACGCTCTCCGCATCCGGGGCCGGAAACATGGCGAGCACAAGCTCGCGCTCAACCCGGGCGTGGCGCCAGGTTTCGGCGGCGAGTTTGACGATCTTTCGGACGCCGGTCAGGAGCGAGTCCAGGTGCTTCGGATCGGCAAAGTGTTTGATATGGTCGATGATCTCGTCGACGATCACCGCGGCGGCGACGTTGATCGATTGCTTGGCGTCGGAGGTGGTGTAGGCGGCTTTGAGGGTCTGCTGTCGCCAAAACGCTTCGCGCCGCACTGATTTACGTCGGATGTCCATCGACAGCATTTGGAAGAACGTGTCTGCCTTGTCGTACCGCCGGCCCAGGGTGAACAGGAAGGGCTGAAACACCCGGTAGGTCAGCGTCTTGGATACGACGTGCTCGACGTACGCGCAGCGCAACTCGCGCGATGCTGGCGTGTTGTCCAGGAAGTATGGTAGCTCTGCCGGAATCTTGGATAGGATGTCTTTGGGAGGGTCGATCGGGAGGTATGCGAAATGCTCTTTGGCAAGATCGTGGATCAGATGCGAGAGCTGCGTGAAACAGTCCAGACTAAAAAAGAAGAAAAGAGGTGCTAATTAGAGATCGAGTACATTTTATAGCGTTATCAACATGAAACAAAAAGAAGGTCTATAGGAAATGTAGGCCGGCGTTTTGACCTGATTCACAAAGGAAATATAAAACGAAAGACTTCGTTCGAGTCGAAGACTCAGGGCTCACTTACAAGAATTGATCGCCCTTGGTGCTCTTGAGGTCAGTGGCCTCCCCAGGCTGTGCAGGGTTTTCCTCAGCCTGTCGCAGTCGTGGTCCAGATGGTCAATCGTCGATCGCATCTCATCCACTGCACGTTGTAGTTGCTGCTCCTTGACGACTCCATCTCCCTCGAGCCTCTCCTTCTCTCGCTCCGAGCTAGAGAGTTCGCTGTTTTTGTCGGCAAGTTGTCTTTCCAAGGCGGCCCGCTCCTCAGCCCAGTGTTGTTCTTTCTCGCTGAAGTGCGCTTCCAACGCGGCGATTTTTTCGTCGAGTTCTTTGGCGGCTGCAGCAAGTTGTTCGTCGTGGGAGTGTCGCAAGCTTTCCATTTCCTTTTGTTTTTCCTCCAGCTCCGCTAGCTTGGCTGCCAGCTCGTCGCGAATCGAGCCGAGTTCGGCCAGCTTCTCGGCCAGCTCGGCCTCCTTGGATTCCAGCGTATTGATTTTCGATGCCAGCTCGGCCTTAATAGCCTCGAGTTGGCTGCGCTCGGTCTCCAGTAGCTCCTGGAGACTGGTCTTCTCCTGGTCCCATCCATTCTTGCTGGACTGGTGTTGATCAACCAATTCCTTCTCGCGCGTTTCCAGCGTCTCGGCGGCCGCCTTCTCGTCCTCGTTCTTGATTTCTTCAAACAGTTCCGTCAGCTCCTGCTTCTGTGCCGCAAGAGCTTGAGTGTGCTCCTCCTTTTGCTTTTCCTGGTCTTTCTCGTGGGCATCGCGGGCGTCTTGGATGTTGGTGTTTAACGTGCTGATCTGTTCCTCAAGCTCGACCTTGGTCTGCGAGAGCTCCTCGTTGGACTTTTGATGGACCGCCAAGCCATCTTCAAGATCCTTCTGCTTTTCTTGCAGGTTTCCGAGCTCGAGTCGAAGCTCGTTGATCGTGTTCTTTAGCTTGGCGCACTCTTCGGCACTCTCGTTGGCCGTCTTCTTCATTTGAGCTTGCAGGGCTTCGATGTAGAAGTCCTTGTGCATTAGAGCTTGTTCATGTTGATTCCCGATCTGCTTCATCTCTGCCTCGCGACTTGACAGCTTGGTGTGAGTAGTTTTAAACCCATTCAGTAAACGATTAATGTCCGGAATTGCAGATTGAATTCTTTGAAGAAGTTCAATGTGTTCATTGTCATTTTCCGGGGGCGACATAGTCCCATTCTCATGTGGCTGACCATGATTCATCGATAGCTCTCGGATAGCTTGGAATGACGCGGCATAAGATGGGTCTGGAATACTGTAGCTGCGGGACATGAAATGTGGCTCTGGCGGCGGATGGCGCACATAGGGGGCATATGGGGGTACAACCCCCGCAGAGCTCATCACTGGAGAATTAACCGCAGTTGCAAAGCTCGGGGCCGTTGATGGTGGTGCCGCATAAGCCATTGACATTGGCGGGGCTGCTGGGGCCGGTGGTGGAGGAGTTGCGGTTGGCGACATGGTTGGCGACATATAAGGAATATGAGTACGGGCAAGTGGACTGCTGACTTTGGGCACTGGTGAGGCGTATGGCATAAACCCAGGCGACACAGGATGATAGAAAAGATTCTCTGGTGGAGGACTTGACATAAACCGTGCCTCGGTCAGCGATGGCGATGGCAATGGCACCAGAGCCGGGACTGGGGAGAATGGAGCAATCGGTGATGCAACTGGCGTTCTCTCTTTGGGCTCGGCTGGAGGGGTTGGTGGCTCTTTTGCCTCTGCTGATGGTTTCTGTTGGGCTGGAGTGCTTTGCTCGTTAGGTGTTTGCGTTTCTTCAGCACATTCACCAGACGACTCAGACGAGTCTGGTTGGGTCAAGACGTGCTGCTCGGAGGGTTCGTTGTCAGGCTGGGTGTCCGTGACGAGGGGTTGTTGATTCGAGTTGGAGTCGGGACTGGCTAGCGGCGCAGTACCACACTCGTCATGGCCGGCTGCTGAGATTGATGGCTCCTTAGCCTCCACAGGCGGGTTCTGTTCAACCACAGGCTCGGGCTGTTTTTGTTCTTCTTGATCCTGTGCCGGGAGTTCTGGGCTGGTAGGAGCAGGAGATTCAATCGTAGTTGTCTGGTTGTCGGTCACTTCAGGGCCTTTCCCCTTCTTAATCTTCTGCTTTGCTCCGGCCTTGCCATTCTTATCCTTGGCCTTGGCCTTCTTGCCACTGGCAACCATCGCGGTCGAGGGATGCGTGCCCAAGGTTTTTTAATGGCTCGAGACGTGTTTCCAATAGAGACTCGGTGTCAAATTGAGCAGGGAGGATCACAGTGAGGGCTAGATCGGGTGATTGATAGGCTTCACTGGGTGTACATTTGCAATCTGCCCCGGCGATGCCTCAAGATATAGCCCAACGGCCGCACAAATTAGGGAGAAAAGGGGGAAGTGGCGCAGAAGAACAACAAGGAGTCCAAGGTGTTTAGTCTGGTGGACTATCGGGCAGAGATCCGAATATTATGCGGATCAGAACCGAGTGGGCACAAATGATGGCGATACACGACCGTCGCCCCAGCACGCAGCCTATTCGAGTAAGTCCAAATCTCAATGCACGCCGAGGGAGTTTGGACAGGGTCTGGGGGGGGGGGGGTGGTGTAACAAGACCAATAAGCAGAGAAAGATGAGAAGAGATGGATGGATGTAGCGCAAAAGGAATTAATTAATAGGTACCGTCTAGAAGACTCGACAATTTTGCATGGTGCATTTGGAGACCAGACGGACCGAACCTTAGAGGGTTTGGTACCCATCAGGCCTGTCCGAAGGATCAGAATGCAGCATTCAATTCCGACCCGGCGCGAGGCCAATTGCTGTGCGCCATGCTAGCATTGGGCAGCAAAATATATATATATATATATATATAGATCGGGCTTGGATTTGAACAGAGTCGCTGGTGGGGATGACTCCTAAGCTGACATGTTCAATTGATGGCCCGAAACCATATGTGGATGTTGCATTGTAGCAGGGAAGAGGTGAGTCGAGTACATCTTCACGGGCTGTGGGTGGACTGGGGGAAGTGAGGCATTGAGGCCGCAATGCGACACCCCACTGGGCATTTCCAGGGCGATTTTCCACTTTCTGGACTATACCTAGTATTGACCAGGGTAGGATAATAATAGAGATATATTTGTAGTAATAACGCCAACAATATTAAAGAACAATACTAATAGATAATTAAATAATAAATGTTATAAGAAATTGTATGATTTTCGCATACAAAAAAAGCCTGCCCTAACCCAATGCAGACTGTCTCACGTGACCTGGACTTTGCACCTCGTCCTATCATCGCCGCCCGAACGGTCATCAACTTCTCTCTGCCCATTGTCCCTCTACGCCATGTTCGCCGCCAGAAGATCCGCCGCCTCGTCACGGCTGCTGCGCCAGCCTCGTCGACATGGCTCGCATGCTGCGCACCACGCCGAGCCCGTGAGCGAAGGCTTCGGCGTAAGCTTTCTCCCTCCCCCCCCCCCCCCGGCGACCCGATCAGACCGGGACTCGCGACGAGGCCCGTAAAGTCTCAATCCCCTGTGACCATGGGCTGACCTTTTGTTCTTTTCTTCTTCCACGCCACAGCGCAGCTTCTACGTCACCATTGGCAGCTTCGCCTCGGCCTACCTCCTCTACCGGGTTAGCAAATCGAACCAAGAATCCGACTCGCCGTCATGGATCTCGAGCTTCATTAGCAAGTGGACGCCCTCGCAGGAGGTGTTTGAGGAGCGGAATGCTATCCGCACTGCTGTCATGGAGAAGGCCGCACACGACCGCCACCTTTTCCAGAGCCAAGGGCCCCGTGAAGCCTACGACCTGAAACAGCCCGAGTATGTGATCCCGCAGACATTTTGTTGGTTTGAAGGTATGAGGCGGGCTGTACTAATTTTTACCTCTTGCTTGATAGGATGATGAATGCTGGGTCGCCATTCAACGTGTCCCCCGGTTCGCAGGCCGACCTGAGCGCCGTGGTGGCTCACTATCAGCGCCAGAACAAGGAGATGGAGGACGCTCGCATTGCGCGGACAAAGGATGGCAAGGTGGTGTCGCTCTATGATTAAGCCTGCATCTTATCACTTTTCTTTGGTTCGAGGGTTTGGTCGACTGTCTGCCATAGACATGCGCAGTAGGGAGGGAAAACATGTACATATATGTAGGGGACTTGAAAGTCAATTCGGCACCTGATCATTGAATTTCGTTTGTTCAAGGATATCATATACATGCATCTAATTCGTAAAGTTGTATTAAAAATAATCTTGTTCGGTTGCCCTTTAGTGAGTACTGTTGACAGCCGGCACAATCTCCAGCACGACCCGCCCGACGCCTTCAGACTGAACATCTAGTTTCTGCTCGACATCCAGCTCATCGGCACTGGTATTCCGCAGCACAGCAAGAAACTCATCCACGCCCCCGCCAACCCCAAAGTAAACCTTCTTGGCAGCAACCAGGGCCCGGCTTCTCGTCGACGCAGAGTTAGAACGGCGCAGCAACGCCAGCAGAGTCTCAGAGAATGCAGTCAGCGATGCCGGTGAATAGATGGTTTCACTAGCAAGCACCAGGGTCCGCCGTTCTGCGACACCGCTCGCAGAGAGCACAAAATCCACGAATTCGGGGGACCAGGCGCCGGAAATGAAATCGACGGTGATGCCGCGCTGGGCGAGGTCAGTCTTGAACTCATCCAGCAGTTCCGGCGTGACATCGAGCTCGTCCTCTACAGTCTGAGAGGGGTCCTGCTCTGACTCGGATGAGACAGACTGCTGCGAAAGGCAATTGCGCCAGGTTAGAATGAGGTTCGGCAGCGTGACGAGCCGAAGCACGGCGGAGTTATAGTCCGCAAAGGTGAAGTGAGTGTTTCCGGGACTCGGCCCGGATGTAGCAGTATCGACTAGTGTGCGAGCAAAAAGCGTCAGAGACGGTACGGCAGTGCCTGCACCGAGCTATATATCCATCTTGTGTTAGCAGTTGCAACCCTTATCAAACCCTCTCTCTCCACCAGATTGACTCGGCATGGAATTTTGCTACAAACCTCGATAACATGGGCATCTGTCTGGAAGTCATCTTCTCCGGTGACAAGTTTAGCCAGGTCCAGGGAACATTCCCAGGTCTTGAAACCGCCTTCATAGAAATTGGGCTTGAGGTCGCCTTCTTCCAGGCCGGCAATCAGCTCTGCATTGTCATGGTCGCCGCTGTCCTCGGCCATCAGCTGAGTGCGGATGTCGAAGATTTCTCGACGAGCAATGACCACCGGGGAGTCGCTGATGGCGAGCCGGTTGTAGGATATTTGAGATGGGAGGGTAGCAAGCTGGGAATTGGGTCAGATCGAGAATGCAATTGGTATATCGACATATCCATAGAATGCCATGCTCCTTCCAAATTTTCTCTTTGGAGAAGAATGCTCGCCATAATTTCAAATATTCAAGGTCCTAGGCAAACAGATAGAACATCTGTATGGGGCACTTACCCACTCATTCAGATCATGTTTACTTGCTTTGACCAGCTCCGGGAGGGAATTGGCATTATGCGAGGGGACTTCAAGGATATCGTTATTGGTCCCGGATTCATCAATGTCAATGTCATCCCCAGAGAAGCCGAAGCTGAAGGCCATGGTCCAGCCTGGATAGTGAGGCAGTCACCGGAAGGACACTCGTACTGGGCTACCGGGTGCAGCTGAAAGTGTCCTTTCCTCCAAACAAGAAAAGGAAACAACAAGCATCAACAAGTTATAAAAAATGTAAATCAGATCATTCTGCAGTTATTGTCGATACAAAAATTGCAGTGGGCAAGATGCTGACTAACCGAATTCGAGTGCAATATCGACACCTGAGGCATGTGTATACCCCAATAGGAAGGTGTACCCTCGAACTATACAAGACCCACGCATGGAGAGAAGCTACAGGGAGACATGGTTTAGATCCATTGGTAAATATATCAATTCTGACTCCTGGGATTTGATTTTAGGTTATTCTTTACTGTAAATCAAGAGCACGTTTTGCTCGTGTGTAAGCCAAGCTAGTTCAGATTGTCTAGCTTTCAATGCATCATATCCAATTCATCAGCAATCAAATAACATCTATGTGTACTTTCAATATAGCCCAAAAAAAAGGAAAGAAAAACAGCAACCTAAAAGCTACCATTGGTCGCCTTCGACGCAGCGACAGCCAAATCCAGGGCCTTGAGCACATCGGCCTTGAGATCCTCAGCGTCTTCGACTCCGCAGCTCATGCGCACAAGGTCATCAAAGACACCCGCAGCCTCACGCTGGTCCTTGGGAATACCTGCATGGGTCATGCTGGATGGGACCTCACAGAGACTCTCAACACCGCCCAAGCTCTCGGCCAGCGTAAAGATCTTGGTATATTTGCAGAAGAGATGCGCGGCGTTTTGGCCGCCCTTGATGCGGAAACTGAGCATGCCGCCGCCCATGCCATCGCGGTGCTGCTTCACAGCGATGGCGCGGTGTGGGTGGGAGTCGACCCCCGGGTAATTCACCGAGATGACATGTGGGGACGATTCGAGGGTCTGCGCGACTGTAGTGGCGTTCTTGGTTGCCTCGCGGGCCCGCAAGTGCAGCGTCTTGAGACCACGGTGCGCGAGCCAGCAGTCGAATGGCGAGGGGACGGCGCCAATGGCGTTCTGCAGGAAGGTCAGGCGTTCTTTCAGGCTTTCAGAGCTGAAAGCAGCGACGCCCATCAGAACATCCTGGAATCAGAAGTTAGAGGATGATAGCACAATCGAAGACCTGGTGGAAGAAGACCCACCGAGTGACCATTGATATACTTGGTGACAGAGTGCACGACAATATCCGCACCATGATCCAACGGGTTCTGGACATAGGGGCTCATAAACGTGTTATCGACCACCACCAGAATCCCATGACGGTGAGCGATCTCCGCCACAGCCTGGATATCCACCAGGCCCAGGGTTGGGTTCGACGGAGTTTCAATCCAGATGAGCTTGGTATCGTTTGGCCGAATCAAATCCTCCACATGCAGCTCGATGCAAGGCGAGAAAGTCACATGGACCCCGTGCGCCGCAGCAACTTTGGTGAAGTATCGGTGTGTGCCGCCGTACACGTCGGACACCGAGACGACATGCGAGCCTGCCGCAAGGGACTGGAGGATGGTAGCTGTGGTGGCAGAGCCCGACGAAAAGGCGAGGGCGTATTTGGCATGTTCGAGGGCGGCAACAGCTTGCTCGAAGTTGTCACTGAAAAAAAAATATGTCAATTCATGCCAATTCTTCCACTCCCGCGAATTCGCAAAACTAACCGGTTGGGGTTGGCACTTCGAGTGTATTCGTACAGACCCACGGGACTTCCGACACTGGTCTGGGCAAAAGTAGTGGAAAGAGAGATCTAACCAGAATTGTATCAATTTTTCGGTTGCAATTCTGCCCCAGGACAGCTCAACGGACTTACCGGCGCAATGACGGCGCCTGTCGTCGGGTCGTGAGGGGCACCGGCATGCACCGCCAACGTGCCGAAGCGACGCTCACTCGAATAGCCGTTCTCCGTTGATCCCATGATGGCGCGCTATTTTTGAGGATTAAGAGTTCACAATTGCTGGATAATAGAAGTGAAGAGAGGAAAAGAAAGAAAGATAGTATGTGACTTTATAGGATGAGATCACCGCTCTTTGTGGTACCAGAGTTGGCTTAGGATTTCGACATCCGCGTCCCAAATTGATAATCGGAGAAGAAACCCCTGGAAGCGGCTGAGTGCTCTGCGAAGGGGGAAATTTAAATGATTTAACCCTGGAACCTGGTTTATATTGCTCATAGCTTGGAGCATACAACGATCGTCCACTGGACAAGACACTCTCCGAGCTCCACTCGGCTTCTGTCCGGCTGTAGCCGCCCTCGGAGAGACTCTGAGTACTCCGAGCAGTCGGACTAATCGGAGAGTGATGTAAGTCAACTTATTAAGTATAGAATGGATATACTTAGGTAGTAAAACATAGTAAAATGTAGTCAAATACTTGATAGGAATACACAGAATAAATTATACCATGGACATCTATAGGCACATTCGAGGTATACTTCTTTTTTTCTAATCTATCTACTCAAGACCACTCTATCTTGTCTGTTTCGCATAATTGATTTTTGATTCACATGGGTATCTGACTAGAGGAAAGAAAATATAAAACGCATCGCACTTTTCTAAGCATCTCACCACCAGGCAATAGGACCCAGTCCCGCCATCTGCATTGAGCCCTGGAGAATTATCAATAAAATTGGCTTCACAGCGCAAGACATAATCAACTTACAATGATCGAATATGCAGGCTTTCTTTCCAAAGCAGGCCCATCACCGAGATCTGGCGCATTGGGAATCTGGTCATGCCATTCCTCGGTCTCGACTCGGAAGCGAACAATCTCACCCACATCAAAGTAAAATGTAGATCCGTCCTCACTATCCCAGGTCCATACCTGATCTGCGTAGTCACTGCGAGAGCTTAGTTCATGCTCTTGAAATTCTCCATAAGGGGAGCAGCTTACAATTTGGCTCCTTCCAAAAGGAGGTCGGGGGGAATCAAGATGTCGTTGAAGAACTCCACTCCAACTGCAAATAAGTCAGCTCCAATTACACCTACCATCTCCGAGATTGATTGCAAGGAACGCACTTTTAATCCCGTGCTCCGTTGCGCTGGCAATCTTGCCCAGCATGATTTCTCCCTTGAACGGCCGGAACACGATCATTCGAAATTTGACTGAGAAACAGATTTAGCAACGTTCCAACTTTCTAGATCGATAAACAGGAAGATGGAGAGAGCATCGACTCACCATTCACATTGACCACACCAGACCCATGGCCAATCAGGCCATCAGAGGACTCTAGCAGGTCATAGAAGCTGATGCAAAGTCCGATCTTTTGAATGACCTAACACACTAGCGTGAGTGAGATGAAAATGAGTACGAGAAAAGGTGTACATACCTTGTTGGCGTATTTCTCATTGATATTGTCTTCAATGGCCACTGCACTGAACTTGGAAAAGTCCTCGGGGGAGATCCGGATGAGATCCGAGATGGTGGTCTGCCGCCGTGAGAAGATACTCAACTCAATCAAAGAAAAACAAAACCGAGAGACTTACGAGGATGAACATGCTGGAGACGGGGTGATGCGCAAAGGCAAAGGATTCCTTAAAAAAAAGGCCTGTAGAGGTTCTGATGTTCGGCCAATAGCCGTGCGACCCAGCTCAGAATCACGTGACCCAGAGCTGTCAGAGTGAAAAAAAGTGCCGGCCTAGGTCAGTCGTGTTTCCATCCCAGGATGGTGTAAAGATTGTGTTGTGCCCGCGCTGGGACCCCTGGAAGGTCAAGCATCCACCATGACCTCGCAGGGGTTTTCTTTTCCCCCGCCACCACCACCTCCCCCGACCACCCAGCAGCCATCGGCGTACCCCTCGGCGCAGCATGGACCGCATTGGGGACGAGGTGCGGGCGGACCTCGAGGCCGGGGACGGGGTCACAACAATCGAGGAGGCCGAGGTGGACATTTTGCTGACAGTCGACCTTCTGCATACCCTCCGAATCCTGCAGGTTTCAACTATCCCCCTGTGAATTATGGCGGCTACCCAACTCAACCGATGTCGACCACCTACATGCCTCCCTCACAATATCCTCCCTCACAGTCCTCAAGCTTCCAGCATCCACCGAATCCTCCATTTCCACCACCACAACAGTTTGCGACAGGTTCCACGGCTTATCAACAGCTATCCTACAACACGGCGAACCTCCCGTCCTACCCTCCTCAGACTACCCCGACATATCCTGCCGGTGTACCAACACCGCAGCATTCGCCTCCGCCAAACCCGATGATGGGATCTATGCACTGGGGTGCCGATCGACAGGGTACAGTGCCATACATGGGGGCTCAGCCTGGACATACACGAGGCCCCCGTTTGTCGCATCCGCATGGGAACCACGGTCCCAAACAAAAGCATGCTACCAAGCGGGACCACACAGCTGCATTTAGCAAACCCCAATCAACCCTCAAAACCCCCGCACCACCTCCAGTTCCCAGCTTTGGCAATCCCTTACCAGTGAAGCCACCACCGGCCGCCGACGCCATCCGCAAACCGAAGAAAAGAAAGAGGAAGCATAACCAGCTGGGTTTGACTCCAAAGACCGAAGAGCATGAGTCCAGCGAGGAGGACGAGGATGTCAACGAGGAATCCAAACTGGCGCCAGGCTCTGATGCTGCGCCGCTCCAGTTTACCTACAAAGGTCAGACTGCGACACTCCAGTCTGCGACAGATATTGCCGCATGGATTGCAGAACGAAGGAAGAGATTCCCCACACAAGCCCGAATCGAGGAAAAGAAAAAGGCTGCGGAGGAGGCCAAAGCGGCCCGCGAAGCAGCTCGCCGGCAGAAAGACCAGACGAAACCCAAGGACTCTGGTCACAAAACGGATAAAACGGGCGAGGAACATGCTGACCCTGCAGTCAATGCTGCCATGAAGGCGCAACGCAAGGCTGATAAGATCCGACGAACTCTTGACCGGGAGCAGAAACGCTTCGCCAAAGCTGAAGCCGAAGCAGAGGCCGCTCGTCTGCGGGTGGAAGCACTACAGAAAGAGGCCTTGGGTCTGAAGCCGGAGGGCTCCGGGCAGAACGGATTGAGCAAACCGGAAAATCATGAATTGTCACAATCGGGGATAGACGAGAAGAACGCCTCGACTCAAGATGCGAAGCAGCCAGAGGTATCAGAAGAAGCGTTGGTCACAGAGGTACCTGACTCCGTTCATATCACCGAGGCTGTCCACCACGCGCAACATGCCTCGGACGAGTCCATGGATCTGTCATCTCACGAGTCCGACGCGAGCGACTGGACCTCATCCAGCGGTTCTAGCTCAGAGTCCGAGTCCGAGTCTGACGCCAGCGAGGATTCCGCACCCGAAGAGGTGAGCTTACGCCGCATGGGGCCTGAAAGAGTTGCTCCGCCACCTCGCGAGGGCAAGAAACCCCCCTGTCGCCACTTTGCTCGCACCGGGCATTGTAACCGCGGCGACATGTGTAAATTCTCCCATCTCCCGGAGCGAGCTCCCAAAACAAAGCCGGCAGAGCAGAGGGGGCGCAAGGGACTTCTCCAGGCCGTAAGATTCTCTATTGTCCATTTTTAGATTGTTTTGTTTACTGACTTAGATCAGTTGCTGGACCGGCAAAAGGGAGACGAAGACCGACGCGCGATGGAAGTCATTTCGTGCCTCGGCCAGAATGGGCTGTTAGACGGAACTGACCCCTAGCAAGCATGAAGCTGTACGATTTTATTGTACGAATGTATTTGGCTGTACAGATATACCAGGGTTTACTTTTTTGCTCAGGGGCAACACAGAAAGAGAGATCGAGGGGGGTCGCGTGGCTCTCAGACATCTGCTCGACATTAGGATTAGTGCAGAAACAGGCCAAAACATACTAAAACATCGTCCAAAGTAACCCGAGTAATTCTAGCCGATCCCAAGTGGAGATGATTTTATTTCGATGAGTGGCCCAGTCGCTAATCGTTAGCCCAACCCTGGAATAGTGCAGGGTGTAGCAATCAATCACCAGCCAAGACTTCTTTGTGAATCAGTAAATTATTCGTAAATTATTCTTAGCACTTGAATGTCTCTGACCACCCCGCGCTATTTCTTAGCTCCGGCTAGCGTGCCATCGCCAGGTTTTATACCCGGAACCTCGCGCCGTTTTCGCCTCTTTCGCCTCCCTCTCTCTCTTTCACCTTTTCGCCTTCTCTGCCTTTTTTTTAAAATTAACTTTTCACGGTCTTTTTAATTCCCTGCGATTTCGCTCTTTATTTGATCCGCAGACCTCTCGCTCTCTTTTCTTGACAATTCTTGACATTCTTTACCTCCATCCTGTACTTGTGTTTTTTTTTATCCCTTTTGAGTATATACACTTATCTCATCTTTTGCCACCATGCGCGCTTTTCTCTCTCTGGTGATCGCCCTCTTTGCGGCCGTGGTTGCTGCATCCAGCCGCGCCAACCCCTTCAACATCCCCGATGATGGCTACACCTTCGAGACTGGCAAGCCGACCACCCTCACGTGGCAGCAGACGACCGGTGGCACTGTGACGCTGCGACTGCAATGGGGTGCCGTGACCACGGCGACCTCGGGCACGGTGATTGCTTGTAAGTGATATGCTGATGGCCGCCACTTGTGACGATTCCTTGTCACTAATTCGAATCCCTAGCCAACATCGACAACAGCGGCAGCTTCACGTGGCACGTGCCGGAGAACCTGGAGGCCCAGCCTGACTACACCATTGAGATTCTCTCCGACGCCAACACCGGCGACTACAACTTCCTGCCCCGCTTCACCGTCCAGGGTGCCAAGGTTGGTGCCTCCTCGTCTAGCCCGTCTGACAGCTCGTCCGACTCGGCTCCCTCGACCACTAGCGAGTCGACTACCTCCACCTCGGCTCCGACGACTTCGGCCACCCCGACCTCGACCTCGTCGGAGTCGGAGTCCTCGAGCACGAGCAGCCCGACGACCATGGTCACCAAGACCAGCTCTGCCTCTAGCTCCTCCACTAGCTCGACGAGCTCATCCTCGGACTCTTCGAGCTCGTCATCGACCCCGACCAGTTCCTCCAGCGCGTCAGCCTCGGCTTCGCAGACTGCGGTGCCGACCACCAACGCGGGCATTGCCAACCGGGTGTCGGGTGGCATGCTGGCGGTTGTCCTGGGCGCCATTGCCGTCATGTAAATGAAAGGCGGATGTTGATGTCACGATCCAGGCTCTGAAGTTACACTTTTTGATTGGCACGCTTAATGGGGTAATTCCTTTTCTTTTTCTTTTCTCCTGTATGGATTGTGTCCGGAACAGTCATAATGTCTACTTTCGACTCTGTCTCTTTTCTTTTCTTTTCTTTCTTTTCTTTCTTTTCTTTCTTTTCTTTTTTTTTCCCCTTTCTTTCTGGTTGGTTTGAGGTGGATAACACTGCTGTATCAACACCTGTCATTATTTTATTTTCTCCAGTCCAGTTGCAACGACGTGTGTGCAAGTACTCTTTTTTTTTCTCTCTGCTGATTCTATACCAGTTTCTTCAGTAGACAAAGCCCACAATTTGATCAGCATAAATAGTGTGGACCCTCGGGAGATAATCATGAACATCCTTACTGAACTGGTATTCCAGGGCTGAATTAATAATTCAATAATGTGTTCTTGTCGCAGTTTCCCTCTCGTTGTCTTTTATGTTCTTTTTGGAGGTGGCTTCATTCAGGGGGTGCCGTTTCTCTCCGCAAGGGGCTGATCTCTTCTCCTCCCCCCAACAGACTTCGGCGCTATAGCAGCGAGTGCCCGGGGGATATCGCTGCAATAATATAAGGATCGGCACTCTGGAGGGACTTGGCGTCGGTGGAGACACAACCGCAAGATTGATAGACGAGGGGAGTTTCCTGCTTGGGAGATAGTCCATATTTGCGGTTGACCTCGGGGTAGACCGAATAATGAGGATTCTATATACAAGTCGTGGATATCCATGGATGGAGTATGAGATAGTAGTATGAATTGTGGGTGTGTGCCTGAACTGTGAAATACATGCCGACCGCAATCTCAGAACTCAGAAACATCACTCTTCCATCGCATCCATTGCCATCACGACTGACCTCGGCCCTCCATGTGGTTTCCAGACCAAAACAGAACTCACTCTTTAGGCAGCATGAATTGCTGAGATCTGACTAGCACTCTGTCTCCTGGCATTGCATATCGCCATGGATGACTCGATATCGCCTCCACACCCGTGGACACACACACCGCATCGCCTCCCAAACACACTTGGGGTTCCCATGGAGAAACACGCCCCTAACATGCAAGGTTCATCCGATTATGATCGGGACTGGATACGTTCCTCGTGTTCGGCCGCAAGGGCGCCCTGGCATCTTGCAGCTCGCTACCGACGGCCCGAAGCCAGAGAGCCAGGGGTCTTTTATGATTTAGTCCTTAGGGTTGGTTTCTGTTGTGTTTTCTGATGTGTCTGCAACAGATCTCATCCAAGGGTCCAACAATTGGAAAATTGGCAAAATCTTTTTCGAGGGAAAAATGAATTCGAATCCATGGACACTGTGACTGCTTACATGTGAGATATGCGCGCTTCAGCACCAAGGCCGGGGTCCTTGCCCTCTTCGCTGGTGGATTGTCAATGGTTCGACGCACAGTCTCTCTCGGGTGTGCCTCTGTACCACCATTGGAAGCCTATGGCCAGCGATGACGATGACAGCTCGGTTCTCAATGATCGACCCGGCCGCAGAAGACGTATCCAGCTGTCCGACTATCCGAGAGTCATGACATAAAAATAATTCGCCCAGAAAACTATATATACTACGCAGAGAGACCTCGATTAGACTCGAGTTTCTTTGCGTGCAGGCAGAATTCAAATTGAAACGGTGATCTTCTATACCCCCTATATCAGAGACATATCCCATACAGTGCAGCGTGATTCTTCTTCTATCTCTCTCAGTCAACATGCCCACGAGTATCTACCTTCTCGCGTCGGTTGCAGCGCTCGCTGGCTCGCACCTGGCACATGCGCAAACCAATATCACGTCCAATGTCTGTGCCGACTCGTCGAGCTTTTCGAAATGCAATGGCAACGTTGCCAGCAAGTGGCGCTCCTGTGTGAATGACTGCAATGGAAATGGCAACTGTATCGTGGACTGTGGCTGTAGTTCGCACCAGGATTATATCAATTGCATGGCGCAGTCGTGCTGGAACCAGGTATGGAAATGAAAAGCAGAGAGAGAGAGGAGAGACCCATCTCTTACTGACAATACATCAACAGGTGTATTCATGCGAATACCAGCTCTTCGTCCAGCAGTACTTCGCCGTCTGCCCCAGCGCCGTTGAACCGATTCCGTTCTGGCCGGCGCCAGACAATGCGCCGCATCGCTGCTCGTGCAGTCTGGGAAAGGTGCTCCAGACAACACTGAGCGCGCGCAAAGAGCAGCTCTCTTGCATGCGCAACGTCACCGATCGAACGAAAACCGACCTGTCCGATCTGCCCAACCTGCCCGACCTAGGCAATGGCCTGGACATCGCCAAGCGAGCCTCTGAATGCGCCTGCTGCGGCGCCAGTGCCAGTATCTCCGCGTACGTGTTGTCTCACCACTCCCCCACTATCACTCCTACTTGAAGCTTGCACATGCCAAGGGAAACCAGAGCACTAATACTCCATCACAATTCATGTACAGTGCCTGGGAAGTATGCCCCCACACCGAACCCAGACTCGCAGGCGCCGATCTCTGGCCACTCTTCTTCCCCAACGACTTCCCAAACCTATACACCTCCGTCCCGCACTGGGCCTGGTCCTCATGCGACAAGACCATCGACGCATCCAGCTGCAAGAAGATCGGCTTCTCTGACGCAACCGACAAGTTCTACAAGCCGGGCGACCTGCCCGCCAACGGCACCTCGAAGCTGCACAACATCGAGGGCACGGTCACGGCCCCGCCCAGCGGCACTGTGCTGACCTGGTCGCAGTCCTCTACGACGCATACCGTTACGGCTACCGGGTATGATAAGAAGGCTGTTGCTAGCCAGAGTGAGTTCCGGGCCACGGCGACGGGGGCTGAGGCGTTGTTCCCGTCGCAGACAAATAGTAATGGTGCGGGTGGGTTGCGGCCCTGGGGTGCTGCTGCTGGTATGGTTGTTGGGGCTGTGGTTGTGGGGTTGGTTGCTCTGTAACTTGGATGGAGTATTCTCCTCACTGGAAAATGGTGCATGACAATAGGCACTGTTGGGTCAGGCCTATTCTTGAGAGACGAGATATGTTTATACTCTTATGATCTGCATGCTTGTCACGTTCATGATACGAGCCTCATGATATGGTGTGGATGAGTTACGGGTTTCCGACCTCACGACCTTTTACGGATATAATCACGATTGAACGGGAAAATCCCATTGTCCTATATCATAATGCAAGTGTTGAACTACCCAGCAACGAGAACCAACGCCGACCATGCGCCAGGTGATATATCCAACCAGGACCTAGTCAATACATACTACCTTGTAGACAAGAGGTATTTCCGTAGGTCGTGGTAAATCACAAAAGCAACCGAAACCATGCTGACCACCCTCAAGTCCACGACGGACACACCCGCTTGAGAAACTTCATAAACTTGAAGAATCCCACGACATACTCGACATTCCCGTGAGGGTCGACGACGCGTTCGGGGAAGGCAATACCAGCACCATACAAGCCGGGAATCACGGGCCCGTCACCGTGCTCATGGAACTTGCCGGTCTCATGATCGAACTCCATCGCCAGGGGCGCACCGCCGCTGACCAGCTTCGGGAGAGGATCACGGGTGAACCCGACGGCATGGACAATATATGAGCAGGCGGGAAGGTGGGCACGGTACTGCGCCGACTCGGCAGCGGAGCCGCCGGCGCAGTCAATTTTGGTGATGATTTCGCCGGCGGGCGAGGACGGGAGCCGGTCGTCTTCCAACTGGGAGCGGGCGAAGTCCGCAGCCAGGCCCTTGAGCCCCGTGTTGTCGCGCAGGATCCAGCCATCCTTGTACTCGGCGTAGCGGAGGGGGTGGCGGGTGAACCAGCGGACGCGGAGAGCCGGGTGCGAAGAGTGGGCGAGCTGGACGAGGTTGAGGAGGGCGAGGATGGCACTGTGCGAAGCGCCGACGACGGCGACGGTGACTGCGCGGTCGTCGGGGAGGAGCTCGGCCAGCTCGGTGGGCTTGAGGACGGTGTCGAGGTCCAAGCGTTGGATGCCGAGGTCTGGCACGGGGACGGGGAGGTGGGTGGGGTGCGAGCCCGTGCAGAGGATCAGCCGTGAGGTCTCGATCTCCAGTTCATCTGACGAGTCAGAGCGCTTGATGCGGACGGTCCACTTGGCTGCAGAAGACGACGCTGCTGCAGACTGCAAGTACGAACGATGATATCATGATTAGTCTTTCCGAGTGATGAAAATCTGGGGAATATCAACTCTGACGAACCCTCTCGGCGAGACTGGCGGCCGTGACGAAGCCGCGGCAGGCGTAGACCTGCTCCATCTTCATTAGCCCGTCGGTGAGCCCGCGCACCATGTCCGCGGCGTAGTGCAGATGACAGGTCTTGTCCTGGTCCAGCTTGGCCAGCGTGGAAAACGCATTTGGAGCCCGGGCGTTATCGATCACTGTTCGGAAGGGCTGCACGGCTGTCGCGTAGGCCTGGAACAAGGACACTTTGGTGTTGCTGGCGGACTGTCAACTGGAAGAACCACACCACAGCCGGCCTGGGATCCAAAAGAATTAATCAACCAACCTGGGAACCTCGCGGTACTTCCGGTTCACTCGACCGGCCTCGAAACTGGGGTCAACCCAAGCTATTGTGCCCAGTTGTCGCTCCAGTAAGTTCCCAACAACAGCCAGACCGGCAGGGCCGGCTCCCACAACCACTGCAGCGCATTTCCGTGATGCCATTCTCAGGCTCGACTGGAGATAGAGATGAGAGACAAAAATAAAAAAAAAGTCCTCAAAAAAGAGTTCCAGTGGAAAAAGAGTGCAAGTCAAAAAATGGTTCTCATTCAGGGTATCTCAATAAATAGAAGTCACAAGAACGTAGCAAAAGAGAAAAAGGTGAGGGGGTGTGGAAAGGGGCGGTTTGGGAACAGCCAAGACCCGACACCAAATCGTGGGAAAAAATCGCCATGCGTCATCTAGCACCATTGGTGGTGCAGATAGCGCAACCAGGACCCAGTCGGATAATTTGGGAACGAGAAAACTGTTCAAGGTCCCCAATCACCCATCGTGTATGCGTAGGTCTCGGGCGAGATAGACCTGTCGATCCTCTCCAAACCTCTTCCCCCTCTCTCTTCAAATGTTGATTCAGAGCCTCGAATTGGTCGAAAGTCCGAATTTTCTGCTCGTGGGACTTCAACCGGCCGAGAGGAAGAGGCAGGATTCTCGCGGGCAACGCATGGGCCCCACCGGCGCTTTCCGTCGGCCTGTCGGCTGCGTCGGCTGTGATCAGTCGGAGTGGGAAAGGGGGGAGAGTGTCACCCTCGAGGGAGGGGACAACCACGGGGTTTCTTTTTTTCACGGCATATGAGCGACCGTCTTCATGTCGGATGACATTGCGGTTGACCGGGCAAATTGGGTCAAAAGAAAAAGCAAGAGCTGGTCGAGGGCGAGCGCTGGTCTTATACTCTGCTCGCTGGCGTCGATCGTGGAGCTTGGCGAAATTGCGTGATCGCGCAATTGCTTAGTCAGTGGTGGCCCTGGAGCACGAACTAACTATACTACCGGGCAGTGACTAGCTTCCTGAATCCATGAATATTTTGGACATTGTCTACGAAGTACCAAGATGTGATCTCATGGGAGCATTGCATAGTATTCTCACCGTTCGTATTGACTGCTCATATTGACTTGATGAAACCTGAATGTACCCAACGCCCATCACTGCTCACATCGATACTTTATGACCATATCATTCCGATAGCCAGGGAAAATAGGCAAGAAAAACTGTTCTACACAGCCCAAAAGATCCTCATCCTGGCACGATAGACATGGTTGGACCAGCCCACAAAGCGGGCCCGAGCCCAGAGCGCAATCGAGTCCCCAACTTCCAGTTCGCGCACTCCGCGTCCATCCAGAGTGAGGGGACCACGGCCCTGGGTGCGTTCGATCTCATGGGCCTCGGGTGACTCCGGATCGATACTGTCTTGGTAGTGCCAGACAATCCTGACATGCTGCATCTCAGAAACGTGGGCACCGTTGACCTGTAGCTTGTTTCCACGCGGCAACAGAAGCGAGTCGGCCTCAGTGTAGTGTTTGCGAACTTGCCCCCGCTCATTGTCCAGGATCTCCTGCTCGGTTCCGTCGGCGTACATATTCTTCGCGTGGGCCTCGCGAATGACTTCGGTGTCGAACCAGGTCCATGCACACTCATACATATTCTCCCGACGACGTCCAAAACCTTGGTCATGAGAAGAAAGATCAAAGACGATCTTGCGACATGGATGGAGGGAGCGATGAGGGAGTGGTTGGGGAGTTTCTGATCGTTCCAGACTCTGTATAGGGAATAACAAAGTAGACCCGATTAGCAGGAGGATCAGTTGTATCCACAACCCACAGTGCGTACCTGTCGGTCATAACAGAGAGGTACCGTCTTTAGCAGCACCTGGTCTTGGTCTTTCTGGACGTGTCTCTCCCCCTCCATGCTCTGCTCCCAGGATGGCCAGTACTCAGCTGCATCGACGATCAGGTCCACCAGCTCTTTGGGCAGCCCATTTGGGACTTTCCATTGTAGCAGATAACGGACTTTGAGCACATCCCATAGGGCTGGAAAGAACGGTTCGGGTTGTGTTTCGGGCACTCCGTCAGACGCATCGTCGGAATCTGAGCTTGTAGAGCTCGGGGAGATATCCCTCGGTGGGGTTGGCTCTGGGCGAGACGGACGCAAAGGCAAGACAGCAGAGAAGATGTTAGACAGCATGATGACTACCTCGTCTCTCGAGTCAGTTGGTGTGTCTTTGTTAAACAGTAGTTACCTTGTCAGCGGTTATCTTTTATCGTTTGCCCCACATCAACGTCAGCGTGGTAGAGCTACCTGAAAGCGGTGGGCATGTAATTGTTTGAAGGGCGAGAAGTCGCTGCGGCAGGGGAATCTCAACAGGATATGGTGGGCTTACAACAGCAAAATCAAATGCGGCTTATGGAGAGACAGAGATTGTGATGACGTCAATGTTTACAGGGGTGATCGTAACAATCGAATGCCCTTTCCCAACGCCCAAAAATACAGGATCAATTTGGTAAGATCAGGGCTTCTGCCCACCTGCTGCCCGATAGGCCGCAGCCCGCTTACTGCTCCGGTTCTTCGGCTTGCCCTTGGAGCCGCGGCTCTTCGTCTTCGCCTTGATCGACGAGTTGCCCTCAGTCGCTCGATGACCCTCAAACACAAACGAGTTCGCCGCAATGGAACCCTTCCCATCAGCCTTAATCTTGGCCGCGCCCGCTCGGCCGAGCAGTTTGCCGGCCCGACCTTGCAACGTCTTTTGGGCCTCTCCCATCCGCGGGTTCTTTGCATCGGCCTCAGGGCCCTTCTTGGCCATCTTCCGAGCTCGAGTGACACGCAATTTCCGGGGCAGCAGGGGCGGGAAATTCTTCTCGTTGAGCAGAAGCGCCTCCTCGACGCCGTTGCCATCGTAGAACTGGACGTAGGCGAACCCTTTCCCGACACGAGTAGACCGATCACGAATCACACGGACAAACTCAACACTGCTCTTGGGGGCTTTCTTGTCTTTCTTCCCCCCGGTGTGGGCATTGAAAGTGCGCCACAGACCCTCCTCGATATCGGCAGGGGCGCGGTTCTTTTTCTTTTTGCCAGACTCCTCGTCCGCCGCTTCGTGGTCGACGAAGCTTAAGTTACCCACGAACACGCACCGCTTGTTGTCAATCCCCGCGGGGTGTGCGATGCTGTCTACACGCAGGTGCCGATCCAAAATGACTGTGCCATTCAATGCGATGGGCGCCTTCCGGGCGGCTTGGATCGTGGTATAAACTGCGTAAGCGTTGGTACTGGGCGTGGTCTCATCGAGGATCTCCCGTCTGGCAAACGAAGCACGCTTCGGAAGCCCCCTCCGCTGGAAAAGGGAACGGAGCGGAAACGGATGGATTCGACCTTGTGCGGACCCGTAGATTCAGGGAGTGTCGAGCAAAAGGAGGCCAGGTGTCGGAGAAGAGTTTTCTTCGCCGACTTGGATTTGATAGCCTGGGTCGAGACGTTCCCCAAAAAGACAGTGCGGTTGGACTTCTCGACGTCACTGTTTCCAGCTGTTCCGGACAGACTTTCATGCACCGGAGCCGGAGCGCTCGAGCCGTCTTCGTCATCACTGTCCTGGGATGCTGCTTCCTCGGGGACTTCGGAGTCGTCGCTCGAGGCATCGCTGCTGGCTTTCTTAACCTGCTTCTGACGCTTCGCCTGTTCCAATTTTTTCTTTTCCTCCGCCTTCTGCTCCTCCTTGGCAATGCGACGCATGTACGACTCCTCCAGATCGTCTTCGACACCGCCCCTCTTGCGCTTCCGAGTCTGTGTATCTTGGGTCTTTTCCTCCACGGCGGCCTCTGAGTCGCGGGTCTCGGGCGCGTCCTCCATCACTTCATCAAATGAAGGGGACGAAAAATCTTCCGATGCATTGGCATCGTCATTGTCGTTTTCAATCTGGGCCGCTTGTGTAGATTCGGCCGCAGCCTTCGTTGGGGGAACAGGGGCTTTAACGGGGCCAGCCTAAGAAGAATTAGCTGTGGACCCATCAATTACACTCGACAAGAATTGTCAACTAACACTATTCGCAAACAGCGAGCTCAGAGTCGGGTCCAGAGCTGCATTGCCGCCGACAAAGGGAAGAGAGCCGGCAGATTTGCTGGATGCCGGGTCCGTCTTGGACTGCGACTTTGACTTTTTGCCCATGATTGTTGAATATTTGGCCTTCCCGTTAGTGAGATCAGCACGGGGAAGTTGTCTCGACGTAGCGTCCTTCAGGTTGTGGACTGTACTTTGCGCCTTTTGTTGGACTTTTTTTTTTGGCTTATCGGTCTTGGCGCGGGAAGCTGATGCACATCACATGACTTAGAGTTGGGAGAAAGAAATCACGTTTGATTTATCTATGGGAAGCAGAGGAAGTTGAAAATTTGGCTATCTCAAAGTATGCTAGTTCTTGCGAACTTATCAAAGCCAAGTATGCTGCAGATTAAATCACTGTTGGGGCATGGAGATCTTGAGATTGATAATTATCTCCAGAATCAGCCTTGATCTGTAGATATAGAGTCTGTTTACTTCGACTGCTAGAATTTCCTTGTTCCTGGAACTTTTCTATGAGTCTTAAAAGCGTCGATGGTATCCATGCCATATAATAATGGGAGGTTGTAGCATGCAAGTAGTCAATGCAGAGGAAGCTGATTCCGTCGACGTCAACCCACGTGACTCGCTTTTTTCTTTGGGCGGTGAGGGTCACACTCGCCGGGACGCGGCAGAACCCCGTCACTCGCTTCTGTTGCTGCACCCCCATCATAGCGATCGGCTGGCCTGCGTCTCCCCTCCCTCTCTCTGTCCCATCGGCCTGCGATCCTGTGCTCTCCATACCAAATTCTCTTCATGCCGTCTCTTCTCTTGCGACCTTGTACTCTGGTCTTGCCCGCCTCCTAGCCGACCTCCCCTCGTCCCAAGTCGGTCTGCGCAGGACCACTTCGACTGAGAAGCTCGTGCTGGAAGACTATACTGGTGATACGCGTGGGCCTGGCTCCTGGTATATAACTTGCGCCCCCAGAACGCGGTGGTTTCGAGAATCGTGCTCGGTCGCGAGCAGCTGTGCTCATCACCGCCGTCGCTCCCGGCGCATTTGCTGAAACGGTACGTCGCTGGACAATTTTACTTCATTTGGGCCTCATATCCCGTTCGATGGACGAGCAGGAAGGTCTCTGCACCCTCTGCAGTTCTGTCCTTCTGCATGTTCGCCCTGCGCAGTCGCTGGGCTCGACGCTGAGCGACGTTTCCGACTCTGGGGGCGTCCCGATGATCAATCTCCGCACCGCCTTCTGGAGGCGCCGACCTACCCTTCCCACCCACCACCCACTGCGCCTCCATACCTTTTTTCTTGGGGCTGTGATCTAGCCAAGTTGACATGGCAATTGAGCTAATCGGTTTTGTGGCTTCTCTAGACTTTCAATCCAACCGCCGTCGGGTAACGCGGTGACCTTCTCCCTACCGCGAGCCCACGAACCCCAAATCCTGCCGAGAGCTACCATCGGCACAAACATCTTATATACTCCTCCTATATACCTTATACCACGATCGGGTCAGCTTCGTGCCACACGAAATTGCAGATGGAGGTGGCCGAGAGCGGAAAACGGGCCTCCGTTGGTGCCGCCACGGGGGCCGAGTCTACAATGCCCAATGGCGAGCGGAATCCATTCTTGGATGACCCCCTAATGGATGATGGACGATCAAGTAGCTTGAGCGAAATTGATGACGTCTCCGATAATGAGCCGTCCGATTTTGAGGATCCCGTGAAACCGGAAAAACCGCTGGAGAACGATTCGGAGGCGGAAACCGAGCGCATCGATGATTCTCCTCATAACATTCGAAAACGAGACATTGTGGTGAGCGCGGGCAGCGCTGGACCGAGCCCGAGCAAGCTTCATCAGTCGACGACGGTAGACGATGTCGACGAAGCGCATGTTGCAGATGATTCGCCGAGCAAGCCGCGGCGGTCTTCCAAGAACAATGGCGTTGCCGATCACCCCGAGATGGATGATGTCGAGCTTCCCGATAGTGTCGGCAAGAAACGAAAACGCGTCGATGCTGGCGACGAAACCGGCACTGAACTAGGCGACGAAGAGCCGTTGAGGAAGCGCCGGAGCTCACTCAAGAGTGACTTGAGCGATCCAATGGATGACGATGCGCCGTTGTCGCCGGAGCCGATAGAAGACCCCACTATTGCGCGCGACGATACGCCAGTCGACGATGCCCCGGAGATCGACATACCAGCCGCTTCGTCGAAAAGCAAAAAGGGCAAAAAGGGTAAGCGAAAAGGCAAGAGAGTTCCTGACGCGGATGAGGAGACCGAAGCTGGTGGTATTGAAGCCGCTACAGAGGACGTCGCTGATGAGAATGTTGGTGAAGACGACGAACCTGCGGAACAGGTTGAGGACGCCGATGATGCTGAAGCCACTGCTCGGGTTGAAGAAGAATGTAAGTCTTGAGTGCCTCTTTTCTGGACATCACAATCGCTCACGTTCTATACAGCCGTGAAAAAGATGTCTGCGATGGAGTCTCTCGCGACGTTGGAGAAAGAATTTGCAACATTGCGTGACAAGTAAGAGCTTATCTTCTCTTTCTTCGAGGTTGGATGCTGACACTCTCATAGGATTTATGACGAACGGATTTCCAAGCTCAACCGCGAGCTGGAGATGCTGACCGGGCCGAACCCAACCCACCCCGAGTACCTGCGCCAGGTGGAGTGTGTAGAACGACATCGGGACGCTAAAACTACATATGAACACACGTTGTACCGATACCGCATGAAGTCCCTTCTGAACAAGGGACTGGCCGAGCGAGCGCAGGCACATAGCACCTACTTCCAACGGATTCGAGACGTTCGTGAACGGCATTCCAGTGCGATTAGCAGACAGTTCTATGCGATTCAGCATGATCGCTTCAAGACAGACGAACTCAGCCCACATCATATCATTCCGTTCCCCACCCGTCGGTCGCAGCAAATCGCGCACCAGACCGCATACAACCAAGAAGTTTCGGTCATGGCCGGTGTCGCGAAATATGTTGGCTTTCCTGCTGCGCCCACCTTGCTTGGGGCGCGTTCGTCCGAACTTGATGACGACCTTGAAAAGATGGGAGTAAGCCGTCTCCACACCACCTGTACACGTTTACCTCAGATACTGATTTGAGCCTCTCAGATATCTGTCGAGTCTCGAGCCTCGGCTCCACGGCATTCGTCGGCGTTGCCGCCACGGGGTGCGATGTCTGCCATGTCGTCTAATGCTTTCCGCACAGCCGCCGAGGAAGCCTTCTTGGAGCAGACACCCTGGGCCAACCCACAACATCCCATCCACCAACAGCAGGCACATCAGCAGTTGTCGCAACAGCCACAGCCTCAGGCCCGTCCCCTAGAACAAGCACAACCGTCCTCATATGCAACTCCAGCAGCTCAGAAGCGGGTGGTAGATGTCAATGCGCCGAATGGATCCGCATCCACCATTCCCGAGAACCTCTCCGCAGCTAATTCGTCGGCGAACAACACCCCCTATGGCACCGAGCAGGAGCCACGACATCAACAGCAAGGGCCTTTTCGAAATCCTGAATATGACACCGAGCACAAGTCTGGGTTCCGGTCATTAAGCTCCTCGCCGTTGGATGTCCGGAAAGCACACCCTCACCCTCCACATTCTCTCGAGCATCGATCGCTTGCTGCTGACGCCACCTCCAACCGCAACCCCATCTTCTCTCCATCTCCAGCTCGGCAGGGCTTGTTCTCATCCTCAGCGGCACCAAACCGAGACCCTTCCCCGTCTATCCCGTCCAAACCGGTTGATGCCCATTATCGGGCCCACCAATCGGGCATCTCAACAGGGCCAGGTTCCAGCCAAATACCGTCTCGATGATCCCGCTCTCATCCTGTTGACATCCTCGATGGGGCTTGTTGCCTTCGGCTGGAACCGGCACTGCATTGAATGGCCCAGACCAGAATCATATTCAATTGTCTTGGACTTGCATCTTTTCCTCTTCTCCTTCTTTCTCGCCTGGGATAGAGTCTTCCGACCTCCCTCTTCCTCTTTAATTCTTGTTCGGTGTTCTGTATTCCGCTATTGCTGGAGTTGCAAACATGTATTCTGATTATCATGGACAGAGAGAATGTGTGAAATGCGGCGTGGATGGATACCAGGGGCATCTTGGCTTCAAGTCTCGACAGCGTTGATATATGGGAGAAAACCAAAAAAAAACTCGGGTGTTTTTTGCTACTTACTTTTTACTGCACTTCGATTCGAAGGCCATGTTTCTGGGTGGGTCAACGGGTAAATGGTTTTTATATATACCTTGGTGTATGGGGTATGGATGTTTTCTTTTCTTGTCTCTGCTTTTTGCTTTCTCAGTTTCGTGCTTGTGTCGTTGTACATACCACGCATAGAGATGGGCTACCAAGGCCTGGGAGTTTCTTCTTTTCTTTTTTTGTGTGTTTGAGGTGAAACATGGTTCATTCTTTGTCACTAGGCTTTGAACCTTGTGCATCACTTGCATCTCAGGAGCGGTGGCGTGGATATCAATCGAGGAGGAAAGAAATTCTTGTATAAAAAGAGGGGAAAATAAATGAGCAAGAAGTGTCAAATGCCGAGTGCACATATCGAAATTTGTCGATTACTTTCCATGGTTGCCTGGAATGCTGATACACAGGACTCACGTAGGACGTTTATTCCAGACTTACAAAGGGGTTCTAGAAGTATATCGTGTTATATCTAGGCATAGCATGCCCAGAATCAAATACGAATAACATGGCCGATGTTCAATATCCAGTTCCCTGATTTATTCTTTTAAGAAGGAAAAGATAGCAATATACATATGCGAGAATGGTAGAACCGAACTATGCGGTGGGTTAAGCAGAAGCCTTCTTCAAGGCTGCAATGGAAAACAACACATGCTATCTGGCACAAAGCACCTCGGCAGACTATTAATCGAGTCCTTCAAGATCTTCGATGGACAGGAGACATTGTTTCTTGTCCTTTTCAGGTCGAGTTCATCCTGACGCCGCACCAGACTGCATCTCTGGTGCTGGGGGCGCCCCGTTTGTGGCAGCAGCCGGTGGCTCTGTCGCTTGGGGACGCCATTTGGCAAGGACCTTGCCGGCCGCGGGGCGTGCTTCCTCATCTGTAGATGACCATATGTTAGACCGGCTATTGCCAACATCATCAAGTAGAAAACAAAAGGCGAAAGACAACGTACATGTCCGGTAAAGATCTTCTAACGCGTTCAAACTCATTTCTCGAGCCGGTAAGCGAAATAGAATCAGATACCTGGACGACCAGAGTCAGCAATGAATCCATGACTCGAAGATTCGATGACAGAAAATCCATAATAAACTTACAACAGGGACTGGATGCAGAGGTTGACACGTTCCGGGTCTTTCGCTAGACTGGCCACTCGCTGGATGATGGGGATGGTGACCTCAGGAATCTCGCTCAAAAAGCGGGCCAGCACTTTGATATCGCGGGAATCCAAGTAGGGCAGAAGTCCATCGAGGAGCCGGATCACCCAGGTGTCATAGTGCAAGGGTAGAGTAGGTTCCGATTCTTCCTCGGCGTCGGCACGCTGCGTGACTGCAGACTTCATTTGGACACGGTCATTATACCATTCTTCGTTCAGCCAGGAGATCCCAATACTGAGTCGAGCGCGGAAATCTTCCAGAATGTATCGATACAACGTCTCTCGGATCGAGTCGGAAATGGTGGCACCTTTGCCCGACGGGCCACCTCCCTCCAGACCAGCTGGGGCGCGCGTGGCCAGTCGAGCCAGAAGCACGACCCATGCGTCGCGATCAAATGTGCTCCCAGCAAGCCGTGCAAATCCAAGCTGTTGTTGGCTCTTGCCCTTGGCGGGCGCAGGTGATGTTTCAGCGACATTCAGCATGCCAAACACGCGCGCGACGGCACTCCGCCCGACTTCCCCAGCCTCTGTTTCACTCAATGGAGGCGGTTGCGGTAAGATGAATGGACCCAAAGATACGAAATCAGCCTCGATGTCTGCGACTTCCGCTGCAACAGCATTGGTTTCTTCCGCGACATTTTCGGCCACGTCCATAGGTTGGTATTCGGGTTCGTAATCATCATCTTCATCTGCCACGGCTGCTTGCTGCTGCTGCTGCCGCTGTCGGGTTTGCTCCTTAGTCACAGTTTGATATCGTGTGCGGACCGCCTAGAGAAAGTTAGCATATGTGAATGAGCTTGTTGCTTCAGTATAACCCACGTCGACGGCCTGCGTAAGCAAGGACGGATTGACTTGTGCAAGGAGGGGAACAGCAATCTTCACGACTAGATCGGGCGGAAGCTGTTTCACGTCGAAAGACGAAAGCCCGGCATCTTGTGTCAAAGTGAAAAGTCGATCATAGCTGGTGGGACCTGGTGGCAAGGGCGGAATTTTGAGCAACGGAGGAGTCATGGCATCCAGACGTGCCCGTTTGGCGCTGTCAAGCCCGTCTATCGGCTCATTAGGTAGCCCGCGCTTCCGAGAAGCATCATCAGTCATCTCAAGCTTTGACTGCATTAATCGCTCAATATACACTTGCATCCTACCCGCCAGAGGATGATTCGGGTTCCTACAACAGTCGGTTAGAGTGATCTAGGTAGATGACTACGAGGGGGTCGTACTTCTTCAAGATGTTGACAATCAAGGCCCGCGATGTTCGTTCCATCGACTTGACACTGACGCGGACAGTCGGGGTAAGAGGCGGACGAACATGTCTTGCAGGATAGAAGTCCAAGACCGCATTGACGATTTTGTTCGCGATTGACTGGCGCGTGCGAATGAGGGGGGTGAGGCAGTTTAGAGTCGCGTTGACAAGAAGCGGGTCACTAACTACAAGTTAGAATTCTCATCAAGTAGCGGATCACTTCCTTCAAATACCTTGTTTCTTCTTGGAAAACATCCAACAGACGGTCAAGCAGACCTGATGACTCGGCCTCCAGGTTTGGGATAGACAGAACAGCGTGAGTTCGAGGGACAATGGCCAGTGATGTTTCGTTTTGTTCCGGACGCTAAAGCACAAAAGTCAATCCTGGCATCAACATATCACAGGGGTTGACAGGACATACTCTGGGGTCTGAAATCAAACCGGGCGTCTGAACCTGTACCACGCGTTGAAGGAATTTGACACAGCAGACCTTGATAGGGCACTGGAAAGAATCCATTTTGCGCAGAATGTCTTGTTTAATGGCATTCATCGTCTCCCACGCCTGGCCGTCTTCCGGATGGTTGACACTGCGGTTCGGGCCCGTTAGTATCATATCCCACGGCAATTCCAGCTCGATTATGGACGTGACAGCGCCAAAAGAAACCTACATGTGCCTAAAGACTAGCGGATAAAGACTGGTGGCAGTCTGCACCAAGCTCTGCAGGACCGCTGCGTCCGCCTCGGGCAGCTCCAGGATCTCTCGAACGGTCTGCAGAACGCTCGGCGCGAGCAGCTCCTTCTGCGCTATAGCTAACACCGGGCTGGCAAAGGTCTCTGCCAAAAATTCGGCGCCCCATCTTCGCAATTCGAGTCGCGAGTGAGCTCCGATGATCGGGAGGATGCCGTTCACGATTTGCGGGTAAAAGGCGGCGTCGCCGAGGACGAGTTTGCGGGCGGCATCGAGCTGGGCGATCTGATCGACCACCTGGTCGGTCAGTTGAGCCATCGCTCCGAATTAAAGGACGGGAGGAGGGCTATGCGACAGGCGTGTGAGGGGGCAGGCGAGTCGCGTCGAGACAACGGGAAAGGGAACGATGTTTTCTATTGGGCTCGGGTCGCAGGTCCAACGGCGTGACAGGCGGGATAGATGCGCATATGCACTCCGGAGTACTGCGATGATGGATTGGGGTCGATGGAGATAGTGGGAGGTGAACGACTGGGGGATATGGTGCTGCGACAGCGAAGGGTGGGAGTATGGAGGACAACAGAAGTCCGAAGGGGCCGAGAAAAAGATAAGTCAATGCGAGTCGCAGATTGACCACGGCACCACTAAGTACTGACGACAAAAGAGTATCACTTTGATGATAATGTAAAGCAATTTAGCAGAAAAATGCTAGAAAATCGTGATTTCCCCCGAGGTTGCGCTGCCTGTTGGTCCTCAGCGCCAAGACCGCCCCGTCCGCTTCTGCGTATAGATTCATCTCCGTCCTTCGCTCTCTCACCCCACGCATCTCCTTCGCCATGCCGTCTGGAATGTACGTGAGACTTCAAAAACTCTCCACCTCAATCAACCCCCGAGATTTTATCGACTAACATCACTTGTCTGATCCAGCTTCAACTCCACTTACTACGGCAAGGACTACCGCGCCGGCGCCGCCCTGCTGCGCGCCCGCCGACCATACCTGTTTAAGAATGCCCTGACAGGCCTCGGGCTGGTCGCTTTCTCGATTAGCGTCTGTACGTGAGACCCAAGCCCTGATCGCCGCCGCGGTTGGATGCCGCATCCGCCGTACGAAGAATCATGCCCTCAAGAGCCAACTCTACCGTGTCATTCCCTCCCAAGACACATCGAACCGGCTTTATACGCACTCCTTCCCACAGGAGTCTTTCCAGAACCAACTGTACTGACTGATGTTTTCTCTCCCACTTCCAGTTTCATACACCATCAGCGCTGTCGGCCAAGAAGAGTTCTCCGACGTGAAAGTCCCCGACGCCCCCGCGCAGTCTCAGCAGAAATAAACCAGCTCGCCCTACCCTGACGGAAATCTCAGATAGGGCTCGAGTCGAGTTGAATATGGGATAGCCACCGGCTTGACAGTGAGCGTGGACCATATACTTGGGCGCAAACTCGGAGGGAATGCAAGTGGCCGGCGGCGCCAGCCCTGCAGGGAAAACAGCGACGGTGCAACATTGGGGTTTTCGGAGTCTTCGGGGCAGACGTTTTAGATTCATTGTCTGCCTGTTCAACCTTGTGTTCTTTTTTTTTCGTGTACAGAGTGGTTTGGGATGGACTATGTACAATGATAGTAGGCTCGCGCTCGAATACTCATCTCTGCTCTTCGGCAATCGATTATAGCTTCCATGCGACTACTGCAAGATTACGGTTTATTCAGAAGACATATTTCTCGGGGCATTCATAGTATATCACGTTGAGCTATGGACCCAAAGTATATCAGAAAGAAAGCACCACATGCAGGATGAAAGCAGCCTGCCATGATGTGGAAAGAGTCAAACCACAACATGACACGCCACAGAACAAAATTTAAACAAAGCACGTCTACTCGGTTCTTAGAATGGGGGGACCTCTCTTCTTGGCCGCACGCTTCTTCTTGAGGCCCTTGTCGAAGGCGACAGCGTTGCTGTGGTCGCGGCCGAAGTTGTCCAGGTCTTTGACCTTGTAGATCCGGATGATCCAGTTCTCGCTGGTGAAAGCCTCCTCGAGTGTGTTGAGCTGGGGGGTTTCGGTAGGCAGCTTAGAGCCGCGAACTCGATCCATGGCTTGACCGGGCGGGAACAGACTTTGGTAGTTGTGGTAAGACAGTTTGTACCTGTCGATGCAAGGTGAGCTGTGATATCCAATAGGGAGAAATACGCAGGGAGAGATAACACGTACATCAAACTGTTACGCATGGTCGGAGTAGCCTGGTCGTCGACACGGTACTCACCACGAGCAGTGAAGAACGCACGCTCGCTCACCTCGTCGGGCCAGATGCCCTCGGAGATGCGTACCATCCACAGGAACTTGTTCAGGTCGTCACCCGAGTAGCCCAGCAGTCCACCAAACACCACCAAGACATAGTCCACATCGTGCTGTCGCAAAATTGGGTAACTGACCTCCTCGCGCGAGCTCATCGCCTTGCCCACGGTAGCAATATGGGTGTTGTTCCAGGTGTTGTTGTCGACGAGCGTAGGACGGTCAGCCATACCACCGATCTGATAGCCGTAGTCCCACCAAGACATGATCTTGGCGTTGTCGGGTGTGTTCTGACGAAGCCAGTAGTAGGCCTCGCGGTAGTCATCGATGATGAACTGGCTTCCATCGGGCAGTCGGCTGGCCAGAACAACCGAAGGCGACGAGTACGCGTTGGAAGTGACCCAGGTGCAGTGAGCAACAAACATCAGAAGGTAAATGGTCACTGAGCCCGTCACAACGGCCTTGGAGAAGTACGAGTAGATGCCAACCAAGGGGTTCCGGCCTGAACGAAGCGACTTGGACTCATTTCCGTTTGCCTTGGCTTGGGCGGCCCCCTTGGGTGTCGACATCACCAGGAAGTTGTCGAGAATGCAAGACAAGGCGAGCGCCGCCGCAACGCAAACAATTGGGGTCAGAGTCAGCATCAGACGGACCATGACACCAGCGAAGTAGCTAGCGAGCACGGAGTAGATGACCACAAAGACATGCTCATCTTTCAGCTTCTGGAAGCACACGAACACACCAGCCGGGAAGAGCCAGATCAGGAAGTTCAGGTCAAAGAAGAAGGCAGGCCAGGCAGTCGGCTGGTGCTCGGAGACAGACGCAATGATGGGAATGTGAATCTTAGCGTAATTCGTATCCCACAGGGAGTAGAAACGACCGCTCCATGGGGCAATGACTCCCGTAGCTGAAAGCGCAATGAGTCCAGTGAATGCCAGCCCGAAAGTCAGGAAAACCATGTACGTCAGAAGCTTTTGGAACTGCTTGCCGGGCAGGAAGCTTCGGATAAAATCGGCAAACGCCACAAGTTGAATGAGTCCAAAGACACCTATGAGAGAGTTAGAAGATGAAAAAGTCGAGGGATGGATTGATAAGGCTTACCCAAAGCGGACATGTGGTCACTGTTGCGAATAGGCAGAAATCCCACGAAGGGGATCTGCATACTTCCCAGAGTTCCCAGCGCATACCAGGTGGTATAGCTGATGTACATCCGAGAACTGTACCGACCCATGCAGAGCAGCACAAAGACATGGAGTGGAATGAGGTTGGTGATGAAGACGTATCCACCCCAGGCCGACACCATGTATCCGTAGAACAAGGCCGTCAACGCTCCCCACATGATCGAGCCGTTCTTGATAGCCTTGATCCACAAGAAGAAGGTAAATACCAACAGGAAAATGGCAATGGCTTCATTGTCGTAGCTGCCCGCCACGGATCGCGAAATGTAACCAGGAACGATTCCAATGAAGGCCGCAGCGAGGAGACCAGCAGATGGGGAGGGAGCCATTTCGCCGGTCAAAAGGTACATTGCCAGCGCGGTGAGTCCGGAAAATCCTGGGGCGAGCAGAACGCAAACGTTTCGAATGTCGACGGGGATCGTAAGGAAACGCAGGATGTGGTAGATCACGCCGCTAGTCACCATCAGACCAGGGTATAAGGTGCCACCGGTAACACGTCCCAGAGGGTGCCACGTTCCTGTTAAGAGAAGCAATTCTCGTCAGTACCATGCCATAATGGATGACACGCAGCCACGGGGAGAAACCTACGGTCATCGAACCAATCCCAAAAGCTGTAAAAGCCATTTTGAACCAAGTATTTTGTTGCACGGAAGTTAAACCACGGATCGACTAGAGTTCGAAGGCGTTAATATCTCTTTCTCTCCGACGGGGTCGAGTCTGGGATGCTGTATCTCATGCACAGGGGAGGTGACCATACATTCGTGGATAATACTCTCGAATCCTAGAATTGAGTCAGCATAATGAACCGCTACCAGCTAAGGAATCAATGCATACGAATAACACTGAACAGCCGACTAGACACGGCGGCGGCAGCAATCGTACAGAGAATGAGGATCCGCAATAGACCGCGCGTGTTCCGGCCGGAGCTGCCTTTCAGCAAGGCATCGAGCGAAGACTGGGCCATAATGGCCAGGCGAAGGAGCAAAGTCCAGAGGCAAGAATTAAAACCCAAACATCAAATCAAGGAGTGAGTTGGGGCTGAGCTGCCAATGGTGAGAGTCGTGGGATAGATGGAGGAGGAAGAGCTGCGACAAGGTGGTCACTTCGCTGAGGCTTGGCATCGGGGAAAGGTGCCACCTCCGACTGCTCCCCGCAATAACAACCGCCTTCTTCTCAGTCACTTTCCTACTGCTCCTGGGTTTTTTGTGATTTTCACTCTGAACCTGACTCATACTACAGAGCAATAGCAATTTGGTGATTGTCACATCAGCAATGGAGCTGCTGCCACTTTCTACTGAGCAACTCTCGAAGCTGGCGGCTTCCAATGTGCCACCATCTCAACTCTTCGAAGTCTTGTCGCAATACGAAGCCGAAGCTTGTCTGATCCCTGCAGAGGGTGATAGCTCTCAGACCGACAATTCTGGCTTGGAGTTGTTGAGCCTTTTCTATTCTAGTTTCTTCCTCACCCACCTTCTAACCGATCAAATGTTAGTTTTCTTGGGTGATTACTTTTGGACTACATACTGATTGAAGACCTGGAACGATAGACCCGAAGCCCGTGCCTTGACCAAGCGAATGCCCGAAACCCTCCGGAACAAGGACCCTTCTCTGCAGAATTGCCTGACACTATTACGAGCCGTATGGCAAACCCAACACGACCAAGTCTATCAGATCCTGCGGAGGTTGCCGTGGCCAGAGGCACTGCAGCGACTAGTACAAAGATACGAGAGTATGGACTTGTTCCTGCCAGCTATCTTCCAGTCAAGTACTGACATCAGCTCCATAGGCTTCTTCCAAGACAAGTCTTTGGTTGCACTCAGCCATTCCTACGAGGCAATACGACCTGCAACCGCAGCGGGATATTTAGGCCTTGACCAAAAGGCCGCTGAGAATGGCGACCCAAACATCATAACGAAATTCATCGGGTGTGGATGGACATGGGATCCGGAGACTCAGTTGCTGCACCCTAAACCGATCGCTGTACCATCCCCCCATAACCAGACCACGAATGGCATTCGAGAAGCTATGGCCATGCTTGGAAACCGGGCAGGTTGAAAGACGAGTTGGGAGGCCCGTGTCTGTTTGCTAATGAAAACCCGACACTGCCGAGGGGTTACGAGTATCCCTGAGCTGCGCCTCTGCGTACGAGGACCATGGAGACGACGCCAGAACTAATACTGGCCGACTTCAGATAGTGATAACGCCGGAATGCATAACATGATCTTTTGCTCTTTCTTGTGGTCCAACTGTAGTGTACAGGCGCACGCCAGCCCAGGGTATATACAGGACCCAGGGATAACGTCTAAAAAAAGGAAGAAAAAAAACGGCTCCGTCTTTCGCTGGCAATGTCGCAACTCGGGGGCAAATTAGACCCAAACCAAACAATCGTACAGAAAACGGAGCGGGACCCGAGCGAATCGCTTCTAATACCCTGGGGGGAGGCGCGATTTGCGCAAAGAGATCATTGCGTATCATTCCTCCTCTATACCGTCCATGCCATTTACTGCGACTCCGCAGCCTTAGCCTGCAAGAATGCCTCCAGGTCGAATTTGGGGTCCTCGGGATCCGTGATGACTGCAGGGGGAGGGAAATTGATCAGCGCTGGGTTCGAAAAACAATTCGGGTCTTTCGGATCCCATCATGGAAACTCGTAAGAAAACACCCGGGGGAAAGGAGGGCTACATACGTCCGCTAGTTTGTGTCTTGGGCTCCTGGGGTGTCGTCTTCTTCTTCCACTCGGCCTTGGCCTGCTCGATCAGGCGCTCCTTGCGTGCGTATTCGTGCTCAATCTCCGTGCGCTTCGTCTGCGAGTTGAGAGACGACTGGTGGAAGACACCGTAGAACAGACCAGCCACGAGGGCCGAGTAGCGGAGGACCTGTTTTGTGCTCATGTCAACACCCCGTTTCTGAGAGATGGGGGCCCTTTACTCACGTTGACACCCTGGGTGCTAGCCATTTCTGCAAGGTCTTCGGAAGACAAGGAGGAGGTAAGAAAACAATTAACGGGATACCGAAGGACCGTTCAACAGGTGTCGACCGTCAATGGCAGGGAATCTCCAGGTTGGTCAAGGCGAGGTTTCAGTCCCTGTTCCTGCGCGAGTTTTTCCGGCGCCGTCGGACGAGGCGCTTATGTCATCCCGAGTAAATAAACCGCAACACGCTACGCTGGTAAACGCATGTCCTCATTTACGCTGCCACGATGTCGTCCATGCAGCAGCGCAAGAATGAGATCCTCGCCAAACGAGCCAAGCTTGCGGAGCTGAAAAAGCAGCGCGAGCTCCGCCAGAAGGAATTCACCAACACCCGAACCAGCGTCGGAGATGCTTCAGAGGTAACGCACCAGCCAACGGATTGTGGAGCTTGCTAGGTGTCTGACAATTGTATTTAGATTGTGTCGCCGGTGCCCAGCCGCTCAGACAACAGAGCAGAACTGGATGATCTGATCTCTCGCCTGGTGGATCGCCCGGGGTCGGCATCCATCAGCCACGGCGCCGAAGGCCAGTCGGGGAAGGGCAGCCGACCCAATTCCGTGCTAAGCGCCAGTCAACTAAGTGGAGAGAACGCCGATTCATACGCTCCTTCGTCCAGACCACAATCCCAGTCCATTGCTGTACAGACGGTCGGGGATGAGCCCCTCACGTCGTCTGCACCAGAAGCCCCGCCGCCCCCTGAACCCAAACCGGAGGTCGTCACCTACAGCAAAGCTGTACAGACCGATGTATTAGAACCGCAGCCTGAGTCTGTCGATGGCTCTGTTGAGTCAGATAGTGAAGAGCTCGCCGGAACTACTCGGTCGAGCAAGCGTCTAAGCCGACGGGACCGGGAGCGAGACGAAGAGATCCGACAGAAGATTCGGGGGGAAATCGAGGAGGAATTGAAGGCTACCAACCAAGATGGGCAGGATCCCTTGGCCACACAATCTGCACAATTACGATACCCACTCCGCACACTCGAGGAAGACGAGCTGAAGGCGGTCACTTCGTCGGATGACTTCCTGGACTTTGTCGAGCGGTCGTCCAAGGTGATCGAGCGAGCTTTGGATGAGGACTACGATGTCCTGGCAGATTATGAACTCGGCGGCATCGACGGGGACTTGGAAGAAGACGAAGAGACCGGGAAGAAGAAGAGGGGGATCCGGGAGGTTTGCCAGTTCTGGGATGAGCGATGGAGCAAGAAGCGTATGATCACCGACCTGAGCTTCTCTCCTAAGGTAAGACTCCATCTGTCAATTTATGCACCTCTGTCCGACTGACTCGTTCAGTTTCCCGAGCTCGTCCTGGCCTCGTATACCAAGAATCCCTCCGCTCCCCATGAACCCGACGGCCTTGTCCAGGTGTGGAATCAACATTTGCACTCTCGCCCGGAATACGTATTCCACTCCACTTCCGACATTCTCACGGCAAAATTCTCTCCCTTTCACCCGAATCTTATTGTGGGAGGCTCCTATTCGGGACAGGTGCTCTTGTGGGACACTCGCTCTTCGCGTGCTGGCGGCGGCGCCCCAGTTCAGAAGACGCCTCTCACTGGTGCCGGACACACCCATCCTGTCTACAACATTTCCATCATAGGCACTCAAAATGCACACAATATCTTAACCGCCTCGACAGATGGGGTGGTCTGTGGCTGGACGGTCGATATGCTGTCGCAACCGCAGGAATATCTAGAGTTGACCACCCCTCCTCCATCCAAAATCGAGGATCGTGCGCCGACCAGCATGTCGTTCCCTCAGTCTGACCCAACCTTTTTCATTGTGGGCACAGAAGAAGGTGGCATCTACCCCTGCCACCGATACGATCGAGCAGGCGCCAAGGCCGGCACCGACCACCGAGTGGCGTATCGCGGACACGCAGCGCCGATCATGTCGACAGCATTCCACCCTGCTCGGGGCCCCGTCGACCTTGGAGATTTGATGTTGAGCTCCAGTCTCGACTGGAGCGTAAAGCTCTGGCGCGTCCGACCCCCGGCGACGACTGCGTCCGTGACATCTGGCTCTGCCCATACCCAAGTTGTCGCGCCCATCCTTGACATCACGCGCGAAGATGTCGTCTACGATGCCCGCTGGTCCCCGCATCGACCAGGCGTGTTCTCCTTGGTGGATGGTGCCGGCAACGTCGAAGTCTGGGATCTCTACGCGGACACGGAAGTTCCGGTGGTACGCGCCACCCCCTCCCGTGGCCGCAGCGGCGTCTTGTCCCGCAGCCTCAATAAGGTTGCGTGGGAAGAGCGGGAAGGCCGCCGCCTGGCGACTGGTGGGCTGGACGGCGTGGTCACCGTCTTCGAGGTGGGCAAGGGCTTGAGCGGAATTCCCGAGGAGGTCCCAGCGGAAGAGTGGACGGGCATGAAGCGGCTGGTGGGGAAACTGGAGCAGAAGGATCGAATGGCTTGAGCTTGTTCTTTTCCTTCGTGCCGCCCATCCCCGTGTTTTACTGTCATATACCCCCTGCTTCTCTTTACATCCTTAAGCCATGTGTGTATGTATCTAATCCATTCCCGGGCAGACTCTCGCCCGTCCAGAGAAATAAATGTAAATTCCAGACTGAACAGCCTCGGTTTTTCCTTGATTCTCGAGTATCTCAAGATGCCTCACCGAATAAATCAGCAATTTCAAATATCCCAGGCCTCGACCGAAGAAAGAAAAAAAGAAGTCAAAGTTTCCTAGAACCAAAATTCATGTTTGGAACTCACGCGATCGGAAATCTCCATTCTTGGTGTTCTCTGATATTATCTCCGTTCCACTGAGAAAGGGCCCCGAGCGTTGCAATGAGCTTCTCCCCGACAGAACCCGAGAAGCTTCTCTCTCTATTTTTCCCTTTTCCCTCAATTCTCTTCACTTGGTTCCAGACCGCGTGGAGCCCCAGCTGACTTTGGTGCCATTCCCGCACCGCCGCGCCGGTTCATGATGTCAGGACGGGAGATCTGAGTTGTACCATTGATATACCTTCCCCGGCACCCATGGAACACCGCTGGATTGTAGCTGTTGATACGCCATGTCAGTCTGGCGGCCCCCTACCAGGGCCATGGCTCGCTCGCTGCTCTTATGTTTCCTAAGTCGGTCAAAACGGCGTGTCCGTCCAGCGGGTTTCGCAGATCTTCGGTCGCGTAAATACTTCATTTTGAGTTTGAAGATTTGAGATTTGTAGATTCTGGATAAGGGGAGAATGGTTTGTTAGGATTGCGGGTTTTGGAATATTAACAGGCCTGCGGCGCTTTTTTTTTCCCCTCTGCTTTTTGTAATATCATCTCCCAAGATCCATTCTTTCTCAATGTTGGAACGCGCTCTCCAACCCTCTTTTTCTTCACGATGATGGGCACTGGCTGGGCTCATCGAGATGATCAACCGTATAGCGGCAATGGTCTGCTCGCGGCGGTTGCGACTCTTGCGGCAGTGCAGATCATTCTCGTCGCGCTGAGATTCTATACTCGACATGTGCAGCGCATGCGATATGGCCTGGATGACTATCTCCTCCTGCTGGCCTTGGTATGTTTCATACTTGGTCCATGAATATACGAAAGAAAAGAAAAATAAATATACTGATGTCCACTGTGATGATGGATAGATGGGGAGTCTGGCTCGATCTGCTATTTACATTATGTGTAAGTTGCAAGCGCATTGCCCTGTTCCCATGTATCCAATGGCTCGACAAGAACATGACACTCACAATATATAATATATGCAGTGGCCAAGAGTGCAGGGCTTGGCTATCACATCGACTACATGGCCCAAATGCCCGAGAAGCTGGAAACCATTCGAAAGGTATGTACATGGCAATAACCCCGGACAACAGCCATGACCACCCAAACCCTAACACATACATTTTTATAAAAAAAAAGGGCATCTTCGCTATCCAAATCCTCGACTACCCCTTCGGCGTCACCCCGGCCAAAATGGCTCTAATCCTCTTCTACGTGCGCATCTTCCCCGTGCGCAAGTTCCAGATCTTCGCCTACATTGTCGGATCTGTTGTCGTCGCGCTCGGCGTTGCAGTGCTTTTCGAGACTATCTTCCAATGTCGGCCTATCCCATATAACTGGGATAAAACCATCTCTGGTGGATCGTGCGTCGAGCACACAGATATCTACCGCTATGTCTCGCCTGTCAATGTTGTGACGGGCGTGCTGATCCTGGTAATGCCCATGCCATTGGTGTGGAGATTGCATATCCCGAGGGGACAGAAGATTGCCCTGACGGTGGTGTTTCTGCTAGGTGGGCTGTAAGTTGAAACCCTTCTTACCATTTCTGCCCTTTCAGAAAGAGAATCGAAGACTGACGCTTTGGTTGGTAGAGGAACTGTGGCCAGTATCTTGCGCATGGCCGTGTACTTGGTACAGATCAAAGCTGCCATGAATGATCCAACCTGTATGTTGAGTCCAACGACAGCCCGCAAAATAGGAGACAAGCAAGCAAGAAAGCAAGAATATACCTAGGCCAATTGCTAACATCCTTCCAGGGTACTCCGTCGAGCTGGGCATCTTGACAGTCCTCGAAGGTGCTCTCCTCATCATCGCCGCCTGTCTGGTCGGTATCTGGCCTCTGGTCACCCGCATCATGTCCCGGCGCCTTTCTACAATGCTCATGTGCAACACGCCGCAGGAACGGCAGCACCAATACTGGTACATGCGAGACAATCAGGCACCCAGCAAAAGCCAGGAAGGACTCGCGCGTTGCAGAGAAACTACTGAGGCTCAGCGGGAGGACAGCTGGAGCACGCCGTCATCATTGGCAGATCTCGAGGATCAGCGATGGTCAGTGTTTGTCGACGAGGGCGTTGCTGAGTCTCGCCCTTGTCGATTAGCTGGATCTCAAAATACCCCATATGTAAAATAGCTATAGTTAATAGATATAATAGACATAAAACAGTCTAACCACGGATTGGATATATCTAGTCTACAAATCGCGATGGTATCAACCCGTGTTTCTCGTGGAGGTCGTAAACTATAACACAGCAAAGCCTTGAGCTTCGCTGCTAATAAGTATATCTGAAACCGGGCTATATATGTCCCAAAAGTTAGCCCATGGCACAGAGAGATAGCTGCTACGAACAGAAGATCAATCATACCACGCCCTCTATGGCTTTCAACCCCCGTTTCTGGCGTCCGTTGGCAATGTAAAAATAGAGCGTAAACGCACCCACAATGGCCATGAGAAGAATATGGGATCTAATAACCATGGCATAATCAGTCACCCAGGCCAGCAAATCACCACCAACAAGCCATTGTCATTGGCACTCGGAATAATCAAGACCTACCCAACTGATACCCACACTGCAGTCAAGTACTGCGGGGCCTCTGTTTGCCGGATAATAAAGCTCCCTGCCACGCCGCCTAATCCATTGCATGCGGTGACCGCTGCCGCAGTCACTGCACGCTTCCACTGGCCGACCACATTGTTAGCCTGAAACGCGTTGAGAGCAGCCCAGTTGGAGACATAGGCGCCGGTAGCCAGGAAAGTCCCGATGTAGCGCACGGTCACTTGGGTCGAGACGGGGAGCCCGAGCATCAAAAAGCCGGCGATGAGTATGAGTGCATTGAACGTGACCATTGGTCCTCGGAGATGATAGAAGTCCCCGACCAGGGATGTGAGGAGGACGGGAATCACTGCATAATAGTAGGGCTAGCAATCCTAAATTAGAGAGAGCTGGCTAGGATTGCTGGCTTCAGCCCCGGAAACCACTTACTGGCGTCGAAAGGAGAATGGATTGGTTCGTGGTAAACCCCATGCCCTCAACCAGAATAATCGGCAGGAAATAGGACAGAGAGGTCGACACCAAATTAAGCAAGAAGAACATGCATGCAAAGCCATAGATTTTCAGATCGGCAAAGTTGGCGAGGACTGTGCTCCAGGCGAACGGTTCCGGGACCAGGTCCGCGCGATCGTCCAGGATACGGCGGGCGGCCACACGGGCTTCGCGCTCTGACAGAAAGAAAAAGCTACGGTGAGAGTGTTCGGGAAAGTCCACCATCCACCAGTAGGTGACGATGCCCAGCACGCAGGTAATGAGGCCCTGAACGAGGAACATCCACCGCCAGCCCGCCAGGCCTGCAGCGCCATTCAAGTGGTTAAGACCGAAGTTGACCAAATTGCCCGTAGCAAGCACCAAGACTTCTCCAGACTGCAGAAAGGCAAATCGGAGCTGCTGCTCTCGGCGGGGGTACCAGGCGCTGATCAGATAGGTCAGGCCGGGGTAGATGCCGGACATGGCGATGCCCAAGAGCACCCGTAGGGCGATCATCTGACGCCAGGTGTGAATAAAAGCAGTGCACAGGGTGAGCAGTCCGAAGCTGAATGTCATGGCTGCGAACCAAACTCGTGGACCTGCGAAGCGCACCGCCACCGTACACGGCAGCTGGAAGACCACGCTCGCGATCGTGAAGATGAAAATCGAGACCGAGTACCGGGACTCAGTCAGGTCGAGATCCTGCAGCATGGTGGTAACCGCTGCAGAGGACAAAATCCGCGAGTCCAGAAGATTGAGGCTGCACAAGAGCCCGGCAATGCTGCAGAGACGCACGTCGACCTTCCATCGCACACGTTTCTCCAGAGCAGCCCACTCGTCCCCATCGCACTCATCCTCATCCAGGTTCCTTGAAATTTCGAGGGCTGTTCTATCGGAGACTGCATGAGTGGGGACATGGCCGATTTTCTCGATCGTTGGCTCTGTGGGCGATGGCTGGACTAACACCGTGGTGGGGGTGACTGGGACCTTGGAATTTGCCATTTGAGCTTTTCAACTATCTGGTCTGTGGCCAGATGAGGATGAGATGTTTCACAGAGCTTACAAAGTACCCCAGGAGAATGGCATCGATGTCAGCGTCAGCTTCACCGCAGGCCCTTTTTTTTTTTTTTTTTTGGTCGAGTGAGAGAAGACCATTCGCGTTAGAAACCAGCCGAGGATAGTCTGTACTAAGCACCTTACAGTATATCACCAACCTTGAAAATCATAACTACATTTATGTAACATTCATTGGCTTAGTAATTTAGGCTTATATCGTGGTGTCTATTGTTCTTAAACTGTTTACTCGCCATGTAGAGCGTGGAACAACATCCAAGATACCTTGCTGGGCGACCAGAGTACAGGACCAACATTACAAAATATGGAGATAGTTCTATACATTTATACATGTATATATTTATTTATAATCATAAATAAGGAGAATTATAATGTAATGATATAATAACAAGTCAAGCAGTATCCGAGCCCTAAGCGCGGCCCCACGTCGGACGAATGGAGCTTGGAGTTCCCCGTTCTGGCTTTTTCTTGAAACGCCCTTCCTCCCCTCATCTCTCTCTTCTCACCTCCCCTGAGCTTCTATAACTCAGCTTCACTATGGTCGAGCTCATCAACCCCCCCGATCCTCGCTCGTTACTCCCTCCTCTCCTCGCTTGTCTCCCCACAGCCTTTGTCTCGCCACTACCGCCACCAGCTCTCCTACCACTCTTGTCCCCCATTCTGCGCCAGCGCATTCAGGTCCTCACCTCACTGTCAACCTCTCCCGGAGACTCCTGGCTACAGTTACTTTGTTGGGATGCTGAAAAGGCGGAGCACCTCCAAAGGATCGTGGATGGCGCCGACTTCGAGCCACACCCTGTGTCGGGCGAGATTGAGCTTCCGGATGAGATGCCCATAAGCTACAAACGTATCGATGAAGAAACACTACGTGCGCAAATTGTCTTGCCCGACTACAGCTTGACGGCAATTTATCTCTGGTGCCCGGAAGACGAACAGGGTGGGGGTCGCGGCTGGCGAGTGGCAGAACTCCTGCCCCGAGAAGGACCTGCGGAGGATGAAAAAACATGGGCTTTGTCGATTGGGGATGCGAATTTTCAGGCCAAGGATAAGCTCATGACGGACGCGCTGGAAGCGGCCGAGCGCAATGAGCAGCAGCCCGCAGAAGATGGACAGCAGGACGAGGACGATGATGACGACTACTGGGCCCAATATGATGCTACACCGGGTCGGACCCCGGGAGTAAAGACCCCAGCGTCTGCGGATGCATCGTCCAGTCTGCGACCGGCTGGTCCATCCGAGTCATCTTACTTCTCCCAATACACCGGGGTGCAACCGGCCATGGACAACCACGATCCAGCCGAGGAGCAACCCGAGATTGGTCCATCGTCCCTGAATGGAAATATAGTGACCAATTTCTTGCGCCAGCAGCAGATGAACGGGTCTAACGCCAGGGAAATCTCACGAACTAATGGGTATGCCCCCGGCGATGTGCCTAGCGAAGAGGCTGCCGCGGCCCTGAGCCACCCACGGCCGGCATCTACATCGTCGAATAGCTCTGATGCCGTTTCCAAATTGGAGCAGGAAGCCGAGAGCCGGTCCACCTATGAGGTGGGGGTGAAGCAACATATCGGCACCAGTCTCAAGAGTCTGTTCCGTTTGGCTAAGGCCACGGGCATGTCTCGAACGGAATTTCAGACCCTGGTGCAGACCGAGCTGGAACTGTTGAATGTGACGGACGATGATTGAATTTGCTTTGATTATTATATGTCTGATACCCATGATCATCTGTTGCATGACCATTGCGGACACATGCCATTGAGCATTATTGGCGCCTTGGGGGTTTTGATCTAGCTTTTGTTTCCTGCACATACATCTGGCGTTGATTCGATATCCGATCTCAAATAGAATGCCACTTTGACAGCCTCTTTAAGCGTGAATTAGATTCTGGTCTTTTTTTCAGAGCATTACGGCCAGAGATCACTATGAAATCGGACTCCCCAGGTGCAAGACAGGTGGAAATGGAGCAATGAAACGGTGGAAAATCTGAATGCCTTTCTATCTAAATTCCACACCCACAATGAAAGCCCTACTGCAGTGTATAGTAGACCCATGGGGTATTGCTTGGCGATGCTGTGGGTCGCCTCGGCAGAGTCCGAATCCTGTTCTTCTGCGCGACTTCAATCGTGAGAAAACCATCGAATCCATCATGGCAGAAAAGTCGAAGAATCCTTTCGAGCATATGGGAGATGACCAGGCATCCACCTCTGCCGAAGCCCCCGTAACGAATACTCGTGATCCAGCTGCTGGCGATTCAGCTCCCCCACCATACACCCCGGTCTCCGAGACTCTGGGGCAGGCATCATCCTCATCAATCCCAGTACAAGCATCGCAGTCTCAGCGAGATCGGCCAATCGCAATCCCAGCTATTAATTCTTCTTTCGACTCCCCCTTTATCCGCGCCTATGCCCCCATCCTGACAGATTACCAGCTCCCCCGCGAATCTTTTCTCAGGTTTCTCGACCAGCTGAACAAAGATGTCGCCAGCAGTCCCCCGCTGCAGGTACTCGATGCCACAGGCGGAATCATCAATTCTGTGCCTCTGCTGTTCCCACTGCGCTGGCTCGGCTCGGCGGTCAGTGGGCTTGCAAATCTCGGCAGCCAAGGGGTTTCCAAAAGCCGCACCGACAGCTCTATCCGTCAGGCCAACAGAGACATCTTCGGTCCCAGGGGCCTGAAAGTCGAGATTGCCAAGCTAGATGCACTTGCACATGTAGCCAATATCCCTATCCTCGACTCCCAGGGCAAAGTCAATCGACAGGCGCCTCTTCTGCAACAGCTTCTGGCAGAGAACCCCGCCCCTACACTTGGGGGCTCGCCTGAGCTGGATGCACAACAACAACGGATTGCCATCCTGCAGCCGTGGATTGCCGAGCTTGAATTCAATGTTCTGCCATGGACTTCCAAGTCCAAGCTGACTCGCTTCAATACGGCGCTGAAAAAGAGAAATGACCCTGAAGGGGAGCAAACCAGGGCGAATGACGAAGATTCAGGATTTCGCAAGTGTCTCTGGCTGATTATCCGAGATGTCGAGGGTCGTGGGAAAGCCAAGTGATTGGAAGATGCATAGAGCAAAGTGGTAGCGCTCTACAAAAGTGTGCACAAAACAGACGCATCTACCTTACCTATTTTTCTGCTCTGGTGTTTATTTTCACTTTTTTTTATGCTGCTTCTTATGATTTCTTATGATGCCTCTCCCCCATCTTTGCTCATCTAATTTATGTCTTATAGACCCACCGAGGCAAGACAGTGGCCAAGCGAAGCGTGGTCGTAGGTCTTGGAATTCTGTCCAGTTGAATTTGGTATATACTTCAGTTGTTATAAGGATGATACCGGATTCACAGCTTTTGAATTACGCAATGCCCTTTTATTTAGGATTATACTACCAAAACTGCTTGTAATATAAATGAATTAGCTGCACGGTTCCCTACCAAGCACAAGCTGCAGACCTATATTGGAGGCTTTTCTATATCCATGACATCAAGACATAGCACACACACACTCTCTCTCTCTATATATTATTTTTAAATATTCATCTATTTCAATTCTGAAGTATTTGGTTCATCTCTCCCTGCTGAAGTATACCGTAGGGCCAGGGGGTGCTCGGGCCACCGCCTCGGGAGCCAAGAAGACACGCAACGCTCTCTCCAATCCGCCCCCTCCATCTCTCTCCTTTCTCTCTCTCGGATTTTCGGTCTCAATTGCGAAGTGCCATGCACTTTTGGTGATTCCAGTAGGCTCTCCAGCTCCCAGTCTGATTTGCCTCTTGGTTGTGCTGCTACTAATACTTGCATCCCAGGTCTATTTATTTACTAGGTGGTTTCTCGGTCGCTCTCTTTGTTTCGTTCTTTCACTATGTCGTCCCCTTCCCCTTCTCTGCGCAAGAGAGGTGGAAAGAAGGAGGCGTACACGGCAGTTCCCTCGGATGATTGGTCTTCGCCGTCAGACAAGGCTGTGGGCAAACCGCAGTCGGAATGGGACTACTGGCTTGCCATCACTCTTTTGACCGCACTGGCTTTTGTGACTCGATTCTGGCGCATCGACTACCCCAATGAGGTTGTCTTTGATGAGGTTCACTTTGGAAAGGTATGGCTGCTCGTGCTCGTCGGGGGACGCAATTGCTTCCTCTAAAAGGGGGTTCGTCTGACTTGTCTTTACTCTCCCAGTTCGCTTCGTACTACTTGCAGCGCACCTATTTCTTCGATGTGCACCCGCCCTTTGGAAAGCTGCTGTTTGCCTTTATGGGCTGGCTGATCGGATATGACGGGCATTTCTTGTTCGAGAACATCGGTGACTCGTACATTGACAACCGCGTTCCTTACATGGCTCTGCGTGGCATGCCGGCCGCCCTCGGTGCTCTGACAATCCCGGTGGTGTTTTTGATCATGTGGGAGTCGGGATACTCTTTGCCCGCCTGTGTACTGTCTGCCGGTCTCATCTTGTTCGACAATGCCCATGTCAGCGAGGACCGATTGATCCTCCTTGACTCCACCCTCGTGTTGACCATGGCCCTCAGCGTATTGTGCTATATCCGATTTTATAAGTTGCGACACGAGCCGTTTGGCCGCAAGTGGTGGAAGTGGCTCCTCCTGACTGGATTCTGCATGAGCTGTGTTATCTCGACCAAATACGTCGGTGTCTTCACCTTCGTGACCATCGGCGCGGCTGTCCTGATTGACCTGTGGAACCTCCTGGACATCAACCGCCGCCAGGGAGCGCTCAGTATGATCGGCTGGGGCAAGCACTTTGCTGCTCGCACTCTCTCCCTGATCATCATTCCCTTCTTCTTCTACCTCTTCTGGTTCCAGGTTCATTTCGCCATCCTGACCCGCTCCGGCCCCGGTGACGATTTCATGAGCCCTGAATTCCAGGAGACCCTGAGCGACAATATGATGACGGCGCAGTCGGTTGGGATTCAATACTACGACACCATTGACATGCGCCACAAGGACACCCGTGTTTTCCTCCACAGTCACTATGACCGGTACCCGCTACGCTATGACGACGGACGCATCTCCAGCCAAGGCCAGCAGGTGACCGGTTACCCTCACAACGACACCAACAACCACTGGCAGATCTTGCCGACCAAGGAACTGCCGGATGATGGCCAACCACAGAGCGTGCTCAACGGAGATATCATTCAGCTCCGCCACGTGGTGACCGATACCATCCTCCTCACGCACGATGTGGCATCTCCTCACTACCCGACCAACCAAGAATTCACTACCGTCGAGCACGCTTTGGCCGACGGCGAGCGCCACAATGATACCTTGTTTGAGCTCAGCATCAATAATGGCAAGACTGGCCAGGAATTCCGTACGCTTGCGAGTTTGTTCAGGCTGATTCACGTTCCGACTCGCGTGGCCATGTGGACGCACACGACTCCGCTCCCCGAATGGGGTTTCAAGCAAGCCGAGATCAACGGCAACAAGAACGTCCTGCAATCGAGCAACCAGTGGTTCGCTGAAACCATTAGCAACCTGGAACCAGATAGCCCCCGTCTGGTGCGAGAGGAGCGTAAGGTCAAGTCCATGTCCTTCTTGCGCAAGTACCTCGAGTTGCAGGGTGCTATGTTCCACCACAACAACGCGCTGACCAGCAGCCACCCCTATGCCAGCGAGCCCTTTCAGTGGCCGTTCCTGCTGCGGGGTGTGAGTTTCTGGACTAAGAACGATACCCGGGGCCAGATCTACTTCCTGGGCAACCCCGTGGGATGGTGGATTGCCAGCAGTCTGCTGGCTGTGTTCGCCGGTATCATCGGCGCCGACCAGCTCTCGCTCCGCCGTGGGGTGGATGCGCTGGAGGAAAGTAAGTTGGCTGAAATCAACTGTTGGAGTTTTAGTATTTTTTTTTTTTTTATTTCTGGGCAGATTGCTAATGGTTTGTGTCTTTAGTCTGGGGTCCGGGTGCTCGTTCCCGCCTGTACAACAGCACCGGGTTCTTGTTCCTGTGCTGGGCCGCCCACTACTTCCCCTTCTGGCTGATGGGCCGCCAGCGCTTCCTGCACCACTATCTGCCTTCGCATCTGGCATCAACCCTGGTGGCCGGTGCTTTGATCGAGTTCATCTTTAACCTGCAGCCCCTGGATCCCCGTACCGCCGCACCCCCGTGGATGACCCATCGGGCAAGGCCAAGTCGCTCCGTAGCCTGCGCCGCTTTGTCAATGCCAAGGAGCGCATGGGTTGCCGGTCGCTCATCGCAGGATGGGTGGCGACCCTGGTCATCCTGGCCGCTACCATCTGGAGCTTCTGCTTCTACGCGCCGCTGACCTACGGTACTCCGGGCCTGGATCCGGCCGGCGTCAATGCGCGCAAGTGGCTGAACTACGACCTGCACTTTGCCAAATAAGAGCAAGTAGGTGGGAGGTATTCGGGACTCGGTTCTCCCCGGAAATAAAAGATCCTTGAGCTCGAGAACTGGCGTTGCATCTTGCAACATGGTTTGTAAGATACATGGGATGTGATAGAATGGGGAGGGAGGTTTTTCTTTTTCTTTTTCTCTTTTTTCTTATTTTATTTTATGTTCTGTTTTCTTTTGACTGGTTATTTGAGGGAAAAAATAACAAAAGAAGTGAAAGATCTCATCTGGCCGGTATGCGTTTCCTTGGGACTTCCGATGTAGGACTGTACACCTTTTCAGCCGGTCGATCAGGATAGCCCTCGAACTCCCAGACGTCGACTCCTGTGTGATTTTTTTTTTCTCGCACTCTTGGTGGCACTAGAATATCATCAGCTGACCGTGTGCATTTTCCAGTGTTTGAGGATCCGTATCTCAGGGAGGGTGGGTTGATTCTTATCCCCGACCAGCCCCGTCCGTGTGGCACCAGGAATCCACATATCCCTGAGCCCATTCTTCTTCCATGAAATGAGACATAAATATATATATATATATATATATATCATTAGAATAGAATAAAATAACATCGCATAAAATAAAATAAAAGAGACCAAGGGTCCGGCACAAAAAGTCGAGTGCATCCCGGAGGGTCCACAGTGGGTAAGCAGTTCGCCTGTCCCTTCTGCGTAGTTTATTTATATCCGGGCTATACATAGTAAAAGGTTTCACATGGATTCTTGGTCTCCTTGTGCGATCTGAATATGACCAAATAAAAATGTAATAAAAGAGAGAAAGCAAAGTCCTTCAGGCATTCCTGGGCCTGAGATGGCTCTGCCAGTACTTCCAGTACTTGCAAATACCTCTGTGGCGACTTGTTCCAGCATCTAGACCTCCAGTCCCCTCCAGGTACCATCGATGTACTGGCGATGTACCGACGATGTTACCAGTCTCGACTGTCTTTCATTCTTGAAGAAAATCTCTGTCATTCTTTGGCGTTTTGTGAATTTCCCTTGATCCTTGCTCTCTCTTCCTCTCTCTCCTTTTCCCCCATCTCTGGGATCATCTGTCAGGACCGTCGATCCGAACTGCGCAATCAAGCTCCACTCTCCACTTGCGCGTTCTCCAGTGATTTGGGCTCTTTTGTGTTTCCCTGTCCACGGTGTCAATCCCCGACTGAAACGGGTGTCCTGGTTTCACCCCAAACGTGGGTTTGCTTTTCTTTCTTTTTCCCACCTCCTTTTATTTTTTTTCCTCTTCTGTTGTTCTCTCTTTGTATACTGGGACTGTCGGACAAATCTCGTGTGTTTGAATCGGATCATCACTGGGAAAGAAGAAAAAGAAGACAAAAAGACAAAAAGACAAAAAGACAAAAGAAAAACACAGACCCAAGAACCCTCAACCCACTTGGTGGATTCTTGAGGGGCCTTGGATCCGCCGCTAGAGCAGCGTTTTGCTGGTCGCCTGTCTTCTCCGTGCCAGAAGCTTCTTTTGGGACTGACTCGTTTTGATTCTTTTGCTCACCCCCTGATCGCCCATTTCTTTGTCTTCAGGCTCCCATCCCCCTCCCTCTCTCATCCCCTGCGCCTGATCATTGATACCTGTCCGTTGGACTCGTCGCTTCTTGTGCCCTGCATTCGACACGTCAAGCCCCCCGAGCACCACAATTTCTCCCCAGGGATCGGCAGAACTTTAAATGAAAGCTGACTCGCGATCGAAAGGTGGACAACCACTCCCCCAACTGTCGATCCCGTGTGAGCTTGGGTCTGCTGAACAGCCGCACCGATGCCCATCAAGCTGCCCAAGACCTTCGCCCGCCGAAAGTCATCCGGCAATGTCTTGGATGAATTGGATACCACCCCTCAGTCGTCCTTCCGGGTCTTCGAGCGTCCTGGTCCTCACCGGTCCATGACCGATGGCGCCCCGCTGACCAAACGCATGAGTGAGGGCAATGTCGTCCCGTCGATGCTGGAGGATTCCGATAACATTTTCGCGGGCACGGAACGGCCCTTGCCCAAGAGCCGGTATGAACGCTCCCGACCCATGGATTCCCTCAGGAAACGACTGACCCGGCGCCGTGATAGTGGAGGGACCTACGAGAGTTCTACCTCGACCCGGCTGAGCTCTTCGTCCACTCTGCCGTCTTCTACAGAAGTCCCGCCCGACGATTCCCTATCCCCGCACTCGAGACTCCATGACATCCCCGTTCCACCGCCACTCTCTGGTGCGTTGCGTGCCGCCGGTCGAACATTCTCGTTTGGCGGACGGTTCAAGACCTCGACTCCGCCTGTTCCAGCACAACGGAGCACTCCAGATGTCTCGGCAAGGCAACGGGCGATGACGGGAAGCACCGACAACACGGCCACCCCGCCCAAACTACCGGACTCGAATTTCGATCTCGGGACGGGCAGCGATGATTTCCACAAGATGTTTGATAATTTGGGCCAGCGGGACGGTTCAGCAGTCCGGGATCCCTCCCCTCAACCGGCTAACAAGGTAATACGCCGTGATCCTCCGTATCTCCAGACCAAGCTCACGGTTTCACAGTACTCCTCTTCTCCGCCGACGCATGTGCTGCCCGAATTTCGGAGCAAGAGTCCCCGGCCTGCTCCAATCCGGACCGATCGATCGACGGCTGTTGAACCCTCCCCATACTCATGGGATAGTCGTCATTCCGAGGAAGGGTTGCTCAACGATGAAGATGTGGTGACGGAGAAGGACCTATCATCCCAGTCTCCTACAGTCACTGGTTTCCGGGGAGTGTCGCCGTCTCCGAACCAAATGGCAGCTGCCACCACTTCTCATCGTGCATTGGAGCGACCAAGAAGGAAATCTGAAATGGGATTAAGGCGAAGTGGAGTATACTCAGGGCGGCGGGAATCATTGCCCTTTGAAGACGAAGATGCCAAGCTGGTTAGACAATCTCTTCTGTGGAGTCAAGAAAACGCCCCCCGATGGGCTGAGGGTGCCACCCCAGCCCACGAGGCCTCGCTTGGTGACCAGGGCAACGCGACGATGACTTCGGAACCAGATCACATGTTTTCGGATCGTCACTCGCCTGGTCTGGCGGATCCGGTGGACCCATTGATCGCGGACCAGGCGCGCCTGGCTGTGCAATTCGCCGAAAATATACCCAAGTCCACTTCCCCAGGCAACAAGGTTATGACTCCATCCCAATTCGAACACTATCGCCAGCAGCAGGAACTTCGACGATCCAATAGTGATGCGTCTCGGAGTGATGCAGACTCAGAGAACGAAGAATTCGATGAGGAGGACGAGGCCGAGAAGCAGCGCGAGGCAGAACGGCAGCGGCGGAAGCAGGAGGCTCATCTGTCTGTATACCGCCAGCAGATGATGAAAGTGACCGGCCAGCAAGCACCCGCGCCATCCCTCCGTCCCGTCATGAGCGGAGCCAGCAGCAGCACGCCCAACCTGCCGAACCGCTTGTCCAACCCCGGGGACAAGTCCACCAGTGGGAAAAGTAGCGAGGAAGACGACGAGGAAGTCCCGCTGGGCATTTTGGCAGCGCATGGATTCCCTAACCGCAATCGGCCTCCCACCCGCCTGGCCAACGCCAGCTCCAACCCGAACCTTCGCGCATCCGCCCAACCGTATGCATCGTCAGCGAGTTCAGTGGCCGGTGCTGAAAACGATATGGGCAACCGGAACAGCTTGCCAGTTTTTGCGAGAAACCTGCCGCGCGATCCCTATTTTGGCGCCGGGTTGGTCAACCCATCCAATCGAGAGTCGCTGGCCTTGGGTGGTGGCTCAGTATATGGGGGATCCTCGTCCCCGATGCCTCCCGGTGGGCTTGTGGGTGTGATTGCGAACGAGGAGCGGGCCCGTGCGATGAGGAGAGGAAGTCCAAACACCCAGGCAATGTACGAGCAGATGGGAGGTATGGGAGGCGTGCCGCGGCCGTACTCGATGGCACCGCAACAGCAACCCCAAGGCATGTCCGCCACCGAGCAGGCGCAGGTACAGCTGTCGCAGCAGATGGCCAGCATGATGCAGATGCAGATGCAATGGATGCAGCAGATGATGCAAATGCAAGGAGTGCAGGGCCCACCACCGCCAATGATGAAAGGTGGCATGCCCATGCCGCCCATGATGGGTGGTCCACCAATGCCCGGTGTCCCCATGGGTCCGCCCTCGATGGCAGGACCTCCCTCTATAGCAGGAGGCCAGTCAAACATGAGACCGGTTTCCATGCCAAGCTCGGCTACGCTCAATGTCCCTCCCTCCACGGGGTCATCTCATCTCGACCAGCGTCCACTTAGTATGCTCGACCCGAACATTTCAACTCGACGAACCGGCTCTCCGATGCCCAATCTGTCTGGGGCCCTGTCCCCGCCCAACACAGCCGGCTACGCTCCGTCGATCACCCCGTCTGAGCGTAGCAATGCGGGCATGGCATCTCGGTACCGGCCGGTGTCAGTCACACAAGGTGACTCCGCCATGTCTCCTATGACCAAGCCGTGGGAGGACGAGAACTACCACGCATCCATGTCCACCTCTCAACCCCATGCATCTATACCCAAGTCATCCTCGTTTGCCACGGTGACTTTCCGACCCGCCTCCAGTGACAGTCGCGCCGTAGGCCGCCAACCGCGCAGCGCTTCGGACGACGAAGATGACGACGAAGCCTGGGCTGAGATGGCGAAGAAGCGAGACAAGAAGAAGAGCAACTGGAAGATGAAGCGAGGCACATCTTCTTTCGGGGATTTGCTGGGAGCTGTGCACTAAGTTCATCCTGGTTTTTAGAAAGCGTGCATTTCCAGCCGAGCATTTGTCTACATGCTGTATAGCATTCTTGATTTCTTTTCGGTTCCATCCAACACCTCGCACCATATCAACGATGCAGAAGGGGGTTCCCCTTTGTCTTGTGGACATGCTCGAGGACACCACCTTTCTGTTCGGGCTGTTCGTCTCATTGTCATTGTGGAGGGATGCGGCATTTCCCAACATGAATACTAGATACACATCTGTGTTTTCATTTTGTCTTTTTTTCTGGCATCGGCGCGGGAAAGGGCTCAAGGCGTCATTTGGGATTCTCTTGTGTGTTGCGTTTCTTTTTGGTTGCATCTCTGTTTTCTTCCAGCGATCTCGTCTCCTCGACACTTAATACATTTCGGGCCGTGCCGGGCCATTTGATATATTATCCATCCAATATACAGGATATTATCACAAAGACCCCAATCTCCCAGCAACGGCCTTAGTCTCCGCCCATACCTCCGCGAGAATTTCCTTCGCAGACAGAACTTGGGTAATGAGACCAACACCCGTCCCTGCATATGTTGTCATGCGGCCTGACGGTCCCCAACCCTCATCACCCTTGGAGGCTTCTGCGCGATATAAGCTGCGATTCTGCTCATCATCCATCCCATGATGTACGGCATCCACGTAACTCCGATTAATCATCCCGCGCCCATCGTAGCGGGCGGGCCAACCATGAATCCCGCGCACGCGGTCATAAACAGTGGAGCGAACCGTACTCGCGCCTCCATCGGATGCGCGCAGAATCTCACGCCGATACCCGGCTGCCACCTGGGCCTCTGTGGCAGCCAGAAAACGGGTTCCCATGACTGCGCCACTGGCCCCGAGAGCCAGTGCCGCGAGCAGGCCCCGTCCCGTAGCAATACCGCCCGCTGCAACAATGGGGATATGTTGAGCCGACGGGTCGCGCTGCAGCAGAGTATCATGTATCTCGGGGACGAGAGTGACAATTGAAGCTGAGCGCGCTAGCCCGTGGCCGCCGGCGTCGTGGCCCTGTGCAACGAGTACATCTGGAAATAGGGTTGACAGTGCGGCTGTGGCTTCGTGCACTGTACCGATCTGGACCCAGATCTGGGTGGGTGGTGTATGAAACTCGGCGCGGACGCCTGCAGCAGCAGAAGCATCATCATCGAGGCCTCGGATAGCATCCACCCACGGTTTCAAATCCGCGGGCATATCCCTTGGCGCAAAGAGCCACACTGCGGCCGGCCGGTGCTCGCTCAGGATCTGCATTGCGTTCTCCAAATCGGCGCCCCAGTTCAGGAACCCCACGCCTAGTGGGAGGATTCCTGTTTCGGTGTGGAATCTCCGTGCTGGGTTTGATGGATCTAGGTTCTTGAGGAGTGTTGTCGCCTCACGGAGCTGCGTCTCCAGACCCGTGGTGTCGTATCCGGCTGCTATGAATCCGATCCCGCCTGCTGCGGATACAGAGGTTGCTAGGGGGGCTGTGGCGATGTTGAGCATGGGGGCGTTGGATACGGGTGGATTTGTGGGGGATATCCATGGGTGTGTTTTGTAGAGAGGGTTTGGATGGGTTGGGGTCATTGTTTGGATTATGCTTAGGGGTATGAATTGACTTGGATGTAAACGGTGCAGGTAACAATAATGTATAGTGATTAATGTATGTCCATGTAGATTCAATAGACTGTTTATATGAATGGAGTTGAATTCAACATAGTAGATCGTCTCTTGGTCCTTCGTTGGTCTGTTGCTCCGCACTTCGGAGTATATCATGTGGAGTACCGAGGATGAGCATCGGTTTCATGTTGTTTCTACACCATTGATGTTTTTATATGCGGCCATGTTGAGCATTGAATCCTAAAACAAAAAAAAATCTACACTCTAATTCTACACTTTGGTTTTTGCCATCCATGGAACCATCCTACTTGTTCCCAGGTCCTGGCATGTTGAATAGGTCAAGTGTAGACCACGTGATGATGGTATACTCACGTGACTGATATCACGATCTGCTCAACCGGCGGCTTTTCATCAAGAGTACTCCCCTCTCGGATTCTCGGCCAACCTAGAGTTGGCTTCGTTCTTTGAATCTTCCCATTTGGATGAATTAAGCCGAGTGGTTTATACTTGGTTATTTACCGCCGACCCTCGCTACAGGGCTTTTTGGTGTCATCTGTCCCTCCTTCGAGCCCTTTCTTTTGGACACCGCGTCAACGACTCGAGAAGCAGAGATATTAGACTGACCTTTTTCGCTTTCTTCTCTTCTCTCTCTCTTTCATCTCATCTTCCTCCTTGGGTGCTGCGTTGAGGTACCTTAGTGTTGTACCTCATCACATCGCCGTTATGAACGCCCCAGACCGGTGAGGATTTACATTTTTCTTTTTTTATTTCTTGATCTTTTTCTTCTTCTTCTTTTTCTTTTCTTTCTCTCTCTCTCTCTCTCTCTTTTTCTGCCCAGAAATCATAATGGATTGGGGTACAGCTTCATCTCGCTGTAGTCTTGGGGAGATGATGATTTGGGGTATGGATGCACATGTGCCTACGCTCTTTCCACCTGAGGCTCATTTGCTCGCTGCCTTGTGTTTGTTGCTTTCTCTTGCCATCTTGTCCTCATCTCTTCTTCTATCCCTCTTCTCTATCCCCATACCTCTTCTATTACTCAACTGTCTGCAATTGTCTCTGCAATTATGCCTCCCCGACAGAACCTGAACTTCACCACCGCCACTGCTGCTATTGCCAGAGAGCGTGCTGGTCGTCGTGGCTCTCGTCCTGCCCCGCGTCATCAACGTCCTCAAGGTGGAGATGATCGTCTGGATGTGTCAGTTCAATCGAGAAGAACATGATGTTGATACCTGCCCTTTCCTTTCTTGTTCCCTCTTTCTATCTCTCTTATATGTCTCTTTTCTCGATATGGTGTCCAGACTTTCCAGTATCTCCGAACTTGCACTGATGACTTATGAATTTAGGTACGAAGCCATCTTGCTCGCTCCTGGCGAGAAGAAAATTGATGTCGAGTCCGACCCTCGTAAGTACTATCTGCCAATTATCATGGAACCCCAGGAATCCTCATAGCTCTCAATTCTAGGAGTCCCCGATACTGCCGTGTTCACTTTCCACAAGGAAGACCACACCCTTGGGAATCTGCTGCGCTCCCGCCTCCTCAAGACCCCTCACGTCCTCTTCGCGGCGTACCGGGTAAGGATACCTATCTATGATCCTCCATTAGGAATGTAAGACCCAAGGCTCATTACCCTCTCTTCTAGGTCCCCCACCCTCTGACGCCCGACTTCGTGTTGCGCGTGCAAACTGATGGCGAAGTCACCCCTCGTGAGGTAGTCATCAACGCCTGCCACGCTTTGATCCGGGACTACGGCATCTTGTCTCGCGAGTTTACGAAGGAATTTGAGCTTCGCAAGATGGCCAACGCTGCGAACCAGCAGCAGCAGACCTCGGCCGATTGAACGCTATCTTCGCCTGCATTTCTTTGCTTTTCAGGCTGGCGTATGGTGCAATGATTTTCGTCCTTTTACAACTTGAAATGTTGAACTCCAGGAGCCCATGAGCATTTGGTGATTGAATTTTGCTTGTTTTCTCGGTTTCTTCTGTTATTTCCAGTCCCGGCGAGGACTTGCCTATGTTCATGTTTCCAAATACCTTGCTCTTTTGTACCTGGCACGACACCAATGAAAACGGAACTCAATTTAATTGCCGATAAATCGGTAGTAGCTACACAGCTTTGTAGTAGCCTCGGGTATCTGGTCCATCTCTATATCTCTGCCCACCCACCAGTTAGATGCCTAAATAGACAGGCCCAATCAAAACATGACTAAGCACCAGATCGGGCTAGCGTGCCTCCGCGTCCCTGCGACGGCGTCATTTACGTTGCTCCTGACTCCCCCTCCCATCTCTTTGCATTCGTTTTGTCTTTCCTCAATCCCTGCGTGGCTTCTTTGATACCTGATTCGTCCATGCAAGCGCCGTTTTTGTGATGTTTTCTGGCTCGAATTCCTACCTCGGCGGCGGTGCCAATGGCCGTCCGGGCCAGGCACCGTTCATGCAGCAACAGCCCGCCTACTCGCAATTCCCTCAAGGCCAACAGCAACCGCCGATGCAACAGCCTCAGCCGACCGGATTTACCGGACAACCCTCGCCATTCAATAACTCGCAGCTCCAGCCTCAACCCACCGGATTCCCCGCCGGACAGCTCCAGCCGCAGTTCACTGGCTTCCCCGGTGCCGCCCTCCAGCCGCCACCACAACCTCAGCAACCACAGCAGCAGAGCTTCCAACCCCAATATACAGGATACCCTCCCCAGAGTCAGTCCCAGCCGCAGGCCCCGCAATTGCAAGGCTCCCAGGCTACTGGGCTGCCAAGTCGCTTGAAGACCTCGTCGGAGATTGCGAACTCCTTCCAAGATGGCGGGGTGCCTCCGCAGGTGCCACCCAAGACAGGGTCGAAGATCCCTAGTATCCGGCTGTCGTTTATTACAGTGCAGGATCAGGCCAAGTTTGAGCAGCTCTTCAAGTCTGCGGTTGGTGATAGCAAGACGATGGATGGTAAGTTTCTTGTCCTGGACGAATGGCCACTCGGGCCTACTTTTCTAACTCGGTGTTCTAGGCGACAAAGCAAGAGATCTTCTGATGCGCTCCAAGCTCTCGGGCGGTGATCTTTCCAAGATCTGGGTCCTCTGTGATTCCACCAAATCCGGACAGCTGTTCTTCCCCGAGTTCGCGTTGGCCATGTACCTGTGCAACCTGCGTCTCACTGGCCGCGAGATTCCTTCCTCGCTACCCGAAACGATAAAGAATGAGGTTTCTAGTATGGTTGACATCATCTCGTTCGATGTCCCCGACACGCAGCCGGCGCCTGCCCCGCGAACAAACGTCCCCAACTTTGATGCGCCGCTTTTGGAAAACAAGTCCACGCCACCGGTCGTTCAGCAGCCACAGCCGCAGCAGCCGAATAACGCGCAACTTTTGTCGCAGTTGACCGCGCAGCCTACGGGGTTCCTCCCGCAGCAGACCGGCATGCAGCAACCCAATCCGATGGGCTTCCCTGGCCAGAATCAATCGCAGTTCCTCCAGCCGCAGCAGACAGGATTCATGACCAACCCCCAGCCTACAGGATACAGCGGTCCTCGTCCCCCGATGCCGCCAATGCCCACTGGCTTTGCTTCAAATTTAAGCCCGGCGCAAACCGGTGGACAGGGCCTGGCCGCACAGCCCACTGGTGTTCCTGGTCAATGGGGCTTTATTAACACCCCAGCGCAAGGCCTGCCGAATATCGAGGCTATGAAGCAGCAGCTTATGCCCCAGCCGGGCCGCGAAGGTGGATTCACCACCGCCGGTCTCTCGGGTAACGCCACTGTCGCCTGGGCAATCACCAAGGAAGAAAAGAAAATCTACGATGATCTATTCCGTGCCTGGGATGGGTTCCGTAAGGGCTTCGTGGGCGGCGATACTGCCATTGAAATTATGGGTCAAAGTGGATTGAACCGACAAGATCTGGAGCGGATCTGGACTTTGGCGGATCCTCATAACCGTGGTAGACTCAATATGGACGAGTTCGCCGTGGCTATGCATATGATCTACCGAGCCTTGAATGGGTATCCAGTGCCCAACCGACTCCCACCGGAGCTTGTTCCCCCGTCTACGAGACATTTGAATGATTCTATTGGTACTGTCAAGTCGCTCTTGTCCCAGGATGCCGAATCTCGGAAGGCTACAGGGGCTTTCCTGCAGCCGCAGAAGACCGGTGTCAGCTACCTCAAAGATCACTCATTCCGTGGTGGCGGCCCATCACCCGGGTTTGGCCGTAAAGATGCTACAATGTTCAAGAATAACGACGCCGCGGGGGGATATCGTTCCAGTGCTCGTCGTCGCGTCGGCAACGATCCTCGCACCCCGTCCCCTACTGCCTCTTCTCAAGCTTCAGAGGAAGAACTCGGTACGGATCAGCTGCGGAAGAAGATCCGTGAGACCAAGGTCATGCTGGAAGCCGTTGATTTCCAGGATGAGAACCGAGCCGAGGACGACGATGCTCTGGACCGTCGGGATCGTCGCGAGGCAGAAAGCCTCATGGACCGCATTCGCCGTGTGCAGGACGACCTGGACACGCATCCCAATGCTTCGTTCCGCCATCTGGATAGCGGAGCTGAGCGCAGGGCTCTCCGCCGCCAGCTGCAGTCTTTCGAAGACCAAGTTCCGCAGGTTGCATCTGACGTCCGTCGCCTTGAGAGGGAGATTGCCGATGCGAAACTCGAGCTTTTCCGTCTCCAGGATGCCAAGGCAAACCCGGGCAGCGCCTCCAACATTGTGGGCACTGGTCCTGGTGGAGCAGTGACCGAGGCGGACCGGATCAAGGCCCGTGCCCGCGCGCGCATGCAAGCTCGCGCTGCCGAACTTGCTGGACGCCCAGCTCCCGCAACCGAGGATGATGATGGTCAGGCTGCCCGTCGGTTGGAATCTGAGAGCGCCAATGTGAAGGCGGAGCGAGAGCGGAATGACACTATGACTCGCGATGTCGAAGAAAGTGTTCGCGATTTTTCTCGGAGTTTGGAAGACAGTCTTCGGGACGAAAGCCAAAACTCTACCCGTGAGCACGAGAAACGCCGCTGGGAAGATGCTTTGGGTGTTGAAGACGTGATCCGCGACTTCATCTACGACCTGAGCCGTAACAGCCGCACTGCCCATGTGCGCAAGGAAGAGTATGTTGCTTTTACTGATTCTTGAACTATCAAACATTGCTAACTATTATATAGGCGAGAAAAACCTGCTCAAGAGCAGCGTTCTCGGTATGAGTCTCCCGTGGCTGAAACTCCTGCTGCGCGCCCCTCGATGCCCCCCTCTGTGGACTCCTCGGGATCCCTTCCTGGAAATACACACGAGGATCGTGTCGCTGCTGCCCGAGAGCGTGCGCAAAAGCGGATTGCCGAACGTATGGCTGCTGCGGGTTTGAAGCCTAGCGAGGCGAACGAAACCCTTATGCAGCGGCAAGAGCGGGAGAAGAAGGAGCGCGAGGAACGAGTCAAGCGCGCGGAAGAAGAGGATGCCAAACGTGATCAAGAACGGCAACGCCGTCTGGCTGATGAGCAGCGTGGGCCTAGCACCGCCACTCCGAAGACGGTGGGCAAGAAGCCACCACCCGCTCCCCCGACGCGCAGGGCCCACGCGGACAACGCTGGCCAGGCTGATGCTAAAACGGTAGAGGAGGCTGCCCGCGAACAAGCGATTAAGGAAGAACAGGAAGCACAAGAGGCAGAGACCAAGCGGCTCGAGGAAGAAGCACGACAACGCGAGGGCGAATTCCAAAAGGAGAAAGAAGCCCAAGAGGCTCGGCTGCACGCTCTCGAGGAGCAGGTCCGCCAGGGAAAGATCAAGAAACAAGAAGAGAAGCGTCGCAAGGAGGAAGCCGACCGACAGGCTAAGGACCAGGAGTCCAAACTCGCGGCCCAACGCGCTGAACTGGAGATGGCGAAGGAGCGCGAGCGTCAGCTGCAGCGTGAGCTGGAGGGGATTGACGAAAGCTCGTCGGACGAAGAGGGCCCTGTCAACATCACTCCGCAGGACAGCACGCCGACACAGAGTCAGGTCCTGTCCGCTCCCCCGCCAGTGCCCGCGATATCTGAACCCGAGCCGGTGCCTGAACCTGAACCTGAACCTGTGCCCAGCTCCCAAGCTAGCTCGCCTTCTGAAACTCGAGCCGTGCCTGCCGCGACCCCTGACGCCGAATCTAAGAATCCCTACTTCAAGAAGCTGGGTCAGCCTGCTGACGCGACCTCGCCGCCAGCTGCTGTCCAGTCCACCAACCCATTCCATCGCCTCACGCAGCAAGAGCCCGTTAAGCCAACCTTCACTGGGGCGGCTCCTTTGGAACGCAAGGCTCGGACGCGACCCGAAGATGACGATGACTGGTCTGCTGCCGGCTCCGAATTCGACTCATCGGACGAGGATGAGGAGCGTCCGGGTGGCGGCAGCGCCAAGCAGCTTGCCAGCATCCTGTTTGGCACTATGGCGCCCCCGCGTCCTCTGAGTGCCATGGACGAAGACAAGCCATCGTCCAATTCCGCGACCCCTGTGCAGGAAAGCCCCGTGGCTCCCCCGCCTCCTCCGCCGGTGGCCGTGTCGCCTCCTGCCGTCCCCGAAACCCAGCCTGAAGACCTCGCCTCCCCGCCGACTGGTGCTCCTCCCCCACCGCCCCCTCCTCCCCCTGGCGGTGCCCCGTCCATCCCGCCGCCTCCGCCTCCTGGAGGTGCCCCTGGTATTCCCCCTCCCCCGCCTCCTGGTGGTGCTCCTGCTGCGCCTCCACCACCACCGCCTTCCAGCGTGCCTCCGCCGCCTGCTCCCCCCGCTGCCGGTGGTGGCGGTGGTAATCGCAGCGCCCTGCTTGCGTCCATCCAGGCTGGTACAGGTCTGAAGAAGGTGCAGACGAATGATCGCAGCCAGAGTTCGTCGGCTGGACGCGTGCTGTGATGATCTGGAAGGGGAGGCTATGGATGATTAGATGGTACATACTGTACAGACGGAGATTCCCGGAATTTCTGGGCAAGTTGCATGTCTACGTATTCGAGGAAATGAAGGCAGGGGAGGTGGAGGTATATGAAGATGAGGTCGAGTATGGTAACTAGTCGTGGCATGTCCTTGATAGCACAATTATTATATTTTCTGTTTTGATAGCTCAGCAGGCCCTTAGACCTGATATAGTTCATATAGTTCATTCAACCTCTCTCATTGTGTGTTTACATTGACCAGCATCTAAAAAAAAAAAAATCCCATGAGTCTTGAGTATGTGCATGTCTGTGGTAGGTCTTATCTGGCTAATTAGTTGTCGTTCCCCCCCCCCCCCCCCCACTCAACAAAAGAAAGTGGGATCGTTATTTCAAGCATCCGGGGCGTTTCTTTAGGTTTGAGGACCCCTTTTTTACTGCACGGGTCTTCCTGCCGTACTGAGCTTAGCGCCTTTGTACTTATAAAATGAACCGGCCCCGGTTGATGAAAATCCTTAAAGAATACATCCAATGTAATATTTGGTAGTCAGTAGAGCGTAAGCTTCTAGCTTCTAATGATTCCTGTTTGTATTTGTTACACACATATTGGCCTATATTGCCGGAAGCTCACCCAGCAAGTCCCAAATAAGGATTAAGGGTAACTTACGCAACTTGCAAGAAAATAATCACCTATGGGCATTACTACATAGTCACTATTATCTTGGCAATCTACTACATACTGGCTCTATTTACTAGGCCCAAAATTCCTCACCTGGCCACCTGGCGACCCCCATACCTCGAGGTATGCCTTTCCAGATGTACTATTAGCCAATTGGTAGACTCGAGTCGGCCTTCTTTCTTAGTTAGGCATCCTGCCGTTAGTGCAATCATTCCATCCAGGATCTTTCTATCTTCTCAATCTAAATACCTGACCCCCAAATTTGAAAATCCTTTGATCAGTCCAGTCTTACATCAGATCATCGGAAGGAGTGAGAGGTGGGCCCAGCGCGGCCCCAAGTGCCCTTCAAGATAAACTTCCTTGGGGGGGTAACCCGAAACAATGAAAGGAGAGACCCTTTCTAAGGGTTTTTTTTCCCCTTCATTTTCATTTTCATTTTTTTTTCTCGTAATATTTGATTTTGATCTGTTTTGTTTCGAATAATTGACTCCCAAGCCCGCCTCTTCCTTCAAACCGCTCTCATCTGCCGTGATATACTTCATCATGGTTGGGATCCGCTTCTTACTATTTTTTGTTTTTGGGGTCATTGGGTTGTTCTTCAGTCCAATGGTTCAATCGGCCCCGATTGGATCCCCGGATGGTCTTACTCGACAACAGTCTCGCTCGACTATAAGCCACGGCATATCTGCGCGCACAAATGATCTGCAGGCGAGAGGCTGGAAAGACAACCTGAGGAAGCTCGAGCAAGCAGCGGGAAAGTCCTCAAAGACACTGGAGGGGAATCTAAAGAAGATCGAAGACATGGCCAACAAAGGGACCAAGGCAGCCCAGGACGCCGCCAACAACCTGGCTCAGACTCTGCCCAAGGACTTCCAAAACATCGCCGACGGGCTGAAAGGCGCGTCGGTGAAGAAGCTCCAGGATCTGGGGCGTCTGAACAAGGACAGCTATAGCAAGTTCGAAAAGATCGCGAGTCTGTCGGCGGCCAATCTCAAGCCTTTGATGGAGGGGCCGCCAGACAAGCTCGAAAAATTCCTCGAAGCTGTTTCCATTGACGACCTAGATGAGCTGTCGCAAACGAGCGGGGATATCAAAAACGCGATCCCGAGATACGAGAGTCTTTTGAACGACGCGATGTACCAGGAGACGCGCGAGAAGAAGGTTCACCCCGCCACGGCCAAGAGCCTGGATGAGCAGGCCACCAAGCTTCAAGGGCTCTTTGACAATTTCTACAAGATCGGTAAAAAGATTACCGATCAGGAACTCAAAAGCGGGCTCATCAGGAGACGCCAGGACAGTATAGTCGTGACGTTCGAAGTGCCGAAGGACTTGGACGAGGTCAAGCTTAACGCAATGTTTGATCGTGTTGACAATCTCATGAATAAATTCAACAACAAGTTGAGCGATGTCAAGAACGAGTTGGACTGGATGACTGTTGGTGAGGTGACGGGGAATCTAAAGAAGCAATACCAGAAGGGGCAGGTCTTGGGGGAAGTTAACGACGGAAATGGGTCGACCCTACTACTGGACGAGACTGATACTGCTGACTGTTGATGATGCCCCTGCTTCGATATCAGTGTTTCCTGCCAGATAGATGATGGCCCGGATCCTGTTCTCACTGGTATAGAAAGCAAATGGAAAGAAGCGGCGGAAGAACTTGGGAAGAACTTGACTACATCCCTGTATTTATAAGATAGGTTGAATGTATAACATTATCTAATAGATCATGTGAATATAATTATATGCCAAAAGACATCAACGCAATAAACAACATGGCTGGTGGATCGTAGCCCTTGCCAAATATAACCAAAGTCACAGGGAGCCGGGGACCTATGCAGTCTCTGAGAAGGAGGCCCAGCATGAAACATATCACAAGAGATGCTCGTAAACCAAAAGAGGAGTGGCATAAATAAACCCCTTTAACCAAAATGAACGCCGAAACACTTACAACGTCAACTCCGCAATCACATTGCCCAGTGTACTCACACACCACACCACGACCAGTCCCCACCCAATCTTGCGGTCCATGCGCCAGCCATTCATGGGCACGACGATCAACAGACCCACCAAGACGACCAGGAGGGTGGCACCGCTGATGACAAGGACCTTGGAGATAGAGATCTCATAAGAGGCGCGGGTAATAGCAGCAGCACCCGCCGCCAGTGCCTCGTCACGTCTCTGTCGGTTTCCACCATTCAGCGTCATATACAGACCGCCGAGCCCAATACCCAGCAAAATGTTGAGCATGGGCCCACCAAAGCAGGCACTCAGCGCCATGACCGGGTATCCGAGGCGAGCAACGGTGATGTCGGCGACGAGGTCGCCGAGTGAGTTGCCGACAGCGAAGACGGTCAGCCCCAACAACGAATCCGAGATGTCGAGTATGACTCCGAGGGTCTTGAGAAGGGAGACGACCTCGGTGGCAATGGTGGCGATCCAGGAGATGGCAACCAGGAACCCGAGGAGAGAGAGGAATGGCCGCCATTGTGATGGGAGGGACTGCGTTGTAAGCACCTCCGAAGGAACGGAGCGATCCGCATTGGCGCGACGATGCCAGGGCCGACGGCTGGTGCTGGCAATGAGGGCTATAATGCACAGAACCGAAAAGAGGAGAGAGAAGAGTGATGGCAAGAGAAAATTACGGGGCTGACGGGCTTCGTCCATGACGGTCCATGCAATGAGTACAATGAAGAAGGGACCGGTGAAGAGTTGGATCGACACGAGCCAACGGTTCCAGTCTTTGGTTGGCATAGGAGGCTCAGAGGATGCCGGTGGCTGTGGTGCTGCCGGCAGCTCCGAGTCCCAGCGTGGGCGACCAGGATGTTCTTCGTGTGGCGACTTGTGGGGATCTGCTGGCGGTATCTCAGAGGCTGACTCGGGTTGAATGGAGTCAAGGGGTCGAAGGACGGGGCTGTCGACCGGTAGCCTTACTCTTGGGGCGGGGCTGTCACCATCGCTAATTTGCTCTATCATCACTGACGGCAGCGGGTCCAATTCGACAGACTCGGGAGCCTGGGGTTCAATAACTGGGATAGTGATAGTGAGGAGAAGTACGCTGGGCGCTGCGACAAGACCCAGAAGTCGTGCCCAGACGTCTTTGGACTTCCAGCCTGCCAAGGTCGGGAAAAGGGTGCAGCCAATCTGCCCGGGAGGAGGGAGGATGGAGTTGGGCCACCATTTCAATGAGGTTTGAAGGGAAAAGTGACCATGGAAATCATCAAAAATGTCATGGATATGGAGTCGTTCTGTGGGACTCATTGTGGTTGGGAGCCGGATGCTAGGCGGACGAGAGGAGGGAACCGGCGAGATATCGCTATATGAAGGAAATGGCGCAGCAGGACTTTCTGGATCAGCTGCAGACTGCTGCCAGTCAGTAGTACCCCGCGGGGATACTGGCTGCGGGGGAGCGATCTTGCGTTGCCGCAGTTTGATAATTGGGAGAGTGAAATGGAGCCGGCGGAGCCAGAAGATCAGTTGTTTGATCTTTCTGACTTGGGCCTGGTGACCCATGCTCATCTGATGAAGGAGAGACGGTAATAATGGCGCCGGTATCAATTCGGGGGAACTGAGGCGGTTGCGCGCCCGCATGGTCATGGGGTGCATCAATCGAGGATCGACTCAGAGTGAGGCGTGGTGTCTGTTCTCGCTGAGAATCTAATACGTTGGTGTCGAGCTTCAACCCATCAGCATCATTTGCCGAAACGGCTCGAACTCGAGAAGAGCCCCCAGCGCTGAACGGCGACAGGCGGTCGTTGGCAGCTGAAGGTCTACTGATGCGAGGATGCGACGCAACAGAGCGGGTGTCGAAGGGTTGGGATGACGTTTCGTCATCGTCCGAGTAAGCACCCCAGCTGATCGCCGGATTGCGACGAATATTTCGGGATTTTTTGAGCGAGTGAAGCACAGACTGAAACTCGAGGGCGCCGACTAGACTTGGCCGAATGGGGTTCAATGTATTGCGACGCGACCGAGTCGGAGGCCGATAGACATGCATATTGTCCCGAATTTCTGCCAGATACCTATTTCGCGTCTCGTCATCCTCATCCTCTTCTTTCCAGGCGGGGATTCCCTCGGCCCGCTCCAAAAGGTCGAAGTCCTCAGTGGATGCTCCGCGAAGATGACTTCGCGATTCTGATGCTACCGCGGGATCATCATCTTCCATTGCCTCCTCAACTTCCAGTTCTTGGTTTTCCGGGATGTGGAAATGGGATCGCGCTGCGATGTCTCGTTCATTCTTTCGTCGCCGCCGGATCAAGTACCAGTGCCAGGTCACGACCATCACGACGTAGAATACGTAGAGACCGACCATCGCAGCCGATTCCCAGACATGAAGCCGCCCATCTGCTAGCAAGAGCATGCTCAAGCTCACAGCAATCACGAAATAGCCCACATCTCGGACAAAGCTCCTCCGTGCTACTTTGAATGGCCGGACCAAGGCCATAGAGCCTGCCACGACGGAAGTGATAAAGCTGGCTGCGCCAATCAGCTCACCGATTGCCAGACTACCACTGTTCGACCGCATGGCGGCAAATGTGGAGAAGACATCAGGACTGCCATTTCCGAATGCGAGAAACGTAACGCCCGTTAGACTTTCGCTCAGCCCCAAAATACTCGCCAGAGTGCTTAGATTGATGCACAGAAAGTCACTAGCAGCAATACCAATAGTACTGAAAAGTAGTGATAGCCATATAATCAATATGATGAATGCCAACGGTTTCGCATCTGCTAGGGCGCAATAGTAAAGCTGAAGGTAAGAGAGTAACCCGTCCTCGTGATCGGGACAGTTGGCGCGGACGAAGGCACACTGGTATTTGACATTGCGGACCATGCGGCACTAGATCAAGGTGACACAAAAATATGATTTAGCGCCTCGAACCATCTCACAAGAAGGGGTAGCATTTATGGTGGTTGTTACCTCTGGTTCATCTTCACGCTTGAGCAGCGATCCACCGGCCGTTGTAAGTTGTTGCACGTACGGTGCTTGGACGAACCCCTTCCCGAGATTGCCCACGATCAGGCTGCCCGCTGCAAGGATCGCGAACACGAGAAGAGTGATATAGAATGGTCGCACGGAATACCGAGGCCTTCTGCGGACGGCAGGCTGCAGGGAGCGCAACAGCAAGTTCATCTTGGCGAGAAAAATAATCGCATCATGGACCGGACAAAGACCCTTCTGTCCACTTCAATCTAAAGCGGCTGGAAGTAGAAATGCAACTGGTATAACCCCGCCATTGAGCAGGTTCCTCGAGCGCGCGAATGCGGTGAAGACGGTGATGTCAGTCAGTCTAGGGGAGGTGTGGCTGATCTTGGGTGGGCCAGTGCGTAACGTTAATCCCCGGCAGCTCATCCACCCGGAGATGTCATGCGTATGGAGCAACAGCACCAGGAAACTTAGGGGAAGATGATACCAAGAGATGTGATGAGACAGGAAAATAAAGAAGAGCTTATGTTCGGGGAAATAGGGACATTTGGGATAAAATCCGAGGACTGCTCAGTCCCGGGTTTCCGATATCTAGAATACCACGTGATCCGGATTGACAATCTGCATTTCTGGCTCATCTGCGCGACCGTATGTTTGTTGACTTCCCCGTTTGTTTTGCTTCAGCCAAGCCCCTCGACCCTCAACGGTGCCTGCTGCCGCAAGAGCCCACTCCATCTCTCTTTCTATAACATAGCTCTCGCTGTTGTTTTTATCCCCTGCTGGGGGCAACCGCAATCATGCCCCGTGTCGCAAACAAGGTGCATCGCCGCTCGAACGGCAACTCAACCCCTCACAAGAACTCTCCCATCAAGTATGTTTAATTCGATACCAGGCTTAGACGTGTTTGCGCTGATCAGTCTAGAATTCCCCTCAATGATGATATGGGAGAAAAGGCGGCCCGCATGGAGGCGCGACAAGCACTCCATGACCGTCAAATGAACCAGATCAAGGCCGCCGTCAAGACCCCCATGCCCGCCCGTCGATATACAACTTATAACCGCGAAGGAAGCGACAGTCCTGCGACTCCGCGAGGGTCTGGTCATCGTGGTCGCGACAGCGATGTAGGGGGCCGGGCCGTGACACCGATGAAGCGCGTGCCCATTCTGGCCAACTTCGAGGAGTGGATGAAGATGGCGACAGACAACAAGATCAACGCGAACAACTCCTGGAACTTTGCTCTTATTGATTACTTCCACGACATGTCATTGCTCAAGGAGGGAGATGGGGTGAACTTCCAAAAGGCCAGTTGCACACTCGATGGGTGTGTTAAGATCTACACGAGTCGAGTGGATAGCGTGGCGACAGAAACAGGAAAGCTTCTGAGTGGATTGGCCGATGGTCGTGACAAAAGAGCGCGCGACGCTGAGGCAGAGGGAGAAGATGGCGAAGATGAGGAGGGCGAGGATGGAGGCTCTCGCAAGTCACGCAAGAAGGTATGGCACATAAGAACACAGAATCAAACACTTCACTAACTTCATAACTCAGACACGCTCCCACGAGGCTACATTGGCTCCGTCATTTGCGTCGCTGCAACTCAAAAAGTTCGAGCTGGAGTTCGCCGTGGATCCACTGTTCAAAAAGGCATCCGCCGATTTCGATGAAGGAGGTGCCAAGGGCTTGCTCCTGAACCACCTGGCTATCGACGGGCAAGGAAGGATTGTCTTCGATAGCAGCGATGATACTGTGGATGACAGCGCCAAGACTGCAGAGGGCGACCGAGAGGAGTCAACGGATGCCGACCAAGAGCAGCAAGACGAGCAGAAACCCGCTACGCAGCAACCAGCAAGCGAGACTTTCGAAGACGATACGGAAATCGACCTGGCTACCCTGGCCAACCAGTTCTTCCCGGATTTGGATCGTCTCGGCGAACAGGATGTCTGCCCGTCGCTCAAGAATTTCGATCTGGGTGATCCTAGTGGTTCCTTAGATATTCCTCTTCTCAAAGCACCCGAGGAATGGCGACAGGATAAGACCAATGAGGATGGACGAGGGGCCGAGGATCCTTCTGGTATCATGCTGGATGACGACAACGCAGTTGGCTTTGACGATGATGACGCTACTCTGGCTGGCTTCGACCTCAGTGGTGACACTGGATTTGGTGATGGAGGAGAAGCTTGGGCACGAGAAGCTGCCTTAGAACCGATGCTCAAGGTTCACCGGGTTGATCACGATGGGGAAGATGGTGACGACGATGGGGATATTGACACCGAGGATGCGTACGCCATATCCATGTCTCATCAACCCGACAATCGTGACCAGGAGAATATTTTGAGCTACTTTGACAACGCCCTTCAAAAGAACTGGGCTGGTCCGGAGCACTGGAAGATCCGAAGAATCAAAGAGCATGCAGCGGCCAGCAACACGACCGCAGCGCCCAAGCAGCGCAAAGAAAAGGAGCCTTTCGAGATCGATTTCTCGGCACCTCTAGATCCAGCTGTTGCCGAGCTTATCTACACCCCTGCCGCCTCCAATTCCACTATCTCTCTGCCCAAGACCCAGTGGAAGACCAAAGGTCGCAATCTGCTTCCTGATGACAAGCACTTCAACTCACGCCAACTTCTTCGTCTGTTCCTGAAGCCCAAGGCGCGGATGGGCTCGAAGAAGCTCTCGGGAATTCGGGCGATAAATCGTCGACCAGATCAGACGTCTGGTCATGGCGATATGGATGAAGCCTTTTGGGCAAACCACAAACCCGAGGACAATGGTGCTGATGAAGAAGGTGCCCCTGGTGCCTACGATGCAAACTTCTTTGCTGACGACGATGGTCTTGCGTTCCCGAATGGCATGGATCTCGACGATGAAGATGACAACCTGCCGTTTGCAGATGCCCGGGAGATGTTGTCGCCGCCCACCGATGGACCCCCAGGCACTTCGGCTGGTGAAGCGGGCAGTGCCTCCGGACTTACTGCACTACTGAACATGGTCGGGGCCACGCCTGGCCGCGGTGGGGCCGGTGGATACGGCTCGCAACTAGTGACTCAAGGCGGTCGCCGTGCACGACCAGACTATGTGGCATATGCACGTGTGGCAAAGAAGGTGGATGTGCGGCGGCTCAAGAACGAGATGTGGAAGGGAATGGGCGAACGGTTGATTGACGCGACCGATTTCAGCTCCGCTTCGCAGCCCGGCGCTGTGTCGAACCAGCCCCCGCCTGAGCCCGACACTGAGACGGAGCCGGAACCACCAACTCTCAAGCCAGAAAGTCCAGAACAGCCCGTTGACCCCAAGGACGACAGCCGATTACGGTTCACGCAAGTAATGAACTCCCTGAAGGCCGTCTATCCGGCAGAGACGCTACGCGATATTAGCACGTCGTTCGGGTTTATTTGTCTCCTTCACCTCGCCAACGAACAGGGCCTGGTCCTCGAGAGTGATCTGACCAAGCTTGGCAAGGGTGTGGGCTCCCTGGAGGAAATCTTTGTGACCAGGGACACACATGCCGTTCTGGAAGAAGGAGGCATGTGAGTTTTCTATAATTTGCATGTACAGTCCCCAATTGGGGTAGAAGCAGGGATTGCATGGTCATGACTGATGGAGAGATCCGGTTGGACTTGATGGAGTCTCGTGGAGTTGTTGGATTCTGTTTGCAATGGCGCTCTCGGTTGTTTAATAGTTATTTCTGGGTTGATGTCTTGAATGCACTTTTCGAATACACCTTTTTGTGCTTTTCTGGTCAGGACTAACCCTGGTTCAAGATGTGTAGTTGGTGGTGCCAACGATGCTGTGAAACAGAATTCATAGTATGACTTGAGTGTGTCCGTTCGAAGGTTGTCTTAAGGATATTCATCATGGACACCCCAAGCATCTCAATGATCCAAATTTCACGCTCTATCGTCCCATCTCCTAGGACCTGCCTGCGGCCTCAAGGTAACCGAGACTTCATCAACAAACATCTTTTGAACCCTTTTCTTCCACGCCTCATGGCTAGTTGGAGAGCATTAACAGGTCTAGGGTACCAGAACCCAACATCTTTAATGGTACGTAATAATTCTTGGTTGTAGATGTAGATTTTATAAGATATATAGTTACAGTTTACCTCATCCTGGCCCACTCACTCTTAAGCGTTCTTATGTCCTAACGACTCCTTCTATAGCAAAGAAGATGGGAGAGAATATAGGCCGTACCACGGCTCATGGGAAAATTCCTGCGCAAAAACATCTCGATCTCGTGAGGAAATTAAATATCCAAATTGGATGAGATCGTACCAGAATCTAATCTCCTCGTCCCAGGTTGGGAAATGGCATGCAAAAGCAATGTTTATGTATGTCATCCCGAGGGCGAACATATCCGCACCTTGGTCTGAGTGTTCCTTAGGTATTCATTGCTTTGTGTGCCGATTTTATTTCATGCGCTTCATTTCTGCGGTTGAAGTGAAAGTGTCAATGGAGACGGCCAAAAGAGAGAGAGAGAGAGAGAGAGAGACATACCTTGGGACATATAGCCCAGCGTCCCAAATATAAGCGTCGATGAGCCATCCTCTCTGCGGACCTGGTCAAAATCCGCGAGCAGGACCAAGGCGTCTGTGGCCTGGGCCGGGTTCCGGGGGTCCTTTGCAAGCCAGTTGAAAAGGAAATTCTCCGGCTTGATATCGCGATGAGATTAGCCGTGGCCGTGCAAGAAATCCACGGCCTCGATGTAGTGCGAGAAAACACTGCGCAGGAGCCTGGAGTCTGCTGTGAACCCTTTTTCTTTGAGGTCCTGGTTCGGGTCGTGGTTGACCTCGCAAACGAAATACGCATAGACCGGAGCAATATTCCTGTGTTGTAGTCTGTGCTGGTTCTTCGCACCCCGAGATGATCTGCGCATCTTCTGACTCATTGAGAGCGGCAGTCCATTTGTTGCCGTGGTCAAGACTTTTCATGATAACAGAGACACTCCCGAATCCTTCTCCCCCGAGACTGTGTTTCGTGGGGATTTTCCACGCCCCCTTCAACGTCGATTCCCATCACGCCTTCTCTCACAAACCGCGCCCGGGGAACCCCTGGTAGGGATGGGGCGCGTTGAGGCCGGGAACGATACTGTTGTCGGCGTTGCCAACGCCTCCAGTTCTCGATGAAAGACGGAAGTGCGCGTCGGACGAGGTCATTTCGTCGCTCGAGGAAGGACCCATCGGGGGGCCTTTGACGGTGAATCCAGCCCAGCTGAGAGAGTTGAAGGTGCCCAGGGAAATAGACAATTTATACAGTCAAAATGACAATCGAGCTAAGAGGTCAATTAAATAACCAAATAACTAAATCCACATGGAATTGTCAGAGGCTCAAACAATATAAGGAGCAGGATATAGCATGAGACTCGGAGATATATATTAAGAGTGCCAACTCTCGAATGATGATCCTTCCATGCTCATGCATTGAATATTAAGAGCATGAGGGCTTTTTTTTTTCACAGTGCAGAAGCTTTATATAAGTACGGAACGGAGTAACAAATTAAATATTTCAAGGGTTCTCAAAGGATTCAAAAGTGGTTACCAACACCCAACAGTGTGTGGGGGCGACATGGGGACATTTATCTACGCTAAGAAAGAAGCCCCCAATCAATACATAATGCCAAGGCATATCATCATTAGGAAGCTTGTGCCCATGCTGGTCTAATCGGGAATCGAGTATGGGTAGGTATATACTTGTTGATAACCACTATAGTCGACGATGAGAAATAAGAAAGAGAGAGCATTTAAGTACACAGTTTAAACATCCAAATAGGTATCTGTATCATTCCCAAACTCCAATACGCCCAGTGTGTGTAAGTGTGTGTAAGTGTGTGTGTGTGTGTGTGCATCCAGTGCCCAAGTAATTAAGTCGGTAGGTAAGGTGTCCATGAATATGTCCAATTTTCCTGAAGCTGGTCATACCACAATGAATTCTTCTGGTATTTTCCCCTCAATTTTTTGCCTTTTTTTTTATTTTCTTCTTCTTCAGTTGGGACAAGCAGGACAACCAAGCATCAAAAACCAGATACGCAATCCCGTAGTTCATTTGTCACGGACAGCCGACGGGAACTGCGGCGCCATGGGACTCGTGTAGGCAGTAGGAATCTGGACGGCATCGTAGGTCTGCTCACCGGGAGCGGCAGCCATATGTTGAGGAGCGCTCGGAGCAGGCGGAGACGGGGACTGCCTGGGCACCGGCGGCGAAGGGGACGAAGCCAGGGCAGCGAATTCCTGTTGGGCAGTCTGCGGCGTGGGCTGCTGGACGCGGATGGGAGGTGGTTGCAGCTGGAAGCTTGGGACCGGGCGGGTTGGCGAGCGCGGCGATGCGTACTGCGTGGGACAGGACTCGCTTTGGCCCTTCTCGGCGGCCGAGTAAGGGTCGACGGCATAGTAGGGAGACTTGGGCGCGTAGTACGGTGACTTGGGTGGGTAGAATGGTGACTTGGGCGGGTTGGACTGGAAGCCGGCGAAACCTGGGGTGTTGGGGGCCGATTGAAGCCGCAGCTGGGCGAGGTACAGGTCGGAGCGCGCATTGTCGCGGTTGTCCATGGTTTTCATGAGTCTGCGCTTGGTCCAGAAGCGGTAGAAGACCACGACGTAGATCAGGATCACGAGGACTTCGATCACGACTTCGATGATGGCGCAGACAAGACCCCAGTCCTGAAAACAAAAGCAATGGTTAGTCATGGTGGATTTTTGAGCATAAAGTGAATATAGACTACATACCTGAAGACGACACAGCAGGGCATAGTCAACCGAACTGTGATAGAGCTCCTCGCGCCTGTTTTTGGCACACGACCAACCCCACATGTCCTTGCTATTGCCTGTTGACTTGGAGTGTTGATAGAGAGCTGCGCCGACAATCCACATGACCAGACTGAAAACGAAGAAGCCGATCGAAAAGGATGTGTAGTAAATAGCAGCCTTTTCGGCGCGCCGGTGGCCGCCCTTGTAGTAGGCCCAAAACACAATCAAACAGGCAAATAGTGAGACACAAGCCAAGGCCAAGAGGAGATATTGCGGCCATGGGTTGGTGCCCTCTGCCCAAGGAGGGAGATTGTTGCGTGTGGGGATGGTCTTGGTCGCGTTGAAGATGGTCAGCGTCGTGGCCAGTAGGGACAGCACGATCAGACTGCAGCCAAAGTTCACGAAGCGAAGGAAGATCTTGGCGATGCGAACACGGAGTTTGATTCTCTTTTCAAGTCGACAAGTCAGTGAGATATATTTGGTTTGATGTGGCAAGGGGCTTGTACCAAATCTCGCGCATTTTCCTTCTCGGTATGCTTTTCTTGTTTCTCCAGCATATACTCCTCACGGAAGGTTGGGCTGAGCGGGTTCAACGAGCGAGCCGTGTTGGGCACCTTCATCCCGCTTTTCAAAGGCGACACCGGGGGCCGCGAGTCCTGTGCATGCTGCGCGGGGTCGTTGGATGTCACATAGCCAAACCCGACATCCGCGACACCTCCTGGGGTTTTGGGCTGCAGAGGATCCGCGAAGGGTGATCGCCCCGCTTCGCTCTGTTCCACGGGGGAGTGAATGGTAGTGGCTTCAGCGAAACGGGCCGTCCGCGGGCTCTTCAGCGATGCATTGCTGTCAGCCGGGGTCTCCTGCACCGTGTGCTGCGGTTGGGGCGCCATTGAGCTGTGATAGGAGCCACGAGTGAGATCTGTGGGAACGACGGGTTCATACGTCTGGGGGAAGCTTTTCTGGCTGTCACCCGAGACCGACATCGAATCGATGAGCGACGAAAGAAGTATATTAGAAATTCAACGATTCGGTCAAGAGAGCCAGCTCTTAACAGGATCCTGCAGGAATAGATGCCGGCAAATACCGCGTCGAGTCAATTCTCTGTGACAGCCCCACTGCTCTGGGTGTGACAACGGCTGAGCTATATCGGGGTGGACTGGATATGCCGTGTGCGAAACCTGCGTCCACGGGTATAACAAGAGTAGTCCAGAGAGCGGCGGTGGTCAGAATCTGCGAAAACGACAAAAAGGGCGAAGACAGAAGATTCAACCAGCGCCGGCAGGCCTTGAATATCAATCATGGTAGAGCGCCAGGGCGGGGCTATCACTGCAGGTCACAGCTCCTCATCACTCGTGCCGGGCCCCCGTACGCGCCGGGGAGAGAGAGATTGCATGGATTTCGAGGCCATGATTGGATTATGCAGAGACTAGCGAGGTCTCTAGATGCAGGAGCCGTCGATGCTGGAGGGTGCAACGGGGAGTGTGACTGGACGGTGCGAGGGATCTGCCAAGCTTGTCACAGTGGAGCCCCAGGCCAGTGAGCCCTCACGATGCACCTCCATCACCTTTCCCCCAGCGCTAAACCCACCGATCGTCTGGCCAACCATACGACTTGCAGAACCGCTGGCAATTGACAGAGAGATGGGGAACACAAGGCATGAAGAAGTGATGGACTCAAAATACCCGCCAACCCCAAGTCGAGGGCCAGCCACACTGGGAGAATAAGCACCGACACAGTCTTGGGCGGTTGGAACATGGACCAGGCCGAATCGGAGGTGATTTTGCGAGTTTGGGAGTTTGTGATTGAATCATGAACGATTTGTTTTTGAGATCCCCGGGGAATTTGGCTAATTCCCCTAAATATAGTGGACCATCTCCACAGTTTCCCGGGTGATTTCTGTGAAGCGTGTATCTGATCGGCCCCAAGTTTACGAGGAGCACGGAGAGATTCTGAGCAGACACGATTACAGCCCTAGAGGGCCGAAACGGACAATTGATACTGTTGATGCAAGTGGAATGATGAAGACTCCTGTCTACTTGGCTGATCTTGTTGCCCACCTCGCAACACAGCCATGCTCTTTCTCTCTCTCTCTCTCTCTCTCTCTTGGTCTATTCTCCCTCCTCCACGAACCGGTAAAGCTGGAGCTCCAACAGTTTGTTTATTTTTAGTCCAGGCCCACCCTACTCAGCCAGGGTACAGCCATGGAAAACAACCAGACCCTGTCGGCGCGACCTGAAACGAAGCCTTCATGGCCCCAGGGTGGCGATGAGAAAGATTTTGACCAACCTGATGACCCTCCAGTTTTATCAGGTTCTGTGCCCAGGTGACATCACGATCCTGAAGGCTCTAGGGCCGCCGAGGTTCCTGGAGGCAGAGCCGGTTTGGAGGAACATGACCTCATGGCCGTGGATCAGCCGCATCGATGAGAAGAACGGTGTATCGAGTGTATCGAGTGTATCGACGATGCATGGGCAGTGGAGGCGAATAACAAGACCTCGTCCCGTGGCCAGCCACACGTTATTACACAGCCTCACTCTGGTAAAGTACCTAGTACTTGATTGCAAGCGGTGGCCCCCATACATAGGGAAGTACCAACTACCCCACCCATTCCTTTTTTTTCCCTCCCAGAGCCTCGACCGGAGCCAAGCAATACCGTAATACACTCCCCTTGCCATCTTCTCTTCTCTTTCTTTTCCTCGTATCAGTAATCTGGGGAGAGACGGATCATTGTTCATTTGCTTCTCTCTCAAAACCACGTTGCGTTCTACCCTTCCCATTGAAATTCACTCAATATCCAGTGGTTTTCAATTCTACCCAGCCTCAAACCCACCCCCTCGTTACTCTGGGTCATTCCGGGTGGATCTCGTTCCCGGTCTGACAAGTGCGAAGCTGAAACCCTCGTCAGCTTGCGCCACACTCGGTTTCCAGGTGAGAGAGAGAGAGAGAGAGAACCGCCCCACACGCCCTGGACTTCGCCCTCCTCCACCCCCCCCAAAACCCTCGTCCGGTATTGCATTCTTATCAAAACCCTGATCTGGAATGAAGTCGGTCAAGTTCATCACCTTCTTTATCCCTTCCCACCCGTTTCTAACATGTCTTCGGAAGTAGCTGTTGCCGTGGCTCGTCCCCCCTTTGAGCCTGGTGCGAATCCTTCTGCCCCCATGGCGGCTTTGATGCAGTCGAATAACGAGCCTGTCGCCGTCTCCAACCCACTGTCGGGAGCACCGTCCATCTCTAGCGAACATTTCGCCTTCCTCAAATCACAATCCAAGCCCGAGAGTCTGAGTTCTATTGCCAGCGCCGGTCTCCACGTCTCGCCATCTCGCGATCAATTACCACGGATGACGAGTCCCGCGCCAGGGCCGGCGGATCGGTCGGCAGAGCACGACAAGGAGGCGGAACGAAACAGCTCACATGTCGCTCGTGAGGCTTTGGGTGCAAGCGAGAAGTCCCCCGATGCTTCGATGCATAATGCGGTACATGCATCCCCGGAGCAGATGCAAATCGATTCGCACGCGAATGAACCATCATCAGATCCCTACGGGTCGAACGACCACCCCAACACCCTATTGAACACCACCGTTGCGAGTCCAGGCCCCATCGAGGAATCGACCTCCCAGGATGGCGACCAGCATCGCCCGCGAGCGGGGTCAGAAATCGATTCGGACAGTCACAAAGCTTTCTCGTATCCCCCGCTCATTGGCGCCATCAATGACCCGCGTCGCGGACTGAGCCTGCCCAGCTCGGGATACAACCGGGGCAGCCCGCGATCCCCATCCGCCAAAAAGCATCGCTGCCCATACTGCGCCACGGAATTTACCCGCCAACATAACCTTAAAAGCCATCTTCTGACACACAGTCAGGAGAAGCCCTTTGTATGTCAGACTTGCCAGTCTCGCTTCCGGCGACTGCACGACTTGAAGCGACATACGAAACTCCACACCGGCGAACGACCGCATATCTGCCCCAAATGTGGAAGGCGCTTTGCGCGTGGCGATGCGCTTGCCCGGCATAATAAGGGCCAGGGTGGTTGCGCAGGCCGGCGAGCGAGCATGGGGAGCTTCGCGCCAGATGATGAATATCCAGACGGATCCACGGGTGGCCCGGACGACACAATGGATGGAATAGTATGCGCGGAGCCGGAGCGGATGGACGAGGAAGATGAGCGACGATTCAACGCGCCCAGCATTCGGAAGCACGATGCAGACCTCCTTCATCCATCTGATTCACTCCACGTTCGTCAGTCTAACACCTACCCGCCGCTCTCGGTCAACCGTCCCAACCATAGTAGTCTTTATCCGCCTCCGGCCAATCATGCTGGTTCGGGCACGTCAACCTCTACACATCCCGGAAGTCTGACCTACCCGCCTACTGGATTCCCGTCGAGCTCGTCTCTCTTCTCCAACGCCGTCAGCGACAGCCCTAAACCGCTGTCTCCCAATGCTCTGTCGTCGCAACATAACTCACAGCCACCCCGCGCTCACTCCCCTGGCATGAGCCAGTCATTACCACAACCGCCCTTTGGGCGAACTGGGCAATCTTCCGCGCCAAACCATGCCGCGCCAAGTCTAGGTTTACCACCGCCACAGCCCGGGGCACCCCAGCTGCCTCCACCACCGGGTTTGAGCTCGCCTGATTCTCGATTTGGCCTGCAGGCGGCCAAACATACTCCGTCGCATAGCCACTCAAGCTCTCACAGCTTACCTGCACCCAAGACGGGCGCCGAGGCTCCTGACGCCAATGGCGCGAATGCCAGCCAGGTTGACAAGCTCTGGGTATACGCTCGGTCCATGCATGAGGAGTTGACAGGGCTGCGCGCCGAAGTGGCAGCCTTGCGGGCGCAGATCGCATCCAACAACAACTCGGGGGCCCCGGCGCCGGTGGAAGTGAATTCGGCCAATACCGGACCGCGGTAGTGGCATCTGCGGAGAGAAATAAAAGCTGTTGATGCTTGTTCCGGAGTGTACGATATGGCCGACGATCCCAGCCCTTGGAGGGTTGGCCGTCACTCTCACCCATTGTCTCATCTATCTTGTTGATACGTTCCGACTATCCCTCGTTTCCTGTGGGGTCGAATTTCTTTTTGATGCCCTCATGAATACCGCCCATACCGACAGTCGCTGGTTTACCTTTCTTCTTTCTCACTGCAGGCCTAGGCTCATGGGTCTGACGGGTATCGCGCCGTGATATTTTATGCGACCGAGCCCCCGGTGTTATATTTCTTTCTTTGAGTGGGTTGGAGTTTGGTGTACCAAAAATGGACTGATATGTCGCGATGGACGGTGCACTTCTGGTTGGACTGGGTTCCTTCCTAGACTTGGATGGAGACCAGATATCCTCTTCTCTCATTTTCATTTTCAGTTTCACTTTCGATTTCATTTACATTGTCCGGGTATGATTGGCCTTCGAAGATGCATGGATTGACGCTGGGAGTTTTCTTTTTATACTATTTTCTTTCCTGTTCTTGAGCCATTCCACCTTAGGTAGTGATAATATATACCCGACTTTATGTTGACATCTATGAATCGAGTATAAAAAGTGCTGAAGTATACATTATCCAATGTGTGGCGATGTTGTACCGGGGACCGAGGCACAACGTTGGGAGCTCCACTAGCTGCGTCAGGACGGGATCTCTCCTCTTCAATCCCTCAATTCACCTGCTGATTTGCACCCCTAAGTTGCTTTATATTCTTCTTCAATAAACATTGCTCAAAATATTATCCAGTCTATATTTCCACAATGTCTCTCTCGACTCCATCTCTCACCCTACAAGCATCTGCCTTGTCATTCCTGTCATTGTCGATTGGGCACACGGTATGCTACCAATGTTCTCCCCCTAATGTTCTTCTTCTATGCAGAAAACTATAAGTCTTTTATTAGCTATGTGTACTAATCCCTTTGTTTGTGTTGCAGCTCAGCGGAAAGGAATGGACCGCCAACAAGGCCTTTAAATCTATTTCTGGCTCGCAGCCCTGGGCTTGTGGGACGGTAGGCTGGTACCAGGTATGGCCCTACCACCTATTTCCATAGATATATTCATCTATCGCTTTATTAATTGTTTTGTTAATTTATTATCATGCTAATATTGTACAGGGAAGTGCATTCTTCTTTGTGACTGGTACGTATAACATCTATCCACCCCAATAATTCTATATGCCTTGATCTCTATTTACCCTTCCCTTCTCTTTTCTATCTCTTACATATATTACTCGCTGATATATATACAGGCCTCCTCCACTACCAATGGTCTCAAAACTCCGTCGCTTTCCAGGACCCAATCAACAAGGCCATTGCGGGCATCATCAATATCTTGCTCTGGACCAGCTCGGCCTGGTATGCTAAGTACGGGGTCAAGCAGAATGCCTGGGCTGTTGGGTTGTCGGCGGCGTTGCAGGCTTGGGGGGTTATCAATTCTTTATGATTTTCTTTTAGTCCTTTGGGGGTTATGCCCATAGATATCCAGGTCGATCTACTTCTAAGTAGAGAACCTAAAGGAAATTATTTCATTTGTCACTTCCTGGCGTTTCACTTTCGGCGCCGGCCAAGCTGAGCTCGTTTATTGAGACGACCGATCTTGATATCGGACGCCCTCTACATTATCACTGTGCCCCCGGGGCTATGTCCCCCGGACCTCATAGTCCGGTGTTGATCACAATCTTCAAACGGCTCTCCCCCCCCCCCTCTTGTATCTTGATAGCTGTCGTTCGTCAAAGTCATGTCAAGGGCCAATTCAGTCCGCAGATTTATATCACCTGGTTGAAATAGAATTCTCAGAATCCTCTCGTGTTGATATTATATCAAACCAGGCATCAATTGGATGTATAACATCTCAAACAGCAACCAAATATGATATACCGTCGGCATTGAAGACCCGGAAAAATCACCTCCCTGACAAGAACCATGTTCTTCGACTCCGTCTCCTCTCAATCCACCCAAGAAACAGTCCCACATCTGCTACCACCGCACGCGGCACCCCGCCCAGCGTCCAGTTGCGCTGGACCCACTGCGGGATCGACCCGCACGCATCGGAGGTCGTAGCCATAGTCCACTGGATGCGACGGGGTGCAGTGGCAGATTCAGTAGGGGTGGCTTGAGCACTGCCAGAAGCTGAAACTGGCTCTGGCCCTGACACTTCAGCGCTAGGTGCAGCCGAGGTACTGGGCTGGGCAGAGAGCAGGGTGACCTGCTCGACGCTTGCATAGTGGGCGAAGATTGCCCGCCGCGATACGGTGCTCATGATCTTCTCGTGGATTTCTGGCGGGGTGGATGAGAACTTGCAGAAGAATGGGATTTGGAGGGTGATGAATCCATTAGGAGTGTGATTTGCCTGGGAGTGTTGGCTGTCCGAGGTACTGTCGTTGGCATATGCGGCGGATATAGTCAGAGAAATAAAGGCGCGCGGGGCGATGAGCGCTGTTGGGTGGAAGGTATGGGTGATTAGGTTGACTTGATAGAGTCAGTATACCCCACAGAGACTCTGTACCATGAAGAAGTGATCAAGATAGATGACTCAAAAGCTCCAAGGCATGTTACGAGGAAGATATAGCAATACATACCTTGCATTTCCACATCCTTAAATCGCACTCCATCCACCTCAATTTCTCCCTTTGCCTCCCCCAGCTCTTCCTCCCCCCACTCGACTAACCGTTCCACACCCGTGACACTCGGCGTGTATTCCATCTCATGTTCAGCATGATGGGTTCTCAACCCCGTCTGGAACTCACTCCACGAAGCAGTGCCATTCTCGCTCCTAGAATCGAGATGCTCGCTTTGGCGACACACCCAGAACTCGGTCTTCTCTTTGCTGATCTCTCCGGACTCCTGTGGCGGGGCTGCTCGCCACCTGTGCAGCAGCTTGACTTTTGCTGCGGACGGCGGCGAGGAGCGGAGCTTAGGGTCTGCGGTAAAAGTTGAGGGGATAACAGCGAGGAATTGCTGGGCTTCGTGGAGGGCAGTGCGGATGAATTGCGTTGGGGGGTAGGCGCGAGGGCTCTGTGGGGGAGGGAGGGATGGGATGGAAGGGAAGTAAAGGGGAGAGCGGCAAGTTTGATGAGGGGCATTGTTGAGAAGCACCTGGGAGATTTACCCGGTCAAAAACAAGGGGATTGTATCTTCCAGGAGAGGTGGAGGTTGCACATTAAAGTGGGGAGGATCGGCAGTGCTTGTTTCGATGATGCCATGGATGACGGGAGCTATGAATGGACCTTACTCAGGGAGATATATCCACAGTATGGAGGAAATAATAATATATCAAATAACGCAAATGGGCATACTACAGACAGCGGATTCCAGGTCCCACGCTGCCCGTCTCAAACATCTCTATAAGCCCGGCGCCCAGTGCTTCTTCCAGCACCCAGCGGAACTGCATCCCGTACAAGTCTTTCCACTTCTTCGTTTTGCCGGGTAAGATCCCCGCGAATTCCCCTCGAGCTCGTTTGGCCATGTGGAAGCTCTTATCGGTTTCCACAGCTCCGTCCCATCGGTCTTTTAACAAACCCAATGGCGCTTCGCCAGAAGCGGACCGTCGAAGGAGAGAGATTAAATGGGCACGGCCCGTTCCCAGCAACCGAAGATACGTTCCAGTGTTTGGGAGTGACAGAAAAAGCGTGGCAGCCCGCGCCTGGGCATCCGATTGCACGGGTCGGTTGGCGCCGGGCTCACTTCGACTAGCCGAGGAGACTGCGGCTTCGGGCAGATTTGGCAGTGATGCAAGGCTCAACGTCCCCTGTGTGAAAGAAGAAGACGAAACTAAAAATCCGGCACGTAGCAACGCCCGGTACTCGTCTGGAGTAAATACTCCCTGTGAGATAGCAGAAGATGTCCCGATGCGCTTAAGGATATCGAGGAATTTTTCTGTATACTATTAATCCATGCCCCTGGCAAAAATATGTGAAATTGAATGCTTACCCTTGACAGCCGCATCCAAGACCGAGTTCCCACGCACTAAATTCTCCCACTCATCTGCGAGTACCAGGCAATCACCCAGCCCAGCGGCATCACTGCCGCGCCCGGGTATGATCAAACGCCGCACTCGGCCGGTCTGTACCAACTCGACAATCTCCCGCTCCACCTGCGTCGGAGCATTCAGCAAGGTATGCACATGTGCGACCGAGGCGAGGGGAGGTAGCGACCGTCGTAGATTGAGGACTTCGGCAATGCGTGTGCTGTTCATTCCCGCTCGCGCTGGGAGCTCGTCGAACATCCCCGTTCGAATATACTGGATTGCTTGTACCACATTGTGGACGGGAGCTGTCTCTGAGATGTAATGCGATCCACCTACATCAGGGAGCGGATCGTCTACACCCCAATCGGGCTTCACGCTGGCCCCGCCCGATGCAGGTTTGCGGCGCGCATGGGCGGCAAAAGGCGAGGCTCGAGGTCTGGTAGTGGATTTTCGTTTCTGGACACCGGACACAGGAGCGGACGTGAGACGCAAGGTCATGCCTGGGGGAGATGAGATGGCAAAGAGAAGGTCGAATCGGGGAGAGAGATGAGCCTCTCAGGTCATGAGGAAGATTCCACCAATCAGCGGCCAGTGTCTATAGTTCGGTATTGACAATACCGTATGGAAACATCATCACCATGGATGGCCCTTCCACATCCGGTATGATTCGGTCACAGCCAGTACTCGACTCCCAATCCAAGTCGATTGCGTCTGTGGATTTTTGGCGATGGTCGTTGACTTCACTTTGTCCCTGCTGGTTGTAAGATACCCCCTCCATCTATATTGAGACCGCCTTGTTTTTGCCATTGAAAACCCAGCTTAACTTGCTTGGCTTCCGGGGCCGATCTTTCACATGACGTAGTCATGAGAAAACGGGTCTTGGTTCAACATCTTTTTTTCCTCTCGTCAGCAGGTTATAGCTGCAATTCACCCCGAGTCGAAGCGGCTCTTGTTGATTCCTTCACTATTATCCCTCGTCCCTCATCCCCGGACTCACTCATTGCTCGCGGGGGTTGGTAGTTCCTCAGTTTCTCCAATTCCTACCCCTCGTTCGAGGGGTTCCTTCTTTCATCATGACTGTCTTCATCGCGTCCCTGTAGGTGTTGGTTACCGGATAACTTCGGGTCTGGATGGTTGACTCATTCGCGATTCAGATTTCTGCCCTACACTGTGAACTTCCATGTCGATAACTCGCGCAACCGCTCTCCACCTGCCGTTACTCCACCGGCCACCACGAAAGCTGACACGATTTCCCCGCAACCCAAAGTAACCGCCAGTCTTTTCGAAGCAAAGAAGCCAGCTCAACAGAAGGGACTTACCCCCGGAGCGACGACGGATCATGAACGCATCTTCACAGCCGATTTGGCCCGGACAGAGGAAGAGCCCTCTGGATATCCGTTTCCGCCGTCGGCAACGGGGGAGAACCAGCTTCTTACCGAGAGTGAAGCCCATTCCCCTGCATGGGGAGCAACTACATCTCTGAACCAGCCAAAGCCTCAGGCTGTCTTGTCGCCCTCGCCATCGATTCTGAAACACCAAGATCCCATACCTCCGCCCAAGGAGCCTGTGTTGCACAAGCTCCCCCAAGTTGCGTCAACCCCGGCATTAGTAGGCCTCAAAAGGGCTGAGCTTTCCGGTCGCAAAGAATCATTCTCTAGGGCAGAATGGACTATTGAAACCGCCGAGCAAGGGAATGGTGGCTTGCGAAATGCGGTCCGCTCGGCTCGGGACGCCGGATACTTGGACGAGATGATGTGGGTGGGCACCATGGGCATGCCGACGGACGCACTAGTGGAATACACCCGAAAAGAGATCGCGGAAAAGCTGGAAGAAGAGTATGGGTCTCTGACAGTGTTTGTCAGCGACGGCGACTTCAATGGCCACTACACCCACTTCTGCAAGACGATCCTTTGGCCGGTCTTTCACTACCAGATACCGGACAACCCCAAGAGCAAAGCCTACGAAGATCACTCGTGGATCTATTATGTCAAACTCAACCAAGCCTTTGCAGAGCGCATCGCCAAGGATTGGAAGCGCGGTGATTCTATATGGGTTCAGGATTACCATCTGTTGCTTGTCCCGGCTATGCTGCGGAAGATGGTGCCGGACGCGCAGATCGGGTTCTTTCTGCATATTGCCTTCCCGTCCTCGGAGGTCTTCAAATGCCTGGCCCCACGCAAGGAGCTTCTCGAGGGCATCCTTGGTGCCAACCTGGTGGGTTTCCAAACTGACGAGTATTGCCGGCACTTTTTGCAGACGTGTAGTCGCATACTGTGTGTGGAGGCCACAAACGAAGGTATCCAGTTGGAGGACCGGTTTGTCAATGTAGGCACATTCCCAATCGGCATTGATCCGACTTCATGGGACAAACGCCGACAGGCGACGGATGTGGAGCGATGGGTCAATACGATTTCCGCCCGGTATCAAGGCAAACGACTCATCGTCTCGCGCGACAAGATTGACTCGGTCCGGGGCATTCGTCAGAAACTCCTGAGTTACGAGCTGTTTCTCAACACCTACCCAGAATGGGCAGACCAAGTTGTGTTGATCCAGGTCGCTACCAGTACCACTGAACAACCCGAGCTGGAAGCAACGATATCTGATATCGCCATGCGAATCAACTCGACCCACTCGACCCTCGCTCACCAGCCCTTAGTATTCCTAAAACAGGACCTGGCGTTCCCTCAGTATCTTGCGCTCATCACTGTCGCCGACGCTCTGATGATCACTAGCTTGCGTGAGGGAATGAACTTGACGAGCCACGAATTCGTCTATTGTCAGGATGGTAGCTATGGGGACAAGGCATTCGGGTCTTTGATTCTCAGCGAGTTCACGGGCAGTGCATCAGTATTCGGAAATCACGCTCTTCTGGTCAACCCTTGGGACTACCGGCAGTGTTCAGAGGCGATCCACACGGCGTTGACTCGAGATGCCAAAAAGCGCAAGGAGGTGTGGGAGGAGATGTATCGTGCAGTTCTGCAGAACTCAACCACAAACTGGGTCAAGTCGTTCAGTGAAACGCTATCCCGAGTCTGGAACGAGCAGTCGTCGCGCGAGATGATGGCCGTACCGCGTCTTGCTGTACCGCGGCTGGAGGAGCGATACCGACAGTCAAAGCGCCGGCTCATGATTGTGGACTACGAAGGCACGCTGGCATCGTGGGGGTCTCCGAGCAGCATCATCTTGACAACGCCGCAGCGTGCGATCATCACCTTGACGGAACTCACTGATGACCCTTCCAATGCCGTCTATGTTATGAGCTCGCGCATGCCGGAAGAGATGGAGCGGCTGTTCCGTCAGGTCAACCATCTGGGCTTGATCGCTGAGAATGGCTGTTTCGTCCGCGAGCCTCATAGCGACAAGTGGACTACTTTGGCCGACAAGGTGCATATGGAAGCATGGAAGGAGTCGGTCTCCCAGATCCTTGCCTACTTCCAGGCGCGTTTGGAAGGGAGTTGGATCGAGGAACGCCACTGCTCACTCGTCTTCCATCACGGGTCGACCGAGGACCGGGCTATTGCTGGCCGCCTGGCCGCCGAGTGCGCCGGCAATATCAACGATGCCTGCGCTAACCAAGGCGTGCATGCGATCTCCGCCGAGAGTGCTTTGGTCGTCGAGACCATCAAGACCAACAAGGCCTCTGCCGCGGAGCTCGTGTGGGGCTGGTGTCTCGAAGGCTCGGGTCAAGCCGAGCGTGCCGCCAAACCGGATTTCCTGCTGGTTGTCGGGGATAGTCGTGAAGATGAGCCGGTGTTCCGGTGGGCCAACAAGTTGGAGAGTGCCAAGGCAGTTGATTATGCCATGACGGTGACGCTAGGGTCGCGAAGCACGGAAGCCAAGGCGACGTTGACGCAGGGAGTGACGGGTAAGCTTTTCCTTCTTCTCCTTTCTTCTACCTTTTTTGTCCATCCTTGGATTCTTCGGAGACTAACTCGACACAGGGGTTCTCTCCTGCCTGCAGCAACTGGCCTCATCGCCAGAAACGGCATCTGCATCGTTGCGACAGTGATGCCCGGGCGAGTTGACGGGGCAACTGTCTACATGCGAACGCGAAAACGAGTACATGAAGATAGCATGATCGACGATTGGAGTTTTTCTTTTGATTGTCTATTTGAGCAATGATCCGGGATCTGGCATGGAGGATTCCGGACATCTGCACATAATACATGTATGCATTGCAGAGTACAAGACGGCACAATCGAAGCATAACCCAAGACTTGAAGGAGGGTTCAAGTAGGACCTGTGAATGTCACCAAGCTGCTTTCAACGTCATTCTACACGATAATATAATCCACAAGCGAACGAGCCACCCCACGAAAATATCGCCATTTTCGCGAACCTCCTAATTTTAATCAGCTACTTAGACTTCCGCATAACCCAACTTGGGTCGAAGGACCCAAAACCCAATGCCAAGAACCCAACAATAAAGTTTATTGCATAATTATACATAAAAGCGCCAAGATATTCCTAATTAGGCCTATTTATACATACTTATGCATAGAGTTGGGCCGAAACTAGGTTATTGGGTCCTTGTCAATGCCAAGATTGGGTCGAAAGTTGGGTTTTGCGGAAGTCTACAGCTACTATACCACTAAATCGCTCTCAAAATGCTGGAAATTCTACTAAACTAAAGGGTAGACTCTTATTAGCTATTAAGGCTATTCAGAATCAAGAAATCTCTTTAATTCGCGATGCAGTAAGCCGATTTTGCGTATCTCGTTTAACTCTGCAGTATCATCGCCTCGCTGGCTGTATTAATCGTTCTGCTAAAAATTAACCGAAGTTATATATATTATTATATAGATATTATTCTTATAATTTATCTTTCGTATTACTTGACACGGTGAGCGGGGCGCCGGAAACGGCGCCTATTGCACCGCTGCTCCGCCGCCTCCGTAGACATAGACAGAGCCATCCTATGGGTCAAAGGTCGTGACCCATGACCCAAACCCACGACCTATAGGTCGGGTCAATAAAATCCTAACCTACCTATAGGTTAACCTGTGGGTTAACGGGTTAATCTACTTTTGACCTATTTTAGTATAAATTTCCTAATTAGGATAGATAATTTACTTATCTTTTTTAATAATATACCGAAAATAAAGAAAAATCGCTTCTTTAATAGATTCTCTCTATATATCGATATAGAGTAGCTCTTTGGCTAGTAGCTATACAAGAAATAGTTAATATTCTCTTGCCAAGCGTGGATCTACCCCTATTTACTCTATTAGATAGAATCGAGTCTATAATTTTATTAAACGCTATAATAAAATTAAGACTCGATTCTCTCGCTAATATAATTATCGGCGCGCTAAAAATAAAGACCTAAAAATTATTATTAAGTAGTTTAACTATATACTCCATTTAACGATGACACGGTGAGTTGGAGGCCAGGAACGGCCGCATCTGAGGCCGTTTTAAGCATCTCGCTCACCGGCACGGGCCTTGGGCATCACGTGTGTCAATGCCCACGGCCGACCGGGCCTACTTCCACCCTCTCACGTTGGCCGTGCCTGATGCCTTGCCCCTGCTGCCCACTCACTCATGATGCAGCCGCCGTAGGCCCCATCCTCGCTCGCCCTCCTGGAGGAAAGGGGCCAAAAAGGGCTCCCTGTTGAACAGTTTTTTTCGCTGCGATTCCATAAAGATCGACTGCCATAGCGTCCGGCTGCTCGCCCTTTCTCATTCCCCAACAGCTCTCCCACCTTCACGCCTGTCGGTTAGTGAACCTCTCGCTCCTGAAGCATATTAGTTTCGATCATTTCCATACCCTATTTCTGTTCCTCGTTCCCTTCGCCTCTCTTTACAACCCTCCCCATGCCTCGCCCTTCGCGACCAATTTTGTCGGACGACGAGAGTGATGCCAGCACAGGTCTCCCCGATATCTTCTCAAACGATGCTTCCGAGGACGATTCCTCCACCAGCGACCCCAACCTAGGCAGTGATGTCGAGTCACATAATGAATCTGATGATGACTCGACCTGGGTGACGAAGAGGAACAACCTACACCGGAGCCCCACCTCAAGAGGCCGAGAATCTCAATGTGTCGCAGCTCCGACAACAAAGATACAGTCCCAGTTTGGCTGAGCAGGTAGGGGAAGTGTAGCCTCGTCATCATCTGAATCAAAAGTGACCCTTTGAGATGTTCTATGCTCATTCACCGACCAAGCCCTTTTCTGCCTTCTGTTTGGAGCAGGCTGGCTGGTAGTCGAAGTCAGGCTAGACACTAAGGGTTACTCCTCATTATCACTGATTGGTGTGGCGGGCAGTGCTCCCTATATATAGCGAGAGCAGTTGTTGGGCGTTGCCTAAGAATCCTAGTCTTTTGCTCCTGGCGCAGCGGTTTGGCTTCTGGAATGCTTCCCAGAAGTTAGGCCGTGACAATTGGTTTAAGTTGATCCTGATCTTGGGCTGCCCTTTCTTTAGCTGCGGCCTCTTTCTCTCCCCTTGATAGACACTCGCTTATAAATGCAAGCTCTTCTCCTTAACATCAAACTTGGTTGTGCACATGAACATCATCAGCTCCCGGATTGTGAAAGCTTTGAGGGAACCCGGATGATAGTGGCGGATATCACGAGCAGAGTTGAACAAGCGTTCAACGCCAGCACTAGTTGCAGGGATAGAATATCTCGCGCAAGATTTGCAAGTGCTGGAAGCTTATGCTGATGTTCCTTCCAGAACGCGCGAACACTACCTTTTGAGGGAATAGTGCCTATTCAGAGTGTTAACAAGACCCTAATCTAGAAAGGGATATCACCTACCACTGCTAAAATATTGCGTAAGCTCATTATCTTGACTTTACGTTAATTGCTGAGATTCCTCTGGCTCGAGAATCATATCAAGCTCTGTTCCTTGACCTTTTGATGCTTGGGCCTGCGTTGGTAATTGGGCATCCATCAGCTGTTGTTGGTAGGGCTTGAGATAATCCTTAAGACTTTCACGGTACTCATCACGGTAAGGATCCCATTCCTTGGATTTGAAAAACTGGAACTTGTTCTGCGGCGCCATGACTGTAGAAATTGCGTAAAGATCGTTTGAAACACGATCAGTCTCTGCGTAATAGTCACTGAGCTTCTGCTTTCCCGCTTTCAGAGCATTCAGCATCAGCTGCTTCCATGGGACCCTCTTTGGTCGAAGCTGAGCAATTGACTTACCGAAATGGTCAAAGAGCTTCCATCTCACCAAGAAGTGCTTTGAGACTAAGCTAAATCACATGGGCCATGCAAGGAATTCGGATGACAGGCGTATGATTCCGAAGCTTAAGGGACTCAAGAGACTCTTGGATGTTACTAACCAAGGTGCCGTTATTTGACGCATTATCAGTGGTAACTGCAAGCATCTTGTGTTTCTGGAGCAGTTTGAAGAGAATAGAACCACTATTACCACCAGTACGGGACCCAGAAAGTCAAGGGCTTTCGGTGCCTCATCGACTGAGTCACATGAGGTTGGGTCAAGGAATCCTTTTACAGATTCTGTCCCTGATCCCGTTGTAGCTCTCTAAACTACATCCTCATCATTACCCTGTCTGTACTGTTCTGCTATAATTAGCTCCAATCACTATTACTGTCCGACCCTGCCCCCTGACACATGGCGCAGCCTACCTAAAGCCTCCCAGTCGCTCGAGAAACTGTTGAATGATATATATCATCACTCCAGGGTCTGCATGGATAGGTTTCTTCTCCGCAACTTAGCCTTAGGAGGTCTAGGAGGCTTTAGAAGCGCTTCCAGACAGTATGCCAGCGGAACACCGGTACCTTCAACCTCGGCTAATCAGCAAATGCAAAAGAGGTCTATACTACCACTATTTATTCCAAACGTTAACTCCATCACTGATTAATTAGCTAACTTAGTAATCCTCTCAATAGCTTCAGAAGCGAAAAAGCCTAATGCCCTTACGTTTCCTGCTATGAAGACAGTATAGTGATCTCGATAGTTACCGTCTTCAGAAAGGAGCATTGTAGATAAGGCGAAAGGATTAGAGTGTCGCTGCTATATCTCAGCATTTACTTTCTGTCAGAGATAATAGATTAATGTCTTGTCATAGATTTCGCCTCGGGAACGCCTCAAATTTCCCAGTATATTTCTGATGGCGTCTTAGTTAAGACACGCGAGCGGATCAATTTTTACATCATTAGTGACAATTGGATGTCTTCATATGGTATATGCCACTTGTGGCGGATCGAAAGTGAAAGGGTTCGGTTTTGCAAGCACGGCCGTATATTGAGCTTGCTCCGGCATGGAAATCGCGCTATATACCGGCCATCCTGCTGTTTCTCTGCTTGCGCCGTGGATTGATAGTTTTGGGTATATATCAAATCGGGTATATATCAAATCTTGGGAACAGCGGTACTGGTGCGTGAAGTTTTGGGTGTGGTTCCCGTGTGTCAAGCGAAATCCTCCCTGCTTCCAGATGATCTCACTTATGTGACGATTCAAGCCCTCTCCGAGACCTGCTTACGTAGTCATCACGTGACCCATAGACCACCTCTTGTACGATAGCGGCGCTCTCTCTCCTTCTTTCTTCTTCAGCTTCGATGCTTTTGAATGACAAACACAGCTGCTTCTTTTGAGTAGTTTCTGGCACGTCAGAACTTAGATCCTACATTGCTGCGTTCACCTCGGATGTAGGGAATATGTCAGGGTCGGTATTGTTTTCATCCCTTACATCTCCCAGTACAGGGAGAGAACCAAAATTGACAGTTAGAGCATCCAAATCAAATGCGTAATTCCCATCTAATGCCTTCGTTGGTCCTATAAAGAACAGGTTAGAATGTCATAGGGACTCCGGACAGATAATTAATAAGGTGAATATTGACTATTTGAGAGCAACGACAAGAATAATCAACATGAGAAAAAAGAAGGAGAGAAGGAAAGAAGTCACTGGCGAGAGATAACTATTGTCGAGATAATGCATGCATTACCTTATTCAGCAGCTGCAAAGTCGGCCCGACTGAGTCTCCGACCGTACACACTCGCTTAGGGATTCGGGCACCTATAAAAGTGATTTTTGTTATATACAGATTGAATGCAGCGACGATCATTGTTTCGGTATGGCCGTAGCTGAGATTCGAGAATAACTTAACTAGGGCTGCACAGCTGACTAATGGGTCACATGATCACAAAATTTATGAAGTTGATTGCGCCCGCTAACCTCAGTCCGCCGCATCGAATCATCCCACAAAGCACACAGCACGAGTTCGATAAACCCATAGGGAGAGAGAGAGAGAGATAGAGAGATGCCATGGCAACTACGACAAACCAGGGGGTGGAGGAAGAGGCTTTCATCCAAGTCAACACCCTACTCCTCAATGAGCTGAATGCGAAAGTCAAAGCATCCCCCTCTCGAGATATGACCGACTTGCTCGAGCACAAGGCCAAAACTTATCCTGCGCTGCGGAAAGTATTTCGTGATTCGTCGGTGCAGTCTGCAACCGAAAGTTTCGATCACTCTGATGCTACGAGCGTTGTTGATGAAAGGGATGAATTCCGGGTTCCAACCAATGCCGTGATCGTACGGCCATTAAGTGCGATAGTGAAACAGAGGGCACTGAAGGATTCTGATGGAGGAGTATCTGCCATCATTGAGGGTCTTAATAGATTGGTGACCACGAGTGAGGTCATTTGGCACCTAGGGTCAACCGCAGTGCTGGGTCTCAATTCCGCGCTGGTGATGAAGGTCGGAAATGATATCGATTTACAGCACCTTCCCACTCTGGAATATATCAAGCAGCATGCACCGCGTGTTCCGATCCCGGACATACATGGTATCCTTCAGCAGCCGGACAGCAAGCGCATCTTCTTGCTCATGTCTCGAGCGCCTGGCGAGCCGCTGGATTCCAAATGGAAATCCCTAAGCGAGGACGAAAAATCTTTAATCAAGGGGCAGTTGGATGCAATTGTTGGTGACTTTCGATTCTTGCCTGCGCCAGCCATCCACGAGGCTCTGGCTGTGCTTGGTGGCGGCAGCCCTCGCCGATGCAAAGATGCAAGACGACAAGTCCGGGTTGCCCCAGGGCCCATCAGCAGCGAAACCGAGTTTAATGAGTTCCTCACCTTCAACCCTCAGCGGACTCAGTCTAGCACCATTGCCATGATTCGGTCCTACCTCAAGGATAACCACCAACTAGTTTTGGCGCATGGTGATTTACACCCTCGAAACATCATGGTGGCCACCTCTTCACAACTACATGACCCCGTTGAGGGCGATGCTCCATCCCAGGAACCCCAGCACACCACCAACTGCATTGTTAATCAATCTAACACTCGAGTGATCATCACGGCGATTCTTGACTGGGAAATGTGTGGCTGGTACCCGGAGTACTGGGAATACGTGAAGGCTCTGAATACTATTACACCCGGCGGGGATTTGGGGGACTGGTGGGCCTATCTGCCACAGAAAATCGGTGTATGGCCCAGAGAGCATGCGGTTGACTTGATGCTAAGCAGATGGCATGGGTGATCTAGCACCTAAACTCAGATGCAAAGGCTTGGATTTTCCTGAGCTATTTACATCGGAACAACCACCGAGGAAGCAAGACAAGGTGATAGGTCCATCAGAATGAGAAAGAAAGAAAACAGCCATGGCCCAATCCTCGTGAAAACTTCCTTCACTGCCAGTTCTGCCTCTTAGATTGCAGTTTCGCCTTGGTCTCTGGGGCTAGTTGCATCATACGGAGATCGACCAGATTGTCCAGGTTTTCCATCACCCACGCCTGACAGTTCCAGGTCGTACTTTGATTGTCCACTGGATGGGACTGAATCACCGAGACTGCTTGATGGTGCCTACTTGCGGGAATGGTTCCACAAGGAACAACCTCTTTCAGCCTGGTTGATCTCATCGGCTCCTTGAAAATGGGTTCCTCCACATAATAACCACGGCCGCCCTTGTCATCACCAACCTGAAGAATGACAGAATGGCGATCAACGGATTGTAACCAGAGTGCCCAATGACAAGGGTCCCGCTCGTCGCCTGGGTGATAAATGGCCACTCCAACACTGGTCATACTGAGGCAACCTGGAAAATCGCACCTTTAGCATGAACGAAGACTTCGGGCCCGGTTCATCAATTTCTCACCTCAACAAGTTCCTAGGTCAAAATGTAAAAGGCGTCTGGCGAAACGAGCAAGAGTACACCGAAATGCAAAGTGCTGGAAGGATGAAGAAAGCAGAAAGGTGTAGATAGGCAGTTAGAAATCCATCCTCTTCATGGCCTTTGCGGTCCTTAAATAGACCGGACTGCAAGTGCTTGGTTCGGGCTCACGCCATTTCAAAACAGTTTCAAAGTCGGCGATTCGCCATTCCCATGCAGGAGGAAGAGGCGATCAACGATGTGGTTTCAGGGGAGCGGAGACCCTGTCTCGACCCTGCCAGTCCTGTTAGAGTAGATGGTGCAAAGCGCCAACTGGCTGGCCCTAGAATAGTTTCAGAGTTGGGATAAGGTGCACAGGTCCACTAGAGTTGGCTTGGCCCTGATGTTGGCGGCAAAGACTAAGTATACACGCTGGCGCTGAGTTTGTTTTCCACTACTAAAAAAAACCTGCGAGTTTCAGAAATCCGGTTTCAGTCGGCATTAATTAGCCAGGAGTGATTGGCATAAATGTCAAGGTCATTATGATCGGCAGGTCGAAAAGATGGTGAATTGACAGAGAGGCCCAAGTTTTGCAGGTCAGCGTCTAATTATTGAAGATACCTACCTATATAGCAGTGGCTAGCGGCTAAAAAAAAGGCGGTGAGCTATTTGTTATAATCAACCTGCAACTCGTTTAAAAGAGTAGCTGACCACAAGAAAGATCTGGTCACTATCCAAATGGTTATGACGGAGTTCCCTCCACCCCACATCCACCCTCCCCAGGGTCCTCACACACATACGGTTATTCTGCTCCATGGCCGTGGTAGCAGTGGCCTCGAGTTCGCCGAAGAGCTTTTCTCATCTACAACCTCTCAAGGCCAAAGCCTAGCCTCCCATCTGCCTACCTACCGTTGGGTTTTCCCAACCTCCCGCGACCGATGGAGCACTACGTTTCAAGAAGAGATGTGCTCTTGGTTCGATGCCTACTCCTTAACCGATATCCACGCAAGACAAGAGCTGCAGACGGACGGATTACGAGAGTCCGTGTTGCACATTCTTAATATCCTGGAGGATGAAGCTCGGCTGCTAGATGGGCAGCTTACCCGCATCTATCTTGGAGGTATTAGCCAGGGGATGGCGACCGCCTTATGGGCCTTCTTTGGTGCAATCGGCACCGGCCGAGTTCAAGGGGCCTTAGGCGGCTTGCTGGGCTTTTGCGGCTGGTTGCCATTCGCCCAGCAGCTAGACGATTTGCTTTCCGAACACCAGAGTTCGCGTACCCCTCAGATACTGCGCCTCGTATCTGGATTCTTCTTTGATGCCATTGCTGGTCCTGCGGTGCCGCAGGCCAAGACACCTGTGGATCCATCCATCCTATCTACCCCAGTGTTCTTCAGTCATGGAACAGACGATGCGTGGGTCTCGGTGCAACTCGGACGGCAGGCAACTCGAATTTTCCGGCAGATCATGGTGCGCATCGAATGGAACGAGTTCACCGGGGCAGAGGGGGACGGCCACTGGATCAATGAGCCTGACGGCTTCGACCAGATCCTTCAGTTTCTGGAGACGCCAGTTCGCCCAAGCTCAGAGGCTGCTGGCTAGTACTCGATGGCCATATGTTAGGGGACTATGAGCCTGGTTTTCGGAAATTTGACAGCACCAGATCCATAGAAATAACTAGCACGAAGAGGGTTTCGATAGAGTACGCACCGCGATACTGAATGGCAGACTATTTTTAAACCGTTTCCAGTAATTAGACCATGAAGTATAGTAATATTTAGGGAATCGCTGGATTCAGTTAAACAAAATCAAAGCACTTCATTTACGTAAACGATGATATCTGACTGCAGGAGAAGTAAAAGCCACGATGTGGAATAGTCACGGAGAGCGGATTGGGTATACATCACAAACACAGATATGAATGGGAATATAGATCAGAGTAAGAATGGGGCATACAAGAACAAGGAGACAGAAATGGACGCTGTTCAGGGATGAAAACAATCATTCTCAGAGTTGATAGAAACAAGTCGGCAATTTGATGCATACTTCATCCTCGCCGCGAAGATCGCCGCGTCGGCAAGGTGGTCGTCGTCGGCTGCTTGGCGCGGTTGGCCTTGGTCTCCACGCGGGCGCCTTGCTTCGAGGGAGTAGGAAGCTCGTCTTCCTTCTCGTTGGCCTTCTCTGGCTCGTCCCCGTCCGCGGTCTTCTGGCCGTCGGCCTTCCTGTCACCCTCGTCGTCCGGCATCTCTTCATCTTCTGTTTCCTCTTCCGCATCGTCATGGTCATTTGCTGGTTCGGGCTGGTTCCACTTCTGCATTTCTATATCATCCTCATCGCTGTCGTTATCGGCATAGCTGACCTTCTTCTTGCCAACGCCTCTGCCGCTGCGCCGGCAAGCAGGGGGGAGATCGTCCGTGGCGCCGCCATCAGAAGACCACTCGTCCTCGCGTCCTCGTTCTTCCGCTTGCGTCGGGGCACCTTGGCCGACGCACGACCGACAAGGACTTGCGCGGGCCGAACGGACTTGTCCTTATCTCGGCGAGCCTTCTTGGTTGCGGACGCGTTGCCGTTGGCATCCAAAGACTTGGGTTTCCGCTTTTCGGCTGGGCCGCCGGGCCCGCCATGAGACGAGGAGCTCTTGGGCTTCATTGCAGCGCACACCACGCGATCCAGCAGGTCGTCCATCTCGTCGGGGAGGAAGTTCTTGTCGGCGACGTCTTGCGCCTCTTGGTGGCCGCTCATGGAGGCAAACAGAGAGCTGGGGACACCTATCTTCCCCAGGTACATCTGCAGGATGTTGGTTGCCCCTGAAGCGCTGCCAAACTTGTGTTGCTGCGAGTAGATATCGGCAAAACGGCGGATGGTGGCCTGCGCCAGGTCGGACAGCGTGTGGAGGCGAGTGGAAATCTCGTCGGATTTAGTGATGCCGTTGCGAACTTGCTTGACGCACTGGGCGACGTGGACAATCAGGGATAGGTTACGTTCATTAGACACTGCGGAGAGATAGAAGAGGTATCGCGAGAAGTCGCTCAGGTCGCCGAGCTTGGTCGACTCATCCAAGTCCTCGGATGAATAATTAGGGTGGTAAACAAGAAGAGATAGAAGCCGCGAGAAGACCAACTCCATAACCATTGCCTGATCGGTCCGCTTCCCGCTGACTGACACTGACGATGACGACAATCGCCCGTGAAGGCGTTCGAGAGTAAGCGGCCGGAGACAGATCCGCAACATCGGGGGCTCTGCAACGTAAACCCCGATGGGGCAGGAGGTAGTGAGGGCGTGCAGAGCCGAGGATGCCCGAGATGCTACTTTGAGACCGTGTAATTAATGAAATGAGACAGGTCGAGATGGGAGAAAGACGAGCTAAGCTCAAGACGAGGGTGACGAGGATAACCGAGTAGCACGGTCGGTTATCGTGCCTCCCACTGGAACGGACAGGAAGCTATACAAAAGGGCTGAGGACTCAGATATCCAGGCTGGTGGGCGACCGAATCGCCTCGCTGTCCACGTTGGCCGCACGGCCTGAGCGTCGGATGGCGCGGCCATTCCGCAGCGAAATGAAAGGGGCAGTGCATGTGCAGGGCACTCCGGTGCGCAGGGGGGTCAGTGGAGGCCAGAAAGAAAGGGGAAAGGAGGAAAAAGAAGAGAAAGGTGCGTCGTTGAGTCCAGGTGGGGAGGGCGGTGCTTTATAGATGGATGGCAGATCGCTGGGACGGTAAAAGCGGCCAGGGATGGCGCTAAACCCGAATAGGGGCCACCGCGAGGGCGCCATACCGGAAGGGGAAGGAGGAGGGCGAACCTAGGCAGGCGGTCGAGGGCAGCAGATGGACGGTGCAATGGGAGCGGGATCTGGCGCCCCGCTCACCGTGTCCTCGTATACTATTATTAAATACTATTTTTATTCTAATATAATTTATAATTATAACTCTTATAATTTATAAAAAGAATATTATATAGTAATAATATATTTAGAATATATAATATATTAATATATTAATATATTAATTTAATACTTTAAAGTAAGAATTATATTATATAGTAGATAGATATAGATAAAAGAAGATATTAACTAACCTTTTTTATACTAAACCTAAAAATATATATTTAAGGTCTATAGTAGTACTACTACTATAAAAAAGTATATATTTTATTATATCTAGTAAAAAAGGGACTATATAACCCTTTTATAATAAAAGACTTAAAATATGGAAAAATAATCTCTCTGAAGTAAATTATTGTAGATTTAAAGAAATATATAGATCTAATACTTATTTCTTATTAATAGATAGAATTTAGTATTATTCTAGTACTAAATTTTATAACTAATTAGAATAGGCTCTACTAATATATATAAAGTTTATGAGATAGTAAAAAATAGGTTAATAGATTAATCTATAGGCTAATCTATTAATCTGAATAATTAGATAAGAATAATACCCTAAGATTTTTTTATCTCTAAAAAATTTTAACCTAATTACCTAATATTTTTATTTTATATAAATCCAGAAAAAATATTTAAAATAATTCTTTTATATAATTAAGACTATAATATACTTATATATTAATAAAGAAATATTAGATATTAGATTTATATCTATTTTATTATTTCTAATATATATAGTTTATTTATATAAAAAGTAGAAGTACTACTATAGACTTTAGATATATATTTTTAGATTTAGTATAAGAAAGGGTTAATTAATATCTTCTTTTATCTATATATATCTATTATATAATATAATTTTTACCTTAAAGTCTTAAATTAATGAATTAATAAATTATATATTCTAAATATATTATTACTATATAATATTCTTTTTATAAATTATAAGAGTTATAATTATAACTTATATTAGAACGAAAATAGTGTTTAATAATAGTATATTATCTTAATAACTAAATAGCTTTATAATTAGAATTATATAAAAATTAGATCGAATTAGGTTATATTAGGTTTTATTAGGGCCCTAGTACTAGGTCCGGGTTAGGTTTTGGGTCGAGATCTTCGACCCAAGTTAGGTTTATACAGAAGTCTACGTATCCTATAGCACCTTAAAGGGGCAAAAAGCCTTAGATTTATATATAAGGGTTAGCTTTAGATACTAAAAGGCTTTATAGATGTAGACTAGGGTAGATATCGTGATATAAGACAATCAACGGCTGGATATCTCTTTAATATTAGGAGTAGAGCAATTAGTTAGTAATCGAACGCTAGAGTGTCGTTAGACATAGACAGACCCGTCCTATGGGTCAAAGATCTTGACCCATGACCTAAACCCACGACCTATAGGTCGAGTCAATAAAATCCTGACCCGCCTATAGGTTGACCTGTGGGTTAACGGGTTAACCTATTTTTGACCTATTTTAGTATAAATTTCTTAATTAGGATAGATAATTTGCTTATCTTTTTTAATAATATACTATTGTTAAATACTGTTTTTGTTCTAATATAACTTATAATTCTAACTCTTTATAAAAAGAATATTATATAGTAATAATATATTTAGAATATATAATATATTAATTTATTAATTTAATACTTTAAGGTAAGAATTATATTTTATAATAGGTAGATATAGGCGAAAGAAGATATTAGTTAACTATTTCTTATACTAAACCTAAAAATATATATTTAAAGTCTATAGTAGTACTTCTACTTTTTATATAAATAAACTATATATATTAGAAACAATAAAATAGATATAAATCTAATATCTAATATTTCTTTATTAATATATAAATATATTATAGTCTTATTTATATAAAAGAATTATTTTAAATATTTTTTCTAAATTTATATAAAATAATAATATTGGCTAGTTAGGTTGAAATTTTTTGGGGATAAAAAGAAAAATCTTAGGGTATTATTTTTACCTAATTATTTAGGTTAACGGGTTAACCTATAGATTGACCTATTAATCTATTTTTTACTATCTAATAAACTTTATATATATTAGTAGAGCCTATTCTAATTAGTTATAAAATTTAGTATTAGGATAGTACTAAATTCTATCTACTAATAAAAAATAAGTATTAGATCTATATATTCCCCTAAATCTACGATGATTTACTTTAGATTATTTTTCTATATCTTAAGTCTCTTACTATAAAAGGATTATATAGTCCCCCTTTTACTAGATATAATAAAATATATATTTTTTTATAGTAGTCTTTCTATCTTTATTAGAACTAAGGTTTTAATCTATCTACGCGATTACTTAAAACCCTAATTTTAATCTATCTATATATTTATTTATAGCCCTAGTTCTAATATACCTACGTAAAAAGATTAGCTAGTTAAATTAAAATTTTTAGGGGATAAAAATAAAAGTCTTAGGGTATTACTCTTATCTAATTATTTAGGTCAACGGGTTAGCCTATAGGTTGACCCGTTAATCTATTTCTTACTATCCAATAAGCTTTGTATATATTAGTAGAGTATCTTCTAATTAATTATAAAATTTAGCACTAGGATAGTGCCGAATCCTATCTACTAATAAGAAATAAGTATTAGACCTATATATTCCCCTAAATCTACAATAATTTATCTTAGATTATTTTTCTATATCTTAAGTCCTTTATTTTAATATATTATTGCTATATCTCTTCTATATCTTAGTTATCTACCTTGTACCCTCCCTCTCTTATTGAGAGTAAGGGGTTTAAGTCATCTATTTTCTATTCTAATCAACTTCTTAATACCCTCTTAGAACCACTAGAAAGCCAGTAAACCGAGTAAAGCCTCCCTTCTATTATACTATTAATACTAAAACAATCTAATAATCAGAAAAAGACCTAGGTGATTTTTAATAGTATAAATAAAGCAGAGTTTTTAAACTAGTGGCTTAATACCTAAATTAGTAGTTCTTATAATATTATAAAGAAGATAAACTAAGAGGGTCCACGACGGACTAATATATAGTTGTATTTTAATTAAATCGCATATTTAGTGATAGGAGAGCTAAAGCTCTTATATAAATAATATAGTAAGATTATAGACTATCTAGTCTATACTAAAAATAGGATAATAGGTCTCTAACGCTACTAGAATCGGAGTATATACTAAAAAGGCTAAAGTATTACTAAATATTTAATAATCTAATATCTTATAGAATATATAGTATATTATATAGCTATTATTTAATTTATAGACTAATCTTTCTTAGGCTAAGAACTCCCCTTGAATAGTCTAGCTAGTTATCTAAGAGCTATAGGAGTAATAGTTAATTACTATAATAATTACTCTATAGTTTTCTTTTTAAATTATTGAGTATCCTAAATTCTAAGCCTTTCTTCGAATAATCTAATTATTATCGTTTATCCTTAGTTTCCTTTCCTATCGAACTATATAATATTAAATCTAAGGAATAACCTAAGATTAATAGAAAGATTTATTTTAAAAGCTTCTATCTAAGGGTAAGCTCTCTATTAGTCTTAACTATTAGATATCGCTATTTTAATAAGTATTTATAGCTATCTCTAGCTATTTTATTAATATAGACTAGAATTATCGAGAGGTTTTATTTAGCTTTGAACCTATTTCTAGTATATACTCTAGATAGAATCTTAATATAACCCTCCTCGATATCCTCTAAAAGTATTAGATCGAAGACTAAGTATTTATAGTAATAACTAATAATATATTAAATAACTCTACCTTTATTTTAAGTATCTAAGATTCTATTTAATTATTAGATATTAACTCTAAAGTAATAATTATTCGGGTTTTATATATTATATATATAATTTAGTTAAATTTAAAGTAATTATTTAGCTAGATAAAAGCGAACCCTTAAAACGAGGTAACTAAGACTATTTAGTCTAAGGAATATACTTAATACGCCCGTCGAAAAGTATAAAAATAAGATATTATAATAACTCTTATAAAGATATATATCTATACTCCTTATTTATTAGTTAAAATACTAACCTATTTTATATTTTAGATTAGAAACCTTATGATCTTTATTAATATAAGCCCTTAACGTCGGGAGTCCTTTCTTAGTCTCTAGCCCGACTACCCTTAATTAGTTCTAATTTAAGATATCCGAATTAGATAGAATTTAACCTTTTTAATACTCCGGCGTGTAAAGTAGTTATAACTAGTCTTTAATCAATTTTGCTCTAAATATAATTATCTTTATCTTAAAATTAATATAGATAAATAACGCTAGATTAATTATCTTCTTAATATTATCTAGCTATTTTTCTAATTTACTATAGTCCTCTTAAAAATAAAGGATATTACTATTTATACTATCTTTACTATCTATAATAAGCTATTTAATCATCTTAAAAGGTTAATTAGATAGCTTAGTAGAAAGAAGGTTAGATAGAAGTAATAGATATATTGAGCCCTTAAATTAGCTAAAGATAAACTCCGTAAGTATTACTCTATAATAGATAATAAAGAGCTCAGTAATATCTATACGATTAGTACTATCTTAGCCTTTTAGTATAAGATTAAATTTTTTTAAACTAAAGACTAGGACTACCTTTAGATAGATTATAACGCCTAATACTAGCGAAGTCTTAAGGGTCAGCTTCTGAGCTACTAAACTAGTAATATTCTAAGCTCTTAATTACTATCTAAAATAAAATAGTCCTATTAAACTAATAAGCTTAATATATTTTTAATAGCTAATTCTTCTATCTTAAGCTCCTAGTCTAAGGTAATATAGTATATTAAAAGAGGTAAGTTTCTATATATACCCCTATTAAAACTAGGGTTCTAAGTAATCGCTTAAAACCCTAGTTCTAATCTATTAAGTT